TGACCCAAGGTATGTGTGTTGCAGAGCAGGCAAGTGAGGCCGACTGTAAGCCTGTTTGGGGTTACAGCTCGAGCTGCTAAAGTAGCATGAGAAAATCACTCTTCTTTGCCTAAACAGCATGACAGACTGGATTTAGGGACCACCGAAATTTGTCATGCGCCACTTGGAAACTGGGTTCCAACTGGCATCCATTTTATGCATGAAAAATTATTTCAACTTTGTCGATTTCAACTCTGACACATCCATACTCGCAAAGGTTTTGTTAAACATGTCACTCAACGCGTCCGCCTGCGCGGGCTGCAAAGCCGCGTTGTTCGGCCAGGCATTCAGCAGGTCCGCCCGGGCCGCCGGGGGATCGATCGCGTACTTCAATTTAGCGCCAACGGAAACCTGCAGCATCTTGTCCCCGGTTACCGGATCATCAACCACGGTAACATCTAAAATCGCTAGGTCCACGTCCTTAATCGCCAAATCAGCCTTATCTCCATTAGCGGTGTTCACCAAGAGGGAGTGCAGATAATCCTTCATGTATCGTACGAAAAAAGTGCTTCACTGTGAGGCTTTTGCAGGTTTTGCATCACAAGTTTGTTCTACATGACAGCGGAAATTTGCCATGCGGGGTTCCTAAGGGCAAACACGACTAGAAATCCGTTATCTTGCATGTGCAGCAAGACAACTACTTCTGTCTTCAATTTTATGCATCACAAGCTTACAGTGAAACAGTTTTTCCTTGCGATATCATGGCCTGCTGGACGATCTGCGCCAGCTCCGGGTTTTCCATCAATCCCGGGCCGCTCGGGTCGATATGCACTGCAAAAGTATCGCACTAGTATGATTTGCAATTACAAATTTCCTCAGCATGCGAAATGAAATTTGTAATGCGGATTTAACTTGAGAAAGAAATTTGTAATGAAGGAATGGCATTACTACGAGTACGATACTTTTGCACAGGATAGTCAATCCCGACGGGCAAGTTGACCGCGAAATTCATCGTCTTTTCAAAGTCTGCGTCCGGATCCGTCGTGATCGAGCCCTCGATATCCATGGCAAATATGTCTGGGTCTGGAGACTTGTGATGCAAGTCAGTCAATAACAGCTGCACTGTAATGCGCCGCCAAGCATGCATGACAAGTTTTTCTTTTTTCCCGCTTCTGTGCTGCGTATTGCGCATCGGAAACTGCGTTTTTGCATGACAGGCGAGAGAGGCTGTCTTCGGCCACGCAATACAGAGTGAACGGTCAACGTGCCAGATCAGCATGACAAATTTCGCAATCTTCCAGACCCAGACATATTTGCATTTGATACTCGACCCCATCGACGTCGACAACGCAGTCCTGGAGCAACCCACCGCCTTCCCCGCCGGTGAGATCACCTATTGTGATGAAAAATCCCCCCTCCCCATATCGCAAACGAGATTTGTGCTGCTGTATTTGAGTACACAAGTCGACTTGTATTGCTAGAATGCCAAGGAACGCATTTGTTCATGTTCTTTCCTCGTTTGCAAGCAGTTTGTAATGCTGTTTCCCGTTTCCATTTGCTTCGTGTCATGCTGAAGGCGCACGGCTTTCCTACGCCAGCCGGCCCAACAGTCCGCATCTCTACTTCCCTTCTAGCATGACAACGCGATTTGTGATCGCAAATCATGCTACACAAATCTCCCTTTGAGTACGGGGAGGAGGGATTTTTCCCGTTGATATCGTCTTTTGGGTCCTTGCTGTCGTCCGGCATCAGATTATTCGCTTTGAGTCGGTCCTCGAAGAACTCCTCAAGCCGGTTATTTCCGTTGTTGTCCAGTGCGGTGTCTTATGAACTGCAAAAGTATCGCATTCGTATTGCAGTCATGCATATACAAGTTTTTTTCTCAAGGTAAATCCGCATTACAAATTTCATTTCTCACGCTGAGGAAATTTGTAATGCATTTACACGAGTACGATACTTTTCTTTGCAGTTCATATGTCTTCTGGCCACTGCGTCTTGATCGCATCCAGGACCGCTTGCACGTCCGCGGCGGTGCCGCTCCCCGCCACCGGGTTGGGCGCGATCGTCACACTCACCTCCAGCTCCACCTCGTGGACATCCACACCGATCTTGTTGTTCGGGTCGTTTCCGATCGGGATCGTCTGGTCCTTCGGAGGCTTTTTCACAAACACGTCTACGTCCACGATGTTCAAATCCAACCGATCGGGCTGCGCGTCCGCGTCGGAAAAGTTCGGATTGTCCTCTAACAGCCTGTATGCATTGCAAAAGCATCGCACTTCGTATTAAAAATGCGAGTCTAGTATTACAGATCTGCTTTCTTACCTGAAACTGCATGACAAATTTCATTTTTCTTCTACGGAAAAATTTGTCATGCAATTACTATACATTATATTCATGCGAAAAAAGAGGTAGACAGAGGGTCCCAGAGAGGTGGCCGAGAGGTAAAAAAGAGGTCGACAGAGGTAGAAAAGAGGTCGACAGAGGTGGAGAGGTGGCGCGGGACCCCGTTCGAGAGGGTCCGCGAGAGGGTGCGCGAATAAGGCCCGCAGTAAGCGCCCACCCTTAGGCGCCGCCTAAGTGGCACAGAGGGTGCAGAGAGGTCAAAAAGAGGGTGCGCGAGAGGTCGACAGAGGTGGAGAGAGGTGTTGCGAATAAGGGGCGACCTCTCGCGGACCCTCTTGGCCACCTCCCGGCCACCTCTGTCGACCTCTGCCCGCGAGTATAGCCGGACTATTAGCGGGGACCCCAAAAGAGGTCAAAAAGAGGGTCTGCGAGAGGTCTGCGAGAGGGTAAAAGCACAAAGAAGCGGGCGCGAATCCGCATGGTAGTGCCCATATTTGGCACTGCAGGCCATTCGCGGACTTGTTTTGTTCGGCGCCTTTCCGTGCCGCCCTCTCGCGCACCCTCTCGCGCACCCTCTCGCGCCACCCTCTCGCGCCACCCTCTCGCGCACCCTCTCGCGCCACCCTCTCGCGCCACCCTCTCGCGCACCCTCTCGCGCCACCCTCTCGCGCCACCCTCTCGCGCACCCTCTCGCGCCACCCTCCCGCGCCACCCTCTCCCACCATGCGGCTTCTGTTCGCCCCCGGTGTTCTTTGCAGCTGCTCCCTGCGCAGAGCGCCCACAGGCGCGGGAAGCGCGCAAGTGGTCCTGCGGCTTGGCGCGGCGCAAATCGGCGGCAGGGATCCAGTATGTTTCGTTGTGCCTACTAGGCCCGTGGGGTTGTGGTCCGAGCGGCAAATAGCCTTGCCCCGGCCCAACAGCCTTGCGCTCCGGCGGCAGCCGGAGCATGGCTGGTTCATACTAGTACGATACTTCTGCATTGCATAGCCTGCGCAGCAGCGCGTCCATGGTCTCTTGGCAGACCTTGTTCACGAAATCGCCCCCCTCGGCGCTGGGGTCAATATCAATTGCAAAAATGTCTGGGTCTGGAAGAGTCGGGGAGGCTTGTCATGCACATTTTGCATGACCCGTGAGGTCTGTGACGCTGGTGCTAGCATCACAGATTTTTTGAGAGCTTCTTGATGCTAATTACGCATGAAAAATGCCTTCTTCGCGTACCAAGAGCTGACTCCTCTTGCTGCTCATGCAACACAAATATTTTTAGAATCCGCAGACAGCATTGCAAGTTGCAATCTTCCAGGCCCAGACATTTTTGCATTTGATAGTCAAGCAGCGCAGACAAATCCGTCCCGGCTTTCACGTTCAGCGTGACATTGAAGGCCTTCGTGATTTCCGTGGTCGGATCAGTGGTGATCGGGTCCGTCAGCGGGGTTGCGCTCGTCCCCGTGGCCGGCCCGGAGGCGGGCGTTAGGGAAAGCACGTCCTTGTTCACTTTCGGGACGATGGGCAACGCCGTGCCCCCGACGGTTTGCGTCGTGGGGGGGACGGGCGACAGGATGTTCTTCTGCTTCAGGTTTTTGGTCAGAGTACTACCCAACACGTCGTTCTTAACCGCCGGAAGCAACTGCGTACCCGGCCACTCCTTGCGGATGTCATTCACCAGCGCCGGCGGGTCCACCGCGAGTTTCACGCGGGCCTCAATGGAGATGGAAATGTCGTACGGTGGGTCGGGCGACGGCTCGGAGAAAACCAGCACCAGATCCACGTCCTTCTTCGTGAAGGTCGCGCCCTGCCCGGTCGTGGGCGACAGCGCATTGGCGCGGAGGTACTCCTCCAGCGCGTCCGCGACGGCGCGCTGCAGTTCCGGATTCGACTCTAGTAAATCGTCCACGTCCGTCCCGGAGGGCACTTTCATGTCGAACTGAAACACCTTCTCTACGTCCCCCGGCTCACTCACCGCCGGCGGACAGGTGAGCGCCCCGTCCATCCCCAGGATGCTGTTTCCTGGAGCACCGAAAACGCCGCCGCCGCCGAGCGCCGGGTCCCCCTGCGACACGTCCGGCTGCAGGTCGGCCTTTTTGAACTCTTCTTTCAAATACTGCTGCATCATGTATGATAGTTCAAAACTCCTTTTCCCTTTCATTTGTATGGCATGAACAGCAATACAAACGCCAGCACTCCTGGAGGCTGTGCATGACAAGTTCACCGCGACCGGCCAAAGGTAAGTAGTTGTACTGTTCGACCTTTCGAAACTTGTCATGCAAAAAGTGCCACAGGGCAGCAAATGGATTCGCGGTTTTGCATGACAAATGAGGGTAAGAGGGAATTCCTGTGCACTCTCATATCATGGTCGTTTTCCCGGGGTTCAGCGGCTTCGTCTGCGGCCACACGTCCACGAAATCGGTCACCGCCACGGAGGGGGAAAGTTGGAAGGTCAGCGAAGTGGAGAGACTGACCTTACTGACAATGACGTCCTGCGTCGTCGGGGGGGTGCTGCTCGCGTTGGTCACAACCGAAATTACGTGGTTGTCCGTGACCTCGTCGACGAACAAATCGAAGTCTTGGAAGTCCACCGTCGCGCCGGTCGTGCCGCCCTGACTGCACACATCCGTGATCAGGTGCGCGCCCGCGTTCTGCACGGCTTCGCGGAACGACGGCTGTAACACTAATGCTTTGACGTCCGTACCGTCTTTGACTGTCAGCGTGAACTGGAAGCTCTTCTGCAGCTGGCCGGCCGCCGTGGTCAGTGTGTTACTCCCGGGCAGGATCGCCGCCCCGGGGCCGGCGTTCTGCTGCTGCGTGATGTCTGAAACCGACTTGATCAGAATCTGCTGTAAAACGTCCAGCTTCGTCCTGGTCAACAACTTGTTGGTCGGCCAGACCCGCGCGATGTTGGCGAGCACTTTGGGGGCCACGCGGAAGGTCAACTCGGCCATGATGGTCAAGTTTTGCGCGGTCAGGTTCACCAAATGCTGCCCGCTGCTGCCCGGGACCTCGTAATTCAGAATGGTTTGATTGTACAGGAAGAGTTGCGTCAGTTTCAGCTTCGTCAGCGCCTTGCCGGGCAGTTGCGGCACCACGCCCAGCGCAACCAGGAAGGACAGAGTCGTGTCGTTCACCGCCTGCCGCAGCAGCGGGTCGGCTACTATGCATTAAAAAAGTACTATCGCACTCGTAGGAACAATCATCCCAGTCATGCATGACAGACCTGTCTTTGTACTACGCTACCCGGCATTACAAATTCCACTTTTTAGTATGATGGCCAAATTTGTGATGCGATTTCAACTAGTACGATCATACTTTTGCAATGCATAGCCACCATCGCACTCGCGTCCGCGGACTCCGCGAGCAGGAAGCTGAAGTCGAGGCTCCGCGTCAATTTCGTCAGGAAGACGGGCTTGGGCGTGGTGGTGGTCGTGGTCGTCGGTGCGGGGAGTCCGGTATGAACTGCAAAAGTATCGTACTCGTAGTATTGCAATACAAATTAGCTCCGCATGACAAATGTAATTTCTCATGCTGATTTAGCTCGAAAAAAACATTTGTCTTGCATGACAGCGATTAGTACCAGTACAACACTTTTGCACTTGATACCCGGTCACCGCTTCGATCGTCAGCAACTTCTCCACCACCGGTTGACCTGCAGCGCCCTGCGCGTTCTGGTCGAGGAGCTGCCGCAGCAGCGTGTTTTCGCCCGCGCCGAGGGGTTCCTCGGGCCAGTAGGGAGCGACGTTGAGGGCGTTGGGGAGGGCCGTGACTTCCATCTCGCACGCCACGATCACGCTGATGCCAATTTGGGTGCCCACCATGGTGGGAAACTGTGCGATCACGTTGGTTTCCACGCCAGTAACCGTCAGGTTTTGGATCAACGCGTCCTTTTCGGGTTGCGTGAGCTGCGACGAGCCGAGGATCAGATTGGAAAAGAAATCCGCCGTGGTCAAGTTCACCACAGCCTCGAAAGACGGGCCAGTATCCACAGAAAAAGAACCCATCCCCATCCTGTTTTTGCATGACAAACACGGAAATTATATGCATGCTTTGCATGACAAATTCAAATTGGATGGGAATGGGTGGAGTTTCTGCCTGGATAGCCTTCTAAGATGTCCTCCAACGTTTCCGCGTCGTCGACTTCCATGGCCACCTCAGTGTTGAAGGCCCGAACCAGTGTCGTCGGCAAGGTTGTTATGAGAGCGCACAATTCACCCCTGCTCCCATTCGTATTCTTGCTTGAACAGCAATAGAAACGCTGTCAAGAGTGCAGCTTTTGCAAAACAAATTGCAGTGGTGTTTCTTTAGGCCGCTACCAGAATGATCTGCCATGCTGACAATCCTAAGTTGAAAAGAGCGTACGTCTACGTCGTGGTATCTCGCATGACAAATGAGGAGGACGGGGACCGCGAGCAGCTATGCACTTTCATAGTTGTCGTGGTGGTCTTGCTTGTGTCGTAGGTCTTTTCGCCGAACACGTGGCTGATCCTCAGAAGCGTGTCGGTGATCGTGGGTGTGGTGGTCAAATCCGGATTCCCGGTGACCACGTCGCTGGTCGCGGGATCCGGCATCAGATTGTTTGAGCGGAAAAACTGCTGCAAGAAGGTTTTCAGCATCGCGTTTTGGCTCCCCGACAGGTTATTCGCGTCCGGCCACCGGCGCAAAATGTCGAAGGCCGCGACCGCCGGCACCACGACAAACTCCACGCTCACGTCCAGCTTCAGCAGCAGCGTACTCACGTCCTGCACGGTATTGCTCGGCGGGATTTGCATCGGCAGCAGCACTATCAAATGTAAAAATGTCTGGGTCTGGAAGAATGCAAGTTTGTCATGCTTGTCTGGCATGACTCTTAAATCTGTCATGCACATTACCAAAGAGCCCCACTTTTCTGTCATGCAGAAACGTAGTTTGTCATGCAGACTAGGCAACACCTAGAAGCTCAGAAACTTGTCATGCTGAGCCAGCAATTGTGGCCTCCTCATGATACGCCACACAGAATCACAAGTTTCCAGACCCAGACATTTTTACATTTGATAAGCACCCCCGACTCGGTCTTCAAAATATCGGTTCGCACGTCTAACACATTGACGCCCGTGGCCGCCCCGTCGGACAGCGCGGACAGGAGCGCAACCATGCTCTCTTCGATGGCCTGCAGGAAGAAGGTGTCTGCAATCAATTTTTGGAAGTTGGCCCCGGATTGGATCGACAGGTCCACGGAGAACCGTTTTGTGAGGGCCCCGGGGGTCGCGGTCGGGAGAGACTGCACGCCGGGAATCTGCAGAATCGCGTTCTGCAAACCCGGGCCGCCGCCCGTGGCGCTCTCGCCAGCGGTGATGTTGGGCTTCAGGTTGTTCGCCACAAAAGCCTGGTCCAGCAATTCCTCCAACTCCGACAAGGCCGGCACTTTGGCGCCGCCCCCCGCCGCCGCGGCCGGCGGGGTGGCGGTCGCGCTCTCGGGGAGTTCCCGGTCGTCCGGCCACACGTCCAGGAGCTGGCTCACCTGCTCCTTCGGGTCTAAGGTCAGTTTGAAAGTTCCCTGCACCCGCATGTTGGGGCTGTCGACCACCGTCACGGTGGTGTTCGTGACCGGGTCAACAATGTCCAGCGTTTGGTTCGTTGTGGTGCCCATGATGGCGATTCCGCCGGCCGTGACGGTGACCGAGGTGGGGATGGTCTGGTCTGGCAGCAGCGTTTGCACCAGCGCGGCCATGGTGTCCCCGAGCGCGTTTTGGAACTCGGGCAGCTTCGCGATCTGGTTCGGGTCCGTGCCCGGCTCGAGATTCAAGTCGATCAGAAACTTTTTGGTCACTTCGTCCTCGGGCGGGACGTATCCTGTGCAAAAGTATCGTACTCGTATTGCTTAGTCATGCATTGCAAATCTTTTTCTTAAGGTAAATCCGCATCACAAATTTTATTTCTCACGATGAGGACAAAATTTGTAATGCATTTATACGAGTACGATACTTTTGCAGTGCATACGACGGTGGCCAGCGTCGAGACCCCGGTCCCGCCGCTCGCGTCGCCGATCCGCAAAAAGACGTCCAGCCCCGCGCCGGGGAGACCGTTTGCGTCAGAAGCCACTTGCGCGTCGGCGCCCGAGGGATCCTCGCCGGCAGCCGGATCGGGCATCAAGTTGCCGGCTTGCAGTTGCGTGACGATTTGGTCCCGCAGGAAGTCCACTTCAGAGTCCTTGCCGCAGACCCCGGTGTCGGGCCATCGCGAGTACAGCGTGTCCGCCGCTTTCGCGGGCTCCAGTTTGAAAGTGATGCGCACATCGAACACGGCCCGAACCGCATCGAGGATGGTAAAGTCATTGGTCATATCAAATGTAAAAATGTCTGGGTCTGGAAGATTCCGAGATTTGTCATGCAGTTTTTCCAAGCTCCACCAAGTCTGGAATGCAGGGCCTAGCATCACAGGTTCTGCAGCCCCTTACTGATGCCCATTATGCATGAGAAATGCCCTCTGAGCATGGCGAGAAATGGGGACCTTTTGCAAGTCATGCAACACAGATTTTTGTATCATCCGCAACACGCATCACAAGTTCGCATTCTTCCAGACCCAGACATTTTTACATTTGATATGTCAAGGATTTGTTGCTTTCGTTGGCAAGCGTGAAGTTGAGCGCCTCATTATCCTGAGTAAAAGCGTACCCACACCAGAGTTGTAATGCAGATTTGCAAAGACAGGAAGACCTGTAATGCGCATCCGCATGAGAGCCATTTCCAATAGTGTTTTGGAATTTGTGATGTTGTGAACAGGATGAGCAGATGAATCTGTGATGCGGCTGCACTTGCTAACCTGCACTACACTGCAGAGCGCAACTTGTCATGCGTGACTGACAAAGCTCCTAGGTTTGTGTTGCAAAATCCCCATCCTGACTCTGGTGTGGGTAGGTTTTTACTCAGGATACTCATCGCGCGCCGCCGCGAAGACCGCGGCCGCCACGGCGTTGATGTCGACCACGGCATTCACGCCGATGGACGTGCCCAACGTGTCCAGGAAGCGCTCCGCGGCGACTTCGATCGCCTTGAGGAACAGGGGATCGGACGTGAGTGCCGTGTAGTCCGTTCCTTTCGCGAGGAAGGTCTCCAGTCGAATCTTCTTCACCAGGTTTCCGCCCTGCGCCGCCTCCGGGGGCGGCTTGCCGGCCGCCGCCAGCTGCCGCGGGGTCTGCGCCGGACCGGGCACGAGACCGGGCACCTGGGGCGTCGGCAACGGCTTGCCGCCGGCCGGGATGGGTTGGAGGATGGGCGGCTCCAGCCCGGCGATGGCCAGGACCCGCGTGATCCCCGGGACGACGGGCACCGTAGCCAATTTGGTCGCATTGTACACAAACAAGTTTCCCGTCAGCGTTTCGTTGAGCCGCTTGGCCTCGTCCGGCGCCAGCGTCGCGGTCTTGGGCCAGATGTCCTCGCTCTGCTTGTCTTCGAAGGGCCGCGAAATATGCAAGAAAAAAAATGTGTAAGTGTAAATCTGTGATGCAGAAAATGCAAAACAGTTACACTTGTCATGCTGGAAGTGCGTCAGAGGCTACTATCATACGTGTTTCCCTTTCCACTTACTAGCTGCGCATGACAGGTTTTCCCTCTATATGCAAAACAAATTTGTGATGCTGCTCTTCCTACAAAGTTACACTTACACAGTTTTTTTCCTGGATACGAAAAGTACGCGTTGCACTTGAGCGTGACCGCGTCGAGTATCAGCTGCAAATATGTCTGGGTCCTCTGGAAGGATGCGAACTTATCATGCACGTTTTGCATGAGCCATGAGGTCTCTGGTGTAGGCTCTAGCATCACAGATTTTTTGATGACTTCTTGATGCCTATCCCGCATTACAGATGCTTTCTTCGCGTAGCAAGAGTTGGACTCCTTATTCTGCTGCTCATGCAATACAGATTTTTTCTCGAATCCAAACACAGCATCACAAGTTGCAGTCTTCCAGACCACCCAGAGGACATATTTGCAGTTGATATCGAGCTCGGCGATGCTGGGGTCGCCCTGACGGATGGAGAGAATCTGCGACTCGAGGTACACGGTGTTGCGCCGTTCAAAATCGTTCTTCGCTTTCAGCGTGCCCAGCTTTTCGACCACAAATTCGACAAACGTCTCGTTCAAAGCGTCTCGGAAGGGTTCCCCCTGTATGGGAGTGTCAGGATTGAAATCGTCAAAGTTGAAATAGTTTGTCATGCAGAAAATGCAACGCAAAGATTGCCTCTATTGCAGAGGACGCAAGGGAGGCAGATTGTAGCGCTGGTAAGGGTCGCGAATTGGGCTGCAGACTAGCATCACAGAGGGGAGCCCCTTTGCCCTGAACAGCATGACAAACTCGCTTTCGGTATGGACAAAATTTGTCATGCACCGACTAGAAACTGCGGGCCCAACTGGTATCCATTTTATGCATCACAACCTATTTCAACTTTGACGATTTCAATGTCAATCCTGACGCTTCCATACCCTGCTCAAAAGCCTTGTAGGGGTCCGGCACGAGATTTGCATCGAATTCCAGCTTGAACAAAAAGCTGCGGGCGAACGTTATAACCTGCTCAGATGTTTTTACAATCTCAATTGTTGCAATAGACTAAGGAAATCTGTCATGCAAGAGGCGCACTATCTAGCCAGCTCTCGTAGGATTGCGCATGACAAGTCCCGGAGTCCCAAACCGCACTACAATCTGGCAAGATTTGTATTGCAGAAAGCGGAATGCTGTCCGAGTCTGTCATGCTCGTCATGCAATACAAAATCCAGACTCTATTGTAACGTTTGAGATTCTTGTCACGTTTGAGCAGGTCATAAATGTCACCCGCGCGGTCGTGGTGGTGGTGTAGGTGGACACCTGGTCCTATCATTTGCAAAAGCGTCCCCATGCAAATCTGCATGCCAAGAAAGTTTGTCATGCGGAGCCAGATCAGAAGCGTTTTCGAGTAGTGTTTTGGAATTTGTGATGGTATAATCAGCATTGCATGCTAGATCTGTGACGCTGCTGACCTACCTAAAACAGGGCTGCACTACGAGGGCAAGCTTGTCACGCGAAACAACCAAAGCTGGTCGATTTGTCTAGCAGATTTCCCATCTTGACTCTGGTGCGGGGACGTTTTTACTCGGGATAGGTCCGAGCCCTTGGGCATCGGGTCGTACACGCAGTCCAGCACCTCTTCGATCGCGGTCACCCCTAGGTTCTTCAGCAATTTTTGCATGATATCCACCAGCAATTCCTCGTTGGCCGGTTGCAAAGGCGCGCAGCATGGCCATGCTTGGGCCACCGGCATGAAGTAGGGCGGCGGCACGTCGAGCTCGACCTTCACCGAAACGGTGACCACGTCGCTGCCCGCGGTGGCTTATGAAAGTACACAACTAACTCCCCCTGTACATCATTTGTCATGCAAAACAGCAGCTCCAAGTGCCTCCCTGCGGCACTGTTTGCATGACAGATTCCGGAAGCTGCCCAAACAGTATATCCACGTAGGCGTATGACTTTGTCATGCACTGGCTCCATGTGATGTGCTTGTGTTTGTATTGCTGTTCATGCTATACAAATGAGGGGGAGGCAAAGTGAAAGTCAAAGTTGTGCACTGTCATATGGCTTCCTCCAGGTCCAGCACGAGGCTGTGGATGGCCAGCTCCTGGTCGCACTGAATCGTGCGGGAGGACACACCCAACTCTTCGAGGTAAAGCAGTGCGGTCTGGTTCATCATGTTTTGGAACGCAGGATCCTGAATCACGTCCTTTTGCACATCCGCGCCCTGCGGCACCCGCACGTCCACGTTCCATTTTCGCTTCAGAATCGGCGGGGGAGTCGTCGTCGATGTGGTCTGAGAAATTTTGATTGAAGTACAATTGATCTTGTTATGTCGTCTGTAGTCGACGTTTTCATCGATTTGTTTATGACAAGATGAACAACAAACAAACCCATCGAACATCTATGTAAAACAGAAGGAAAGAACTACACCTGTCAAATAAAACCATGAAACAAGATGGAAAGACAAAGCCACGACCTGGACCTCGCGTTCGCACAAAAGAAAAGTGCTTAGGTAGAAAGGAAGATTAGAAAGTCACAAGTGCTGCGAGACAAAAGATCTGCAATCTTCTATATATTCTGGAGAGAGTTCGACACTGTCGATTTCGTAGCTGATTAGTGAAAAAAAATGTTTTGAAGTTCTAAATCGTTTTAGTTTATTTGACTCTGACAAACAAAAGTTAAAGTACAGCATCTACAACAGCGGCTCTGTGTTAGAAGAAGATGATTTGTAATTCTACTTATCCTACTAGGCAAGAACGAAGCGACTTGCGAAGCTAAGGCTGCAAGAGACAGCGACACACTAAGGGGGCCAAGCTATCACTTCAGAACGAACGGCTACGCTGATACGACAGAAAGTTATGATCACACTGGAGACGACGTTGAGACCTTTTCTTGACCACCAAGCATACTAAGACCAAGATCTTCATGATCATCTTTTCTCGATTCCATCAACAATCACGGCAACAAGAAACGGTGTGCAGTGGCCGACCTTCATCTCGATGTATTTTTTTCTAGAAACAGATAGTCGACACCCTTTTTTCACAACCCGAGTTCCTCTTTTATCATTTCCACCAGATATCCAAGCCACAGCTTCCACTGCCATAGACAACCTCTACACGACGACGCCAGGATCTTCTTCGACTGCGTCTGCTTGGTTCTCGTCTTTGCTTTCCTTTTTTACTTCGTTGATCGTTTAGATGATGACTCGCGCCGGTGGCGGGGGTCTTCGCTGCAGCTGTCAGATGTGGTCGCGACTTTTGCCAAGTGTATTTGTAGAAGTGCACCGAAGTGGAATATTAACTCGCAAAGGGAGGAAATTCCGCCCCTGCCCCGCAGACTACGTCGATGCAATTTTTTTGGGCGGTCTCTGTGTCAGCTGTCTGCGGAAAAACTTCGCGCAGCTCTTGCACCAAGCAAACGCATGCAGAGGCCCTGCAGTTCGCGCGCTTTCGCTTTCTCTTCACACACCCACCTTTCGGGTTTTTAAAAACATCGATCATAAGCCACCCCGTGGCTCGCAGCTCGTTGATCAGCAGCTTTTCACCGCCCCCCCTACCAGCACCAATCCTAGCCCCGACTTCGCGGCGGCTTGTGGCAGCTTTTGCGACGGCGCAATTTCCTCGATTTTTACACATTGGTCGTAGAGTGAAGACGTCAAAAATTGGTGCAGCCGACAACATCAAAGACAGAGACTTTGCAGATGGATCTGAGAATGAAAGACACGACCAACCACACACACTGTTTCTTATTGGTAATTGTTGATGAACATCGAATCGAGATGAGCAATTCACCTTGTCCCAAACGGACGACTGGTGGCACAAAAAGTGGTTTTGCCATCATCTCCAGTGCTGTGTCATTCCTTTCTGCTCACCAGTGGTATCATCATACGTGGCCGTCGAAAGTCGTGAAGACCTACAGCTAGTTGTACAACAGGTGCTGTTCATACGTCATCCTCAAAATGTCCAAGGCAGAATTTACAGAAAAAGTATGGACAAAATTCATCATTCCGAGCCAACTGGAACCAGTGCCGCGGCTGCCTGCTGTCGTGGCTGTGCAAGAGGATTACCAGTGGTCGTGCGGATGAACCAGAAGGAAAAATACAGTGAAAATAGAATATTCGAAGTCGTGCGAAACGGTTTAATACGTACATCAACATCACGAACAAGGGCCGAAGTAGCACTAGTAAGTTTGATGAAATCAAGGGAAAGAGGGTCACCCAAAGGTATGTACACAACATACAGTTGAGATGCTTTCCCTGCAGCTATTGCTGATCATAAACTAGTAGTCATCAACTTGACTGCGAAAAAAAAACAACGCAGAGTTTTATCGTGACGCTACTTCTATCTCTACGGAGCGATGACTGTGCAAAAAAAATACGTACACTTTTTATCTTTAAGGTGATCATATCAAACGTAAAAATCAGGATTACTAGGTAAAAGCATTTTATTGGTTGCGTTTAGCAGGGAAGCGCTTACGTCAAGCAGATTTGTTTTCTTGGGGTTTTGTTTTGAAAAGTGCAGACGATGGAAATCTAAATAATTCCTTGAAAAGCTATTATTTCTGGTATGCAAAATTTTGAGGCTCGAAGCCACAATGCGGCTCCGATTCGTAGCAGGTGTCCCTTAAGTGCAATTCAGAAGGAACTCGAGCTACATTCTCCCTCACCGTTTAGCTTTGGTATTTAATATCAGGATGAGTTTTCTTTGCTTTTTACGGACAATATTTGTAAATCGATATACTAGGTGACATCAAGTTATACCTTGCAGTCTCAGATCGAAACATAGTGTTTTTTGAAAAAAATGCAATTAAAAAATAGACGAAACTTTTGAAATTACATCTGCAAATAAATCTACGAAATCGGAGTAATTATCTTGGCGCACAAGGTGTCGTTCCTTGTGAAGATCATTCGTGATGATCACAGTTTCGCTTTATCTTCTTGGAAAAATGCAGTATACAACACTTCTTCATGATACATCTATCCTCACAGTTATCATCTTTCTACGTATTTCTATTTCATCCTCTCACTGTTGTACGTAAGTACAATACTGAATGGCAAAACAACACAAGTGGAGCGCGCCCCGTGGTCATAGCCGCCAAGCTTTACGAACGGGAAAAGGCCATCTGGCCAACACGAGAAAACACAGAGATAAAACACACGACGGGCCGAAAAACCGTAGCCCCATACTACACGAGAACCTAAAACCAGTGAAGCGAGACCCATACTACACGGCCCGGAAGAGAGCGAGCCAGCACCGAGTTGGCAGCACCAGAAGACAGAGCGCCCCTCTACCGTCCACGCAACACAATTACCGAGGAGAAGGGGAGGTCGGAAACCATCCCTAGATCCCATCCCCAGCCCAACCCCAGCCGATTGCATGAGGCACTCTAACTCTGAATCCAATAAACCAAAGTCCCATCGTGTGAAACCGGACGCCAAGCTATGCGCTGGCGCCTGCGCAAAGTGCTCCAGCTTCCCCTGCCTCGAACTAGGCACGTACGTTATTCCCTGCAAGGCCTGTTCCGGGCGATATCCTGAGAAAAGGAGAGAAGACTGCCGCTGCACCAAGCCGGCCGAAACGAGAAAGCCTTGCCCGAAAACCAAAACCTGGGCCCCCTCCGTGGAATCCCGTGTGTGCTGAGTTTCTCCACTGCCAGCAGCGGCGCAAGCATTTCCATCAGCGCCAGCCCCACAAAAGCTCTGGACCTCCGGCCCAAATAGACCCCGGACTTACACTCCTAAAACCTCCCGGTCCGGCCGCAGTCTTACTGATCTCAAAGAGCCAAATCCTAGTTCCAAGCCATACAATACTGGCTGCAAAGTGCCTTTCCTCAGCCATAAAGTGCCCCAATTCAACCGTAAAGCCCTAGCGCCCTGACACAGAGGGCGACTCCCCCGGTCATCCGGTCGATGCCTCGAGCATGTCCACGAACTAAAATGCCGCGCCTGTGCCATAAAGTGCCTGTGCTAAACACTACCCCTGCCACAGCAACATGCCTGCTTCCTACATACATTGCTTTGCGAGCCCGATCCTATGCCGATGCCAATCCGTGTGGCCCCACACCACGCCAAAGACCAAACTCTCACCAGCCAAGCCTTCAGAGCCAATCGTGTCAGAAATAGGCACGAAAACACGTATGCCGCTGAGTGTGGGCCAAGGCCACTCCTAGCTTTCCTGCGAACTCCTCGTCTTACCCATCTGTAGATCCGCAGCCACGGGATGAGAGCTACAGTATCCTCCTAACCAGCACCCACAGTGCTTCCGACTCCGACCTAGTGAGGGCGAGCGGGTAATAAACCTTGTTCCTTGATGATGCCTCGTAGCCATACTGCGCGCTACGCGCGCGGGCACTACCATACCCCCCTGCTCCTGGATCTATGTCCATCCTGCTAGCTGTGCCCTAGTAGATAACAATGCCGGCGTCACTGTGCGCACAAGCCACGCCCGAGGCCCTGGGCCCTCCTGATGCCCTGCTCCACGAAACGGAGCCGCCTAGCCTTTTCAGAGGAGAATTTGAGCGATCCCGACCCCCAGTCACCTCACCAGGACCAGGTCCAGTCGTCGCGCCGTCAACTATGGCCATTGCCGTGCCAATCCTACATCGGCCCCCAGTCAACCTAGACTGAGTCCAGCCAATCAAAAGAAAAACCATGGCACGACCCCCGCCTCGATTGCGGGTCCAGTCGTGCCGCCTTGCATTAGCTTTCCAGGGATCTGCTAGCCCTTTATATAGTAGTCTCGTCCTTTCCGTCACTTACTCGAAAATGATGCACCGAGGTGCATCCGTAGTTATCATCTTTCTACGTATTTCTATTTCATCCTCTCACTGTTGTACGTAAGTACAATATCCTGAACCCTAAGACCCTCAAAACCCTATCGACGCTGGAACCGGGCAGGGGCGGAAACAGGACGTAGAATCGTAGGGAAGAAGATGTGGCGGAGGGGCGTAGGACGGCCTGATCAGAGAAAGCGCGCAAAACGCATGTTCTGAACCTAAAAATACTATGTGAACATACCCAAACCGGAAAGGATAAGATAACACCGAAAGGTGTCGCGCCCCAATCCCAAAAAATACTGCTTGGTGCCAGTAGGGCCCGGGGAAAACAAAAGGCAAGCAAGAGGAAGGCAAGGTAAAATCTACTTTCAAAAAGCGCTAGTAAGCCTTGTGCTCTGATCCGTCCGGGCGTGCACTCCCATCTGGTTCTAAAGCTTCAGCAGTGCTGAGAGCGCTCCGACCCTAAACCTCAAGGCAAAAGCCAAGAGATCTACGTACGTATGCGCACGAGCAAGGCAGGAATATTGCCTGATGTGGGCGAAAATTCCTAACTAAAAACAAAAACGACACTCGACACTCGTACCGGAGGTACACCTCAACGGAATCGATACGAGCAACAAATCGAAGGCGAAACGAGAAGCGAAGCGAAATCGAGAATAGAATCTAAGGCGAGAATCGAGAGATAGAATTCGAGGATCGAGATATCGGTGACCCGCTCGTAATGGTCGAAAAACACGAACAGTCATTCGAAACCGAGGAGACGAAACGATCATGGTCTCTCACTTCTCAGAGGACGAAGCGAGAGTGAGAAACTCATCATGTCAAGATGTTTTAGTTTTACATCCAGATGCATTCGTTGATTTTTGATGAGGAAAAAGTCAAGCAGGTCAAAGGTTTATTTCAACAAGTCAAGAATAAAATATATTTTTTTTGTATTGTGATCAGCCCAGAAATCATATCTAAGCACAGTGTCATGCCAGTATTGTCGGAGGAAGGAAAAAAGCATGGTGCTAAGTGGAACAGAGCTCGCATAATACAAAAGGCACATACCAAGAACATACCAAGAACATATACAATATACAAGTTGTTCACGTAGCAGAGCATGACACATGACAGAAATGCAAACACCGACAAAACTGAAATGACACTGGCTAGTATGTGTAAATTATAAATGTAGGTGGTATAATATATATGTACATAAAAAGTAAAAATAGTAAAAGTATGTCTTTTTATGTCATCATGTTAATTTTAAAAAAGCAAGAGGCTTAGTGTTTGAATTTCTAGTAGTGGTTTTGGAACTCAGAAGGGGTATTGCATACTGAATTTTCACTGTTGTCCCTGAATTTCATCCTCTCACTGTTGTACGTAAGTACAATACTGAATGCAAGACTACCGCAACTGCAAGAGACTCGGGGACTGCGGGCAGTTGGAGTCAATGCCAGCCAGGTTAAAAAAGACGCAATTAGCACGTTGCAGCACAGATATTACCGTGACAGTGGTGGTGGTCGTGGTGGTGCTCGTGGTGGTCGTCGTCGTGGTTTCGCCCCCAAGGAAGTAGCTCACGTCGGTGTGGACGCCCGTCGCCCACAGGTTCGCTTCGAGAAGTTTCGTCAGGAAGACCCGGTCGTCCGGGGTGGCCAGCCCCGTGTCGGGCCAGGTCAGGTTGCCGGCCACGGGGTCGGGCAAGTAGGCCTCCACCGTACCCTCGACCACACTCGCTTCCATACCGGCGGCCTTTGAGACCAGGAGCAGCAAAAGTTCGCCACTCTGCCCCGTCTGCGTCTGCGCCGTGGCCTATCAAATGCAAAAGTGTCTGGGTCTGGAAGATTCTGAGATTTGGTTGGTTGGTTGGTTGGATAGCGCCTGTCGCCGGTGCAGGTCCCGCCCTCCATCGATTGCGATCCGGAGTAGCCGGAACACAAGGCCCTAGTGGCGCAATCGATCGACGAAGCCTTTTATAACCAGGCCACGGCCATCCGGCTGCCCTGGAGTCATTCGCGGGCCAGGCAACGTCTAGGAGCTACGGATTAGGGATCTTTGTCACGCACGGTTTTGTCACGCACGGTTTGCATGAGCAATGATGTCTGTGATGCATGTCCTAGCATCACAGGTTTTTTGAGGGATTCTTGATGCCTATTTCGCATGACAAATGCCCTCTCCGCGTAGCAAAAACTAGATTCCTTTTGCTGCTCATGCAACACAAATTTTTTAGACATTCAAATGCAGCATCACAAGTTGCATTCTTCCAGACCTAGAAATTTTTGCATTTGATATGGCCGTGAAGTTCACGATGCGGGACGCGTCGATCTCGGTACCCGTACCGGCGGACTATGAAGTGAAAAAGTATCGTACTCGTAGTAATCGCAATCATGCATTACAAATCTCCATCCCAAGGTAAAGCAGCATGACGTATTCCATTTGTCATGCTGAGCTAATTTGTATTGCAAGTACTACTACTAGTACGATACTTTTGCAGTTCATACGGACAGGAAGGCGGCAATGGCCTCCTTGAAAATGGTATGCACTGCAAAAACACCACACTCGTAGAAATTGCAGACAGTCGTGCAGCATAAAAATCTCTTTCCAAACGCAAACCTAAAACAGCATATACAATTTCCACTTATAAATAATTAATGCCGATGAACAATAAATTTGTGATGCCAACATTCAAACTAGTGCGCTGCTTTTGCAATGCATATCCATCGATAAAGGGCTGGGAGCTGACCACGTCCTGGGCGGAGTCCGTGCTGGGGAGGTCCATGCCCATGGCGTATCGTACGGAAAAATCCCCCCTCCCCATATCGAAAAGGGGCCACGCCTTGCGATGCTGATTTGTGACCACAAATCGCGTCTGCCTTGCAAGAAAGCAACGGCATGGGCTCCGCCCCATTATGCACACGGTTTCTAATGCTGTTGGTCCTGCAGCATAGGCGTTGGCGTTCCCCTTGCTAAGTGCCTAGGCCAAAACCTCTGCACACTGGCATGATATCGGCCTGCAGTCCCCTACTGCAAGACAAATCTGATTTGTGCACGCAAATCTAGCATCAGAAATTTAAATTTCGTCTTGGTATGGGGTGGGGGCTTTTTTCACTTTGATATGGCGAACTCACGGATGAAATTCGGCGGCCCGAAGGTCGTCGTAGTGGTGGTCGTGGTGGTGGTGGTGGTTCGCGCGAGATGGGGCACGTAGCTGATGCCCACCGGCTCGACCGTGACTAGCATGAGGCCGTCGATCGGATCGCAGGCGTCCACTACTTCCTGCTGCACCGCTGGGGAGTGCAGCGATGCCTCTAGGGAGTTCATGTACTCTGTGGGCACGGTGAGAATCACCTCGACCCTGGTAATGTTCGTCGTTGTGAAGAACCCTTCCTTGGACGTCGCTTCGCGGCCCTGCCGGTGCTTCTTCTCTCTGCGCTCGTTATACCGCTGCTCCTGCCGCTTGCGCTCTGCGACCGTCTCCTCGGTGCGCCAGGACTTGTAGCGGCGCTTCACCCGACGCTCGGACGCCGCAGCACCGGTCTGCATCAACGTGACGCCTTCGTCACTGTACAAATTGACTGCGGAGGATGAAGATGACGCTGCAAAAATTGAACTCGTCGTTGCACTGTCGGCCGACAGCACGTGCGACTTGCGCTTCGAATCTTTTTTGTTGCTATCTCTACTAGTGGTTTTCCCTCGATGTTGTAGTTGCGACGATGTCGGTAGCTGCGTCTGGAGCAGCGTGGTTTGGTTGTTTCCACCTCCGGTCTATCAACTGCAAATATGTCTGGGTCTGGAATCTGATGCAAAGTTTGTCATGCTCGGCTAGCATGACGATGACTCTCAAGTTTGTCGGAAAAGCTCCATTCTTCTGTCATGTTGCAGACGCCCAGTTGTTTATCGTCATGCTGAATACATAACACGGTAGCACTTCCGAAACTTGTCATGCCTTGCAGCCAATTGAGCCGGGCGCGTCTTTTTCCAACCAGCAACACAAGTTTCCAGACTCAGACTGCATATTTGCAGTGCATACGGTCGCGTTGTTCCAGCGCACTTGCGTCTTGTCGATCCCGGCAATGGAGAGCGCCAGGGCGGAAGCGAGCTCCGCCAGCAGTCCGGTGCCGTTCATCATGATGTCTTCTTTGGTCTTCAGGTTCGGAGGCACTTATGAACTGCAAAAGTATTGCACTCGTATAAACGCATTACAAGTTTTCTCAGCATGATAAATAAAATTTGTAGAATTTGTAATGCTGATCTACCTCAAGAAAAAGATTTGTAAACGCATTATTGCAATACGAGTACGATGCTTTTGCAGTGCATAGCACTAGCGCGCTGCTGATGTCCACGCCGATCTCGATGGTCACGTCGGCCTGTCCCAACGCGATGCTCTGCTTTACGGCCTCTTCTTGCTCTATGGAAGTGTCAGAAGCGAAATGGACAAAATCGAAACGGTTTGTGATCATGCACAAAATCGATACAACCAGTTGAAGCCTCAGCTTCCAAGTGGCGCATGACAAATTTCGGGAGCTGCACCGAAATCCAGCGCGTCATGTTGTTTGGGAAAAGAAGACTGCTCCTCTCATACAGCTACTCCGGTAGCACATTTTTGCATAGCCCCAAACAGGTTTGCAATCGGTCTCACTTGCCTGCTCGACCAACACAGGCCTTGCGTGCCCTAGAATTTAGGCATCGCAAGTTTTTCGATTTTGTCGATTTCGATCCTGACACTGCCATATGCTCCTTCTTCTTCTTCGCGGTTTCCTCTTTGACCGCTTGCTCCGCCACAACCGCGATGTCGTTCTATCATCTGCAAAAGTACGATCGGACCCGTAGTAAAATGAAATTGCAGTCACGCATAGCAAATCCAACTTTCTACCTGAAATAGCATTACAAAATACTTTTCTATTCCTGCTGACAATAAACTTTGTATTGCTATTGCAACTCCAATCCATACGCATTAGCACGAAGATACTTTTGCAATGCATACGTTTTGCTTCATCGCAAGTTCTTCCGTCATTTTTGCGAAGTTCTGGTTAGCGAGCTTGGTCGCCTCCTCCGTTTGCGCCGTTTTGTTCACGTTTTTGTTGATGAGCTCCTGCTGCTTCTTGACGAAGGCCTCGTATCCTATGTAAAAACGTCCCCACCCCATAGTCGTAATGCAAATCTGCATGCTGAAAATGTTTCTCATGCGGAGCCCCATGACAGCCATTTTCCAACTCTATCTGGTGCTTTGTCATGCTGGAATCAGGATAAGGTAGCCAATTTGTCATGCGGCTGCACTAGCTAAACAGGACTACACTACGAACCCAAACTTGTCATGCTCGACAGCCAAAACTTGTGGATTTGTGTTGCAGATTTGACAACTTGACTATGGGGTGGGGACGTTTTTACTCAGGATACCTCGTGCGTGTCCTTCAGAATTTCTTCGGCCTCCTTGGTGGCGTTTTGGTCTTTGGCCGTCAGCTATGCATTGCAAATATGTCTGGGTTTCTTGGAAATTTGTGATGCAAGGAAGGGAATATTAAGCACACTGTACTAATGCGCTCCCCAGCATGACAAGTTTTTCCGTGGTTCAGAGTTGCGTACTCCGCATGAGAAACTGCGTTTTTGTATGACAGACAAGGGGGCCTCTTCGTTGGCACGCAAGACAGAGTTTAGAGTTATACCAGACTAGCATGACAAATCTCGCATTCTCCCAGACCCAGACATATTTGCGGTTCATATCAGCTCCGCCCGCCGCTTCAGCCATTCGTCCTTTTTGTTGGTCGCTTCAATGTTTTTCGCCTCAAAGTCCGCCACAGCCTGCTCCTTGATCAGTTGCGACGCCTTGGCCTGCTGCTCCGCCACCTGTGCGGCCTTCACCGTGCTGTCGTACAGAATTCCCGCTGCGGTTTTGTCCTGCTGCTCAGATTCGTGCTGTGCCTGCAAGACGTCTTTCGACGTGGTCTCAGAGTCCTTTCGCGCGGCCTCCGCGTCCGCAGACTTGTTCTTGGCCTCCCAATATGCATTGCAAAAGTATCGCACTCGTAGTAATTGCAGTTATGCATTACAAATCTTTTTTGTAAGGTCAATCAGCATTACAAATTCCATTTCTCATGCGGAGAAAATTTGTAATCGCAATTCATACTAGTACGATACTTTTGCACAGGATACCCAAATCAGCTCCTGCAGAGCGGCAGAGTTGTTGCCCTGCTTCCACGTCTTTTCCAAAGTCTCGGCGGTGGCGGCGGCCGCCAGCTGCGCCTTCTCCTTGGCATCGTGGTCGCGCTTGGCGTCGACCTCTTCATCCATCTTGGCCTATGCAGTTGCAACGATGTAAACTATCAATCTGGGTGGTGCGGAAAAATGATCGTAACTTGTGTTGCTCCTTGGGGATATTAGTAAGTACAAAAATCATTTGTGTTCCATGAGCGCCAACGCATAGTCAGAAGTCCCCAGCAGCACGACCACACCTTCTCGCTGTGCAAGCAGCGGATTTCGATTTCTCACACGGGACAGGCATTGCGAAGATCATGAAGCCTTCGCAGGGCCTGTATGGAATGTGTAGATACTATATTTTACAACCCGCAAAGTAGTAGACCACTTCGACTTCTGTGGTTCAAAAGACGTCGCATGAGATCAAGAACCGAACGCAGTCTACTTCCAACGGATTCACCCAGATCGATAAAAAAAAAATTTGCATTTGATATGGCCCGCTGCTCGGCGATGATCTTCCGCCGGGCGATTTCCGCTTCCTCGTACTTCTTCTCCATCTCTGCCTTGTTGGCGCGCCGCAGCTCCTCCTGATCTTTCGCGGACACTTCTTGCTCTTTCATCTTCGTGTCGGCCTATCCTGAGTAAAAATGTCCCTACACCAGAGTCAAGATGGGGATTTTGCAACAGAAACCTTAAAGTTTTGGTAGCGACGCATGACAAGTTGCAGGCTGTAGTATAGTGCAGTTTAGCAAGGGAAGCCGCATAACAAAGCGATCTTCTTATCCTGTTTACAGCATTACAAGTTTCAAAACACGATTGATAATGCCCCTCATGGGATCGCGCATTACAAATGCTCTTGTGCTTGCAGATCTGCATGACAACTCTGGGGTGGGGACGTTTTTACTCAGGATACGGCCTCCGCTTGCTTCAGCTTCATGTTTTCTTCCGCCTTCTGGGTCATGTTGCGCGCCTGATCCACCACCATGGCCTGCTGCTCGAGACTCTGCTTCTCGTGCTCTTCGTGCATTTTCGTCAGGGCCATCTTCCCCGCCGCCTCGTTGTACTTGCGTTCGCTCTCCTATGGAGGTGTCAGGATCGAAATCGTCAAAGGTGAAATAGTTTATCATGCATGAAATGCAACGAAGAAAGTGCCTCTATTGCAGAGGACGTAAGGGAGCCAGATTGTAGTGCTGGTAAGGGTCGAGAATTGGGCTGCTGATCAGCATCACAGAGGGAAGCCCCTTTGCCCTAACCAGCATGACAAACTGGCCTCCGGTACGACCAAAATTTGTCATGCACCGACTAGAAACTGTGGGCCCAATTGGTATCGGTTTTATGCATGACAAATCATTTCAACTTTGTCAATTTCAATTCTGACAGCTCCATATCTCCTTCTCCTGGTCCTCCCAGTCCTTCTCTGCTTGCTGATATTCCTATCCCACAGAAAAAGACCGACAGGTCATATTTGTAATGCAAAAATAAATACACAGGAAAATCTGTCATGGGCGAGGCCATAACATCCTGTTTAGGGCATGCAATACAGATTTTTTTGTCTATTTATTTTTGCATTACAAATATGACCTGTCGGTCTTTTTCTGGGGGATAATTCCGTGACAACCTGAAACATGAAAAAGTCCCTTTACGCTTTACGTATCTATAAAAAAAATTATTTATATTTTGATCAATTACAACACGAATCCTGAGCATCTTCGAGCGGGTCGTGCCAAATTGGTACAAAAAGAGCAACGTCGTTGCTGCTCTTCCGGGTGAAAGAAAAAGAGCACCCATCTACAACACGACCACTCCGAGACTACAGAGACTTCTCGAATTTTAAACACGACGCTAGGACAAGACAGAATTTCAATTTAATCCAAACGGTCAGCCGTAAAAAACATTCCAGCGTGGTCTGTCATGATAAACTTAAGTAAGTAGTAGAAACAAGAGACTCAGACAGCTATGCATATAAAAGAACTGCTGTTTTTTACCGCAAGTGCGGCCTTTTCGCGCAGCGTGGCCCGTTCAGCCGACTCCTTCGCGGACTTTTCGTATCAAATGCAAAAATGTCCGGGTCTGGAAGATTCCGAGACTTCTGATGCAGTTTCTCTAAGCTCCACTAAGTCTGGAATGCAGGACCTAGCATCAGAGGATCTGCAGTCCCTCTGTGATGCCTGTTCTGCATGAGAAATGCCCCCTCAGCATGGCCAGAACTGGCCACCTTTTGCAAGTCACGCAACACAGATTTTTGTTTGATGCGGAACATGCATCACAAGTTCCAATCTTCCAGACCCAGACATTTTTGCAATTCATATTTCGGCTGCGGCGACCAAATCCTTTTCGTTCATTTCGTGGTCCCGCTTCGACCGTTCCTCCTCTGTCTTCGCGTCCTGCTGCTTGTCGTTCGCCTGCTGCTTGTATCCCATTGCACAACTGCTCTCCTTCCCCTCATTATGATTTGGAGGGCATTTGAATTTGTTCCAGCAATACAAACCACCTGGAACAACATGTAGTACTTCTTCTTGTTTATTTGCATGACAAATTTACGCTTACACAACTCTAGTGGCGATTGGGCTTTCGTAACTTGCCATGCAGACACACCAGATAGGATTGTGCGGATTTTCAATTTGCATGACAAATGAGGCGGAAGAAGGGAAGTTGTGCACTCGGATAGCTTGGCGCGGAACTCGGTCTTCTGGAGTTTTTCGTTACTCTCGGCCAGCACCTTATGGAAGCGTTAGGATTGAAATCGTCAAAGTTGCAATAGTTTGTGATGCATAAAGTGCATGACCCGAGGTACGTGTGTTGCAGAGCAGGCAAGTGAGGCCGATTGTAAGTAGCCTGTTTGGGGTTAGAGCTCGAGCAGCTAAAGGAGCATGAGAAAATCGGTCTTCTTTGCCCAAACAGCATGACAAACTGGATTTGGGGACCACCAAAATTTGGAAACTGGGTTCCAACTGGCATCCATTTTTTGCATGACAAATCATTTCAACTTTGTCGATTTCAAACCTGACGCTTCCATACACCTCCTTGTTGGCCTGCTCCTCGGCGGACCGCAGCTATGGCGTTCTCAACTGTTACATTCTCAACTGTTACACGAATTTGTAATGCAAGAAGGGCAAAAGTGAAAGGAGGAAGATTGCGCCTTTTGCATTACAGATTTGGGAAGGATTATAGTGCTATTTAGCCCTCCGCAGATTTGTCATGCGGAGCAGCTTGATCGTGAGGATGATAATGGTGCTTTTGCATGACAAATCCATGTAACAGTTGAGAATGTAACAGTTGAGAACGCCATAGCAGCTCGGCATCCCTTGTGGCGTTGGCCACCTTGTCCGCCCAGGTTTGCGATTTCACGGCGTGTTCCGCGATGTTGGCCTTCGACTGCTTGCGGAATTCTTCCGCGGCGGCACGGGCCTCGGTCTCCTTCTTTTCCTGCTCCAGTTTCGCGGTTTTCCGTTCGGTATCAAATGTAAAAATGTCTGGGTCTGGAAGAATGCAACCTGTGATGCTGCATTTGGATTCCAAAAAAATCTGTATTGCATGAGCAGCAAAGGGAGTGTAATTTTTGCTACGCGGAGAGGGCATTTGTCACGCGAAATAGGCATCGCGAAGCCCTCAAAAAATCTGTGGTGCTAGGGCATGCATCACAGACATCATGGCCCAGGCACAACATGCATGACAAGTCTCAGAATCTTCCAGACCCAGACATTTTTACATTTGATATTCGGACTCGGCCGACGTTTTGTTGTTTGCCTCCGACAGCTGGATTTTGGTGGCGATCTCATTCGCGTTATCGTAAGGAAAAATCCCCCCTCCCCATATCAAAACGGAAAAACTTCTGATGCTTGATTTGTGTACACGAATCAGGTTTGTGTTGCGGAGAGGCCTTCTTGCGGCCAGATCCCCAGGCTAGGTAGGGACGTATGGGTCTGCTAGTTGCGCAGCACGGCAGGCGGCTCACTCTTAGGCCCAACAGCGTGACAAATCGCCTCCATAATGGGGCGGAAGCTTCTGCCCTTGTCTTCTTGTTGCAAGGCGAATGTGATTTGTGACCTCAAATCACCAGCAACACAAATTTATTTCGGAAGCATACCTGCTCGATATGGGGAGGGGGGATTTTTCCTTTTGATACGCGTCCTTGGCGCGCTCGTAGGCCGCGCGGCTCTTGATCTTGGCCTCCTCCTCCGCTTTTCGAAAGACTTCCACGCGCTTCTCGGCGTTTTCCTTAGTGATGCGGGTGGCAATGGTGGCCCCGAACATTTTGGCGGTCGCGTCCGCCGCGCGTTCGCGGTCCAGCTGCATCTTCACCAGGGCGTCCGAGATGTTTTTGTTCGCCGCGGTGCCGGTCTTTTCCTTTTCCTCCTGCGCCTGCAGGTTGGCGTCGATCCAGTCCATGCGCGTTTTGTTCGCCTTGGTCACGGTCTCGGACATCACCCGTTGATAGGTCTCGGTTTTGTTGGCCACGTCCACCTTGGCCGCCTCCTCTTGCAAACGGGCCGCGGTGGCCCGGTCCAGCGCGTTATGAAAGCCTCAGGTTGGAAATCCTCAAAGTGAAAATAATTTGTAATGCAAAAAAACGACTCCACTTGGAGCACCATTTATAGTCGGCGCATGACAAATTTCCCGGGCACTCAAAGCGTGTCTGTCATGCTAGTTAGGCAAAGGGGTGCCCTTCTCCCATGCTAATCAGCAGCCCAATTCTGAACCCGTACAAGCACACTTGTCGGCCTCCATTGCGTTCTCTGCAATACAGTCTTTTTGGTGCCGCATTTCATCATGCATCACAAATTATTTCCACTTGGAGGATTTCCATTCTGAGGGTGTCATACGCGTCGTTCCGCTTTTCCAGGTTCTCCGCCCGCGTCTTGTTGAATTCGGCCATCTGGCTCTGCGATCGCCGCACCACCCGCTTTTCCAGGTTTTCGTCCATGGCCTCGCGCTGCGCCTGCGCCGCCAGCTCCTGCTGCCGCGCGCCGGCGGCCAGCTCCTTCTTCATGCGCTCCTGCTGAAGCTCGTTGATCCGCTCGCCGTTGGCGTCGGCCTTGTCCGCCTCTTCTTCGGTGCGGGTTTTCGATTTCCCAGACTCCTCGGCGTGCAGCTCGGCTTTGCGCTCTGTGCCACTGATTGTCTTGTTCTGGACCTCCTCCGCGCGCGTTCGCGCCTTGGTCATCTCCTCCATCTGCAGCTCGGCCCGCCGCACGGTGTCCTCCAGCGTCTTGTTGCTCACCTCCTCGGCGCGCGTGCGGCGCTTGTTGTCCTGTTCCGTGTTCACCTCGGCCTTGCGCTCGGTGATCGAAAGGGTCTTGTTGTGCTGCTCCTCTAGCAGCGTGCGCCGCTTGCCCATGTCCTCGGCCGCGAGCTCCGCCTTGTTTTGCTTCATCTTCAGGGCCTTACCCAAAACCTCTTCCAGCTTGGTATGGGATTCTCAAACGTCACGCTCTCAGCTGTTACATGATTTGTCATGCAAAACTACCATGAGCCACCAGACAATCAAGCAACCTCGCATGACAAATCCCCGAAGGGCTAAACAGCAGCTAAATCTGTGCCGGATTTGTGATGCATGGGCTGCACGATTGCCCCTTTCACTGTTGCGGTTCTTGCATCACAAATTCATGTAACAGTTGAGAATGTAACGTTTGAGAACGCCGTACTTGGTCTTGTTTTTCCCGGCCTCCTCGGCCTGCAACTCCGCGCGGCGCTCCGCCGCCTATCAAAAGGAAAAGTCCCCCCCTCCCCATATCGAAATGGAGATCTGCGACGCAGGATTTGTGTACACAAATCGGATTTGTCTTGAGGTAGAGGACTGTAGACAAATACAAAGCACGCGAAGGGGTGGCTCCTTGGGGTAGGCACTTAGCACGGCAGACGTCTGAACCTAGTAGCGTATCAGCATTACAAATCGCCTGCGAAATGCAGCGGAAGCTGCCCTGGCTTTGCTCTTTGCAAGACAGACTGGATTTGTGGTCACAAATCAGCATCACAAATTTTGAAAAGCGCGCCTTTTCGATATGGGAAGGGGTGATTTTTCCTCACAATACCGCCAGCACGGACTTCTCCTGGGCTTCTTCGGACCGCGTTTTCATTTTCGCAGACTCCTCCACGCGCAGCTCCGCCTTGCGGGCCATGGCAATGATGGTCTTCTTCTCAACCTCCTCCGCGCGCGTGCGCTCTTTGCCCGCCTCCTCGGTTTGCAGCTCGGCTTCCCGTTCCTGGGCCATGATGGTTTTGTTGCGCGCCTCCTCCACCTGGGTCTTCAGTTTCCCGGCCTCCTCGCTCTGCAGCTCGGCCTTGCGCTCTTCAAACGCGATGTATCAACTGTAAAAATGTCTGGGTCTGGAAGAATGCATGTTTGTCATGCTTGTCTAGCATGACTCTTAAGTCTGTCATGCACGTTGCCCAAGAGCCGCATTTTTCTGTCATACGGAGACGCAATTTGTCATGCAGAATAGGCAACACCTACAAGCTCAGAAGTTTGTCATGCTGAGCCAGCACTTGTGGCCTCCTCATGCTACGCCACTCAGCATCACAAGTTTCCAGACCCAGACATTTTTACATTTGATACGATGGTCTTGTTGGCCATCTCCTCCGCCCGGTATCAAGAAGAAAAATCCCCCCTCCCCATATCAAAACGGAAATCTGTGTTGCTGTATTTCAGTACACAAATCACGTTTGTCTTGCAGTAAAGGACTGCACGCAGATCGTAAGCCTAAGGGGGGGCCTCTTAGTGGAGGGGCCTAGCATGGCAGACGTCTGCCCTATCGGCCTTGCAGCATTACAAATCGCCTGCATACCGTGGCGGAGTCTCTGAGTTTGCCCTCTTGCAAGAGAGACAGGATTTCTGGTCACAAATCAGCATCGCAAATTCTTAGAAACATACCTCTTCAGTATGGGGAGGGAGGATTTTTCCTTTTGATACCCGGGTGGCCTGTTTCTGTGCTTCCTCCGCCGCGAATTCCGCCTCGCGAATTATCAAATGTAAAAGTGTCTGGGTCTGGAAGATTGCCAGGTTTGTCATGCACGTTTTGCATGACTCCTGATGTCTGTGATGCATGCCCTAGCATCACAGATTTTGTGAGGGCTTCCGGATGCCTATACCGCATGACAAATGCTCTTTCCGTGTAGCAAAACCTGGACTCTCTTTGCTGCTCATGCAATACAGATTTTTTTCGAATCCAAAATCAGCATGACAAGTTGGATTCTTCCAGACCCAGACATTTTTACAGTCAATACGAATGGTTTGGAGGCGAATTTTTTCCTCTTCTTCGCCCCCCTTCCATTTCTCCTTTGCCGACTCCTCGACGGCGAGCTCCGCTTTGAATTCGGACGCGGCGATGGTTTTGTTGCGCACCTCCTCGGCCCGCAGCTTTCGTTTGGCAGCTTCCTCCACCAGCGCCTCCGCCTTGGCCTGCCCCGCCGTGATGGTTTTGTTCTGCACCTCCTCGTCTCAACTGTAAAAATGTCTGGGTCTGGAATGTTGCCGGGTTTGTCATGCATATTTTGCATGACCCAGGATGTCTGTCATGCACGACCTAGCATCACAGATTTTTAGAGGGCTTCCTGATGCCTACTCCGCAGGACAAATGCCCTCCCTGAGTAGCACAAACTAGACTTCTCTGGCTGGTCACGCAATACAATTTTTTTAGAATCCAAAGTTAACATCACAAGTTCCAACCTTCCAGACCCAGACATTTTTACATTTGATACCTCGGCCCGCGTCTTGCGCGCCGCGGCCTCGGCCGCCAACACCTCGGCCTTGGCTTCGCCGGCTATAACCCGCTCAGGTGTTACAATCTCAAACGTTACAACAGAGTATGGAAATCTGTGATGCAAGAGTGCATGACCTAGCCAACTCTCATAGGATTGCGCATGACAAGTTCCGGAGCCCCAAACACCATTACAAACTGGCGAAATTTGTATTGCACAAAGTGGAACGCTCTGCGAGTCTGTCATGCTCATCATGCAACACAGGCTCATCAGATTCTATTGTAACGTTTGAGATTGTAACGCTTGAGCAAGTTATACCGGCCTTCACCGCCTTCTGGGCCACCTCCTCCGCCCGCAGCTTGTCCGCCGCAGACTCCTCGGTGCGCACCTCGGCTTTGCGCTGCACGGCCGCCGCCGTTTTGTTCTGCACTTCCTCGGCCCGCAGCTTGCGCTCGGCGGCCACTTCCACCTGCTCCTCCGCCCGCCGCTGTCGGATCGCCTTATGCATTGCAAAAGTATCGCACTCGTCGTATAAATGCACTACAACTTTGTTTTTGTTCCTTAGCATGAGAAATAAAATTTGTAATGCGGATTTTTTGACTTAACAAGAAAATTTGTAAGGGAAAATCTGTAAGGCTAAGGCATGATTGCATCAATACGAGCACGAGACTTTTGCACAGGATACGCCTCGGCCTTCTGCATCTCTTCGTACAACTTCTGCTTCTCCTTCCCGACCTCCTCGGCCGCAATCATGGCCTTGTGCTCGGCCTTCTATCAAGACGAAAAATCCCCCCTCCCCATATCAAATCGGACGTCTGTGATGCAGATTTCTGGCCACAAATCAGCTTTGTCATGCTAGCAGGGAAATAAAGATGCGGACTGTAGTGCTGGGTTGCGAGGGAAAGCCTTGCAACCACATCTTCAGCATGATAGGAGGCAGCTGGAAATGGGAAACAGCACGACAAATGGCCTGGTGAAAACGAGGCCACAGCTGCGCCTCTTTGCCTGCTAGCAATACAGGTCGATTTGATTTCTCCTGTACTCAAATATTACAGCATGACAAATTTTGTTTCCGATATGGGAAGGGGGCTTTTTCTACTTTGATACCTTCGCCTGCGTCTTCTCGTACACTTCCTCGTCGCGCTCCTTTTTCTTCAGCGATTCCTCGCCCTGCACCTCGGCGCGCCGCTCGGCCTTGGCCACCGTTTTGTCTTGCACTTCCGCGTCGCGCTCCGTTTCCTTCAGCGATTCCTCGCCCTGCACCTCGGCGCGCCGCTCGGCCACGGCTATGGGATTCTCAACTGTGTCGTTCTCAGCTGGTCGTGTTACACGAATTTGTAATGCCAGAATCGCAAAAGTCAAAGGGGGCAAGTTGCACCTCTAGCATTACAAATTCCGCACAGATCATGTCGGTGCTGTTTAGCCTGTCGAAAATTTCTCATTCGAAGCAGCTTGCTCGTGTGGATCTTGATGGTAGTTCTGCATGACAAATTCATGTAACAGTTGAGAAGGTAACGTTTGAGAACGCCATAACGGCCGCCGTTTTGTTGGACGTTTCCACGCTGCGCTGCTTGGCCTTTATCCTGTGCAAAAGTATCGTACTCGTATAAATGCAAGTCTTGCATTACAAATTCTTTTTTTTAGGTAAATCAGCATTACAAATTTTATTTCTCATGCTGAGAGAATTTGTCATGCATTTATACGAGTACGATACTTTTGCAGTTCATAGCCTTCTATGGATTGCAAAAATGTCTACTGGGTCTGGAAGATTCGAAACTTGTAATGCTGTGGTCTCTGGATTGAAAAAAAAATTGTATTGCATGACCAGCAAGAGGACTCCAGTTTCTTTGTGCTACGCGGGAAGGAAAGGGCATTTCTCATGCGGTAGAGGCATCACAAAGTCCTCTAAAGATCTGTGATGCTAGAGCATGCATCACAGACATCGTGGATCATTCAAAATATGCATGACAAACCTGGCAATCTTCCAGACCCAGATATTTTTGCAGTTGATACCTTCTGCGCCGCTTCCACCTGCACCTCGGACCGGCGCTGCGCCGTCGCGATCGTCTTGTTTTGCGTCTCCACGTCGCGCTCCTTGGCCTTCTGCGACTCCTCCATCCGCACTTCGCCCTTCCGCATGGCGGTCATCAGCGTTTTGTTCTGCGTTTCCGCGGTATGCACTGCATCAAATATGTTTGAGTCTGGAAACTTGTAAAGCAAGTCAGTCAATGACGAATGCACTGTGAAGATGCGTCGCCAAGCATGACAAGTTTTTTCGTGCTTCTGTTCTGCGTATTCCGGATGAAGAACTGCGTTTTTGCATGACAAGCGAGAGAGCTGCCTGTTTGTGGCCACGCAATACAGAGTTAACGGTCATGCCGGACCAGCATGACAAACCTCGGAATCTTCCAGACCCAGAGATATTTGCATTTGATACGCGTCGCGCTCTTTTGCCTTCTGGGAGCCCTCCATCCGCACCTCTGCCTTCATCATGGCAATCGCAAGGGTATCCAGAAAAAAACACCCATCCCCATCCAATTTGTCATGCAAAACATGCACAAACTCCACTATCTGTCATGCACAAAATGGATGGGGATGGGTGTTTTTTCCTGGATAAAGGGTTTTGTTTTTGATCTCCTCATCGCGGAAGGCGCGCTTGCTGGCGGACTCCGCCTGATATCGAGAGGAAAGATCCCCCCTCCCCATATCGAAAAGGTACGTTTCCAAAAATTTGTCTTGCTGATTTGATACCACAAATCATGCCTGTCTTGCAAGAAGACGACGCCACAGGCTCTGCCGCATCATGCAGGCGGTTTGTGATGCTGTTGGGCCTACAGCATAGACGTTTCTCATGCTAAGCGCCTAGGCCAAAACCTCTCTCCTCAGGCTTGGCAGGAGCCTGAAGTCCTCTACTGCAAGAGAAACCTGATTTGTGCACGCAAATCCAGCATCAGAAACTTCCTTTTGATATGGGGTGGGGGGATTTTTCCTTGTGATACCTGAATCTCGGCCGTCATTTGCATCTTCGACAAAGTTTTGTTCTGCACTATGGAAGTGTCAGAATGGAAATTTTTGACAAAGTCGAAAAATTTGTGATGCACAAAATCGATCCCAGTTGGAGGCCTCAGCTTCCGAGTGGCGCATGACAAATTTCGGGAGCTGCACCCAAGCCCAGTCTGTCATGCTGTTTGGGCAAAAAACACTGCTCCTGTCATGCTACTCTGGCTCTGGCAGCGAATTGTATACCCCTAAACAGGCAGCTTGCAATCGGTTTCATTTGCCTGCTCCCCAATACACGCCTTCAGTGCTGCCCTACATTTTATGCTCTACAAATTTTTCGATTTTGTCGATTTCGATCCTGACACATCGATATGCACTTCCTCTTCCCGCATTTTCCGCTTGCCCGCGTCCTCCATCTGCCGCTATCCTGTGCAAAAATATCGCACTCGTAGTAATTGCAGTCACTCATGCATTCCAAATTTTTTTCTCAAGGTAAATCCGCATGACAAATTTCATTTCTCATGCTGAGGAAATTTGTAAATGCATTTATACGAGTACGATACTTTTGCAATGCATAGCCGCTCGGCCCTCACGATCTTCAGCTGCATCACCTTGGCTTCTTCCTCCTCGAGCTGCTCCTTTTCTTTGGCCGCCTTCTCCAGGTTCAGCTCCGCTTTCCGTTCCTGCGCGAGTCTATGGAACCGTCAGGATCGAAATCGACAAAGTTATGACATGATTTGTCATGCATCAATTGGATGCCAGTTAGAGCCCAGTTTCTAAGTGACGCATCACAAATTTTGGTGGTGCCTAAATCCAGTTTGTAATGCTGTCGAGGCAAAGAAGAGGGATTCTCTCATGCTGCTTTAGCAGCTCGAGCTCAAACCCCAGACAGGCTTACAATCGGCCTCACTTGCCTGCTCTGCAACACACGTATTTCGCGTCATGTATTTCATGCATTACAAGTTATTTCAACTTTGACGGTTTCGATCCTGACGCTTCCATAGAGTCGGGTCTTCTGCTCCACCTCTTCCTCCCGGGATTTCCGCTTGCCGGACTTATCCCGTGCAAAAGTATCGCACTCGTATTGCGATCATGCATTACAAATTTTTTACTGAAAGCAAATCTGCATTACAAATTTTATTTACCATGCTGAGGAAATTTGTAATGCATTTATACGAATACGATACTTTTGCACAGGATAGGACTCCTCCGCCTGCAACTCCGCCTTCCGCTCGGCCTGCAGGTTCACCTTCTGCTGTTCCTCCGTGTTCCGCGCGGCGACTATCGTAAGGAAAAATCCCCCCTCCCCATATCGAAAAGAAAACTTACGATGCGGATTTGTGACCACAAATCAGCTTTGTCTTGCGTACAAGGCAAACGGCACCCATGTGGCGCATTGTATAGCGCAAACAAGGGTGCGTACCCAAATGGGCTCAGAATATGCCGGCAAGCTCTTGCTGCAATACAAACCTCATTTGTATACACAAATCCAGCAACACAAATTGTCTTTTCTATATGGGGTGGGGGCTTTTTTCACTTTGATAGCGACCTTCGTGTCCGTTTCGTTGGCGCGGATCGAGTTCATCAACAGGTCGAACTCGGTGCGCAGCTTTGCGAGGTATCCACAGTAAATTTCCCGCACACGTACAAATGCAGTCTCTGCATGACAAAACTTGCCTTCAATCCCAGTCTAGCATGACAAGTCGGACACTTCAAGTTAGCGAAATTTGTCATGCATTTTGTACATGTACGGGAAATTATTTACATTGCATACGAGGGTCGTGTTTTCCTTGTGCACCTGTTCTTCCTTCGCAAGCGCGTTGGATTCCACCCGCTGGTCGTTTTCCTTTTGCAGCGTATCAAAAGGGAAAATCCCCCCTCCCCATATCGAAAACGAAATTTGTGATGCTGTATTTGAGTACACAAATTGACTTGTAATGCCAGAAGGCCAAGAGACGCAGCTGTGGCCTCGTTTGCAGGCAATTTGTCATGCTGTTTCCCACTTCCAGCTCCCCCTGTCATGCTGATGATGCAAGGCTTTCCCACGCCAACCAGCACTACAGTCCGCATCTTTTCCCTTCTAGCATGACAAAGCTGATTTGTGACCACAAATCTGCATCACAAATTTCTAGTTTGAGTATGGGGTGCGGGGATTTTTCATTTTGATACAGCGTGTCCACCAACTCCAGTTGCAACTCGCGAAGTTTTATCCTGTGCAAAAGTATCGCACTCGTATAAATGCAAGTCCTGCATTACAAATCTTTTTCTTAAGGTAAATCCGCATTACAGATTTTCTTTCTCATGCTGAGGAAATTTGTAATGCATTTATACGAGTACGATACTTTTGCAATGCATAAGTTTCGACGCCTCTTCGATGCGGGTGAGGTTTTTCTGCAGCAGCTCGTTCACGGAGGCCTGCCGCGCCTCGTGAGCGGCGGACTTCAGCTCCACTTCTATCGCTCGGACTTTGATTTTATCAAATGTAAAAATGTCTGGTGTTTTGTCTGGAAATCTGTGTTGTATGATTATCAAAAGTCGTCCAGTTTTGACCAAGTCGGGAGAGAGTTTCTCATGCAGGGTAGGCATGAGAGAGATTGCACAGAGTCTGTCATGCTAGGTCCTGCATTCCAGACCTCATGGGTCATGGAAAAGCAGCATGACAAATCGCGCATTCTTCCAGACTCAGACATTTTTACAGTTGATAGATTTTTTCCTCCGTCTCGTTCTTCCGGATGCCCGCCATCAGGGCGGTGTGCTCGTCGTACAGCTCCTGCGTCGTCTATGGAAGCGTCAGGTTTGAAATCGTCGAAGTTGAAATAATTTGTAATGCATAAAATGCGATACAAAAAGTGACTCTATTGCTGAAGGCGCGAGGGAGGCAGATTCTAGTGCTGGTGAGGGTCAAGAATTGGGCTGCTGACTAGCATGACAGGGAGCAACCACCTTTCCCTAAACAGCATGACAGACTTGCTTCAGAGGCCAGGAAAATTTGTCATGCGCCGATTGGAAACTGTGGGTCCAGCTGGTATAGATTTTATGCATCACAAATTATTTCAACTTTGTTAATTTCAATCCTGACAGTCCCATATCGTCTGCGCCTGCTCACTCAGCTTCTGCGTTCCGGTCTGCTTTATCTCTTTTATTTTTGCCAGGTTCGCGGCCCTTACGCGCTCAAACTCCGCTTCCGCGACCTTGGCAAGGTCCATCAGATCTTCCTCCTGCTGCACTCCGCGGAGGTGCTGCTCCTGGAGCCGGTCCATCACGTCCCGGTGCGCTTCGAAGTTGTCGGCGCTCTGCACCTATGCATTGCAAAGGTATCGTACTAGTATAAATTGCATCACAAATTTGCTCAGCACGAGAAAAGGAATTTGCCATGCTGGTTCGCCTTGGGAACAAGTTTTGTAATGCAAGACTTGCATTTATACGAGCACGATATTACTTTTGCACAGGATAGCACCTTTTGCAGCTGCACCCGCTCCGCCTGCTGGTACTGTGCGATCTCCAGCTCCTTCTTGCCCGCAGACGTATCAAAAGGAAAAATCCCCCCTCCCCATATCGAACTGGAAGTCTGTGATGCGGGATTTGTGTACACACATCGGGTTTGTCTTGCAGTAGAGGACTGCAAACAGATACAAAGCCGGAGTGGGGGCGTTTTGGCCTAGGCGCTTAGCAAGGCAGGCACTCATATCCTCCGGAGTGCATACAGCATTAAAAATTGCCTGCAGAACGCGGCCAGGCTTTTGGATTTGCCTTCTGGCAATACAGAGACGATTTGTGGCCTCAAATCAGCATCACAAATTTTCAGAAATATCCCGTTTTGATAAGGGGAGGGGGGATTTTTCCTCACAATAAGACGCCATCTTTTCCTTCATCATGGCCACGGCCGGTCGGCTCCCCTCCACAGCCTCCACGTTGTCCTGGATATGAACTGCAAAAATATTGTATCGCACTCGTATAAATAAAATGCATTACAAATTTTCTCAGCATGAGAAATAAAATTTGTAATGCAGATTTACCTTAACAAGAAAAATTTGTAATGCAAGACTTGCATCTATACGAGTACGACACTTTTGCACAGGATACTGGACGCCCTTGGTCAATTCCAGGATCTTCGCCCGCTCCACCGCCGCCGCGTCCTATCCCGAGGAAAAACGTCCCCACACCAGAGTTGTCATACTAAAGGAATTGCAGCACACCAGAGTTGTCATGCGAATGCGCAATGACAGGAACATTTCTAATGCGCAGCTCCATGAGAAGCATTTTCAGTCGTGTTTTGGAATTTGTAATGCAGAAAACAGGATGAGGAAATAGCTTTGTCATGCGGCTTCCCTTGCCACCTAGCACTACACTGCAAAGGGAAAGAACTTGTCATGCACAGCTCCCAAAACTTGAAGATTTGTGTTGCTAGATTCCCAACTTGACTATGGGGCGGGGACGTTTTTACTCAGAATACGTCCTGCACCTCCTTCATGCTAGCCGCCTTCTCGTCCACCTCCGCTTCCTATCAAAATGAAAAATCCCCCCTCCCCATATCAAAACGGAAATTTGTCGTGATGCTGATTTGTGACCACAAATCAGCTTTGTATTGCAGAGAGGCACTGCGGCCAGATACCCAGGCTAGGTAGGGGCGTATGGGTCTAGTAGTTCAGCATGGCAAACGGCTTGCCTTTAAGCCCGCCAGCATTACAAATCGCTTCCCTAATGGGGCGAAAGCTTCTGCCCTTGTCGTCTTGCAAGACAGATGTGATTTGTGACCTCAAATCCGCAACACAAATTTTTGGAAACATACCTTTTCAATATAGGGAGGGGGGATTTTTCCTCTCAATACTTCCTTCTTCGCTTCCAGCTGCGCCCGGGCGGTCTGCTTGACCGTTTCCAAACCTTGCAGCTGGGTTTCCGCTTCGGCCACCGCTTCCTTGAGGCCCTTCATGGTTTCGCTGCGCGCGTTATGACAGTGCACAACTCGTGGTCCCCCTCCCCCTCATTTGTATTTTTGCATGAACAGCAACACAAACGCCAGCAATCCTGGAGCCTGTACATGACAAATTCATCGTATAATCTGTTGTATCAAATAAATTTGTCATGCATAATAGTGATACAAGGAAGCAACAGGAGTTGTGGATTTTGCATGAGAAATGAGAACAACGAGGGGGAGTTGTGCACTGTCATACGCGTCCACCAATTGTTGGGCCGCGGTTTTTTGCTCCTCTGTCTGTCTGGCGTAGTCCTGTTTTTTATCAAATGCAAATTATATGTCTGGGTCTGGATGAGTGCAACTTTGTCATGCACGTTTTGCATGAGCCATATTATGTCTGTGATGTGTGCTTTTGCTTTAGCATCACAGATAATTTTTAGCCGGCTTCCTGATCATGCCTATTCCGCATGACTACAAATGCCCTTCCCACTTAGCACAGACTCGGTAAAGATTTTTTTAGAGTCCGAAAGTAGCATCACAAGTTGCAACTTTCGAGACCCAGACATATTTGCAAAAATGCATATTTTTGGTGGACTTCGGCCTCTATGCATTGCAAAAGCATGATCGCACTCGTATAAATGCATCACAAATTTTCTCAGCGTGAGAAATAAAGTTTGTAATGCGGATTTGGCTTAGGAACAAAATTTGTAATGCATGTTTGCAATTACTACGAGTATGATACTTTTGCACAGGATAGCCTCCTGCTGCGCCGTCAACTTCGCTTCCGCGCGGCCCAGCACCTTTTGCATAGCCTCGATCAGAGCTTGTTTCTCTGCTGCGAAGGTGGCGCTTTGGGACTTCAACCCCTCGATCTCGTCTCGCAGGGATTCGATATTCGCGGTGATGGTTGCCGCCTCCTCCTTCATTGACTGCGCGCTCTGGTCGGCCGTTGCCACGGCATCCCGCAGGGCCTTCTTGGCGATCTCCTGTTCTTGCATGTTGTAGTCTTTCACCCCGTAGTACAGCTCGAGTCCACACAGGTACACGGAATCCTGACTGTCCGTGCCGGGCTTGAGGAAGTGGAACACTACCTCGTCCGTAAACCGATAGATGGGAATCCAGGTCCCCCCTTTCTCGAGTCCGGGGTCGGCGCTCACGTCCCCCACCCACTGTTCCACCGTCTTCGGGTCTGCGCTGCCTGGATCCACCCGCTCGTATATCGCCTCCGCTGTCTCCAACACGGTCACTATGGCGCTTGCAACTGTTACGCTCTCAACTGTTACGTGATTTGTAATGCAAAATCAGAATCAGAATCGACGCGATCAAGCTGCTTCGCATGACAAATTCTCGAAGAGCCAAACAGGCTCGGAATCTTTGCCAGACCTGTCACGCAAGACCCGCAAGGTGACCCCTTTCATTTTTGCCATTCTTGCATCACAAATCCGCGCAACAGTTGAGAGTGTAACAGTTGAGAACGCCATAGTCACCTTCTTCACGGTGAGGCCTCCTTTGGCGTTGTCCTTGCACGAGAAAAGGTGCGCACGAGTGACGTACTCAAACGCGTGCAGTTTGATTTTGTAGTACCACTCGCCGTTCGAATCAGCCTTGATTTCTCTGCAAGAGGTCAGCGCCGCGTTCTCATTCCACTCTGTACTAGCCCCCTGGTAGTCGAGCGGCTTGCGGTCCTCAACGGGAATGTCGTACACATTCTTGTCATCCGCCCCGCTCTGCTGCACCTGCAACTCAAGGGGCGCGAACCGGAATTCAATGTTTTGGGCGTAAATTTCAATGCCGCAGAGGCTGATTATCTCTTTGTTGCCACCAAGCCGCAGTTTTTTTGCAGCCCGGTCCACTTTGAAGAGAGCCCCGGTTGACGGAATGGATTCCGGCAGCGTGCCCAGGTCGTCAAAGTTTCCCGCTCCGTCATCCACGTAGACATTTTGTCCGCCCAACTGGTCTCCTGTGCCGTCTGTACGTCCGAAAACCACAATTTTCTTAATCCACATGGGCGTGGACCCCTTCATTATGTAGGTAAGCTTCGCCTCCGCATTGCTATCCGACTCGGACTCGTAGCATTTATCCGGCGGATCGTCAGGGTCGTACCGCAGCGGCTCCCAGGCTTTCGCCGTAGTATCACTCGTGGGTGGACTGCAAGCAGTGGGGTCCATCTCCACTTCGGTCCAGAGCAGCTGGCGCTCGGTGCCGAGCGGCATGAACTTTTTACACACCGGCTGCAGGTCCCACCGTCCATTGCCACGTCCGAAGCGGTAGTTAAAGTACGGCAGGTTACTGTGCTCTTCTTCGATGGCGGTCGCACCAGAGGGTTTATTACCATTGGCTACACCCACATTTGCAGGGTGAATGGAGCACCCGGAAGGGATGTCCTCCCAGCCGCCGTTGCCGGGGCTCGCTGCAAATTCGTCGTCCTATCCGAGTGCAAAACTCCTTTTCCCCCTCATTTGTACTATACCATGGACAGCAACACAAGAAACAGCAGAAATAAAGGGAGTTTCGATCATTGACAAATCTGCGTCGTGCAGATGATTGTAGTACTATTTAAGCAGGCTCCTGTTCCAAAATTTGTCATGCTAGCGGTGCTTACGAGCAAGATTTCTGAGTTTGGTACTTTGCATTGCAAATGAGGGGGAGGGGGCGGGTTGTGCACTCGGATACGTTCGGGTCCCGGCCGACAATCCGGAGCGCCTTCTTGCATTCCGCCATAAAGTATGCAATGTAAATTTCCAGCACATGTACAAAATGCATGACAAATTTCGCTAACTTGCAGTGTCCAACTTGTCATGCTAGACTAGGACTGAAGGCAAGTTTTGTCATGCAGACACTGCATTTGTACGTGTACGGGAAATTTACTGTGGATATAGAGCGGACCACCAGTTCCTGGGTGGCGGACGTATGGACTTCTCAAACGTTACACTTTCAGCTGTTGCATGCATTTCTTTGTAATGCAAGAATGGCAAGATGAATTCAAGGCGGAAGATTGCGCTTTCTGCATTACAAGTTTGGCGTCGAGAACTTGTCACTCGACGAAGCTTCATCATCATCATCATCATCATCATCATCATCATCATCATCATCATCATCATCATCATCATCATCATCATCATCATCATCATCATCATCATCATCATCATCATCATCATCATCATCATCATCATCATCATCATCATCATCATCATCATCATCATCATCAACATCATCATCATCATCAACATCATCATCATGTAGTGGACACGCGCTCGTCCCAGCGCCGCAGGTCAAGGATCCCCTCTCCGGGGGGTGGGCGAGCAAGCACAACTTTCGGCGACCTCATGACACGAAAGGTATGTAGTTCCAATGATCGTCGTGTAGGTATGCAGTTGCAATTTTGCATGACAAATCATGTAACAGTTTAGAGGGTAACGATTGAGAATGCCAGCATAGCAGGTCGCCCCCACGCGCAAGAGCTCGTAGGTGAAACCATAGTTGATGGTCTTGATGGGCTATCAAATGCAAAAATGTCTGGGTCTGGAAGATTCCGGGATTTGTGATGCCTATTTTGTATGATCCATGATGAATGTGCTGCATGATCTAGCATCACCGATTTTTAGAGGGCTTCCTGGTGCCTATTCCGCACGAGAAATACCCTCCCCGCGTAGGCGTAACACAAACTGGACTCCTGTTGCTGGTCACGCAATACAGATTTTTTTGGAAAAATTCAAAGACAGCATGACAAGTCGAAGTCGCAATCATCCAGACCCAGACATTTTTGCAATCCATATGGGCTTGCGACACACGGGCCGCAGCTGCATGTTCGGCGAGCCGACGCCGCGGAAGTAGTTCATTTTAGCCTCGAGGTCCACGCTTACGGAGCTGTCCGGAAGTATGGGTGTGTCAGAATCGAAATCGTCAAAGTTGAAATAATTTGTAAAGCATAAAACGCAAGACGCGAGGCGCGAGCGTTGCAGAGCAGGCAAGTGAGGCCGATTGTAAGCCTGTTTGGGGTTACAGCTCGAGCTGCTATACGTAGCATGAAAAAATTAGTCTTCTTTGCCTAAACAGCACGACAGACGGGATTTAGGGACAGCCAAAATTTGTCACGCGCCACTTGGAAACTGGGTGCCACCTCACCTGGCATCCATTTTATGCATGGCAAATTATTTCAACTCTGTCGATTTCAATCCGGACACTGCCATAGGAAGATACTCCAGCGGGACCGAGCATCCGTTCGGCTTGTTCGGGTCGCCCGAGTTATGAAAGTGCACAACTCCCCGTGGACCCCTCATGTGTACTATTGCATGAACAGCAATACGAGCGTCAGCAAGAATGCAGGTTTCGCATGACAAATTTGGACAGGATAGTAGTGCCATTTGGGCAGCCAGAACTTGTCATGCATAATACATAGTGAAGACAATATGGCCCGGGCAGCCCGTGATTTCAAAAGTCATTTTTTTTTTTTTAATATAGCTACTTCGGCGATCCTTCTTCACCGCCTGAAATAAATAGTTACTTTTGGTCCCCTTTGGGGTAGCTACTGACGTACGTAGGTAAGCTAGCTATCTCATGAAGTAGAAGAAGGGTCTCCGGCTCCGGCTGCTGCTTTGTGGATTCGGACGAATCCACAAAGCAACAGCCGAAGCCGGAGACCCTTCTTCTACTTCATTACCTAACTACATTATCTATCTAGTTTAGTAGCTACCTTGAGCTAGATAATGGATACGTAATCACTTTAGGGGCGGGCAAAGGTTCGCCAAAATAGCTATATTAAAAAAAAAAAAAATGACTTTTGAAATCACGGGCTGCCCGGGCCATAGACAAGGGGCAAAGCGTAGATTTGGTATTTTGCCGGACAAATGAGAAGGAGGGGGAGTAGTTCTTGCTTGTGCACTCGGATACAAGTCGTCCGAATACCAGAAACTGTTGAGGGGCATATCAACTGTAAAAATGTCTGGGTCTGGAAGAATTCATGTTTGTCATTGTTGTCTGGCATGACTCTTAAATCTGTCATGCACGATACCCAAGAGCTCCGCTTTTCTGTGATGCAGAAGCGCAGTTTGTCATGCAGAACTAACAACACCTAGGAACGCTGAGCCAGCATCTGTAGCCTCGTCATGAGACGCCACCCAGCATCACAAGTTTCCAGACCCAGACATTTTTGCATTTGATAGGGCACGCCCAGAATCAACAGGGCCACGTGGCATTCGTCCGCGGTTCGAATCACCTCGAAAAAGTCATCGCACAACGTGCCCGCGTATCACTTGTAAAAGTGTCTGGGTCTGGAAGGTGGCAACTTGTCATGGTAAATCTGAAGCATGCAAAAATCTGTGTTGCATGAGTGCCAAAAGCTGTCCACTTTTGACCAAGTTGGAAGGGAGTTTCGCACGCAGGATAGGCATGGCAGAGACCTCGCAGAGTCTGCCATGCTAGGTCCCGCATTCCAGACGTCACGTTCACGGGTCATGGAGAATCTGCGTGACAAGTTTGAACTTTTCCAGACCCAGACATTTTTGCATTTGATACCGCGCCCCGAATGGTGAACTCGTACTTGATCGCGGCATCTTCCAGTTTGTACACGCGGAGCTTGCGCAGCTTCAGCCAGCCGTAGCCGTCTTCGATCAGCGACAGAGTCTTCCCGGTAGGCACCACGGGCGCCCGGAGGTTCTGGACCATCTCGGACTGTCCCGCGTGCGCATACAGGACTTGCATTCTATCGATTTCGTCGCCCGTTTCCACGCCCAAACCTATGGCGTTCTCAAATCGCTTACCTTCTCAACTGTTACACGAATTTGTAATGCAAAAAGGGCAAAAGTGAAAGGAGGAAGATTGCGCCTTTTGCATTACAGATTTGGGATGGATTGTAGTGCTATTTAGCGCGTCGAGAAGTTCGTTGTCATGCGAAGAAGGCTTGGTCGTGTGAATGGTGGTAGTGTTTTTGCATGGCAAATCATGTATACAGTTGAGAATGTAACGATTGAGAACGCCATAAAACCGTGGGACGGGTTCGTCAAGAACTGGATCGACTGATCCACCTGCAGCTTGGTTCCTGTCAAGAAGAAAAATCCCCCGCCCTCCCCATTATATCAAAGCGGAAGTCTGAGTCTGTATCTGTGATGCAGATTTGTGGCCACAAATCAGCTCTGTCATGCTAGAAGGAAAAAGATACGGACTGTAGTGTTGAGCTGCGTGGGAACAAAGCCTTGATGCATCTTCAGCCTGAGAGGAGGCGGCTGGAATTGGGAATATTAAACAGCATGACAATATATGCCTGCATACAGCGATGAAAAACACTTTCGCTCTCAAGATTTAAGTTTTTTTTTGTATACCCCCCTTGATGAGGGTGGGCCCAGATAGGATCCCGGCGGTGGCCTCGTTGAACTGGAAGGCGTCGGGCGGGTGAGTAGCGGGGCCTTTTTTCGTCACCTGAATCACTGGAGTACGCTGATGATGTCACTGGAGTAGTCTTGTCATTTAGCTAGCTTGTCGCGGTGATAGATAGCGGGGCTTTGTGCTCGCATTTGAAGACTTTTGCTGCGTACTCCATTACCCGGAGTGGTGCGGGTCCGGAGCTACGTATCGCCTTGGGCGGCATTTTGGGCACCAGTCTGGTGCCCAGACCGGACGGCATTGTTGGGAGGCTCCTGTCGCTGATGAGCGTCTACCTGCTACCGACATCTGTCACAAAACGTCTCAGATGCTAATATCTCGTTTGCGCTAGCTATCACCGCGACAAGCTACGTACTTTCATTCGCGTTCTCATTCGTCACTATCAAGCTACATCTCAAAAATTGATAGGTCGGAGAACCCGGAGCCGCTTGCGTGGCCGCTGAGTCGGGTGACGCGGATCATGAGGACAGTTGGGCCGGATGCTGCAACGGGGCCTCAAAAAAATTGAAATTTTGAAAGCGAAAGCGTTTTCCACCCTGGTACTGCAAACGAAGCCAGCACAACTGCGCCTCTACTACTTTGCCTTCTAGGCATGCAAGTCGAGGATTTGTGTACTGAAATACAGCGTCACTTCTAATTTCGTTCTCGATATGGGAAGGGGGATTTATCCTTTTGATAGTTCCGTAGGGGTACCCACATCCGTAGTCGAACGTGTCGTCGTCGTCGCTTCCGTATCCTGTGGAAAACTATCGTGCTAGTAGTAATCGTAGTCATGCATTTAGAAATTCTCTTCTTCAGGTGAACCTGCATATACAAATTTTATTTCTCATGCTGAGAAAATTTGTCATGCGATTTACACGTAGTACGATACTTTTGCAGTTCATATTTCTTCAAAGTCTTTTCCTGGGAACTGCGCGAAGCACCCGTCGACGCGGCAGGTGCCCCACTCGATTTCAACATATCAACTGCAAAAGTGTCTGGGTCTGGAAACTTGTAATGCTAAAAGTGGACGATAGCTGGACTGCAATACGCAGCCAGGCATGACAAATTTTTGAGCTCCTATGTGTTGCGTATGCCGCATGAGAAACACCGTTTTTACATGACAGATAGCAGAGCCGTTTCGTGCCCATGCGTCACAGATTCTCGAGTCATGTCAGCCATGCATGACAAATGACTCCGGAATGACTCCAGGGCAGCCAGATGGCCGTGACCTGGTTATAAAGGGCTTCGTCGATCGATTGCGCCACTAGGTCCTTGCGTTCCGGCTACTCCGGATCGCAATCGATGGAGGGCGGGACCTGCACCGGCGACACGCACTATCCAACCAACCAACCAAATCTAAGAATCTTCCAGACCCAGACACTTTTGCAATCCATACAACACGAGAAACATCAATTGGAAAGTCGCGATGGATCGCGCCGCGGGGGGTGCCTGCCCCTGCGGGATCGTACGTCTCGGTCTCGGTTATGGAGTTCTCAAACGTTAACACATGCTCAACTGTTACATGAATTTCTCATGCAAAACTCTGATCAGTATGTACATCATCATCATCATCATCATCAAGCTGCCTTGCGTGACAAATTTCCGAAGGGCTGAGCAGGCATCTAAATCTGTGCCAAGCCTGTATATGCAAAAGGCAAAATCTTTCCCCTTGCACTTTTGCCATTCTTGCATTACAAATCCATGTAACAGTTGAGGATGTAACGTTTGAGAACGCCATATCGGTGTTCGCGCGCCCACCCCACCACGCTTTAGCCCCAGCCCCGTCTCCGCTGCCGCAGGCTTCCTCCGCGTGGATTTCGCTGCAGGGCTCCCCGTAGTGCCCACAGAGATCGTTGTCAGTCGGGTCACACGGCGCGCCGAAGGTGGCGCTCATGTGGAAATCATTCGACAAATCCGCTTTGCACGTTTGGGTTTGCTCGTTATCGTCCCCATTACTATTGTGTTTCTGGAAATCCAGCGGACCGCAGACTCTCGCCCGCTCTGTGAAGAGGTGACACTTCTGCTCCGTCATGAAGGTCACGAAAAAGGATTTGCACGTGGGTTTCCTTCTGCACTTGTCTGCGCATTCTATCAACGGATCACTTCCGGTTACGGTGGTGGGCGTTCCAATTAAACCCCAGTCGTCCCCGTTAGTTGTACTACCAGCTTGAGGGCGCCGCTTTGAAAATTGTCGCAGCTTGCAGACGAGAAGGGGTAAGGAAGTGTCGTGGCTGATGGGGCCGACTGTGGAGGGCCGAAAGATCCGAACCTCGCTGAGACCGGAAAATACTATGTTAGCCTTGGGAATCTCGATAAAAACGTGGGTGCCAAGATTGGCGCGGCAGTCGCGAACGAGCTTGTGAACACTCCATTGAAGGTTGCCATTGTCGTCGTACTTTGTATGCACTTCCACGAGGTCCTCCTCCGTAACCTCCTTGCCGGCGTTATCGAAGCACCACGTCGTTGCTTCGGGATACGCCTCTCCCTTGCACGCTCCTTGGTCTGTAGCTGTGTACAGGGTATCGGTCGGATCGCGTCCCCACGCCGCGCTTTTCGTTGGATTACCTCCGTCTGCACCAGTTGTGACGATGTCTGCAAACGACTGGGCAGCCACCTCTCCCGAAATATCGGGCTTCGGTCCGTGCACTCCGAGCCGCCACTTATTTTCCGTTATCCAGTGAGATTGTTCGCCGGCTCTGTAGATATACAGCTCCACGAGGCCGACACGCTCCGGGGCGTTTTCCAATTTGATCTCAAGAAAGGGGCACATGGCACTTGCAGCTGAAGGTAGAGGCTGGAGATACACAGCCGATTTCTGTGATGTCGGGTTCTGGCCCGTTAGCTGGCGATCAAGCAGCGCCGCCGCCATTCCTGCGTCCGTGTCAAAGTCCTCGGTCTGCTGTATGCGACTACCTCCTTCTTCGATTCCGCCAAACCCCACTTTGATGTCCACGTTGGGAAGCACCAGCGGACCGGTCTTGAACTCGCGCCCGCGTCCCGTCATTTCGGCGTTGGAGTGCCGCATCGCGGGCATATCCAGGAAAAAACATCCATCCACATTCAATTTGTGATGCAAAACACATATCAAGTCATGTGTTTGTCATGCAAAAAATGGATGTGGATGGGTCTTTTTCTGTGGATAGGGCAGTGCAATGTCGTAGGCCGTACTATCCGCGCCCGCCGCGATGAAGGCCAAAGTTTCCGTGTGCCGGCCCCGGGTCTGGTATCAAATGCAAATGCGTCTGGGTCTGGAAGAGTGCGACACTTGTGGTCATGCAGCTTTTATTGCCTGAGCCTGACCCAGATCCTCTGGCATGCAAGCCCTAGCATCACAGATTTTTTCGAGCAGGTATCGCAATGCCTAATCCGCATGACAAATTCATCGCTCTTTCGGTAACAAGAGGTGGGACTTTCTGCTGGCGCATGAGCATGACAGATTTTCTCATCATGTAGGATTCGCATCACAAATTCGAATCCTTCCAGACCCAGACATGTGTGCAATGCATATCTGCTTTGCCTGGTCGATGTTCTCCAGCCGCCAGCCGTAGTATGACAGTGCACAACTCCCCCACCTCCCCCTCATTTGTATGGCATGAACAGCAAAACAAGCAACAGCAAGAGTGCCGGTTTTGCATGACAAATTCACACTGTAGTGTAGTGCTATTTGGGCTGCCAGAACTTGTCACGTTGGAAGGCTAAGGGCTGGGCGTCCCCTCGTAAATTAATTCGACAAACAGTAGCCTCATACCCGGTAAACTCTAGAAGAAATTATTGGACAACGCGCTGCCAGAACTTGTCATGCAAACAGTGCCAAGAGGCAAACGGTGGATTGGGTATTTTGCATGACAAATGAGGGGGACGAGGGGGAGTTGTGCACTCTCATACGTAGTACGTGAGGTCCTCCGTGTTGTTGTACTTTTCCTCGTAGTAGTTGCCAATCTATCATATTGAAAAACGTCCCCACGACCCCAATGTTGTAATGCAAATCTGCATGCTGAAAATGTTTCTCATGCGGAGCCCCATGAGAGGCATTGTCTAGCCGTGTTTTGGAATTTGTCATGCTGATGCTTGTTCAACTTCAATCAGCATGATAAGCTAGATTTGTGATGCTGCTAAGCTTGAGCTAGCTCAAACAGCACTACACTACGAATCCAAATTTGTCACGCAAAACAGCCACAGCTTGTAGATTTGTTTAGCCGAAGAAGACTCCCCATCTTGACTGACTATGGGGTGTGGGCCCCATTTTCACATAGGATACAGTCTGTTCCTTTTTCACGCGGATGTATCCGTCGTTTTGTCCCGGCCCCCGGTACCCTCGATTTGTGCACACGCGCCACCCACGTCCATTTTTATTGGCATCAAAGATGAACACGCAGTCTGGCTCGTCCAAACACCGCTTTTCGATCTCCGGCAGCGCATTGGCGTCTTCTTCTGAGGGTTCACAGCCGTAGCCATTGGGATCCAGGGCCTGCGTACTGTCGGCGGGGATGTCCTGGTCCGAGATGACGTACTGCGTTTTGTCTGCTCCCGGGAACCATCTTCCCGCCTGGTAGGCCAGATGCTGCTCGAGAGTTTCCGTTTGCCGCTCCTGCAGCAGTGCAGCAGCAGGAGCCCCGGCATGCGTACTTTTGCTGTCGCGAGGACCGCCGCCCGTTTCGAAACGGAGTTCTGCTGCGTGCTTGTCAGCGTTGCCGCTGCCCGTTGTAGTTCCGTCCCCGGAGCCCGTCGTGCCGGGTAAGTTGATGGCCATCTGCCCGGAGGGTAATCCTGATCGCCGGCCCTCGGCACGCCCAGCAGAGGCCCCCGCGCGCCGTGCTCCGACGGACAGGCTGCGACCCCGCATTTGCAGCATTGCTATCGCGTGTACCTGGTCCTCGTACGACAGACCTCCTGGGTCGTCCTCCGGATGAAGAGCCTGCTGGTCAACAAAGAAGTGACTGCTGCCCTCCTATCAAAATGAAAAATCCCCCCTCCCCTTATCGAAAGGGAAGCCTGTGACGCTGTGTTATTGCGTACACAGATCAGTCTTGTCTTGCAGTAGAGCACTGCAGGCAGATACAAAGCCTGGAAAGGAGTGGCCTGAGGTAGGCACTGAGCACGGCAGACGTCTGGTCCATTGGCGCAGCAGGATTACAAATCGCCTGCGAAATGCGGCGAAAGCTCTGGCTTTGCTCTTTTGCAAGACAGACTCGATTTGTGACCACAAATCAGCATGACACATTTTGAAAAGCACGCCTTTTCGATATAGGGAGGGGGGATTTTTCCTCACAATACCTCCTGTCGCTCTACTTGTTTACTTTGCCCTCTTGTACTAGTATCTGCCTCCATGAGCGACGAAGACGATGAGAATGCGCCGGGCAGAGTTTGCTCCACCTGCTGGCCCGCGAGCTTGGTAACTCTCGTTTCCATAGTTCGGTCGCCTACTTTGATGCCGCGGACCACAGCGTAGTTCACGGTGCTGTCCTCGTCGTGGCCAGTTGCGCCGGTGGGGTACTGTAGTTTCGCCGAGTTGTAAGAAGGAGGTTGGACGATGGCACCGCGATCCCGGTTCATCTTCCGGTTGTAGTTGTGCACTGTGGCTGTTTGGAGAAAGATCGTCGCAGGTGGTTGTGGGGCAGCCGGCGCTGCAAGACCCTCGCCCACCACTTCCGTTCCGTCGGAGGACACTGACTTCGAGGACGTAGTAGAGCCAGCACCGGATAATTCCTTGTCGTCATCGTCGCCTGCGCCTTGGCCGTCGTCCTCGTCGTGCACCTCCAGCAGCTTTCTTTCGGAAGCCTGCTCCGGAGGTTCGCCCGCTCTACTCTTTGCGTGCTCTTGCGACTGCTCCAGCGCGGCGTCCTCTTGGGCTTTTTCCTCGGCCGGGGGTTGGCCAAAAACTTTTTGGGGCGCCGAGGTCGACCCACCTGCCGCGGGTAGTCCCGCCTGGTCGGGGGCGCGCTTGACCTCCGGCAGAACGGCGGCAGTTCCGGAGGACCAGGGCTTGAAAAGCTCGATGCCGCACAGGGTCAGGTAGTACATGCTTTCCTGGCACACCCTGTAGTGCCGCCGGCGCCGGGTGCCGCGTCGCCGTAGGCTGTTGTGGAAGCACTGGTCCGGCCGGTAGGGCTATCCCGGAAATAAAGACACCCATCCCCATTCAATTTGTCAACAAGAACATGCAAAACATGCAGAAAATCCACGCATTTGTCACGTTGGAAGGCTAAGGGCTGGGCGTCCCCTCGTCGTCGTCCACGTATTTTTTGTCATGTTGGAAGGCTAAGGGCTGGGCGTCCCCTCGTAAACTATTCCTATTTTTTGTCATGCAAAAAATAAAAAGGGCTGGAGATGGGTGGTGTTTCCTCGATAAGGCCTGCGTCACGCGCAGTCGCCCCACGGACTTGCGGTTCACCTTTATGATGGTTCCGCGGCTTGAAATTTGTCCGATCCCCCCCACATCCCCGGGGTTATCCTTCCGCTGCGTCCACCGCACCACTCCCACCGCGTCCTCCTGCGGACCGTTCTCATACGTTCCGGGCGGGTAGCCCCGGATCGGGTCCCCAGGGTAGGCGTGCCCGAAGACCTCGTAAGCCGGGTGCTTGCGCTCGCCGTCGAAGTACATCCCCGCACCCGCCAGGGCGCCGTTCTTTGCTTCCCAGATCGTCAAACTTCCGAAGCTGAGGCGGTCCGTAACACTGGTCCGCCGCCGCCGATGCCACCAGTAGGTGTAATCGTCGCGGTTCCTATCCACAAAAAAACAACCGTCCCCATCCATTTTTTGCATGACATCAAATAGTGGAATTTATGCACATTTTGCATGAGAAATTGGATGGCGATGGTTCTTTTTTTGTGGATAGTTCCACAGCCGCACGGATTCGACGTCCACGCCGTTTTGGTAGCCTCCCTGAAGCTATCCTATGCACATATGTCTGGTGTTTTGTCTGGAAGCAAGACCATGGCACAGCACAGGGAAGAGAACGACTTTAACACTTTGAAGAAAGAAAAGAGAAGAGAACTACGTGGATACAATATGTAGAGAGAGATTAAAAGCATGTTATGACGTCCACCGGTGGCACTGACTACTGCTACTTTCACTATCACTTGCGCAACATGCAAATTGGGTGCAATGAACTTCTGCCCACGGGGTCCCGCAGGCTCTACCAAGGTGCTACGATGGCCAAAGCGCTAGGCACCTGGGAGCCTGTGGGTGCTCGCGATGGGTCTGGAAGAATGCAACTTGTCATGCTGAATCTGAATCAGGCAAAAAACTGTGTTTGCATATGCTAATCGAGAGGCAGTTTCTCATGCAGGATAGGCTTTGGAAAGGTTTTGCAAAATCTGTCATGCTATGTCCTACATACCAGACCCCATGGGTCATGGAAAACCTGCATGACAAATCAGGCAATCTTCCAGACCCAGACATTTTTGCGAGTCGTTCTCTTCCCTGTGCTGTACCAAGGTCTTGTTTCCAGACAAAATACCAGACATTTTTGCAATCCATAGAAGGGCTTCGTCGGTCAGAGTAACCTGCCACCAGGCTCGTCGCATCCACCAGGCCGCTCGCCAGGCATACCCAGCAGAAATGCCTCCCTTTACATCTTGTTTCGTCTGTTCCTCGCCCTTTTTTATGCGATTCTCAGACGTTGCATTGCCTGCCGTTGCGAGATTCGTCATGGAACAGAAAAATTATGAGCGATCTTCGGCATCCACGCGAAGCACAGGCTACTTGCTGACAAATTTTTCGCGAAGTAGGGCTAATAAACAGCATGGAATCTTCGGTGCCGCATAATTTGTCACGCGACAGGTCGTGCAAGTAGCTGCTCCCCCCGACCCCGTTTGCCATAATTCTCGCATGACATCAAACCGATGCAACAGCTGAGAACAATGTAACGTTTATTGCAAACTTGATATTTTTGTAGCCAAGAAATCTTTTGTCTCCCGCGGGGCTGGCGGCGGGGCTGGCGTCCCAAAGTTTCGCCGCGGTGGCGTAGTAATAGTCAACCTTATCATTGTATGGAAGCGTCGGAAAAATCGAAATTGACCATAAAACCGAAAAAATTCTAATGCATAAAAATGTAGGGCGCGAATGGCCTCTGTTGGGGAGCACGCAGGCAAATGAGACCGATGGCGAGCCTATCTAGGGGAAGGCGATGCGCTGCCTCCGGAGTAGCATGACCACAGAAGCAGTCTTCTTTGCCCAAACAGCATGACAGACAGGATTCTGGTGCTCCCGAAATTTGTCGTGCGCCACTTGGAAACTGTAATTGACGCTCCAACTGGTTGTATCGATCTCATGAATCACAAATTATTTTGATATGTTGATTTCGATCCTGACAGCTCCATACCTTGTGCTCCTCGAGCTGGGCCATCTCGTTCAGGTACCCCTTCGGACCGTGGTCAAAACGGAGATCCTTGCACTATGGGATTCTCAATTGTTACATTCGCAACTGTTACATGATTTTGTGATGCTAAACGGACCGAAACCACAAACGCAACCCATATGGCACCTTTCCGCAGATGGTCAGGCCACCGGGTCGCGGAGTCAGGCGGACCGAAGCCATCACCATCACACTCGGGCACATCCTACCATTACGCCAGCTTTTCCTTACTTTCGTTTTTTTTTTTCGGGCTCCCGGCGCACCCCCTCGGGCTAGTAGGTGCGTGATCTCGAAATCATACAACGTGTCCCCAGACCACACGGATCAGAGGCGGTTTTCCGATTCATGCAAAACATGAATTTGTGATGCGACAATGGCAACAGGGAAAGGCCGGATCTTGTTGCATTTCTTGCATTACAAATTCGGCACAGATTATTTTTCCCATGCTGTTGGTTTAGCCCTTCCAAAATTTGTCACGCAGAGTAGCTTCACCGTGTGGACGTTGATGCTCATTTTGCATGACAAATGATCATGATGTACTCAACAGTTGAGAATGTAAGAGTTGAGAACGCCATATGCACTTGTTGTTCCACGCGTCGGTCGTACCCACCGGTTGGACACCAGCGTCCGTAGCTGCGGGGCAATCCTTGGCTTCTAGCCTCAGGGCACCAGTGTGCATGAAAGTGTGCTGATCGTTCCGCTGCTTTCGCCAGTCCCAGTATGCAGGAAAAAACACCCATCCCCATCCAATTTGTCATTGTAATGCAGAACATGCATAATTTGCAGTGTTTGTCATGTTGATGGAAGGCTAAGGGCTGGGCGTCCCCTCGTAAACTATTTCGACAAGCCGCAGCCTGAGGTCCTGAGGTGGGTGACGCGCCCGAGAGCACAGACACCGGCGGAGTGGTGACGACCGGAAGGGTCAAGAGACTCACCTTTTGCGAAGGAAGAAAGACTGCTGAACCCGCACGCGAAGCTTCGGCGGGCCGACACAAGAACCCGGTAAACTCTAGAAGAAATCTTTGGACAACGCGATTTCTATCGAAAGACAAACAAAACAGCATCTGGGACGGCCGCGACGAAAGCTGTGCGGATATCTGGATAGAAATAGCCCTGTACATCAAAAACTTTTCCCAGCACCGAGGGATTAAAAGAAAAGTAAAAAAACGAAGAAAACAGCTACTAAGACACAGTCCCACCTACGTCGAAAAAATCACCCTAAAGGTGGTAGTTGTACCAGTAGTAGCGGTAGCGAAAAAGTCACCCTAGAGGTAGTGGGTTCCAGTGTTTGTCATGCAAAAAATGGATGGGGATGAATGTTTTTTTCCTGGATACCCAGTCGCAGGTCTGCAGGATTTTCTCCGTGTGCGTGCAGTAGTTAGGCCACTTGGTGCTCCGCCCGCGCGCGTAGTACAGCGGCAACTGCACGCGGGCATCCCACTGGGGCTCCCCCGACCGACGCCGGGGGCTTTTAAACTTGGAATCGTGCTCCTCGTTATTCTTCGTCAGACCGTAAAAGTCGTAGTCATCACTGGAGGGAAAGTTGCTGGCTTTCCAAATACTCCTATCAAAAGAGAAAATCCCCCCTCCCCATATCAAAACAAAACTTCTGATGCTGGAGTTGGATACACAAATCAGATTTGTGCTGCAGTAGAGGACTGCACGCAGATCCTGAGCGTAGGCAAGCGCCTTTTGGTGTAGGCGCCTAGCATGGTGGACGGCTACCCTGTAGAAGGCCTGACGGCATTACAAAGCTTCCGCATAACGTGGCGGGACGCCTTAATGTGCCTGCTTGCAAGACAGACCCGATTTGAGGGCACGAATCTGCATCACAAATTTTCACAATGATGCACTTTCAATATGGGGAGGGGGGATTTTTCCTTGCAATAACTCGGGTCGATCTCTTCCGCCACACTGGTGAACCGAAAGAACTCGAGGCCGCAAATAGTCTGGTATGACTGCCGGTGGTTGGACACGATGAACAGCTGGGTGATCTTATCAAGTCAAGAAGTTTTAACGCGAGCGGAAGAATTTGGCTTGCGGGAACGCAGGAGGTGAAGAGGGACGCAATTTCGTCGTGTTGCATGGCGTTACTGACAGACTATGATATAGAAGTGATTTTTTCATGCATGACTGCTATTTTCTACTCTCAAAGCCGGTTCCGTTAAGCGTAAAGATGATCTTTTGTTTGATAGATCTGCTTCGCCCGCGGGAGGTTGAACATGACCAGAGTGGCCGCACCATCCGCGTGACTGACTTTTCCGATTATGGAGTTCTCAGGAGTTACATTCTCAGCTGTTACATAAATTTGTGATGCTAAACCGACCGAAACCACAAACGCAACCCATAGGGCACCTTTCCGCAGATGGTCAGGCCACCGGGTCGCGGAGTCAGGATGCAAGAAGAATGCCAGAAGTGAAAGGAGGAAGACTGCGGCTGCGCCTTTTGCATTACAGATTTGGGACAGATTCTAGAGCTATTCAGCGCGTCGAGAAGTTGATTGTCATGCGCAGAAGGCTTGATCGTGCGAAAACTGCTAGATCGTGTTATTTGCATGACAAAATCATGTAACAGTTGAGAGTGTAACGTTTGAGAGCCCCATACCGATGGTATCCTGGTTCGGTTCCCCATTCACGGTCATGGACTTCAGCTGCCTCTTCGTCCTATAGAAGTGCCAGGATCAAAATCAACAAAATCGAAATAATTTGCGACGCGTGACAAATTTCGAGAGCACCAAAATTCAGTCTGTCAACATGCTGCTTGGGCAAAGAAGACTGCTTCTGTCATGCTACTCTGGCAGCGCATCGCCTTCCCCTAAACAGGCTTGTAATCGGTCATATTTGCCTGCTCCCCAACACAGGACTTACGTGCCCTATATTTCATGCGTTACAATTTTTTTATTTTTGTCGATTTCGATCCTGACACTCCCATAGCCCCCGTCTTCGTCATCTTTCAAGTAGTCGCGCTCATACATCTTCGATAAATATCGATATACTGTCCTCTCACTATACCATTTGCCGTCAGACTCCTTCTTCCATTTCCAGTCCCAGCGGAGTTTGCCGTCGCTGTGTTTTAAATGATCGCGACGCCTTCGCATCTCGGAACTAGCTTCACCATACTCGTTGTCGCATCCTGTGCAAAAGTATCGTATGAACTGCAGCCATTCCCATTCGTGACATTAAATCTAAACTTCTATATCTGAGTCAGCATTTTCAACGTACAAATTCCTCTACCTTTTTTCCTTCTGAAAAAAATCATCAACATCTTTTTCAGGCTAAGGGCACGGTGTCCCCATGTGAAGCAATCTTGCAAAGAGTGGCCGCCAAAGCCATCGAGGGTGGCGACGCGCGGACACGAACACAAGCGAAAAAGGTGACGACCAGAAGGGTCACAAGAGCCTCGCCTTTTTGACAGAAAGAAGCCCGCTGAACCCGTGCGCGAATAAACTTCGGCGGCCGACAATGGTGCCGTCCTTGTGGTGTGAAAGAAACGAACAAAAAAAATCTGACGCCTTTATGCTCGCGGTTGTTCTTTACGTTCCTGCCGGTGAAGATCGCAGCACCTGGAGCCACCACATACGGAGAGGTCCTCGCATACCCGCACACACTGGATGAAGAGGCCACGGCATTCTCGTCGCAGTGGCCACTGTATCCCCGCGGGCTTTCCAAACGACAAACATTCGTGGCCAATGGTAAATGTGCACGAGAGGGCGCTGGCCCTCAAAGTAAAAGCGCCGGCCGCGCCGCGGCCTTGTGAGTAGCCTAGCGAAGAGAATGAACGGGCCACGGCCTCCCGTCTCCATCAAAACCTCGGCCCCGACCCAGAAAGACGCATGCAGCCGACGCGCAAAATGGGAAGGCCGCACCAACGGGCGCGCAAATAGGAAGGCCGCCCCGACGCGCAAAATAGGACAACCGCCGCAATTTTGCGTGCGGGCCCGGCGTGTTCTCGCGGGCGCCCATTGGGGACCATGGGGCCGGCTTGGGGCGGTCCGCGGAAAGGTTGCGCTTCCACCCTAAACCACAACTTTTCCCGGAGTCCGGTCGTGTGTAGGGGGGAAAAGAAGCTGCACAACGCCCAACGGGGGAGAAAAAGACAGCCACAGCTCGTGCATAACGTAACGCCGCATGGTATCGCTGCGAGGAAAATTCGCACGCAGCGATACCATGCAGCACAACCCAATGCCCGATGCTATCGATGCGTGTGTAGGGGAATGGGAATTTAGTAGCTTGATGATAGCATCGCGCAAAAGGTTACGCACGACGGTGCGGCGGCAGCCGCTTGTGGCGAAAAGGGGTTCGTAATGCGGAGAGCCCAGGTTTTCCGCATTTGTAATGCGGAGAACCCGAGCTCCCGCTCCGGGCTTTCCGCATTACCCACAACCCCGAGCGCTGAGAAGCCGCATGTGAAAACAGCCCGCTTTCCGCATTTGTAATGCGGAGGGCTTGAGAGCCGGAGCGGGAGCCCGACCACCTTTTCGCATTTGTAATGCGGAGAACAGGAGGTCGGGTCCTTTGTAGTGCGGTCTTTCTCCACCCGAGGTCTCGGGGGCAGAAAGATCGCATCGAAGTTTGCGAATTTGTGATGCGGCTTTTCTCCTGCGGGGAGAAAGACCGCATCTAAATCCAGCCGGATTTGCGAATTTGTAATGGGGTTTTTCTCCACCCGACCGCTCGAGTGGAGAAGAACCGCGCGTAAAGCAAGTAGCTTTGCGCGAAAAAACGGGCAGAAACCCCGCGAAAAGTGCAGCTTCTACCCCGTCCGGAGCGGGAAAAGTTGAAAGCTGGCGGAGCCCCATTGGCTGCGTCATTCTCGTAGGTCGCTCGTTTCATTCTCGTAACAGTATATGCTCTTTGTGGGGTCAAGTTGTATTTTGTCCGTTCATATGGATGAAGAGGCCACGGCATCCTCGTCGCAGTGGCCACTGTATCTGCGCAGTGGAAGTGGTCGCATACCGGGGAAGCTTTACGTTGGAAATGGAAACTTGGGCGATGCATATGATTTGTACCGAAAGACAGCCGCGCCCTTTCCTGGTATTGCAGCGCGGCGCGTAATGTTGGCATATTTCTGAGCAGAAATAATTGCTAAGAACTCCGTACAGACGCCAGACGCTACTCCCGAGGGAACAAAAGAAAAAGCAAAAAATAAAAAAGCGATAAAGGTATTAAAAATATGACACAGCCTCCCCGAAAACTCCTCTTCCTGAAAATGAAAACTAGAACGCCCCAAACGTGGACCCACCACCCTGCTGCAACGAATGATACATCGCCGCAAGCTGAATTATCTGAACAAGTCGCGACAACCTATGTGGGCAAACATGCACACGGCAACCAAGTGTCGATATTGACGTCGAGAAAAATCCCGAAAAGGAAAACCCTGAAAAGGACAAGGAAGCTCTTTACATTTTATACATGCAATTTCTACGTAGTACGATAGTTTTGCAAGGCATACGTCGTTATGGATTGCACAAGTGTCTGGGTCTGGAAGATTGCCAGGCTTGTCATGCAGGTTTTCCATAACCCATGAGGTCTGGCATGTAGGATATAGCATGACAGATTCTGCGAAGCCTTTCCAATGCCTATCCTGCGTGAGAGACTGCCTCTCGATTATGTCAAAAGTGCACAACCTTTGGCAATCATGTAACACAGTTTTTTGCCTGATTCAGATTTAGCATGACAAGTTGCATTCTTCCAGAGGCCGACATTTTTACATTTGATAGTCGTCGCCCTTGCAAATTCGTCGCCTCCAGACTCGCGTTCCACCGTCGCATATCGCAAGAAAAAAGTGTTACAGTTACACATTGTGTTGCAAGACCGGCAACACAGACAACCTTTCTCATGCAGGAAATGCTTGGGAGCCTCGTTTCTTTCCGTTTTTCCCGTATGATATTCGCATTACAAGTTTTCCTTGCGACACAGAGAAAATTTGTGATGCAGAAACTCCAACAAATGTGTAAGTGTAACACTTTTTTCTGGTGATATCGCATCTCCATCGGCCGTAGAACTATCGTGAGGAAACGTCCCCCCTCCCCATATTAGCGAAAAGAAAATTTGTGTTGCTGTATTTGAGTACACGAGTGGTCGGCTCGTATTGCTAGAAAGCCAAGAGACGCACCTGCTCCCTTATTTGCAGGCAATTTCTTTTGCTGTTTCCCGTTTCCAGTTGCTTCCTGTCATGCTGAAGACGCAGGGCTTGGGCTTTCCCACGCCAGCCAGCGCTACAGTCCGCATCTCTTACCTTCTAGAATGACAAAATGATTTGCGCTGTATACAAATCCCGCATCACAGACTTCCATTTTGATATGTTGAGGGGGGTTTTTTCCTCTCAATATGTACTGCGGTACAATGTCTTCGCGAACTGCACCATTATTGTCTGGGAGGCGATGGTCGTCCGTCGACCTGTAGAACACCCTGGAGTAGTCTAGCCGGTATTTTGCGACATTTCGGTTCGAGATCCGCATGGCGTAGACCGGCACAGGGGGGACGAACTCGTACACGTGCGCGCTGTAGCCTCGGTTTTCCCTACGACAGTGCGAACAGAGCCCCTGGCGCGCCCAGTTGCCCCATTGCCAGTCCTTAGTGGCTTCAATGGGATTGCTCAGAGGATGCCAAGCCCTGCCGTTTCCGTCCCACCACCCGTAGTCGCGTGTCCAGCGCTCCGCACGTCGGCGATCATTGTCGTAAACAGGGTACCACCAGCGTCGACGTCGGCGGTTATTATAGGGACCGTCAGTCCAGTCGTCGGCCATGACATAGAGGTCTAGACCGTGATCGCGTGGCTGGTTATCCGATTCCTGGCGCAGGAGCGACCCCCGAAGTTCGACCTGCTGGGGGAGCGAAACACTTTTTGGATTCCCCTTCTCATCGTCCAGAAGCAACGTTTCCCAGGTACTCCACGCAAAAGGTGACCCGAGATTGGGGCTGCTACTTGCTTTTCGCGGGAGACTTAGCACGTCGATGTCATCATTCTTCTCTCCTTCATTCTTCACTTTATAAAAAACCGAGTACCTCCCGCTATCATACAGGTCTTCGGAATGAATCGGCTCGGCGTTCGCCGGACCCACAAATTCGAATTCGTTCGAATTGCCGCTTCCGGGCCCACCGCCCTCAATTTGCTTATCTTTTTCCCCTCCCCCAGATTGCGGTCGCCTCCGACGCCGACTATAGATCTCGTACCTTTGCTATCAACTGCAAAAATGTCTGGGTCTGGAACAATGCCAGACTTGTCATGCAGGTTTTCCATGACCCACGAGCTCTGGCATGAAGGACATAGCATGACACATTCTGTGAGAGTTCTATCATGCCTATCCTGCATGAGAGTCTGCCTCTCGATTAGGTCAAAAGTGGACAGCTTTTGGTAATTATCGTTCGTTGTAATTTTGGTAATTATGCAACACAGATTTTTGCATCATTCAGATTTAGCATGACAAGTTGTTTTGTTCCAGACCCAGACATTTTTGCACTTGATATTTGTCCGCTGGCTTCGGGCTCAAGTGGCTGTATCCTCAGCTGTCCATCTAGACTTGTTATCACGGGGGCTTCATATGGGGCTCTCAAGCGTTACATGCTCAGCTGTTACATGATTTGTCATGCAGATTGACCATGAGCCGTCAGACCATCAAGCCGCTTCGCGTGACAAATTCTCGAAGGGCTAAACAGCATCTGAATCTGTGTCGAATTTGTGATGCGAGAATTGCAAGCCGGCCCCTTTCCCTATTGCTGCTTTTGCATCACATATTCGCGCAACAATTGAGAATGTAACATTTGAGAACTCCATACTTCGGCCGGTCCAGTTCGGAAAAAGGGAATCGTGTTGCCTCCGAACCCGGGTTCGTAATACCAATGAGCGTAGTATCGCAAGAAAAAACTGCTTCACTGTGAACTTGTGACGCATAGAATGGAACACAGAACTATTTGTCTTGCTACACCTGCAAGACCTTGACTCTTTAGGGGTGTTTTCCCTTTGGAAGCGCGCATGGCAAATTTTCTGTGTCATGTGTAACAAACTTGTGATGCAGATCTTGCAAAATCATCACAGTGAAACAGTTTTTTCGTGAGATATGTAGTGCCACATATGCATTGCAAGTGTGCTGTCTGCGTCTGGAGGAACAAAGGAAACTTATATTCTAATGCTTCTGCTACTGCTTGTGGCCCGTCACAGAAAAATCTGCCTTGCAAGACCAGGAAAAGATGTCCACTTTGGAGCATGCTGTTGGGACGAGGGCACTTCTTATGCGGGATAGACATCGCATTTTTCACATAGGCCCTGCTGAGGCTGGGATGCTAGAGCCTGCAGCATCGTCATCGGTGGATCGGCTGTGCCGACCGGGTAACCCAACCAAGAACGCCTGGCATAAACATACAAAGGACCGACATAGGCGAGTCCTGTTGTGGGGCTATCTACTGGGGACCGAACGAATGGGCCCATTCCTAGACCGAAGCAATTCCCCCTGCAGCATTGCAGACATGGGCGGCCAAGGCCATGCAAAACGTAAACATGCATGACAGATATCTGCATCTTTAATATTCCAGACCCAGACATATTTGCATTTGTATTTGATACCGCACGCCCTCGTACAAGAACTGCCAGGGCAAATCCTGCAGCTCTTTTTTCCCGGGCTGGTAATAGACCGCCTCCAGCTTTTATCGGAAGCAAAAAACTGTTTCACTAGGACGAACTTGAACTTGTGATGCCGAAAATGCCACGCGCAAGTGTTTGTCTTGCTAGAAAGGCAAAGCATCGCACTTATTTACATTTACTCTTGGAAGGCTGGAAGCACGCTGCATGCTAGATGTTGATTGTCCTTTGACATGTGCGGAACAAATTTGTGATACAAGAAGTGAGCAGATCGCGCGAACAAATGCGTATCACAGTGAAACAGAAGTAATAGTTTTTTCGTGCCATAGATTCATCCCCGCGGGGAAGCCGAGCCCCATCTCGTACAGCAACTGATCCTGCCCCGTCGGAAGGACCATCGAGGAGCCCCCCTGCATCACGTCACAGGCGTCTTTCCGGAACAAAGTACAGCACAGGTTGTCGGATCCGTCTTCTTCCAGCATGTCTCCCGTCTTCCACCCTGTCTTGTGGAAGGCAAAGGCCCCACAGGACTTGCCCATGTCGTCCTCGTTCTCCAGTTTCTTGCACAAGTCCGCGCAGTTGTCCAGCGTCACCGTGAACTCGTCAACGGCAACCATTGTATCGGTCGAACTCTGGTGCACTGATCCGGGGTTGGCACTTCCACTTTTGTAGTCAGCCGTGTTTTGAGTGGTTTTAGATGGCAGCGTGAGGAAAGTTTTCCCCTTCTCTGCGCCGGGGTCCGATGGGTCTGCGCCGATATAGTCCTCCCCGGCTTCGTCGCTACCCTGTGCCCGGTTCTCTGCGAAGGCCGTGCATTGCCCCAACCGCACGTAGTTCTTCTTGGCCGCCGCGTCCTTCCCCACGACGTCATCCGCCTGCGCGGAGCACTTGCTCCACTGCGGATGCAGGATCAGTTTGTGGGTTTCGGGCTCGATATGCGTTGTAAATATGTCTGGGTCGTCCGGGAGAGTGAAAGATTTGTTTATGCATCTCGCGGACCACGACACGCACTGTCTGGAATGCTGCACACAGACGATTCACAGGTCCTGCGTGGCCTTTTTGATACCTATCCCACATGAGCAATCCGCTTTTTGGTTCTGCCTAGCAAGAAGTTAGCAGCTTTTGGGGTTCATGCAACAAAGATTTTTTTGCGCTGGAGACTTCGCATGACAATCTTCATCTTGCATTCTTCCAGACCCAGACAACATATTTGCAGGCGATACTCGACTTTCAGTGCGCAGTCCCGGAAGGTGTTCACGTCAATCACGGCCGTCGTTTCGAGATCCGGCGAGTCAATCTGGACCATACGCGGGCAGATGTACCAGTGTATGCCGGCGTCTACGCGGATTTGGTTCACGATTGCCTGCTCCTCGTCCGACCAGACCATTCGGGTGGGCGAGCCGCGCAGGTTGCTGTGGCAGAGTTGGTCGTAGATCCAGAGGCAGCCGGGTCGCTCTACGCACGCTCGGAAGGCCTCGCGGAGGCTGTCCACTACGAGGCATTCGCTCGACAGTTCGGCGTCGCTTTTCACGTACGGGTGTAGAGTCGCAGCCAGGTAGTGGTGCGACGTCACTTCGGTGGAGTACCGGGACTCCTTCTTCAGCAACCCGCACTTGCGGCCCTTCTTGTCCACCAGCATCCGCTCGGACCGGCAGATGCGGAAAGCTTTTACGCAGCCTCGCTGGTTCAGCATCTCGAAGGGTTGGAGCGCATCCTGGTCCGCGGTCTCAGCAACCGCGTCCTTTAGAGTGGCTTGCGAAGGGTCAAACCCCTCCTGCTGCAAACAAGCCGTCGCATTGTGCGAAGAATCGCCCGAGTCTTTCATGGTAATCTGTTCCCACGGAAGGGCCAGGTTCTCCGGAAATCCCATGATTTGGTATGTCGGGGCCATTTTGTCGTCCGTAGTGTACTTGACGACGTTGACCTGGTTCCAGGGGCCCGTCTTCTTCACGAACTTCCCCGTTTCCTCACCCTCGTCGTCCAGTTTATGGCAGCGTCAGAATCGAACTCGTCACAGTTGAAATAGTTTGTGATGCATAAAATGCAACGCAGCAATTGCCTCTATTGCAGAGGACGCAAGGGATGCAGATTGCAAGCCTGTTGCGGGGTAGAAATTGAGCTGCTGAAGCAGCATGACGGCAGGCGTCTCCCTTACCCAAACAGCATTACAAACTGGATTTCAGCTCTACCCAAATTTGTCATGCGCCACTTGAAAACTACAACTAGGCGCCAACACGACAGGTGCCCGCTCTATGCATCACAAATTTATTTATTTCAACTCTGACGATTTCGATCCTGACACTCCCATACAGTTCCTTGGCACTGTATACCGTATCTATCCGGAGGAGCGTGCACTCGTCTCCGTCCGTCCCGGCCGGCGTGTCCTCCACGACGTAGGCGCAGTCGTAGAGCGCCTTGCAGTACGCGGTGGCTGACCGAAAGTCCATCATTCCCGTGTACGGGTCGACAAGGTCGCTTATGGCGTTCTCAATTATTACACTTTCAACTGTTACATGAATTTGTGACGCAAGAAGAATTGCAAAAGTGAAAGACGGGAGGTTGCACCTCTAACATTACACGGAGGCTGCGCCTCTAGCTAGAAATACTGCGAAGAGAAAGGAGTCGACGGGGTGGCGAAGTTTTCTTGGGTCCTAAAAAACTCGATAGAAGTACTGGACCAACTAGCGAAGCGGCCCACTCACAGAGTGCAGGACGTGGCGACTTATGACTTTTCGACTTTATACACGATGCTGGACCAGGATGACTCGCGAGAAGAATTTGATTGGGTTTTCAAGTTTGCCTTCATGCCAAGTAGGCCATGCGTAGCAGTCAGCGCCAAAAGAGTACGGCGAAACAAGGCGGCGCGATGTTCGATGGACTTCGCAACCGATAGACCAAAACCCGCCCGCGGACTCTAGTGGTAAAGTTCCACCAGTGACGGAGTTTGCGCTAAATAGGAGGCAAGTTTTTGAACTTTTCAAGCTGATGACACATAGCGCCTATGTGATGGGGCTGGGCAAATTCCTTTGCCAGCAGACGACCGGCATTCCGATCGGGATAAACCCCGGGCCGCTGGTAGCAAGCTTATACCTGTGGCGCAAAGAGTGTCAGCACCTCCTAGTAAAGCTGCTAGGCGGAACAAGAAGCGCAAGGGACTACGCTAGGAATTTCCGCTATGTTTTTCGATTCATAGACGACCTGTTGACGGTGAACAGTCCGGAGCTAGCTTTTGCCTGAAAAAGTCTACGGGGCGCTGAAATGTGAAAAAGACTCGAAGGACACTAGGCGCCGGGTTAACTTCATGGACCTGACTTGTTCGATTACCAGGGGGGCAGACCGCAGATAAGGCTATATGAAAAGCGGAATAGTTTCTCTTTCAAGGTTTTCCGATTTCCATATATGGCTGGACTCGAACACACATAGAAAGACAGCACTTGCGGTGGCAGGCAGCGCAGTGCTGCGGTTTTTGCGGTACTCTGATACGCTGCCCGATTTTCTTGAAGGGGTGAAACAGCTCGCGGCTGTTTTTGTCGAGACACACATAAGACGTGACCAGTGGGCCCGCCGGAGTAGCAAAAAAGTTCGCGCGAAATTGCCACTGCTACGCGAAACGCAAGCGGATGAGACACCAGCTAGAGAAAAAGATACGGGAAGCCCGGCCACGGGTCGGGCGAGTAAAATTGCTGAAATCCTAGCTAGGCGCTATCCGGTACTAGTTCCGACACTAAAACTAATAAATCCCTTCGCCAGTCCTAGGCTATGTTTATATTTTAAGAATTCCGGGGCACAAATCCGGAGGCGTGCGGGCTACGCATCGCACCCTACAAAACGGCAATGCATTACGAAGGGGAACTTTTCGGAGCGGAAGGCTGGGCGACACAATACAAGGAGGCACAAAATGAAGCTCTACCAGTTAACGCGTCTGAATTCGCAACGGTACGGCGCGGGTGGATTTTTTACCAGAAAAGAAGATGAACGCGCTCCACTCGTTCCAAAATCGAAGAAACAGCGATGAAGAAAAGAAAGAAGAAGAAGATGATGACGATCGAAGGCACAAATCAAATCCTCAGAAAATTCCACTGTAAAGATGTTACTATTTTCAAGCGGCGAATAAAAAGAAGCTCTTGCTTTCGAGTTGTGAGCGCAAAGATGTTTTTGATGTTGGTGCTCAGTTTGCGATTGAATTACGAATGCAGCATCATGCATGTGTGATGCAAAACACGATAAAGCGGGCACATCGGACAAGACAAATGGACAGCTTTCTTCTCAGCGACATTCTGAAAAAAGCTGCAAGGCCGCATACTAGTAGGCTTTACGATTGGAATTTTCGTAAGGTTTAGGTCGACGCTCAAGGCCCCAAGTGTAGCGTTACAGTGCGAATAGAAAGACAAAGAAGCGAAAAGCGACAAGCCTAACCTTTTACGTGTGGAGCGTGTTCACCTCTTGTATAATTACAAGTTCTGCACAGATTTAGGCGCTGTTTAGCTCTTCGCAAATTTGTCATGCGAAGCAGCTTCCACGTATGGATCTTGATGGTAGTTCTGGATGACAAATTCATGTAACAGTTGAGAATGTAACAGTTGAAAACGCCATATCGTTCCAGTTCAGGTTGAACTCATCGACGAAGAAAGGGGACTGCAACACCAGCACGGCTCCTTCGTCGTAGGAGCATGCGCCACTGAAGCCAGGCATCTCGCTCATCCGCGTCCACTTCCAAAGGACGTCCCCGGGAACGCCCGGGTCCGGCTTGGGGGTGGTCGTGGTGGTGACTTCCTCAAAGAAGTCGTCGTTGTTAAACCGTTTCTGGAAGATCCAGCTCCACTGCCCGCCTTCCCCCCCTTTGGTCTTTCCCGTGGAGTCGCTCACGCACACTTCGTTCACATTGCCTTCGGCCTCCTCCTTTTGTAGGTTTCGCCGGTTCATATCTGCGGAACTCAAGCAGAAACCCATGTAGCGTGCGGGACTGTGCGCCTCAGGAGAAAGGCGCGCTAGTTCGAAGTAGTTCATTTGGTTTTCAGTGACGCTACAGGTGTCCACGCAGCTGCCCACGTTCGGGCCCGACCGCAGCGGATAAGACTCGTTGCCCTCGTCGTCCTTGTGTTCGGCGCGCTTCCCTTTCTGGTTGATTTTGCTGAAGTAGGTCGTGCCCCCGCACAGCGAGTCGGCGTGCACCGCCACCGCCGAGGAAATATCGAGGTAGCACTGGGTAGCCGCGTACGCCCACTGGCCCCAGCCGGCGAGCGGCAGCGAGTTCGCGGTCTGCACGCTGATTTTCCCTTTCGCGTGCACACCCACGGGCGTCGGAATTTTCTTTCCGTCCGACCGCATCACGAAGGTGTTTTCGGAGATGTAGTCGAAACACTTGGCCTTCGCAAAACTGAGCATGTACTGCTCGTCCCCAAAGGGGCCATAGGTGAAGGTGCACTCCAGGTTCATGTAGGCAGGGTCCACCTTGTACAAGCGCGCGAGCTATCAAATGTAAAAATGTCTGGGTCTGGAAGAGTGCGCGATTTGTCTGTCATGCTGCTTTTCCATGACCCATGAGGTCTGGAATGCAGGGCCTAGCATGACAGATTCTGCGAGACCTTTCTAACGCCTATCCTGCATGAGAAACCACCTCCCGACTTGGTCAAAACTGGACGACTTTTGGCAATCATGCAGCACAGATTTTTGCATGCTGCAGATTTAATTGCAATCTTCCAGACCCAGACATTTTTACACTTGATACGAATTGCTCCGCGGAACCGAGGTACCCTGCGGCGTTCACGTAGCAACAGTCGGAGTTCATCAGGCACTCCGTGAGGGGCTCGTGCAAACCCTGCGCGGCGTAGGACCGGTCTGCGGCCATCGGCGCAATGGCGGTGAAGTCGAGGTAGTCAAACTTGGCGTAGAAATGGTGGTCGATCCCGGTCTCCACGCGCAGGCAGGACAGATGCGCATCGGCGAGGTAGACCATTTCGTTTCGCGGAGGCGGCGCGAGCCCCGGATCCTGTTGGTGAAGCGGAAGCTCGCCGCCCGTGCACGCGGTTTTCGTCCAAATCCGGCTCTGGTCGAAGTTGCAGCCGGTAACTCCGGGCACGCCGAGATAGGCCTCCTCCAACTCGCACAGCGTGAAGCCGAAGTATTCACAGTGCTCGACGGCTTCGTCGTAGGTGCGCTTCTTCAGCGCGGCGCAGTACTTGTACCCGCAATAGACCTGCATCGAAAGTTTCACACTGTATTGCTCCAGTTTCGTGCTGGCGTCGTCTAACCCCTGGAACTTGTTCCAGCTGCAGCACCGCACATGGGCCGTCGCCTTCTTGCGAGACGTGCATTCGTTGGGGTAGTCCAGCCGAAAGGCGGGGGACCCTGCCGTCGTGAAGACGGTATCCTTCAGCTCGAATTTGATCTCGTTGTCGACGCCAACTACGGAGAGCACCCCGGACCGCAGGGCGTTGCAGCCCAGTCCCTCGCTATTATAGTAGGGGCAGATGATGGACGTGTCCGACGTCATGTCCTCGTAGGTGGCCGCAGTGGTGATGTAGTACTGCGAGGCCTGGTCTGGGTCTAGGTAAACCTCTTGCATTATCCTGAGGGAAAAGAAAAACGTCCCCATCCGTACGCAGCGTTATTAAGACGAGCATTTTGCTACCGATCAGAAAAAATAAATTCAAGTAGTCCACCCGGATGACGTGCTTAGTCTTGCAGTGGAATTGTGTATTTGTAGCTAGTGAGATCGCATAGACATCAATGTATCGGCGTATCCTGCTTCTAGCATGAAAATAAAGATAAACTTCATCTCCCTGATAGCATTTAAAGAAATTCAATGACAATGGCCCCCCTCCGGGGTGGCGAGAGCGCATGCGAGAGACACGCATTTCTTTTCAGATTTGTAGACTTGCGTGATAAGTCTGAGGTGGGGACGCTTTTACACACGATACGCATCCCGGCAGGCAACTTTTCGAACTTCATGGTGAGTTTGAGACTTCTCCCGAGGGTTTGTATCAGAATGAAAAGCGACCCAGCACCGTAATTGGGAAAGTTTTCTACTGCATAAGGTTTTCGTATTTCATAATGAAAAACTTTTCATCTATAGCTACACGTCGATCGACTACAACTCTTCGTTAGCGGCACCTTCGGCATAATTGCAGCACGCATCTTTTGGTAGGAGTTCTGCGCGAGCGCGTGCTAGTTCTTTTACTTTTTGCAGCACATACACAAGCTTTTACCAACATTCTCCTAGATGAAGAACAAGAAGAATCTGTGTTGCCGGAAGATGCAAAACGGGGAGAGTTTCCATCTTGCAATGCAAACGCTTTCCCTGTCTTGGGTAGGAGCAGCTTTCACTTCGATATGTTGGGGCAAAGCGGCTTCTTTCGAACCACCGCCAGCGGTTATTTTAATTGTCTCTGGCACACCTCTCGCCGTCAGAATGATGCTGGCTTCGGTGTCTTGTTGGCCCAGTGCGAATAGCTCGAAGCTGCCCAATGCCTCCTGCGGGCAGACGGTGCTGGTCCAGATGTGACGGCTGTCAAATCCACAATCGTCCTCATCGGGAACCCCGACCCCAGTGTAGATCTCCTCGATCGTGCAGAGTCGCATGTTCCAAAGCTCGCAAAATTGCATTGCAGTCTCCACCGTGTTATCAAATGCAAAAATGTCTGGGTCTGGAAGATTGCCAGATTCGTGTTCGTCATGCATATTTTGCATGAATGATCCAGAATTTCGATTTCTGTAATGCGTGACTTTTAGAGGGCTTCCTGATGCATATTCCGCATGACAAATGCCCTCCCCGCGTAACACAAACTAGACTCCTCTTGCTGATCGTGCAATGCAGATTTTTTTAGACTCCAAAGCTAGCGTCACAAGCTCCAACCTTCCAGAACCAGACACTTTTGCACTTGATACGTGTGTCCGGGCCTCTTGTAGTACCACCGAATTACCGCTGGTCCCCCTGTTACAGCGAAAAGTGCCCCCCACCGCCAAATTTGCAAAAATTTGTGATGCGAAGTTTCCAAATGCAAACTTCTTGTCGTGCATGAAAGGAGCACTAATCCTTCATCTGATGCAGAGTCTACTCGTGTTTCGCATCGCTTGCATGACAAGCACCGCTCTTGCTGGGACCTTTTGCAATGCAAATTTTTGCTATTCACGATCGGAAATCTGTGATGCTGATACATGCAAGAGGGCGAGTGTTTCATTTGGAAAGGTTTGCAATACAAATGCTTTTAAGTTCGGGGGTGGGGGCATTTTTCATTGTAATACCCCCTGCGCCTTCTTCATGCGTCTGATCACCCTTCGCACCGTTGTTGTCCTTGTACATCGGTCCGCGGCATGGATGGCAGTCGTTGTCATCGGTGCACCCGTATTGCGCCATGGGAATACTTGCTTGACTGTCCGAACAGCAACGTACATACGCGGCGCCTCCGCCCTTGAGGCACTTGGAGGGCGCGCTCAGTGTGCTCGGCGGATTCACGGCCGGGGTGCCCCGGTACTGCACCAGGCCCACGGGATTCCCTGCCGTTATGGCGTACCGTGTCGCGAAGTTGAACGTGGACGCATCCGCACTATCCCTCCGGTGTAAATCGTTGCGAAAGCAAAGGGGCACGTACCCACTTCCGGCATCGGTCTCTCCTTCCTTGCGCGCCGCTGCGTAGTTTCCGAGCGAGTCTCTGGTAAACCCGCCATTGTTGAAGTGGCACTGCTTCGTTGCGTAGCTGCAGTAACACCCGGGGGGTCGCTCGCGAATGTACGTGTGGGGGGCACAGTAGCCTTCTTGACAGTCCTGCACCTCCGTGCCGAACGAGCTGCCTTTCCAATCATCGTCAATGTGGTTGGCATCTGGTACAGTAAGATCTCCAGTGTTGGCGTCTGGCAGGTTGGGATTCCCGCCTTCGACCGAGCTGCTGCCGTACTTCTTGAGCTGCCCGGCTGCGTAGCCGCAGTGCCCCGCGGTTTGGATCACCTTAAACCCAGCGAAGTCGCCCGCCTTTTCGCAATTCATGTTGTCTTCGTTGACCAGCCAGTATTTTAGCACGCCGGGATTCGCGGGGAACGTACAGATACCGATAAACTGGTTCAAGACGCACTCTCCGGGTCCGTAGTTATCCAGGTTCTGCGGCGCCATGTACGCTCGATTGTAGAAGGTGCGCCAGTTGTCCTCGCCATCTTTACCGTGGTCGATGCGGAAACTGCACCCGGGTGGCGCGGTAGGCTCATAGTAGACTTGCTTGATGACCCCGTGTCGATCTTTCTTCTCCGGTCGGCCCGGTTGTCCGCACTCCGATGCGCCCATGGCAATCTGCATGACGAACGAGGAGCTTGCGTATTTCCGGTACAGCAGCCCTCCCAGACGCTCGCATTCCGTCGCCGACCCTGTAAAGAGTTCGCCGTCCGGGCAGACCGGGGATCCCGGGTCCCCGAAGAAGACGTGGCCCTCCTCGGCGGACAGCTCGTCCCCCGGAAGGGCCAGTGACTCGTCGGAGCGGCAAACAATCTGGTACATCTGCGCGATGCAATCCGCATACTTAAAGTACCCCATCGGGGGCTCGCCGGTCTTATAGTAGGGTCGCCAGGCCAGATGCGGCTTGTGGTCCCCCTTGCGGTCGTAGGCGCCCGTGCGAACCGAGCACCCCATGGGCACCTCGCCCCAGTTTCCGTCGCCGCACTGGCCCCCTTCGCCGGTCGCGATCTCCGGCGTCACGGGACCGCCAAACCGCCGCCGCAGCAGCAGAGCCTTATCGTCGCACTCCGCCTCGGTCACGGACTCGCCGTAGTCGCAAAAGGCCATACCGGGCGGTATCGAGGAAAGAGAATGCCTCACTGAATACTTGCAATGCAAATCAGGGCGCAGCGAATAGGCGCAGCTTGTGCCCTTGCTACACATGCAAAACAGTCTGTGCCTCTCTAGCCGTGTATATTTTTATCTCGTCTGTTTATTACGAGCACGCAGGGAAAATTTGGTCTTCTGGTGGGAACCAAGTGGTGTAGGTGTTCTGAACTACAAGGCACAAACCTTAGAAAAGCGCTATAGTGAAGCAGGTTTGATTTCGTGCGATAGGTGAGTGCGGAAGGTGAAAGTCGTAGGTGTCCCACCTGTTGGTGACAGATGCGGAGAACATGTCACGGCCGGAAGTTGACGTGCCTTGTCGTGTCTGCTTGCTCGTTGTTCTACTTGTTCCCGTCTTGGAAGTACTTTCAGAACCTTGTTTACTTTGCGAGAACGAAGAGGAAGAAGAAGACTCGGACTTCATGATCTTCTGCTCCGCCCCCGTTTGCATCAAGGCCGCGGAAGCGCTTTTGGCCTCTGCCGGTTCAACAGCCGCTGCAGGGTCGTGACCTGGTGAATGCGAAGTGCGCTGCTTGGCCTCTTGGCGTGACGCGTCGCCGCCTTTGCGCTGCTGGTGCGCGACGACATTCGGGGAAGCGGTTGAGATGGTCGCGACTTTCATGATATTCTTCGGAGTGTAATAGGGCGGATCCACTTCGCCCTCGCGTTTTGGTCGGGCCGGCGTTTCGCGGACCACCGATGCATGGACGCGCGATGTTGACGCGGCGGATGATGAAGCGGAACTGGAGACCAGGAGCTCCGTGTCGAGAGTGGGAGAGGCTGGTGTAACACTAGCATGCCGCATGTTGCCTGCGGCTCCAGAACCGGTACTGGACCGCGAGTGGTGGTCCTGCAACTCGTTTTCGTTGGATGACAACTCGGAATGAGGATCATTCCTGTGGTCAGCACCGTATCTAGTAGTTTGTTCTTTGCGTGGTCCAGCTGCAACAGTTGTCGCGGTCGGCACGGCCGCCAAATCCTCTTCGGGCCGCATCGCGGTCGCCAGCCAGGAGATCGCGAACGGATCGCCCCCCTTTGCCGCCACGCGGGCACGTCGCTGGGCCGCCCGCCTCGACTCGCGTCGCTGGAGCACCTTGGCGAACGCCGCGTCCCTTCGCGCCGCCTCTTCGTCAACCTCTAGCTGGTCGCGGACGCGCGTGTCAGGCGCGGCGCCCGACGACCCGTCGTCAAAGGCGTTGCTGTCTGAAGAGTCTTCAAATGAGTCCCTCACTTCTCGGGGGGCAGAAGAGGATGAAATAGATGTTGCCACCTTCTGCACGACCGGCGGGCTCGTCGACAGTCCGGAAGGGGGGAGCTGCGTAGACATTGCGGAGGAGGAGGCACTTGCACTCCTCGTCATCGACGCACCAGCACCAGTAGCGGATGAAGCGCGCTTCGCTTCCAGTAGCTTTCCCAATAGCCGGCCCCCGCGCCGCGGCCGCCTTGCGACGAGTTCCGCCCCACTAGTCGTGCCCTGAAGTAGATCTGGTCTTCTCCCCTGGGTCGTGCTGCCAGTGAGGTCATTGAACCCTGGAGTTGAAGAGGTCAGCTGCGTGCCTTCTGATAGAAGAACAGAAGTGTCAGTATTGGTGGACGCTGTGGTCTCGGATTGCTGTAGTACGGCACCATCCACCACAAGCGCCGCAACACTCAGGAGTAGCATGCCCGCCGCGGCGCATACCCGATGCAGAAGAACTCGCTTCTTGCTGCATGGCGACACTGCTCCAGCTCCTGCGGTGAGAGTAGCTCCGGGAAGCCGGGGACGTGGGCCGGAACCCGTGGCACGACGGGAGCAAGCCGAAGTGCCGGTAGGACGGAGGCACGGAAGCGCGGTTTGCGGTGTCGTGGACGAGGACCATGATCCCTCGCCGTCGCTTGTCGTCGTAGGAGGCAGCCGTTGAAGTAGAACACTCCTAGTACAGTGTAGTCGCTGCGGAGGCCTATCCAAGAAGAAACGATGTCGCATGTTGCTTTTGCACATTTTTGCAAAGTAAAAAGTTCTCTTCTGCCATGCGCCGGAAAAATGCAGTGCCGTCAATCTTCTTGATAAGCACGTGATTTCATTCTACTGGGTGTAGTGTTTCTGCAATTCGGGAAACATTTGGTGTCATGCCTGACAAATTTCTGATGCAAAACTTGCAAAAGTGTGACTGTGATGGTGTTCTTTCTTGCATATGGTCCACCGTCGACGGCGCTCTTTGTGCCGCGCCGCGATCGTCCACCGCTGGGAGTCGTTCCCGCAGTTCTTGCTGCTATCCTTTTCCCGCCCGGAGAAGTGCGTTTGCCGCGGCGGACCGACATTTTCACCATCGCGAGAGGGGAGGGACCCGTTTGACTTCGGGTCTCCGTCACCGATGGCGCTGGGGCAGAGATCGAAGAAGATGCACTGCTTTTTCGGTTCGGGATTTCCGTCCCGGAAGACGAATCAGCGAACCAAGGAGCTGTGGAGGTAGATGTCGACGTTGTCACATGTTGATAATCCGGGTTGTCCCAGCCGCGGAAATTTGCTCCCGATAGTCGTCGCGAAGTGGCGAGAGAACGTATCCGCAGGAAATTTATTACCGTACGCGTATTGCAAATGCGGTTTCGATATGGCAAACCATTCCTGTATTAATTCAAGCCTATTCAGCTTCAGCATGACAACTACATTTTATATTTTTGCATTTTGCATGTGTACGTAAAATAACACTTGGTATTTCGTAGGCCCAACTTCTACCCGACGGCCCGAGCAGGATGCGCCGCTCTCGTCGTGTGGGCCGGGAGAAAAACAGCCAGCGGGAGGTCCTCGTGCTGGAGGCTCCACTGTGCGAAAACTGGCTGTGGTGCCTCGCAGCGTCATGAACAATGTCCTAGCACTTGATGGTGACGACTCGAGAGCAGCTTCTTGCGGCGCTGTTCCTGTTCGACCAGTGTCCTCTACCGCGCGCATTGCTGTTGCTAGGCTAGCCGTCTTCGGGGTCTGAAGGAGCATCGTCCCGCTAGAGCAAGGGCTGTAACAGGGTAATGCCGAGGACGGGGTTGTCGTGGGCGGCCCCTCTTGATCAGTCACGCTTCTCTTGTTCCTGGTGGTTCTCGCCATCTTCCCCAGGATAGGATTATGTATCGTAAATACTTGATCTGGGTCTGGAAGAATTCAAATCCAACTTGTGACGCAGACTCCGGATTTTTACGCGGAGCTTTGTCATCTTGCATAAACGCAACAAAGCCCACTTGTTCTTGCTGCGTAAATACGACACTGGTAATGCGTGCTACGTTCCAAGGAGCATGCGAAAAACAAAAATCTGCAAGTAATGCTTTTCCGTGCATTGCACTTGCAGATCATCTGGCTCCGTGGTCCACGAGATGCTTGACAAACGAGCGCACTCTTCCAGACCCAAGGGTATTTGAATTTGCACTGGATAAGGAAGCACCAGAGAACTCGATGACGCACTGGTGGACGATGTCCGGGCTTTCACGCCCACCGACTGGAGGCTCCGGCGTGTAGAAGGTGGCGATGTAGTCAAAAGCAGAGGCGTTGCTCCCGATGATGGCTCCGCGCCAACACGACTGTGTCCCGGCGCATGACTGCTGATCCTCGTCTTGCAGGTCATGTTGAAGCTCACCTCCTTGACACTCGTCGTGCGCCTCGAAGCCGCCTCGCCCACCTCGGTCAATAGTCTGCTCGTCTTCCCGTCGGTTGTTTCTCTCGCTGCACCCCCACCCTTGGTGGTGCATTTGGAATCACACAACTTGAAACCACGTTCGCTAAACGAGTCCCCCTGCGGCTCATCAATATCGAGCAGCAAGGGGAAGGGGCGGCGATGCGGTGCTGGTGCTGGAGGCAAATCTTCACTTGTCGTGCGGATTGGCCCAGTGATTTTCATCGCAACTAGGCCAATAGAAGTTGAAGTTGATGCAGTCGCTCCGCGTGATATTGTCGTTGCTGTTTCAGTTTCTTGCTTTTTCTCCGTCCGTCGCTCCTCGTCCAGCTCTGCAATATGTACTACGTCACCTCGTATCCGCTGCAAATCCGTCTGGGTCTGGACTAGAACAAAGACATTTGTCAACAGATGCTGGGTTTTTGATTATATATGCTAGGTCTGTACTAATACACAGCAGAGCAAGAACCCGCTGGGTCTGCAGGCTCGATCCGCGACGCTCAGATCATTTGTTGGCATCTTCGCAACAAGTTCAGTTACAAGAATCCAAACCCAGAGATACTTGCAGTTCGTACCACCATCTTTTGTGCCACGGTAATTATGCATTGACTCACGCTCTGGAGGTCCAATTGCTCGTGCACTTTCTCCACTAAGCTGACATGTTGAGCCACCTGTTGTGGCTGATCCTTTGTGGTCGACGTTAGCATCTTCATCATCCGGAGCTGCGGTGGGCCTCGCTTGCGTCGACACTGCACCGCCATCACCCAAGGTAAAACTTGTCCTACGCATGCAGGTCTTACTCGTCGTATCCATTAGAGCTGCTGCTCGTCCCAATGGGGCTCTTGCAGGCTGCTCCCAGTTTGATGTAGTAGTTGCTTCGCGACCTTCTCGATCTGCGGCAACAGAAAATCGCTTGTAGTTCTTGGTGGCGGGTATCAAGGTCGCCGACGCGTGGCTTGCTTGATGACCGTAGGAAGTCCGCGTCGATCCAGTGCGGAGGGTTGGCCGCCAGAGAAGTCGAGGCTCGGCGACCAAGCCCTGCCCTCCCGATACTTCGCAGAGATTTGGTCTTTTCATTATTTCAGAGGAGTTCTGACAGCGTCGCGATCCCGATCCCGTCTCATATGCAACACCAGCGGTTCCTTTGACGTCGCCCTTCTTGTCCTCCACGGCTTTGCGCGGCGGTGAAGCGGCGGACTCAAAAACATTGCTTGTAGTGCTGTAAGCTGAGGACCAGGAGCGACGATCTTTCTCTGGGGGCTGCATGATCTGAATGTAGCTCAGCTATCGATCGCATTGGTTTTCGTTTTTAACATTATAAGTTCTTGAAGCCTTCAGCTTCACATAGTACAACTTGTCCATCTGTCTCCTCATCAACCATGCGCCGACATCAGCACTCGAGCTCGACTATAATATTTCTTCTATTAAACTATCACCAAAATGACAATAGAGATCAGGACGGCCGCGAGTACGCAAGAGTGCCATCTTCCCGAATAGTCAGCAATTTTACGCTACGTAGAATGGCATCATTTTTTAATAGGCAAAAGACTCTAGCTCGCTAGAGGAACATGATGAAAACATGAACTCCAAAGAAACTACAACCAAGTATAGGCTCATCTAATTCCGGGCGTAGATGAAAAAGCGCGGGCGTGTTCTAGAAGAGTCTTTCTATATATCAGAACAGCAATGCTCGCGAGAGAACAACGCAATTCATTTTTTTCTGCTCCATCCTGGATAGTGCTTCTAGTTGAAAACTAAAACTATGGGGTCCTCGTCGCGCAAACAGTTCTTTCTATGTACAGTGAAAAAATTAAATTTATTATGTGCAAGCGCGACTCCACATCGGTATTGATCGTCGGTGGTGACAGGCAAGACGCAGAAGATTTTTCGCATGCGCGTCTTGTACGTTATACTTTCGGTCGTGCGCAGTCATCAAGTGCTAGCTTTTTTGACAACGCGTGACGAAATTTCTGTGGAACACGAATCGCGCTCGAAGAGTCGTCGCACACGTTGAAGTTAATAAGCACAACGAAGATGAAACAAGTCTTTTCTTTTTTTTCTGCGCCGGCAGTTTTTTCTGTAGCTCTTGTGGACAGTCGCAGCACAGCACGCCGGGAGTACAGCTACAGAACTTGAATACATACTACGTGGAGGACCAGCCCCAGAGTTAAGTATTAACTTTTAGGATGGTCGCACGGTAGTTCTTGTGGGCCGTGTCAAATTTTTAGATCCACGGAGTGCGATAAAACTACTTCAGCGGCCTGCTCTTGTACTAGCACTTCTATTTTTATAAATCATCTTCAGCCAAGTATTTTTCTCGATAGCAAGAACACGCCTCCCTCGCACCTGACTCGCATGCTGAGGACTGGTCGCCGTCGCACCCAGAAGATTTATATGTACTAGACTACTAGTACTATCTATAGCAAAGATCAAAGAACGCTACAGCTCACTATCTCCCCGGTAGGAAATCCCCTGAGAAAAGTGCAACGGGACAGCGGGAACGGGGACAACGGGAAGCGCGAGGCAAGCGGGCAACACGGGAAACAAACGCGGGAAACACCAGGCGGGCAGCTGCCCACCACCCTCCCCCGACGCCCTCCCTCTGTTTGCGAGGGGGCTTGGTGGGAGACAGAGGGCGCCGCCGGCCGCCGCCTCTAGAAGGCTGCCAAGACACAAAGGGGGCGGAGGCGAAAGAGCTCGCCAGCTCACGCGCGGGGCGCAGCTGTGGTCCGGGGGTGCGGGGGGGAGGGTGGTGGGCCCCCGCCCTTGGAAAGCAATGCCCCCCCCCCGGCGCCCGTCCTCTATCAACGCGCGGCGCACGGCAGGGGCCCCAGGCAGCCGCTGCTCTGAAAGGCCGCGCGAGAGAGAAGAGTGTGGCGGCGGGGGCGCCAAGGCGTGCAGGGGCGGGGCGCACAGGCAGGCGACACGGAGGGGCCACACAGCAGACGCGCGGGCGGGGCGTCGCGCGCCAGCGCCGCGTATGGCGCGGGCTGTCCCCTTGCTTCCATTCCCCCTCCGCGGGCGCCCGCCCGCTGCCGCGCTTTGCGAGCGTTGTTGGGCCTAAGGCTTGCCGCCACACAAACGCGCGCCCAATGCGGGCGGGGTCCTCGCGCTTGCGCAACGACGGGAACCACGGCGGCTGTAGCGCTCCGCCTTCGTGTTTTGAGCAAGAACGGCGCAGAAGCTTGGCCCCGCCCTGCATTAAAAATTTTTTTTCCCTTGCCCACCGTCTGGCGTTTTTCTTTCCCCCCTGTTTACTCGTTCACCCTCCCACTGCGCGACATAAGCTGCGGCCTTGTAGCAAAGATGAAAGAACGCTACAACTTACTGTCTCCCCGGTAGGAAATCCCGTGATAAAAGTGCAGCTTCTAGGTCGCACTACAGTGAGCCGCAGTCGCAACATGATAAGGACTTCCGATATAGTACCAAATATAGCCGCCGGGGCGGAGGTAGTGAGGTCGTGGGCGTTTTCTTGCCGGCCACCGCCTTGGCCGCGGCTTTGCTTTTTCTGGGCTCGCCATACCGCCGTGAGTAACGTTAGGCCGCACGGTATGGCGGCCGCTTGATAAACGTCGCAAATTTTGGCAAATTTCCGAAATTCCTTTCCGAAGGCCAGCCCCAATGCTATGGGGCCGATCCGGGTGCCACGGGGGGCGCCCAAAAAGCGAAGAAAAATCGGGCCCATAGCATGCGGATTGGCATTGCGCCTCTTCGGCGCTTTTTCTTTTTCGCGTTTTTATTTTTCACGCCGGCGCTTTTTGCAAAGCTTCCCAGGCTCTGAAACCGGCGAACAGGCGGCCGCTTTCGCGGCCGCCCAAAATGCTCTGAAATCGCGGCCGCGCCATGCTGTTTCGCTGTTCTGATTTTGGGCGCGTTTTTTGCGCGCCCCTTTTTGGGCGCCCCAAATCGCCAGAAACCAAGGCGGCGGGCGCCTCAAAAGGGCGCCCCTTTTGCCGGCTCCCCAGCGTCGTTTTATCCAGTGCGAATCGATAGAATTGGCTCGGGCTTGTTTGACGGCAAAGCCCCGCCCGCTTGATAATTGAAAATGTTTTATGTCCAAAAACACTTCCACCCGCTTGAAAGCTGACGGCCGTTTTGCTGTCTGGCTGTCAAAAAAACTCCCCGGCTAGAACCGTTCGGTGACCTCACTACATACGAAATCCTCACGGACGAGCTGGTGCTGGTGGCTTTCGTTCTGCTACAAAAATAAACATCTCTACATGGTAGTGATAGATGGTACTCCGAGTCACCAACTCCAGAAAGTGCGACTACAAGTAGCGACCCAACAAGCTTGCTCGTACTTGTTCTCTACGCGACTCGCAATGGACTGACGACTGCTTGACGCTGTTACAAGCAGCGAATGCGCATCATTCTTCTGACTTCCAGGCTGAGTGCAGATTACGAAGCTGATGTCCAAATGACAATAGAAGTGCGGGAGCGGGAGCCACAAATAAGCCTTTCACTAACTAAGACTATTCGAGATACTAGAAAATTTCTTGGAACAATGAGCGCCAAAATAATACCATGGGCAAGTAATTGAAAAAAAAAAAAAAAACGCATCGAAAAATATACACACTGTTGGCGCAACGTCAGTCAGGGCCAGTCCGGAAAAAAAATACTTGATGCGTCCTGTTTATCTACCAAAATAAGTAAATGAAACTCAGCTACAAAATTACGAAGAAGTGGCCGCTTACTGCATCTTGCAAAATTGTACACGACCGTAAAAATGAATTTCTGTTGCTATTGGTTCGTTTAGAACGACATGAATAAATAAAAGCATTGCTTTCATTTACTTATATTCCATATTATCAGATTGACGGTGACGCCTGCCCTGCAAAATAGGGTCTGTAGAGTGAGTAGCTTGGGAGTGCAATCAGTGCTTCGCCAAAGCCTAACGTAGCACAGAGCCGTGTCAAGCGACATGCAGCAACCGCGCAGCAGGATAGCAATGACGGAATGCATCTGAAGACCCGGCTCTTTTCTAATCTTGAGTGCGTCGGCGGCGTTCCCCTTCCGCCAAAAAAAAGCATGGGGTGCTGGCAGACTGCGAATTCTATCGCTTCTTTCAAAGTGCGCCGTCTTCGAAAAACCAGAGCCACTTTTACGCGTATCTATAATTCTCGAGATAGATGAGATTATAACGTATTTGCATTTAGCTTATCCACGACTGCTTCAGTTTTGATTGGTTGATGTACTGAAAAATACCCTGCCAGTGCTCTAGTGCTTGCTTTTCTTTCTTCTTGATGTTGCAAAAAAAAGTGAGACGCCAAAAGTATAATATGCTTATAAGCACTGCCCTTCCTTTATTTATTTAAAACGACGCGCGCAAAAATTGTCCAGCTTTTCCTGTTTAAGTACTTGCGACAATTGTGGCACATCAGTCGACTGCGAACGGAAATCGATCTTCATGGTGCGCACTTCCTATCGCGGTGATTGCGGTATTTCTACGGGTTTGAAAATTTCGATTCCGCAAATCGTCATATAGTAGGTGTCTTTGGTGCCCTATCCAAAAAACAAAGTGTAAGTGCCACAGCAGGTACACACTTATAGTAATTAACTTCGGCAGCACAGACTTTCTTGGCATGACAGAAAGAAAATGCAACTAAATGCAGATGCTCCCATGAGAGATGGGGAATAGAAAGCGCATGAGACAACTAATGAGCTCCTGAGCACATAATCTAAGCAGCGTGACAGACCTTCGCTGTTTTGCTTGGCCTACATAGACGATAAGTATGTGTAGTAGCTGTGGCGCTTCTATTTTCTCTGCATATGCACACGGTGTAATGTCGCCGCCGCGAGTGTTCCTCGTTTGCATAAACCGCGGCGTCTCTCTCTCCAGCATCCCACAGCCGTATACATTGCGAGCATGTATGGGTCTGGAAGAGTGCAAGCTTGTAATGCTGATTTTTAAACACAGCTGCAGAAATCTGTCTCACGTAGTCATCGTGAATGTTGTCGCATTTTTTCACAAAGACAGGGCACTTTTCATGCGGGCTAGGCATGGAGAAGCCTCCGCAAAGTTGTGGCGCTCTACGTGTATTGCAGTTCTCGCTACGCATGCAATGGAAACAACACAAAAGTTTCCTGCATTCTTCAGACCCAGAAAACAAAGCTGTGGTTGATACGCCGGCATCGGATGCAAAAGTATCGCGCTCGCACCAATTGTGATGGCGGGTATGCGCTACAAATCTCATTCTAGCGGAATACTCGCTTCCACGCTACCGAGCCTATTGCTCGAGTGAGTGCAATCTACTTTAAGTATTATAAGGGTACTTGCAATCTACTTCAAGCATGAAGATCGACCCCGGAGGGCGACATTGGTAACCAAATGCGTCGGCGAAAATGTAACCAGCGCGAAAGCCAAACCAGCCGGCCCGGCGGAGAAAGCGCGGCCCTAGGGCCGCGCTTTCGCCGCGCGGCTGCCAGCGCCATTTCTTTTGAATTAGAATCCCACTTCTTCCTCTTGAGCAGACTAGGGCCCACGTGTGTCGCTTCCAGAACATGGCCGCGGCCGGGCGGGATGTCAGTCGACGCTTCTAGTTTTAGTGTGTAGCACAAGTTGAAAGCAAACACGACGCCCATTGGGGTCATCGGGGGCTTCCGGGTTTCTATTCAAAGTCTATCGCAGGAGCCTGCGGGCCGCCGCGGGCTCCACCACTTCCCCGCGGCCCGCGAAGTCCGGCTATTTCGCGGCGGAGCATTCTTTCTAGCCCCTGCATGACAAACTGGCCCCTGGCCAGGAAGGTATGTGGCCGAAAGGGGCAAGCCCCCCCCCCGGACCCCCCCATCCTCCATCGCCGCGGGGCATCCTTTCTACCCCCTGCGTGACGAACTGGCCCCCGGGCCAGGAAGGTACTTGGCGGGGGGGGCCCATCCTCCTTCGCCGCGGGGCATCCTTTCTGCCCCCTGCGTGACGAACCGGCCCCCGGGCCAGGAAGGTATGTGGGAAACCGCAAACCAAAGAACCTTGCTGGGCCACCAAAGTCGGCCACTTCAGACCCGGGGAAGATGCCGAATTTCTGCCCACAACCCAGGGCAAGTGGGAGCTTTGTGACATACCCCCGCCCCTTTCTACTGCACTTGTTTTTTTTCCCAATCGCGATGGTATGGCGAAAGCGCGCGCCCCGCCGGACCGCCCGTGGTGGCCAGCTTCTAAGCCTGCCAAGGGTTCTCGACTTTTGCTACTTTTTCCTTTTTTTCCAAGTTTTTAGATGACCGAAGGGCTTTGCACATTTTCGCCGCCCGCATCTGACGGGCAGTTTTGAAGCCTGCGGAGGGATTGCTCTTCTGCGCATTTTTTTTTCTTTTTCCATTTTTCAGGTGGCCCGAGCGACGTGCACACTTTCACCGCCCGCAGCTGGCTGCCAGTTTTGGGCGCGCGCATTTGGTTGCCAGATTATCAAAAGAGGTCGACGAAGATGGGGGAGGGGACGCGGAAGGCCTTTTGAGAGGGGGGCCCAGAAGGGGTGGCGCCAGTATAGCCCGCCGAAGGGCCCACTCACAGCCCTTCTTGGTTCGGGGCAAGAGGGTGCAGAGGTAGAAAGAGGGCCAGCGACAGGGAGGCACCTGCGGAGACCTTCTCGGCGACCTGTCGGCCACCACCTTTGCCGGCCTCCATTCCAGAGTATACCCGGACCATTTTTAGGCGCGCACCATGAGAGAGGTAGAAAAGAGGGCCAGCGAAAGGGCGGAAGTCCCGCGACTCGCATGGAAGGGGAGGGGCCGACTCCGTATCGGCCCTGCCTTAGCACAGAGCGAAACACTTGAGCGCCCAGAGTTTTTATTTGCCGCCTACCTCGCTCCCCCGCACCACGTCCCGGGCCCATCGCTCGTGCCCACTATCACACGTCCTTCTGTCATACCCAGGGACGGGGCACAACAACAAAAAAAGGAATGGGTGGCGTGTGAGAATAGGCCGAGAGTGATGTGGGCAGTTGAGTAAATAAGAAGCGCCTTGGTGGATGCGCTGCCTGCGGCGTCCTCTGTTCGCCCCGAGTGTTCGTGGCAGCCACCTCGTGCGACGGGCGCCAAAGACGCGGAAAGCGCGCAGACACCCTCGCGGGGCCACATGGTGCAGCCAACCGTCGCGCGCCCCTCCAATGTGTTGCGCGGATCTCTCTCGCGGTGTTCCGTTCGCGTCGCAAATGGTTCTGACCCCGTCGTACGGCCGTGCGCCCACGCGCTAGCCGGAGCATGGCTTGGTCCTACTGGTGCTATACTTTTGCAGATCATAGCCGGTTTCTATTGGCCTCATCCCACTGGTCGTGCAGACAGTGGTCCGAGCGTATGGAAGCGCCACGAACGAAATCGACAAAGTTCAAGCGAGCAAGCATACAATAGATGCCAGTCGTGCCGCCTGTCTCTAAGCCGAGCGCGACAAATTTTGGAAGCGCCTGCGGCCAATTTGTCACGCAGCTTAGGTCAAGGAAGACTTTATCATGTCCAGTCGCAGCTCTATTTCTAAGGCTAAAGAGGGTAAAGCCCGGCGTTGTTTGCCTGCTCTCCATTAGTGCAGGCCTACCGTTTCACCTGCTTGCTCTTGGGTTTTATCCATTACAAATTTTTTGTACTTGTTTGTCGTCTCGGTTCTGACACTTGCGTACGGCGGTAGGCCTGTGTAATGCGAAGCCTCCCAACGTTCGTGCGGTCCACCTTGACAACCGTGCCGCGACTGGAAATTTGGCCAATGCCGCCAACGTCGCCATAGTTTTGTGATTTCCACGCGACGTGCTGCTTTTGATCACTTGCGTCCAAACCCTCCAGGTCGTCTTCAGGTTTAGCGTGCCCGAAGATCTCGTAGGCCGGCAGCCTGTTGTTTTGATCGTAAAACAGCCCGGAGCCGGCCACTGCACCGTTTTTTGCCTCCCAGATCGTGATGCTTCCAAAACTCAGTCGATCGCCCAATGAGGTCCGCCTGCGTCGCGACCACCAGTCAGCTGTTTCATCGCGATTCCAAATGCGCACAGAGTCTACCGAAACCCCATTCTTGTAGGTGTCGCCATTTCAATATGGTGGCATTATATGCAGAAAAGAAAATCCTACTACAGTTACACCTGGCGACGCAGAATAACCAAGCACACAGGTAGCTGCATCATCCGGGAAATGCTAAGGGAGGCAGTTTCCTGCACTTTTTCCCTTATCATAATCTCTGCGTGTGCACTAAAGATTCTTCCTTTCATGCAGACCAAATATGAGCGCGCTGCAAAATCTGGGTCCTGCAAAAAAGTGCAGCTGTGTAGTTGTCAGTTCTTCCTGCGATACGTCAGGTGGGGATTCTAGTAAGCAACGACGAGGCCGCGGCTTTTTCAATATTCTATAGAAAGATCTCAGAACTGCACTGCAGCATTCCTATTATAGTTCCTAGCATTGAGCGGGGGAAGTTTTGAGGTTTTGCAGAGAACCAAAAAAAGGGAGACGAGAGGGGACCCGCGGGATTGGTTTCGCGTTTGCGATTTTTCGTTTTTTTTTTTTGGTTTTTGGGTTTGGCAAGGGCAGAAACGTCAATCACGGCTGCGCGGTGAATGGCCAAACTTGCAAGCACGTCTGCGCGGTGAATGGTCAAACTCCAAACACGGCCGCGCGACGAATGTTCAAACTTGCAAGCACGGCTGCGCGGTGAATGGTCAAACTTCAAACACGGCTGCGCGGTGAATGGTCAAACTTGCAAGCGCGGACGGCTGCGCGGTGACGGGTCAAACTTTAAACACGGCTGCGCGGTGAATGGTCAAACTTGCAAGCACGGCTGCGCGGTGAATGGTCAAACTTCAAACACGGCTGCGCGGTGAATGGTCAAACTTGGAAGCACGTCTGCGCGGCGAATGGTCAAACTTCAAACACGGCCGCGCGGCGAATGTTCAAACTTGCAAGCACGGCTGCGCGGTGAATGGTCAAACTTCGAACACGGCTGCGCGGTGAATAGTCGAACTTGCAAGCGCGGACGGCTGCGCGGTGACGGGTCAAACTTTAAAAACGGCTGCGCGGTCGGTGAATGGTCAAACTTGCAAGCACGGCCTTGCGGTGAATAGCCAAACCTCAAACACGGCTGCGCGGTGAGTGGTCAAACTTGCAAGCACGGCTGCGCGGTGGATGGTCAAACTTCCAACACGGCTGCGCGGTGAATGGTCAAACTTGCAAGCACGGCTGCGCGGTGAATGGCCAAACTTCAAACACGGCTGCGCGGTGAACGGTCAAACTTGCACGCACGGCTGCGCGGTGAATGGTCAAACTTCAGACACGGCTGCGCGGTGAATGGTCAAACTTGCAAGCACGGCTGCGCGGTGGGTGGTCAACCCTCAAACACGGCTGCGAGGTGAATGGTCAAACCAACTTGCGAGCACGGCTGCGCGGTGAAAGAATGGCCAAACTTCAAACACGGCTGCGCGGTGAATGGTCAAACTTGCCAGCACGGGCTGCGCGGTGAATGGTCAAACTGTTGAAATAGAAAAACGGCGGAAAGACGGAAAACGTGCAAAGCCCAAAGACACAGGACGGAATGAAATCACAGCGAATGGCCAAACTTTCGAGCGCGCGAGATATGACAAAGACCGGAAACGGATGCGCCGTGGTTTTGCAAATTGACAAAAGTTTTCAAGTTTCGAACGAGAGCTGCGAAAAGTTTCAAAGCTCAGCGCTGAGGCGGGATAAACACAGAACACGCGCCGAAGCAGCGGAGGGCGGGTGCTGGGGGAGGGCGGTGGGTTCCAAAAACCAAAGACCAACGAACCAAATCCGCGCGCCATCTGTGGCCAAGCGCGCCTCCTCTCGATTCCGGTGATTGAAACGCCAAACGCCGGCGCCCTGTGATCCGTAGCGAGCGAAGGGGCGAGCCCCTCCACTTCAAAAAACGGACCCGCCCGGGGTCGGGCGGTTGCTCCCCCGCCTCGGCGGGCCGCTACGGTGGAACGAATCCCCACGGGCTGGCCGCGCGGGCGGGCGGAGCGAGTGGGATGGCGAGGGCTTTGCTCTCGCTCGCCCTTTGTTCGCTGCCCGCGCCCCGGCGGGCCGCTTCTGGGGGCGCGTAATGCGCTACGCCGGGCCGGCCTCGCGGGCGAGCGGAGTTCCTATGCGTTCGCTCCATCCGGCGCGACCGGAGCGGGCGTTGGTTTTGCGCGACCCACCTGGTTTGCGTTCGGATAGGGGCCGATCCGCCTCGGGAGCCGCCGCGGCGGGCATGCTGTCACACGCCTCGCCGAGCAGCTGCGCCGGGCGGCCACAGTTGTTTCGTTCTTTGCCCCTTCCCTCGGCGTTCTTTGATCCGTTCGTAGTGAGCGAAAGGGCGGACCCCTCCACGTCACAAAACGGATCCGCCTCGGGTCGGTTGCTCCCCTGCCTCGGCGGGCCGCTACGGTGGAAGGAATCCGCACGAGCTGGCCGCGCGGGCGGGGGGGAGAGAGTGGGCGTGCGGGGGTTTTGCGCTCGCCCGCCCTTGATTCGTTGCTCGCGCCTTGGCGGGCCGCCTCTGGGAGCAGGTAGCGCGCTTCTCGGGCTGGCCTCGCGGGCGAGAGGTGTTCGCATCTATGCGCTCGCACCACCCGACGCGACCGGCGCGGGCGTTGGTTTTGCGCTCCATGGTTTGCGTTCGGATGGGGGTCGGTCCGCCTCGGGAGCCGCCGCGGCGGGCGTGCTGCCACACGCCTCGCCGGGAAGCTGCGCCGGGCCGCCGAGGTTGTTTGCCCCCTCCTGCGGCGTTCTTTGATCCATAGCGGGCGACGGGGCGAGGGGGCCCCTCCACTTCAAAAAACGGATCCGCCTCCGGTCGGTTGCCCCCCTGCCTCGGCGGGCCGCTACGGTGGAACGAATCCCCACGAGCTGGCCGCGCGGGCGGGGGGGGCGAGTGGGCTCGCGTGAGTTTTGCGCCCGCTAGCCCTTACTTTATTCGTTGCTCGCGCCCCGGCGGGCCGCCTCTGGGAGCGCGTAACGCGCTACGCCGGGCTGGCCTCGCGGGCGAGAGGAGTTCTTACGCGTGCGCTCCTTCCATCCGACGCGACCGGAGCGGGCGTTGGTTTTGCGCGCCCTGATTTGCGTTCGGGTGGGAGTCGGTCCACCTCGGGAGCCGCCGCGGCGGGCGTGCTGTCACACGCCTCGCCGGGCAGCTGCGCCGGGCGGGCGAAGTTAGTTGTGTTGCTTGCTCCCTCCTTCGGCGTTCTTTGATCCGCTCCGTAGTGAGCGACGGGGCAAGCCCCTCCACTTCAGAACTACGGACTTCAAGCCCGCCTCGGGTCGGTTGCTCCCCTGCCTCGGCGGGCCGCTACGGTGGAACGAATCCTCACGAGCTGGCCGCGCGGGCGGGGGGGAGAGAATGGGCGCGCGAGGGTTTTGCTCTCGCTCGCCCTTTCTTCGATACTCGCGCCTCGGCGGGCCGCCTCTGGGAGCGCGTACGTAGGGCGCTGCGCCGGGCTGGCCTCGCGAGCGAGAGGAGCTCTTACGCGCTCGCTCCATCCGACGCGACCGGGGCGGGCGTTGGTTTTGCGTGCCCTGCTTTGCGTTCGGATGGGGGTCGGTCCGCCTCGGGAGCCGCCGCGACGGGCGTGCTGTCGCACGCCTCACCGGGCAGCTGCGCCGGGCCGCCGAAGTCGTTGGCTCCTTCCTTCGGCGTTCTTTGGCCCGTAGTGAGCGAAGGGGCGAGCCCCTCCACTTCACAAAACGGACCCGCCCCGGGTCGGTTGCTCCCCTGCCTCGTCAGTCTGCCGGCCCCGGGCAAGCGGGCGGGTTTTAAATGCGAGTTAAAAGGCACTAATCCGAAAACGCGAAGCCCTGAACGACAACACCAGGGGCAAACGCGAAACCCTAAAGCCAAAGAAGGCGGACAAAGATGGCGCATTAAAATGGCCAGGGCCCATGCTGCCGAAAGACCCAGGGAAACCCACCACACAGAACCCAGCAAAGCCCCAAAGCAGCCCGGCCCTACAGGCAGGGAGAAAAAGGAAAGGCTCACGCTACTCCCCGGCTGGGAGGTGAATCACCAAACGGCCCCACCGGGCAAAGGCGGCACGCGAGGCGCTGCCCTACGCGAAAATAACGCGAGGCAACCGGCCAACCACAAACAAAGAAAAAACAGGCCGCCACCCCTCCTTCTCGGGTTTGCTACTTCCACGCCTGCGGATCCCGGTTTTTGCCTGCCGAAATAATCGCGCCACACACACCCCCCGCGAAGCGGAGGTGACGCCCCCCCCCCTGCCCTCGCCATGATTCCCCGTTGAGTTGCTTTAAAATCGGCGTAGTTTATGTTTTCAATTAAGTTTAGTTTTTGTTCAATATTTGCATTAAAATTTGCTTTAATTTGTTACACACTGAAATCCCTAAGGATTTCAATGAAAACAAATTAAAGCACATTTTATTGCATTTTTAATGCAAAGGTTATTGCAGCGGTTATTGCGAAGGTTACTGCTGGGTTTATTGCAAACCCAGCAGCCCCGCGCAACAACTGCCTCTCCCTGTCGGCCCGCAACAAACGGTGGCGCCCCTCCGAAAAAACCCCGGGCGCGGGACGGCGCCAATGCCGGCTGGGGCAAAACCTGCTGAAACACCAAAGCCACCAGCGCCGCGAGTCGCCCCTTCCCGAACACGGCGAAACCACATCGGCCGGCCGAAGACCCCACCGGCCCACCTGCCATCCAGATAGAACCCGGCGAAAACAACCCGGGAACTGGAAAGAGAAAAGACACGCGGCGCGCGTACGCCTGCGAGGCGGGCAAAAACTCAAACACAACACCCCGGGGCCGTGGGGGCACAAAAACGCAAAACCGGCGGCGCTCGGCCCTCCCTTCCTCGACACCGGGGGCCACGTACGGGAAAGCGACAAAAAGGGGCCCGGAACAGGCAGGCCACGAAACCGACGAAACAAAACCCGCTCCGGCTTTTATATTAGTGCTCTTTAATGCTGATTTTAGTGACCCGAATTTGCCAGGGGCTGGCTGCCTGAGCCTCGGCGGGCCGCTACGGTGGGGCGAATCCTCACGAGCTGGCCGCGCGGGCGGGGCGGTGGGTTAGGGTCTTCGTTTTGTTTCTCCGCGCCACAGCGGGCCGCCCCCGGGAGCGCGCGAAGCGCTACACCGGGGCAGCCTCGCGGGCACGAAGTCTGCGCGCGTCGCCCTTGCTGCGCCCCGGCCTTCGCTCCGCGGGTCACCTCGGGGGCGCGCGCGTCTTCTCCGAAGAGAATCCGCCACACACCTCGCCGGGCGACCTCGGCGGCGTCGGCATCTGCGGCCCTTCGGCCGCTTTCGTCTTCGTTTTCGCGGGTCTTCGGCCTCGCGCCGTGCTTTCTTCGGCTCCTTTTTCCGAGATACGTCGCGGCCGCGCCTGTATTTTTACCCCGCCCAGGAAGGCGGCGCCGATCTCGCTCTTTTCATCGTCTTCGCGCTCGTTCCTGTGTTTTCACCCCGCCCCGGGAGGCGGCGCCGCTCTTGGCTTTCGTTTTCTTCCTGCGCGCGTTTCTGTATTTTCACCCCGCCCAGGGAGGTGGCGCTGCGGTCCCTCTCTCCATCGTTCGCTGCCTTCCTTCGCGCCCTATCGGGCGGCTTACTTCCCTCCCCCCCGCCCCTTTCTTCTTTTTCGGTCTTCCCCCCCCTTCTCCCCTCCCCCTTTTTTCTCTAGTTCTCAAAACCTCGCACGACACGATTTGTCTCCTTGTATGTTATCCAACAAGGAGTGCAGAATCATACGGCGCCAGCAAGGCCAACAAGCTCAAAGCACATACGGAGGCTGCCGCGTACACATACTGTAAATTTACTGGCCAGCCCCCTGCAACAGAGATATGCGCAGCCAACCTCAGTGGTACATACATAGATATGCACATCCAGAGTTTGCAGTCAGGGTCAGGGAATATGTAGCACTTTATTTCGAGCACAGACAGAAAGGCACTCACTTCGCACATTTCGCGAAGCGAAAGGCAATTATATGATGCAGAATTATAATGATACTACGTCGAAGTCATCGAGTAACGCTAAAGCGGCCCTCCTCGAGTTCAGATGCACAATGGCCAGCATTCGTTTCCTTTTGCGACGCAGGCCTGCGTCGTACATTGCTCCTGAAGTGGAGGCTGAAGCCCACGCTGGGCTTTTGTGCAATGCAACCAACTCAGTTGCGACTGCGAGTCTCAATCTCTATCAATCCAGCACGCCACTTCGACCATTTCCCACCAGGCACCTCCATACGAGTGCGTCCGGCGTCAGAGTCACCTGCCACCACGCTCTTCGCTTCTATGAAAGAGTGCGCCGCGGTGGTCGGTGTCAGTGCTGCAGCTGGCAGATGATTTTACATTTTTGGTCGGATCTATTTATACAAAGATTTATACTTTGTTCTTTCGTGACCGTCCGTGGCGAAAAATGCGTCTGCGTCATGAATCACACATAGTGCAAAATCAACGACAACTACACGCAACAGTAACAATTTCGTCCCAACAGTGGATTACTCTGCTGGTGCATCAGATTTGCATGGCGCAAGCTGAACCTGCGCACATGCAAGTAGTCTGCTTGAAAAGGGTCGGCTTCTACTTCTGTCACACTTCCACCGAGCAGCAGCAGCACTGGGGCGCTTCACTTCATAGCTTCCACCAGGACGCTCGCGTCCACACGTTCATGTACTGCGTCCCTGCAGCCGCTCCGGTTTGGTTAACGCTTTGTGCTTCAGGAAGCATTTTTGCGGCGGCGGTGTAAAAGGTTTCGCGGCCTCCATCAAAACCAGCGTAAAAACTCGCGTCGCCTAGCTTCTTTGGTTTCAAAAATGCTTTTTGTCCCAAATCGTACCTGGAACTTTCGCAAAGCCCTGGCCCCTCGTCACCATTATCCCACACGTTTTCTCGATAGCGCACGGAAGGAAAAGTGCTATAGCTCTCATCATCTATCGACTCGCCCTCACTTCCGAAGGCGAGCGACCCTCGTATGGCGTTCTCAGCTGTTACATTCTCAACTGTTACATGAATTTGTCATGCAGAACTACCATCAAGATCCACACGAGGAAGCTGCTTCGCATGACAAATTTGCGAGAGCTCAACAGCACCTAAATCTGTGCAGAACTTGTAATGCTAGAGGTGCAACCTCCCCCCTTTCACTTTTGCAATTCTTGCATCGCAAATTCATGTAACAGCTGAGAATGTAACAATTGAGAACGCCATACCTCGGCGGCGACCAGTGCCTTTCTCTGTGCCAAATATCGACTGCAAATATGTCGGAGTCTTATGGATGAATGCAGCACCCCACGTCCCGAGAGGTTGGCATTGTCCGGGAAGTGCCTAAAAATCTAGAATATGAATCGACCCTTTTGGTGACATCAAGAAGAGGGCAACTTTTGCTGTCCTTCCATCATCATCATCATCATCATAACATAATCATCATCAGAACACTGAGTACCGACAGGGAGGGCCCTGCGCTAGTCATCGGTGGAGAGTTTTGTGTGATCTAAAACGCGCGCCACAAGCTTGTATACTATACTTTGAGACCCAGCAGCTGACATATTTGCGACGCATACCACAAGCGAGACATCGCCCCCCATGGTGCCCTTCAAACTCCGCGTGCAGGTATTCGCCGTCCCTTTCGCCCTTTGCCCATCCTTTGTGACAGACTTGCCAGATGTGCTCGGTGTGGGAGCAGTAATTTGGCCACCTGGTCGACTGCCCCCGTGCGTAGAAGAGTGGGAGCCCTACCCTCCCACGCCATTGGATTTCCCCCGCACGCCGACGATTCTGCGTGTATCCGGACCCACCCTCGCGCCCGACTATTCCAGAGAAAAAAGCCGGCATGCCATAGTGACAATTTGCACAGAAAGTAACTTTGTCACCTACACCTGCAATCGGAGCATGCCACTCTGCTGCGCGTACTCTGTCTGCGGATAGGTTTTTGCATAATGCCAGAAGCTGTGACACTCCAGCTTTTTTCTGTGCGATACCGACAATACCGTACTGATCCTGATCGTCCGCTGTCGGAAACTCGCTTGCTTGCCGATATGCATTGCAATATTACAAGCATCACGCTCCCGGTACTTGAGCTCTTTAATAAATTTAGTACATTCTATTCGGCGCGTTCGCCTTAGCAGTCGAAATTATTGGAAGTAATCCATTGCAAAGCATATCTTTCCTGTTCTATAAGTTAAGATGTCGCACAGAATCATGACCACATTTGCAATTTAGTTTTCGCGACAGAGCGCTACTTGTTTTGCACAGGATAGCCAAACACTCGGATCAATTTCCTCCACGACGGATGTCCAGCGGAATATGGAAGCGCCAGGCTGAAAATCAACAAAGAGGAAAGAACTTGGGACGCATCAATTGGACGTCGGTTGGGCCCCTAAGGCTTTTTCCGAAGGAGCGCGGTCACGCTGTTCAGTGCGCAAAAGAGCGCGCTCTTCATGCTAGCTCGCGCGTTATGAACAGACAAAATGCAAGACGGGGCACGAAAAAACCCAGACATTGGCGTGGTGTCGCGGTCGTTTTTTTCCCCATCTGGCCAATTCTTGTCCAAAAAGGCAGCGCTTTCGCCCGATCTGGCCAAGAAATGGCCAGAAGGGAAAAAAGGCCGGGACATCGCAAGAATTCTTGGATTTTCTCGTGTCCCGCTCCCGTTTTGCATTTTGCCCATTGTATCGCGCGCAATCGGAAGTCCTAATATGAGCCTCGTCAGGCTTACAATCATAGTGCCTCAGTTCCCCCTCATGCAACGCGAGCAACATTCTGCGCGTCGCATAATTTCGTGCAAAGCCATCGACGTTCTCGCCTAATATTTCTTGCAGATTTTATCGAGCCTGATATTTCCATACGGAAGAACTGGAGGCCACAGATGGTTATGTATTGCTGCCTGTGGGGGGGAACAATATAAATCCGGCGGATGCTATGCGTTGCAGATTTGTCTGGGTCTGGAACAATGCCGAGCTTTGGTGGGCTGGTCGGATGACGTGCGTCGCCGACGCAGATTCCGCCCTCCATAGAGCGAGGTCCGCTGGAGTCGGCGCAACACAATGCCAGAGGGGCGCGATGGATCGAGGAAACTCGTCACGCACCTTCTTCATGCCACCACTCGAGGTGGAGGAGGAGGTCTCGTCTGGAATAGAAAATTATGTGTCGCCTGTTTTGATGCCAATACTTCTCCATGCTTATCCCGCATGTGCGGTCCGTTCTTCATGTGACAAAAATTGGACAAGTCTTGCTGTTCACGCAGCGCAAAGCTTTCTGTCCGCTAGATGTAGATTTAGTGTCCTCAGACGTTGCAATTATCTATGTTCCAGACCCTGAATAAATATTTGCAATTCATAGATGCGCTCCTGTCGTTTCAAATTGAAGAGCACCACGACACCACTTGCGGGGACCGCGCCAATATCTTCGCGACCTCCTTTATGAAAGCGTCAGGCTTGACGAAATCGGCAAAGTTGGAGAAATAGCTGACAAATACAATGACATAAAAGCGGGACCATGCTGGCACAAAGTGCCTGTCTTTCATGGAGAGGAGGGGAGGCTGGTTGTAAATCTCTTTGTGGTCGTGAAAAAGACAGCCATACTAGAGGAGCATCATGACGCAAGCAGCGTTCTTTTTCCCAAATAGTGCGACAAATCGGATTTAGATGCTGCCAGAATGTGTCATGCGCGCCATAGAAATTGCGGGCCCGAAAAATGGTGTCGGTTTTATGCAGGGAAAATCGTGCCAACTTTGTTGATTCCGAGCTTGGCGCTTGCATACCCTTCGCCGTCGACAGTCATGTCGGATAGGTGCTTCCGAGAGTCCGGTACGTTTTGCTGGTATCTATCGTCCACCACGAATCTGTATGAACTGCAAAAGTAACGCACTATTGTAGGTTGCATGAAAAATGTCCTCAGCATGAGAACATTAATTTTGTAACGCTGATTTTCCTTTGGGAAAAGATTTGTAACGTCACAAGACTTGCATTTAACGAGTGCGATAATTTTGCAGTGGATAATTCGTCTCGGTTCCTGCCACGGTTCGCGTTGCCGCCGACATACTCGTCTGCAACATTATCATAACCTCCTATATTCACGGAATCTAGCTGGACGTAAACCTTTGCATAATTCAAGCGCTCCTGACAACAATCCCCACGGTTGTGAATTCTCATGCCATATATCGGCACGGGAGGAACGAACTCGTACACGTGCGCAGTGTAGCCCCGCTCTTCCCACTCCGAGTGAGAGCACGTTGCAGCTGCGATCCAATTACCTTCCGAGTCATCAACTGAAAACTTATGATCGGACTCCGGGGGGGAGTTTAGTGGGGCCCATCCCGCCCCAGTGTGGTCCTTTCCCCAACTATCGCCCAAAAAAGCTGCTACTTCACGCACTGTAACGAACTTGCGTGGAAGGCTTGCATCATATCACTCCCAAGTCCTGTGCTCCATAGGTATATGACGACGCTGGGAGTAAGTATTTGTCTCAAGAGGCTTCTGGCTCCACTTCCCAAGTCAGCGCAAAATTCTCGAAAATAAAAGCGAAAGGCTATTTTTTCGTTTCCTTTCGAAGCAAGGCGCCGCAGCAGCGAAGAGTCTGGCGTCGCTGTCCGCCGTCGATATGCGGGGTAGGGCGTGCGTTTCTGTCACTGCAAGGCCCGCCAATGCAACATCACCGGGCTGGGCGGACGCAAAGCTTCAGCCCCTGATATCGCATAGACCGAATGAGAAAAAAACCGAGGCAGCGGCCCCTTTTGGGCAGGGTGGGCGAGGAAAACGAGGTCGGGCGGGCGGCCTTTCGAATTCCGGCCCGGGTGCCAGAGCGCGAATTCTGGAAGCGGAAGCTCAAAATTCCGAAAAACTTCTCAAACTTCCGCAGCAAAATTTTATGAATTTTAAAAATTCCGAAAAACACCTTGGCCCGCGGCTGGATTGCAATTTCCACTGTGATTTCCCTTTGCGCTGCTGCGCCCCCGTTTTTGTTTTGTTTTTCTTTTTTTTTTCGCCCGGAAAATCTTAAAATAAGAAAATGAACAAAAGCGCGCTGCGTTTTCAAACAAAAACCCTTTGCGTTTTCAGGAATTTTTTTCGCTCGCTCGGAATTTTCAAAATTTATTTTGCGCAGGTGCTACTGCGGAATTTTTGGGCTTGCGATTTTTCCGTGTGAGCAAAAAAAATTGGCCGCGCGCCAGCCGGCGCGCGCGCTTTTTCTGTTTTTGTTCTTTCTTTTCGCGCGCGCTTTTTCTGTTTTGGTGTCCGGCTTTTTTTTTCTGTTCGAGAATGTTCACACGAAATTCCTCAGACAATTGCGCAGAGCTCGTCGGAGCGGCGTCATGTAGAGGAGCAGCTGTGGCGCCAGAAGATAGTCACCCGACTGTCGGCTGCAACAACACCCAAAACGGTCTGCCCATCCGTCGACCAATCGACGAAAGAAATTATGTATTCCCGTTTTTTTCATTTTTCTTCTACTTGGGATTGGAACCCAAAAAGTTTTCTTTTTTAAAAGTAGAACAGCGTATAAAACATGCATAAAAATAAAGACTCATAGGAGCGGCTCTTGTTCTGAGGAAGTGCGAAAGTCAAGAGCCTGCTCTTCGTCCCTTCCACCGCGGTTTAACGCTTCCAGCATGCGTCTTCCGGACTTGTTCCTCTACTCTGGGGACATGACATCCACTAAATGAAATCTTTCTACTCTGGGACTGGGGTCTGGGGACTTCTTCCACTACTAATGAAATTGAAATCTTGCCACGGACACATCCTCCAGGAAGAAAACGCGCGAGCAGGCCACGCGCTTTCCTGTTGCATTTACCATTCAAATGAGTGAAGCAGTTTCGTCTTGCGATACCAAGTGTCGTAACTCCAATCGCCCTCCCCCCACCAGTAACGCCGCCGGCGAGTGTACGCGTCAGTTCCTATGTCTATCGAATCGCGACGGCGAGTTGGGTTGCCAGACCAACCTAATTGCGACGGATTACTTGTACACATGTACACATGTAAGCGTTGCGCGCGTGCTTGCTCGCGATTTTGTGCATTTCGTGCAGCGCACGCACATTTACTCCTTCCCCGAATACTGACCCATGCGCGTGTGAGCGTGCACGCGTAGAAAGGAGATCGTCGCGCGCGCACAACCGCAAGACGCATAAAATCGCACGCACGCACGCACGCAAAATTCACAGCCGTACTCCCGGCGGCGAAAGGCAAAGGTTCTGCGCCGGTCTTTGTGCCAGTACGCGATCCTCCGGTCTATTTCGTCTACCTTGGAAACCACATCGCCGTAATCATCGCGCTCAATATGGTCGTCGTTGAGGCCCTTCGACATTGCCACGTTGTCTAATCTTTGGCGGATGAGAGAGCCCCGGATCTCTACCTGCTGGTGCATGTGTATGGTCGCCCCATTATACGTGGTCTGTGTTCTGCTGCTCCATTCGTACGCTTTTTCGTCCTTTTGCACAAACCCCGTTTTGGTGTTGTCGGTTCCGACTTTTTTTCCCGCTTTTCCATCGGCCGCGTATCGTATGATTGGGTTCGCGTTAGCGGGGCCCACAAGCTCCATAACGCCTAGGTTGTTGCCGGAGCGCCTCCGGCACTTATTCCAGGGCGGCCAGGCTTCGTGCGCACTCTTTCCAGTTCTGTGGTCTGCGTCGGTGATACGATCTTCAAGTAGGTTATGCAGCACGTCGTCTCCCACATCCGAGTAGTTGTAACCACCCCCGCTGTTGAGCGCCTCGGGATGGGGTCCCCACTGAGGAAATACCACTTCCGGGTCCGGGGGCTGCAGTCTGAGAAACCCGTTGTCGGGGTCGACTGCGGGCAGTTCGGCGGGGCCGGTTCTCGGAGGTCCGGCCGGATGCTCCGGGCCGTACGGTGTCCAATGCACTGTGTGTCGCACGTGCTCGTACATCATTTGCCAGGGAACATCCTGCAACTCTTTCGCCCCTTGCCGGTAGTACAGGGCATCGAGAGCCATTCCGATTGGAAATCCCGAACCCATTTCAAACAACATTTGGTCGGGTGCTGTCGGCAACCTCATCGCGCTCCCGCCCTCAAAAATGTCGCATGCGTCCTTGCGAAATAGCGTGCAGCACTCAGCACCAGAAGGTTTCGGTCTACAATCTCCCTGCTTAGTGACTCCGCCGTCCGTGTAGTATGAACGTGCAAAATGCAAAAGGGGTCAACCTAAACAGAGAAGTTTTTTCGTTGTTTGGGCAAAAAAACTTTTCATTTTCGGGCGTATTTGCCGGCACCAGCTGCCCCTTCTCCGCGCGATAGTGGATCGAGTTGCGCGTGTTAGGTTGCGCAAAAACAAGACTGATTGTCGTGTTAGAGGTGGTCGCAGGCCTTGCGCAGTGCCACAGCTGGCGCGATCCCGCAGCGCGCATCTGCGTGTGGTGCGGCAACTTAAAGACGCAACTCGCTGGGCGGTTGGGATGACGCATCTCACTCGTGGCGCGCCAGCTGTGCCTCTCAAGCAAGTCAAGCGTGATGGCCGCTGCAGTTGCATCAGCCTCCTGATCTGATTTTCGAAGCGCCCTCTCGCAGAGACCGGCCAACCCAATCTACCGCAAAGCAACTCCAGCGAGCTCCCTTGCGGAGTTGCTCCGCGGGTTGCCGGGGAAATGTCCAGAGCTATTCTCGGACGCGAGCCAGAGTGCATCCACATGCGGAAAAGGGTTAATCCTGGCCCGGGGTTCGGACATCCCGGAGCTTGCCCGGCACAATGTAGCAGAGGTCTCACCTCTCCCTTCCCCGTTCGCCGAATGCCGCTCAATGAGAAGAATCTTCTCACTTTGGCGATTTTTTTGCCGGATTTTGCCAAAACTTCGGCAAAGTCCGGGTTTTTGGCGAAGTTTTGGCAAAATCCGGCAAAAAAATCCCCAAAGTCAGAAGTTTCTTCTCATCGAGCGGCATTCGGCGAAGAAGGAAAGGAGACGAGAAATGTCGGCTCCAATGTGTCGCGCAAGCTCCGTGATCGGCGTGAGCCCCTGTCCAGGCTAAGCGCCCTCCCACATGCGGATGCGGCCTGTATTGCGTCCGGAGATGATCCTGGACACTCTCAAGGAGCAACTTCGCGCGGGCGCTTTCTGGAGTTGTTTTGCGGCAGACTGGGCGGCGCGGTCTCTGCGCAGAGGATTTTCGAGTGTTAGCAAACGCAAACGCTGGCGCGCCTCCAGCTGCCAGCTCCTTGAGAAACACAGTTGGCGCGCCTCGGCGGAGGTGTGTCACCTCAACCGCCCAAGCAGTTGCGCCGTTATATAGGTTCGCGCGCCACCTGTTGAGACACCTTCTAGGAGCGCTTCAACTGCAGCACCGCGCAAAGCTAAAGCCTGCGACAACCTAGATAGAGCGCGGCAGCCAGATTCGTTTTTGGGCACCTTAATACGTTCGCAGCATTCAATATTGCGCGGTGAAGGGGCACCTGGCGCGAGCAAATACGGCTGAAAATGAAAAGTTTTTTTGCCCAAACAGCAAAAAAACTTCTCTGTTTAGGTTGACCCCTTTTGCATTTTGCACGTTCATACCGTGTAGTAGCGCATCACTTTGAAAAGTGCCCCGTTCCCCGACGTGCGAAATGTGTATCATCCAAAATTGCCAGGAGGAAAGGGAGACCTTCTGTCCTGCACGAAAATGCTAGGCGCTCCCCTCACCGGGATTGCCACTGTCAACGTGCGACGTGGTATCTTTTTACATGGCAAGGCCCGCGGCTGTTGCTTGGCCTTTTTCCAGCACAGATGATGCTCTGCTGCTTCGGAGATCTGTGCTGCTGCCATTCGCAAGGGCAACAACATTGCGAACGTTCTTTTCGAGCTCTGTTCATCTACGAACGCAATGCGTTGAGTTTGGGGCACATGCACGGGCGCGCCCGAAAAAAACAAAGACAAAGGACACCCGAGGAGTGCGGCGCGTTCTTCCTCATTCGAAAGGTTTGCAGCCTGGACGCGCACGCGAACACCAGGCTCCACTAGTGAAGAAAGCACAAGACGAATAGCAAAGGCGGCGCGCCGCGCCTTGCTCTCTCGCACTGAGCCTCCCCTATGCCGGTTTGCAAGACAAGCGCCGGCCTGTGGCTTAAAATCGCCTACACGGGCCCAAGTTTAGCAATTATGTGCCGCAAAAAGACGCCGGAACCATCGAAATGGGCGCCGAAGTGGAAGCGGGCCGCCAAAGACACTGAGATACGGGCAAGCAGGGCAATCAGAAAGAAGAAAAGTAGCGCCCTTGTGCGTGCTCCGGGGCAGCCATTTGCTCGGGCGCGGCGCCACAACGGGAAAACAACAGAAGCCCTACTGCAGGGCTGTCGCGTTAATCGGCTACGCCCGGTCTGTGCCTTGAGCGGAGCAAACACCCTGGTGCACACCGCCGGAAAGTGGGCAGCTTGGCCGCCTTTGGCGACGGCCTACAACAAAACTAATAACGGAAACAGCCCCAGCAACACCAACTGTGCGCGTCTTCGTCTTACTATCTCGGCAATGTATTTCTCCCTTGCCTCGTGCTCTTTCTTGAGTTCCGAACGAGCGTCGCAATGCACCAAAACGACACAAAGCGGCCGAGCACTCAAGCTTTTCTGCTAATTGCGGAACTTCATCGGGGGGGGCTTGGTGAACATGACAAAAGGCCGACGCCGCGATAGACCAGCACGCAATGGACCAAAAAAGGGGCGACGCTTTTCAATGTGATAAAACACCAGATCTTCTCGTGTTCCGTTCCCGGATCCGGATTGCAGCATATTCTGAGTCAAAGAGCCCCCACCCCAGAAGTACACTTGTTACGTATATTAATTCCGCTGCCCATGACGTCTCTCAGGCGGCCCCGTATGAGAAGCATTCACATTTCCTGGCGGTGGGTAGTTTGGAAACCTGTCATGCGCTCGTCAGAACAAGAATAGAGCGGATTTTGATGTGAAGAGGCGTCTGGCCAGGAGTTAGGTAGCACGACCACACTGCTCAGCCAAGTTCGCGGCGCATGAGCCCTTCCGAAAGTTCTGGATGTTTCTTGGGGCGTTCTCATTTTCACTATGAGGAAGGGACGTTTTTACCCAGGCTACGGCAGTAATTATGATCCTTGTCTTATAACAGGCCCAGATGTCGAATTCAATGAATTTTGAAAAAAAATGTTTATCTTTATTTGCTACCGAAAGGGCCTACATAGTTACATTACAAATAGCTACTAATGAGCTTGAGACTAGCTAGCTCAGAGTCCGGCTGCGGCCTTGCGGATGCGTGTACAAAAATAGATAGTTTTTGAAGGCGCTCTCGATAGAGAAAAAAATTTTCGAAAGCTGTTGAATTCGACATCTGAGCCTGTTATATGCCTGTAGGGACGGCGCCTTCCTCAATCGATCGAAATTTGTCGAGCCCATTGAATGGGGTCGCGACGTAAGTGGTATGTGCGCTCCAATAATCACACTGCTGTCGTGTGATCTCTCCGCTGGTGTCATCTACACCAGTATCTGCGAAATCCTGGCACTGTGAAAGTTTCAGATCGGAAAGCGACGATGTGGAAGTGGGCACTTGGGACGCACAAAATGCGAACCGCGCAGGGCTTGCGTTGTCTCGCAGAGAAGACAAATGAGGCAACTGTGTGCCTGTTTATGAATAGCGATACAGATGCTGATGCAAACGAAGGAGCACGATAAAGGAGCCCCTTTGTGCCCTACACGGGAGAACATACTGGATCGAAAGACTTCCAAAATTTGTCACAGGTCCCCTACCACTAGTGGGCCAAGGGGGGCCAAGCTGCGCAAGAGAAAGTCGATTTTTTGCACTACAAATTATTTCCATGATTTTGTCGATTTCCAACGAGAGACTCTGATAGACACCCCCTGTAGTGTACGCCGAAGCCACTGTAGGCGTACCTCTCGTCACTATCCTACAAAAAAGCACCCTCTCGCGCCAGACGACAAGATGAAAAAACTCGTGACGAAAGTTCCGCTTTTCACAAGACAAAAGTTATGCTTTTGTATCTGTCGATCTTTGTTCCTCATTACGAATCTACTTGATCATACTTCTCTAATCACAACTGTGACTGTCCCATATTTCGTCTCGTGACAGTCGCCATTTTGCATGACAGGTCTTCCCCCCCGCACCTCTTCTGGATTAACACAAGCAAGTTCTTTGCGCCACACAAACAACAGGCGCGCTTTTTTTTAGGATAGTCGCAGTTATCGCTGTCCACTGCCGATAACGAAGAAACATCCCGCTCCAGCATATCGCCATTTTTCATGGAGTTCTCGAGCGTTACATTGGCAGCTATTACATGAATTTGCGTCGCAAGAATAAGAGAAGTAGGCCGTCTCTGAAAGAAAAGGGAAGCACTCTGTATTTTTTGGGCAGACATATCACGAGAAAAAAGTGTTTTACAGTTACGCATTTGTTGGAGTTTCTGCATCACAAATTTTCTCTGTGTGGCACAGAAACCTTGTAATGCGAAGATCATAACAAGGGAAAACAGGAAGGAAACGAGGCTCCCAAACATTTCCTGCATGAGAGCGGTTGTCTGTGTTGCCGGTCTTGCAACACAATGTGTAGCTGTAACACTTTTATTTTCTTTCGATAAGACATGCACGCTACCTAATAAAGCGCGTCGATCGAGGGCGACGACAAGAGCTTGTAGTTAGAGCTTTAACACCCGTTAGCATGAGAAGTGGCGAATTTGTGGTAAATTTTCAATAGGCGTGGCCCTGTGGGGTTAAATTCCGGTCGGTTGGTTGGTGGGTTGGTCGGTTATGGAAGTGACACTTTGAGCCGAATCCGCTGCGTTGTGTTTTGTGTTTTTCTACTGACATTCATCCACTATTACTGTTGAAGCTGCCGACCTACCCACCTACCTGGCGTCTTTTCGATTCGTTGCACTACCGTGATCGCACCGACCCACCTACCCACCTATCCCGCTCCACCCAGAGGAGACCGGTGGCCACGCCTACCGACCTACCCACCCACCTCGCTGGTGGGTGGGGCGAGCGTGCGCTGCCTATTGGCCACGTCTACCGACCTACCAACCGACCCACCAGCCTGGTGGGTGGGCGGGTCGAGCGTGCGCTGCCCATTGGCCACGTCTACCGACCTACCGACCCACCAGCCTGGTGGGTGAGCAGGGCGAGCGTGCGCTGCCTATTGGCCACGCCTACCGGCCTACCCACCCACCAGGCAGGTGGGTGGGTTGGGCGAGCGTGCGCTGCCTAATGGCCACGCTCAACGACCTACCCTCCCACCCACCCACCTGCCTGGCGGGCGGGTGGAGCGAGCGTGCGCTGCCTATTGGCCACGCCTACCGACCTACCCACCCGCCTCGCTGGTGGGTGGGTGGCGCGAGCGTGCGCTGCCTACTGACCACGCCTACCGACCTACCCACCCACCTGCCTGGTTGGTGGGTGGGACGAGCGTGCGTGGCCTATCGGCCACGCCTGCCGACCCCTCCCACCCACCTGCCTCGGCACGGGTGCGCATACGTTGGCCCCGCCTACCGACTTGCCGACCCACCTGCATTGGCACGCTTGAGCATGCAGGTGCCGCCTGCTGGCCACGCGTGCCGACCTACCCACCCACCTTCCTTGGCAGGGGTCAGCGCGCGCCACCCGGTGGCCACGCCGGCCTGCTGACGACCTCCCCACCGACCCACCCTCCTACGTACCCGCCTCGGCGGGGGTGCGTGCGCGTTGCCTGGTGGCCACGCCTGCCGACGAACCCACCCGCCCACCTGCCTGGGTCGGGGTGGGCGTGTGTTGGTTGCCTGTTGGCCGCGCCTGCCGACCTACCAACCCACCCACCTGCCCTGCCGGGGGTGGCTGCCCGCCCGGCCGCGCGCTGCCTGGTGGCCTGGCCCGGCCTGCCAACCGACCCACCCACCCGCCTGCCTGGCCAGGGGTGCGGTGGGGCTCGCAGCGTAGTAAAGCGACGAGATTCGAAAAGTTTCGCCCGCTCGGCGTCACAGCGCAAACTTGCGTGAGAAGGAGTAGGGTTCACAGAGTTCCGGGGTGGGGTTCAATTAGTTTCGGGCAGGTAGCGTAGCCTGTGTCGCGATGTTCCCGGCGGGCAGAGGTCGCGCCACTGCACGCGCGAGTAGGAAGCGCGCGACAGCCCGGAACGTCCGCAGAAAAGGGTGGGGATCCTCCGCAGCCCTGACTGGAGTCGCGTCTAGTAGCAGGAGCAGCAGCGCCCGACTGCGCGTACGTCTAGGGGTGGGGAAAACGACCCCACTAAAGCCGCCGTAGATTCGTGCCCGCACCCATGGGAAGCGTGGGCGAAGCACAGCTGGTTGCGTCTCAGGTGCTGCTCGACACTGTGCCGCTGGCTCGGCGACGGCACGGCTTAGTAAGGCAAATATAGGGTCAGGAAGTATATGCAGAGTTTCATCCAGTTCCAGCGGGACCGGGAGGAGACCCGGGGTAGTATGCTCTGCGCCAGAGTTTTCAGCTGGGTCCCCAGGTGGAAATCCAGCTGGGGATGCTCCTCGCGGGCATTTTCAGCTAGGGGCGCTCTTCGCCGGCTGCGTTTTCAGCTAGCTATGCCAGATATCACGGTCTCTGAGCAGTTCCTACACAAGATCGAGCGGCCCGCTTCTTACTCGCACTCCTAGCCTATGCGTCCTCCCGTCCGGTCCTCGCGTCAAGAAGTGCACGGAAGGGTGGGTCGGTAGGTTTTCTGGCGCCACGCTTCTACCGTGTCGGCCGGTGCATGAACGTCACCTGCCACCACAGACGAGGCAGTGCTACCACTAAGGACCACCGACCGACCGACCTACCGAAAAGCCTGAGTGGACCAGGTGCGCGAGTTTTTTGTTGTGATTCCCCAACAAAAGCACTTCCGTACTTCAATGGGTAGGTAGGTAGGTTGGTAGGTGCGAACGTACGTAGACCGACATGTTGTTAGCACCCCGTAGAATGCCTATTTCAGTCCCCTCATCATCCTCATTGCACAGCGCGTGTTCCATTTCCCAAAAAATCCCCTTCAAGTACAGCTGCACTTGCGTCGGGCCGAATGCGCGCAACTGGTGTCAGCCGCCGGAGCCGTCCGATACTAGCGGGTCCGTTTCCCGAATTCTCGAACTCGGTTCCACTTCCACGTCACATGTCCATAACCAACCGACCAACCCACCCGGCGAAAGGTACACAGGTCGAACAGAAGCTGCAACACATCCGGCATCCGCAACCAAAGTCAGTGTGTCCAGATATCAAAAATTCGGCTCAAAGTGTCACTTCCATAACCGACCAACCCACCAACCAACCGACCGGAATTTAACCCCACAGGGCCACGCCTACTCTAAATTTTGCATGGCAAATTGCAGATGAGTCCGCCAGGACGTTGTCCTTCTTGTCTTTCTGGGAAATGGGTTCTACTGCACACCGCAGAAGTCAAGGCTGATGCGGCGGGCAGCTTCTAGAAGACATGGCCTGGGTGCCGTTATTTGGCCATGTCTATTCGTCTCCCTGTGCTCGCATAAAAGCACTGCAGCAGCCGCGGCAAAGTAAGACGCCAAAAAAAAAGCGCTGCGAAGCGCATGCAATTAGGCAAGAAGGCGCGGACCAGGCCGAGAGCTTTGGCAGGAGAGTCTATCCGGCAGGCGCGCGAACTCTCCAGGCCTTTTCGGCAGAATATAGACGGGCTGAGGGCAACAGAGGGCGCATGTCTTTTCCCCTCGGCCCGACTTCCCAGTGCCTACCTGCGCACTTTTTTGAGCACTTTTCTGCGCTAGCGTTTGCTTATCACGGTCGAAAAGGGGCGCCCGGTGAATTTTGGGGTGAATTTTGAAAAAAGTGCCGGCGAATTTAGGCCTGCGGCGCATGTTAAAAATTCGCTAGCGCGTGAGAAACTCCGGATTTTCAAAAAAGTTTCGCAAAAAGAAAAAGCCTTAAAATTCACCAAGAGAATTCTTGACCTGGGGGTCACGTCGAAGAAGACTGGAGGACCCGACCAAGATGAGGCAGGAACACAGCTGGAGAAGCAAGAAGATACAGAGAAACGCAGGCGATGCTAGAATCCATTGCAACATGTCTCCACACATCCAAGCCGGGCCGGCAGCGACTCGTGAGAGCTACCCATTTAGATGTTGACCCAGTGCCCCTCTCCGGTTGAGGCTTCGGCCCCCTCCCTCTCGACCCACTATGGACTCCGCAGAGGCAGAGGTGTATTGTGAGACCGCCACAAACACAAGCCGTCTTTGCTTCTTGGCAACGCACCAGCACCAGTCGAGGTCGATCGGCGACGACAAAATGCAAGCAGCTTGCTCCTGTGGTGTGAGGGCTGAGGCTGACGCGAATCCTGCATGATGGCAAATTATGTAATAGCAAAGAACAATGCAACGTCTAAGAGTGTCATACTTTTAAAACCCGACTTGTGGATGGCAAAAGCACTGCAGGACTTCTCGGCATCAAATACAAAAATATCCGGGTCTGGAAAGAAGCTGACTTTGTGTTGCAGCTGTTGCCTTACCTAGACGGTCCGAAGGCGCAGACTGATAAAATGCGATAGAGTTACACGGTTTTCTAGAGGACTCTGCATACCTATTGCGTATTGTCAACAAATACCGATTAAAAATTCTGAAGGAGAAGGACTCTACTGAATGCCTATACAGAAACGAACTATTCGCGTGTTAACAAAAGAGCAACCTTCGCTCCGACTGCAAGACGCATTTTTGTGCGACTGACAGAAAGCATCACATGTCCTGCATCTGACCCAGACATGTTTGCAATGCATAGTCTGAATCTGTCGACGATTTGTAGAACTCGCACGCTTTGGCACAGGTTTGTATCGCAAGAAAAAAGTGGTTCTCTGTGAAATTGTGAAGTCTTCATCCACGATGCATTTTCTGCATTTTCTAAGAAGATGCAGAAAATGCATCGTGGAAGTGTTTGTGGTCTGGCACACATGCTGCAAGACCGTTCATTTTTATCCGCCCTTCACTCCATAAAGAGGCTCGACGCGTGGCAGATTTCTTTATCATCCAACGCAAATAACTTGTGTTGTAGGCGACCTTGCAAAGTCGTTCAATACGCCAGAAGTGAAACACTTTTATACTTGTGGTATTCTGCAACGAAACTTTAAAGTCCTTTGCCGTCGTATGGGAGTGTCAGGATTGAAATCGACAAAGTTGAAATGATTTGCAATGCATAAAATCGACACCAATTGGAGGCCCAATTTTCCATGCCTTGCAATTGATGCATGAGAAATTATCTCAACTTTGGCGATTTCAATCCTGAAGCTTCCATACGTCGTTTGTCCTCCGGTCTCCGAACCATCGGGGACCAATTATGGTGCTCTCAACTGTTACATTCTCAGCTGTTGCAGGATTTTGTGATGCAAGAATTGCAAAAGAGAAAGGGGGGAGGTTGCACCTCTAGCATTACAAGTTCTGCACAGATTTAGGCGCTGTTTAGCCCTTCGCAAAGTTGTAATGCGAAGCAGCTTTCTCGTGTGGATCTTCATCTTCATGGTAGTTCTGCTTCTGCGTGACAAATCACGTAACAGCTAAGAATGTAACAGTTGGGGACGCCATACCAATGTAGTGTCGGCAGCAAACTTGTCGAAAAACCCAGATTCCTTCCCAAAGTCTCCGCCGAGAACAGTATCTCCGCTGACTGCTGTTCGATTGCTTGCAAGGTCTCCGCAAGGTCTATGGCGTTCTCAAACGTTACATTCTCAACTGTTACATGAATTTGTAATGCAAGAGTGGCAAAAGTACAGGAGGAAGATTGCGCCTTTTGCATTACAGATTTGGGACGGATTATAGTGCTATGTAGCGCGTCGAGAAGTTGTCATGCAAGGCAGGCTGGGTCGTGTGAATAGTGATAGTGTTTTTGCATGACAAATCATGTAACAGTTGAGAATGTAACGTTTGAGAGCCCCATAAGGTCCAAGCCGGAGAAATCCTCGAATCCAAGGGAAAAATCGCCCTCATACTCAAAGTCATCGCGTACATACTCGATATAACACAATAAACGCCCTCAAACAGAATGAAACTGCTTTCGCTATGGGCAGCAGGGCGCTTCCGCGTTTCCAACTTCTCAAGCGCTAGGGCTGCAGCGCGATCATCTGTCACGTGTTGACTCTTCTCCCAGGTGGGGCTTGTTTGGCATATCGCGCCAGGATATTGCACAACCCTATTTCCTTAAGCGCTGCGCCCCCGCCCGATCAAGCTAAACGGTTCTCCCTACGCCGGGGCCCGGGGCCACGCGAAGTGTGGCGGCTGATGCGGTGCCCAGCTTTTCAACTGGGCCCGCTCCGGGCTGTTGCGGGCTCTGGCGCTGGGGGAACTTGCGGAAAGGCACGGGCCACCACTTCGCGAAGATGGCTCGCGAGGCTTCGAAAAGCTGTAGCCACAGCTGCGCCACACGCAGCTGGCTCGGGCACGGCCCGAAAACGAGGCACGCCGTAACAACGGGCAGGCCCCCCTTCGCTGCCAGCTAGGATACCAAACCCGGCTCACCCAACCGCCACGGAAACAAGCAGGCTACACATGGGCGAAGCGCAACAGGCGGTCCGCTTCTGCACGGTTTCCCCCGCGAGTTAGTTACCCACCAGGCCCCCGTGGGCAAGAAGCAAAAAGAAAAAACAGCACGCCGGAAGCCAGCAGCGCATGAGCCCCCTCGCTGAACTATGACCCGAGAGGCCGGCGCGCGCGGGGTCTTGTCGTGGGCCAACGCCTGGCCTGCGCTGGTCCATTGCGTAAGTGGGATGCCTTTGCCCGCGCCAGACCACGCGCCCACTCGCTTGGAGAATAAAAAAACTCTCCGGGCGCCCGACGGCGCCCGAACTTTTTCGAATTCCGGAGCCGGAACTAGTAAAAGTTCTGGCCCCGGCCTTTTTCGAATTCCGCAGCCGGAATTCGCGAATCCACTTCCGAAGCCGGAGAAATCCTCGAATCCAAGGGAAAAATCGCCCTCATACTCAAAGTCATCGCGTACATAATTCGTGCCCGTAATTGCATTACATCTTGCCTCGAGGCACGGTGGGAGCGACGGGCAGCGATATATTACGGGCACCAAACCTGTCATGCTCGTGCGCACCCGCCCACATCAGAGACGTGAGACGTCTGCAACATGCCGACTCTGTAGACCGCCACGTACCTGCTCAGGCGCAGATCTAGAATAGGTAGACAGTGGCTTCGAGGCAAGACAAAGCTCTTGACCACATCTTGGCGGTACAAATAATTCCTCTTTTCAATATGAGTGCTGGGGCGATTGTGTTACGTTTCTTCTACAATATTACCCCCTCCGCCTCCACCACTACCTATGACGACATCGGCCTGCGTGCTGCACATACTCCACGCTGAGTGGAGAATCAGTTTGTGGGTTTCCGTATGGAATGCAAATGTTGCAAATGTGTGGTCTGCTGGGTCTGGAAGGATACAAATTACTATTGAAACTGCAGCAACTGCCCAAAAGTGATCATTTGGGGGGTGTTCCGGGGTATGTTTCGACCCCTGTTCCGGGGTATCAATCACGAGCTGAGTCGGCCATTTCCTCATGCACCCCCCAAAACATACCCCACACCTGACTCCGGAAAAGTGACGTCCGACCCGGGACGTCACTTTTTGCGAGTCAGCTCCGGCCCCGAACCTCACTTCCGCAGAGTCGCTCCCGGGGTATGATCTGGGGTGTGTTTCGGGGTGTGTTCTGGGGTATGTTTCGACCCCTGTTCTGGGGTATGTTACAGACGCGGAAAAGCGACCCGATCATGCAAAAAGTCCTGTCATGATCATCAAAAGTCCTGTCGTGCAAAAGTCCTGTCATGCAAAAATCCTGTCATGCCGAAACTCCTGTCATGCAGAAAGTCCTATCATGGTCATGCAGTCGCAGTGCTAGTCCTATCATGCAATAAGTCCTGTCATGCAGCAGTCCTGTCATGACCAGGCAAAAAATGTTGCAAAAGTGAGCCGATCACCGAGTCCATTTTTCCGCGTCAAGTCTTATCATGGTGAACACCTGCGCGACCATGATGGACGCCAGGGCCTGAATTCCTGCCCTCGCACGACCTGACTACGCCGCCAAGCACAGCCAACCAGCAAGGGGCGGCGCGACGGCGAGGAACAGGGCCAGAGCCAGAGAGACCGAGGGCCGGGGGGGCGGCCTGCCCTCGCACCGGCGGACTACGCCGCCAAACTAACAAAGTCAGGCAACAAGGGGCGGGGCCGGGGCTAGATGGCTGCCTGCGCGAAAGGCCTGGGCCAGAAAACCTCCCCTCGCACGAGCGACCTGGCTACGCTGCCAAACAACGCCAGCGTCGCGAACCATCAAGGGGCGGGGCGACCGGGCGATGGCGGGCCGTATCTATGGAGCAAGGCCAGAGCCAGAAGACCTGCCTTCGCAAATGTGTGGTCTGCTGGGTCTGGAAGGATACAAATTTGTGATGCAGAGGCAGATTTTGGAACGGTTAGCAAAAGATGCGCGGCTCTTGTCTCCAGGAAAAGCCATCTCTCATGCAGACTCGGCATGGAGAGGCACTCGCAGAATTTGGCACGCTCTTCTTGCACTTTAGACCTTTTTTCAGATGTAGAAACTGCATATAAGTACTTTCTCCGTGATCTACACTTGCTTGCAGTGGATATTCCGGCTCCACTTTCAGGGCGCAGTCCGTGAATTCGTTCACGTCTATCACCTGCGAAAGCTCCGGATCAGGAACTTCCATCTTAACCGATCGCTTATCAAGTGCAAATAGGTCCCCTGGGTCCTCTGGAAAAATGCAACCTTTGTCGCACGATATCAAAATCTACCATGCCTGCTGAAGAGCAAAAGTTGCCCGCTTCATCTTGCCAACGAAAGCGGGGGTCGTCGGTCACGCGGCTTACGCATTGTGGAACGACCTCCGAAGATGAACTTGGGACACTCAGGCTTGCGGAGGGCCAGACCTTCTGTGTCCCTGTGCAAAGCTAGCAATTTATTTCTATACAGTATGAAAATAGAAACACTGTAAAAAAGGTCTGCGGTTGTCATATTCCAGACCGAGACATATTGGCAGGGCGTATCGCGGGCACACGTACCAGTGGATGCCGGCGTCGACTCGCAACCGGTCGGCTATGCAAGCGGCAGGCTCGCCGCAATCGACAAAGTTGCAGCAATCTGCGGCGCCACACGTAAAACCGTCTCCAGTTATTCCTGGGCCCCTAATTTTTGAGCGGCGCGCGATAAATAATTTTGGCAGCACCTATATCGTGTTTGTCGTCCTGCTGGCGCACAGGTGGCTGCTTTTCATTCTCGTGCTGCTTCGACAGCTCTATCGCTAGCCCTCAACAGGCTTACAATCGCGCTCACTTGCCTTCTAGGCAAGCCAGGCAGTACTTTTTGATTCGCTGTTTCTTAGGTGTGTGCTGCAAATCGTTAAAGTCGATTTCATCAACAAGCCTGGCGCTTCCATATCTTTCAGGGCCTGGTCATCGTCGGACCACTATAACGGTACACAGCATCCCCCTCCCACTCATGTGCCATGCTAAATTGCAAAGCCATCTGCTGCCTCGTCTTGTCTGTGCCTCGCCTGTGGCACTGTAGTTTCTTGCATTACAACTTTTGGAAGCCCAAACCATGCTACACTGAGCTCGTCATGAGCATATCAATATCATCCACAGCATCCATGTATTGGTGGTTTCATTACCGTTCGTGCCACACAAATAGGGGCTCGGAGAAGGAGTTCTGTACTCTCATAACCACACGGTTTTCGTTGGAGACCCACGCAGGATATGGATTAGAAAATACCCGGGCCTGGAAAAGCAATGCAAGGAGTTGCTGTATTATTTAAGTCTTAACGCACATAATTTTCTACCTATACCGTGCAAGACTTCTTGTCTCCGTCGCTCCTCCACAGGAGTAGAAATCTTCGCACTACAAAAAACGGTTAGCATTTGTATTTTGCTAGTCACGAAAGCGAGATCAAGTTCTTTTCCGGATTTTAAGGAAGCATGGCGTCTAATCTGCACTCTTCCAGACCCAGACGACGTATTTGCTTTTTATACAGGGCGGAGTGGCACAATTGGTCGTAGATGTAAGCACAGCCGGGTTTCCCTACGCAGGCATGAAACGCTTCGCTATCCCGGAAAAAACAACCATCCCCATCCATTCTATGCATGACAAACACTGGACTCTATGCATATTTTGCATGACAAACTGGATGGGCATGGTTGTTTTTTTGTGGATATTCGCCCAGGGAGTCGTAGACGAGACAATGCTCGTTCAGAACATATGGAGTTCTCAAATGTTGCACTCTCAACTGTTACATCAATTTTTGATGCAAGAACAGAAACACTGAAAGGGGCAAGCTTGCACTATTCGCATTACAAATTCGGCACAGATTTCAATGTTGAATGTTGTTTAGCCCTTCGAGATTTTGTCGTGCGGAGTAGCTTGGTCGTGGTGTGGCTGATGGCGATTTTGCATGACAAATCATGTAACAGCTGAGAATGTAACGTTTAAGAAGTCCATAGAACAGACCCGGTCCTTATGTACGGCTGCAAAGTCGCGGAAAGGTAGGGATGATGCCCGGTAGCGAGTTTCACATCAATTTCCTTCTTCATCAGACCACACCGCATGCCGGCAGGATCGGCAATCATGCGCTCCGATCGGCAGATCCGAAAGGCGCGGAGGCAGCTGGCTTTATTGTTGTCTTCAAAGTCCGAATTTGTATATCTGTGGCGCACCTCCGGGGGGCCATCCTTGTTGCGTATATCGCGCTTTAGGCACTTGGTTTCCTTGTCCTCTAGTTTTACGTTGCCCGCGTCATCGACCACTTCCGCTACTGTTTCCCAGGGGAGCATCACGGACTTTGGCAGGCCAACTATCCGCTCGCCAGGTACGTCGACCGGCGCGTATTTCAGCGCATTGACCTCGTTCCATGCTCCGTTGACCTGTTTCGGGTCGGTCTCGAGCGCTGTCTCTTCCTCGGGTCCATTAGTGGTGCTCATCCGCAGCAGGTTGCACTGGTCCTCCTCCGGCCCGGATCCGCCCTCAGTGGTTTCCTCCACTACGTACGCACAGTCGTAGAGTACCTTGCAAAAGGCCACCGCAGTGCGAAAGTCCATGTTGCCCGTGTCCGCATCGACCGCATCCTCCCAATGCAACCCGAACTGCATCTCAAAGAAGGGAGACTTCAACACCTCCACCGCGCCCTCATCGTACGAGCACCCGCCACTAAATCCCGGCATCTTGGTCATTCGCGTAAATTTCCACAAAACCGGGCCGGGCACTCCCAAATCCGGCTCCGGGGTCGTCGTGGTGGTCAGTTCCTCGAACTTTTCGTCTGGGTTGCCGACCTTCTGGAATACCCAACTCCACTGCCCGTCCGGGTCTCCGGCGGCCTCGGCGTCGCAGTTGCCGGACCCTTCCGCACCTCCTATCCTTTCCCACTGCTCCAGCCGCCGGCTCATCTGCTCGGAGCCCATGCAAAAGGACACATATCGGGTACCATGCGCAGAAACCGTGCGCGCAATTTCAAAGTACGACTCGAGAGCACAGGTGTCCACGCAGCTGCCCACATTCGGGCCTGGGCGAACCGGGTACCCGCCAAAAGCCGCCCGCGAGCCCTCCTTGTTGACCTTGCTGAAATAAGTCATGCCGTCGCACATGTGGTTCGCATACACTTCCATTGATAGTGCCGGATCTGCCCAGCACTTCGTGGCGGCGTAAGCCCATTGTCCCCAACCCTCCAGGGGCAGCGCTCGGGCGCTCGCCGCCGTCACCAGTCCGGTCACCCGGCTGGTTCCTGCCGGGACTTGCTTTCCGTCCGCCCGCGCGAGGTAGGTGACCTCTGAGATGTAGTCGAAGCATCGCGCCTTCGCAAAGCTCACCATGTAGGTTTCATCCCCAAAAGGGCCATATGTGAAGGTGCACTCCAGCCTCATGTAGCTAGGCCGCACCACGTAGCTTCGAATGAACTGCTCGGCACTCTGCGAGTATCCGGCCGCGTTCACGTAGCAGCAGCTTTCGTCCTGAAGGCACTTCGAGAGGGCCTCGTTGAGCGCCCCCGCTGCGTAGGACTTGTTGGGGCCCTCGGGCGTGTAAGCACTGATGTCCACGTAGTCGGTTTTTGCGTAAAACGCGTGGTCCACGCCACTCTCCGCCCTTTTGCAGGTCAGGTGCGCATCTGCGAGGAAGATCATCTCGTTCCTCGGAACGGGGTTCGCGTCTACATCGTTCAGGTACCAGGGTAGCTCCGCGGGGTCGCAGGCGGTATTGGTCCAAATTCGACTGGCATCGAAGCCGCACCCCGTGTCTTGGCTAAACCCCCCCTTGACCTCGACTTCGGTGCACAGCGTAAACCCGAAGTACTCGCAAATTTCGATTGCGTCGTTGTAGGAACGCCCCCGCAAGCCGCTGCACCCCTTCGATTCCCGTTGCCCTGCGTACAGCCGCATGTCCAGCCGGACACTAAACTTGACCGTATCCGTATGGAATCGTCAGGATCGAAATCACCAAAATCGAAATCATTTCTGACGCATAAAACCGACGCAATTGGAACGCAGTTCCTAATTTGCGCGTGACAAATTTCGGGAGCGGCAAAATCCCGTGCGTGGTGCTGTTTGGGCAAAGAAGACTGCTCCCGTCATGCTACTCTGGCAGCGCATTGTCTCCCCGCAAACAGGCTTGCAAATGCAATCGGTCGCATTTATTGCCTGCTCCCAACACAGGCCATACGTGCCCTACTCCTACATTTTATGCATTACAAAATTATTTTCGACCTTGTCTATTTCGATCCTGACAGTTCCATAATCCGCCGATGCGTCGTCCAGACGTTGGAACCCGTTCCAACTACAGCACCGTACGTTGGCCGGCTTTTGTTCACGGTTCGTACATATCAACTACACAAGTGTCTGGGTCTGGAAGGTTGCAATCTGTGATGCTGTCTTTGGACTCGAAAAAAATCTGTACCGCATGACCAGCAACAGGAGCCCAGTTTGTGTTACGTGGAGAGGGCATTTCTCATGCGGAATAGGTATCAGGAAGTCCTTTCAAAATCTGTGATGCTAGGTCATGCATTACAGGCATCATAATCATGGGCTGTCATACAGAATATGCCTGACACTCCCGGACCCAGACACATTTGCATTTGATAATACACTGTGGGGGATAATCGAAGGACTCGCTCAAAGCACCAGGCATCGTGCGCACGCTGGCCTTCTGTTCAAACTTGAGCACCTGGTTCGGGCCGACAACCGAGACGACCCCTTTGCGGAGAGTATCAAATGCAAAAATGTCTGGGTCTGGAAGATTGCGAGATTACTATCTAAACTGCAGCAGCTGGTCAAAAATGCAGGCGAGGGGTATGCTCGGGGGTGTGTCAGGGGTATGCAAATGCTCCTCAATCACGAGCGGACTGCAATTTTTTGCCGAAAAGCCAACAGGTGGGGCATAAACATACCCCAGACACACCCCAGACAGACCCCCGAACATACCCCAGGCAAAAAGTCCGAACATACCCCAGACACACCCCGTGCAGACTTTCGGACACACCCCGGGCAGACTTTCGGACACACCCCGGCCAAACTTTCGGACTTTGCCATGTGAGGTTTGGAGCCGAAGCCCAGTCTGTCACGCGAGACCGTGCGGCCAAGGAAGGGGCGAAAGCCCTAGGCCAGCGCGGGGACTCGGTCCCCGCGTCATGGCCTAGGGGCCAGCTGTAAGCGCTTCCCGGACACCGTGCGGCCAAGGGGCGAAAGTCCTAGGCCAGCGCGGGGACTCGGTCCCCGCGCCATGGCCTAGGGGCCAGCTGTTGGCGTTTCCCGGGCATGGTGTGGCCAAGGGGCGAAAACCCTAGGCCAGCGCGGGGACTCGGTCCCCGCGTCATGGCCTAGGGGCCAGCTGTGAGCGCTTCCCGGACACCGTGCGGCCAAGGGGCGAAAGTCCTAGGCCAGCGCGGGGACTCGGTCCCCGCGTCATGGCCTAGGGGCCAGCTGTTGGCGTGTCCCGGGCACGGTGTGGCCAAGGGGCGAAAGCCCTAGGCCAGCGCGGGGACTCGGTCCCCGCGTCATGGCCTAGGGGCCAGCTGTGGCTGTGCGCGCGCTTCCCGGACACCGTTCGGCCAAGGGGCGTGCGAAAGCCCTAGGCCAGCGCGGGGACTCGGTGGGCCCCCGCGTCATAGCCTAGGGGCCAGCTGGGAGCGCCTCCCGGACACCGTGCGGCCAAGGGGCGAAAGTCCTAGGCCAGCGCGGGGACTCGGTCCCCGCGTCATGGTCTAGGGGCCAGCTGTTGGCGTTTCCATCCGTCCCGGGCGAGGTGTGGCCAAGGGGCGAAAGCCCTAGGCCAGCGCGGGGACTCGGTCCCCGCGTCATGGACTAGGGGCAAGCTGTCGGCGCTTCCCGGACACCGTGCGGCCAAGGGGCGAAAGCCCTAAGCCAGCGCGGGGACTCGGTCTCCGCGTCATGGCCTAGGGGCCAGCTGAGGGCGCTTCCCGGACAACGTGTAGCCAAGGGGCGAAAGCCCTAGGCCAGCGCGGGGGCTCGGTGGGGCCCCGCGTCATGGACTAGGGGCCAGCTGTGCGCGCTTCCCGGACACCGCGCGCGCGGCCAAGGGCGGGGCGAAGCGAACCCTTAGGGCAGCGCGGGGACTCGGCCCCCGCGCCATGGCCTAGGGGCTGGCTCGCAGCACTTCCCGCGACGCCGTGCGGCAAAAGGGCGAAAGCCCTGCCTAGGCCAGCGCACGCGGGGACCCTCTCTGCCCCCGCGCCATTGCCTAGGGGCCAGCTGTAAGCGCTTCCCGGACGCCGTGCTGCCAAGGGGCGAAAGCCCTAGGCCAGCGCGGGGACTCGGTCCCCGCGCCATGGCCTAGGGGCCAGCTGCAGGCGCTCCCCGGCGACACCGTGCGGCCAAGTTAGGGGCGAAAGCCCCAGGCCAGCGCGGGGACTGCTCGGTCCCCGTGTCATGGCCTAGGGGCCAGCTTTGGGCGCTTCGTTCCCGGACAACGAACGTGCGGCCAAGGGGGCTAGCTACGAACACTCCCCGGACACCACACCGCGCGGCCGAGGATGGAAGGGGCAGAGAAAAGCCCCAGGGCAGTGCGGGGACTCTGTCGCCGCGTCATGACCTGGGGGCCGGCTCCCGGCCCGGCACGCGCCAGTTAGTTTCTTCTTTTCTTTTATCTTTGCGCGCGGCAGGCTAATGAATCTAGTGCGCGCAAGCAAGGGGGCCGCGTCCGCAGGCCCGTCGCGGGTCAGTGAATGCAAGGCGCACCGAGATACCTAGCTGCAGGCGACCTGCCTGGCCAGTGCCACCGCGCAGACAAATGTAATGCCGGAAGGTCGCCGCACGGGGACTCTGTCCCCGTGCTCGGACCTTGTTTGTCATGCAGCTTTTCCATGACCCACGAGGTCTGGAATGCAGAACGTAGCATGACAGATTCTGTGCGAGCGCTCTCATGCTTATCCTGCGTGAGAAACTCGCTCTCGACTTGGTCAAAACTGGTTGACTTTTGGTAATCATGCAACACAGATTTTTGCATGCTTCAGATTTAGCGTGACAAGTTGCATTCTTACAGACCCAGACACTTTTACATTTGATAGAGCGCGGCGCAACCCAAATTCATTGAGTTGTAGTAGGGACAAGTGATTGGTGCGTCACTGGAGTAACCTGCCGCCGTTGTGATGTAGTACAGATTTGCCTCCTCGAAAGGGATGAAGACTTCTGCGCCGTTGTCCGGAAGCTGGGTGAACACCATCTCGAACCTGCGGCTCCGAGGGAGCACGTGTGGGAAGATCACATCAAACGAGTTCGGGTTTCCCCTCTCCAATGTAAATTGTGTCACATAGTTGTTCTCCTTCTCCCCGATCGTGAGCTTGCCTTCCACTTCAAAGTTGCCGGTGAGTGGCGCTTCACTTTGCCGCAGCGACACTTTGCCAACACTTTCGGATTCGCACATGGTCTGCGTCCATATGTGCCGCCCATGGAATCCGCAGTCATCGTTCTCGGGAACTCCACGTCCGTCAAAGAGGTCGTCGTCTGTACAAAGGCGCAGATTCGTTCCCTCGAAGGTCTGCGCTTCGCAGTAAGCCTTCGCGGTGTGCAACGTGTGCCCGGGTCCCATGCTGGTCCAGGGAAAGGTGACAGTGCCGCTGGCCTCGGTGTTTTGCGCATCACTGCTGGTCAGAAATTGATCTCCGTTGGTATCATCATAGAAGGGTCCGCGGCACCGAGCACAGGTAACGCCGTTGTCGTCCTCCGTCTTGTCGTCGCAGCCATACGCAGACATAGGCACGTGGGTTGCGCGGTCAGAGCAGCAGCGTAGGAAAAATCGGATGCCTGGATGCACGCATTTCGCGGGAGCTCCCGGTCCATCGTCAGGCACCACCGCGGCGGCGCCACGATACACAGCAACTCCCACAGGCGAGTATCGTAAGGAAAATCCCCCCGGCCCGAAATGACAGAGCACGCCTCTGAAGATCTGCGGCGCCCTTTTGTGGTCGCAGATCGCGTGGTGCCCTGTCTTGCAAGAAGGTAAATTGTCCAGATGCAGCGGAGCCGGTGCATTAATTCATTCATTCATATGCAGGGGATTTGTTGTGTTGTAGTTCAAATGCTGTTGCGCCGTCCCCCCGCCCCGGCGTCTGCTCTCATGCTAAGCGTCTACGCGAAAATGACCCCACCCCAGATTCTTATCCGCCTGCATCAGTACCCCACTTCTGCGGAAGACAAAGCTGCTTTCTGGACAGAAATCGCGGCGCATCACAGATTTCGCTTGAACATGGGGAAGGGGGGTTTAGGTTTTTCATTTTGATAGCGAGCCGGCCGTCACAAGATACTTAGCGTTCGTCGCTGTCGCCGCAGCTGCACCCGCAGGCAAGGTGTCGTCATTCAAAAAGCACAACGGAACATACCCTATGGCATGCCACGCCTTTGGCTCATCACGGTCGAAGCCACCATTATTGAAATGGCACTGCCCGGTCGTGCCCGAGCAATAGCAGCCCCCCGGGCGGTCGCGAATATACGTGTGCGGCAGGCATCGATCCCGCTTACAGTTCGCCTCGTTATCGTCAACGCCGTCCATTTTAGGCTCCGTTAGAATCTTGTTCCGAAATTCTTCAGGCTCAATTTTAGGTTCCGTGTTTTCTGTTTTTATCTCCTGCGCCGCGAGACCGCAATGGTGGCTATTCGTGATAGGGCGCCAGGCTCGTCCCGTGAGTGCGGCAATCTCCTTGCAGCTGCCGTTTTCTTTAGGGTTGTTGCCGGCGGCGAGCCTGTACTTGCTGTGGAAGCGTCCGTTAGGAAATTCCCAAACTGGAAAAGCAAGTAGGTTCTGACTTCCATGAAAAGACACGCGCAACGATGCAAAGCGAGCGACCAACACGCCCACCGCCGAAGCGGCTGGCTGTGAAAGAAGGAAGGCACGAGGGGGCGAGACAGACACGGAATGGCGTTGATGCTGCTGGCAGGCAATCACGATAGAAATCCGCGGCGCGCTTGTCCTCAGCAGCAGCGGACAGATTGACTTCTCTGAGCCTCAGAAAAATTTGCAACGCGCCTCCTTAACATGCATGACGGGCCCAGCTGGCGCCGTCTCCGGGTTTAGGCATCATAAACAAGCTGGACACGGCGCGGAACTGAGTCGACCCCCGCGCGGCGACCTATCGCTCGGCGCAGGTCGGACATGGCGGCGCCCTCTGGATTTTTGCGAACTTGCGTCCTCTCCTCGCCGCCTGGGAAGGTGATGGCCCTGGCGTGCGTAGGGCCTGCGCCGTTTTCCTTTTTAGCACATTGAAGAAACCGCTCGCCGCCGCTAAAGGCACCCCCTTACAGAATTCAGGCACAATTGCCCACAACAGGGCCGCCTGCAAGCGTGTGGCGCCGGCATCGGCGCTCAACAAAATGCGCCCTGCAGCTTTATTTCCGAGTGTGCCCGCAATTGCTTTGCGTTTGCCCCATGAAAAAAATGGCGACGCTAGTACAGGCAGCGGACTACCAACCTGTGCTCCGGGGCGTAACACTCGCGGCATGGAGCATACTCTCACGGGCTGGGGCTCTGTGTGTGCACCCGCGGGCGGGGCGCCTCCTGAAAGGCCCTAGGGCAACTCCGTCAACCTTGTCCATCGAAGACCACAGACACAGCAACAGCCGCGCCAGCCTGGGTGAATGCACTATGTGGGGCTTTGCCTTCCGGCGGACTTTGTGCCAAATCCGATCATGGGAGCCGGGCGCCATCGTATGGCACACCCGAAAACTACATGCCCCGGAAAATATCCTGCGCCAGAACGAACCCAAAACCGAGGCCGGCAATATATACCCTGCGCCCAACTGGCCGCGCCTTTCTCGAGTTTCGTTCGGCATGACAAATAGGCCCGAGCGGCAAAACAAAAACCCGAAACCTGACCGCGCCATGCGGGATATGCGGGCGAGCGTTTTATGCGAGGGGCTGACCGATATGACTGGCCGCGGTCTGCTTGGCGGCCCGCCGATTGTCCCAACGCACCTGCTTTCCCGCTCGGCGTTGGTTGAGCACCGTGTGCCTCGAGGAAGGGACGACGCAAAGCTGTGGAACCCCTCGGAGAGACACTTTTCCCGGGCCGAAACAGCTCGCAGCAGCTGCGTCGCAACGTCTACGAACCCGCCACGGTGCCCTGTGCTTGGTAGTTTTCCTTGCACGACCGGAAAGTCTTAAAGCTGCGCCGCTCTTCGTAAAGTTTTTCACGGCCGGAGAAACTCAAGGCGCTGCCACCTGCAGCTGTCCAGGAAGGCCAGAAGAGCTCAGAGCCAGCTGCGTCACACCTTGGGGTTTGCCAGCTCGTTTCACTCAGAATGGAAACCCCAAATGCCAGCTGCGTAATTTATTGTCTCATGGTTTCTACAATCCGAAAAATCTTGAAGCTGCGCCCCTCCTTATCTTTTGATACGAGTTCACAACGCGTCCAATAGCAATAAGCCCTCGTTTGAAGGGCATGAACAGCAACACAAGCAACGACAGAATGAAACGTAACTTCCGCATGACAAATCCGCTCGCGGACTGTGATCCTGTTTATGGTTTGTGACTCACACACGGCCCAAAGGCAAGACATGCGTTTGTTTTTGTATTTTTGCATGTCTAAAAATAGATGAGGGTGGGCTGGGGGGATTGCGCAATTTCTCCTCATTTCCCGGACACACAGCTCCCCCTCGCCGGTTCGAAATGGCGGCCTCAATTGGTGCTGTCGTCTTGGAGTCACCAACTTTCTTGCTTTTTATTTTGAGGATTTCCTACCTGGCGTGCTCATACTTGATTCTCCCCGGATAGCCCGGCATCGAACAGACCGGCATGAAACTTTGCGGCACGCAAGTCCCGTCCGCGTAGGCTTCGAAGTTTGCAGGCTTCATATAGGCCCGGTTGTAGTAAGCCCGGTAGTTGTTTGTGTTGTCACCCTCGGCCCCGACCCGCATGCTGCACCCGACCGGGAACGTAGTCGCGGTCGCACACTCTGTTGCTCTATGGAGATCTCAAGCGTTATGCTTGATACCTTTTCACATGAGTTTGGGTTTGCGGCGCAAAAATAGCAGGGGCGCGGGCGCCGCTTGTACGTCTTGCATTTTTACGAAGCAGATCTTCATTCTGTTTGGCGCTTCAACATACAAGCCGCGCGAAGCAGCTTGATCGTGTAGAGGCTGATCGTAATTTTGCAACATGGCAAATCATGTAACAGCAAGAAAAATAGTGCTTGAAATTTCCATATGTTCCCAAATCAAACTGCATGGGCCAGCTGCTGGTTGCGTAGGCCCGAAACAAAGTCAGCCTATGCATTGCAAAAGTGCCTGCGTCTGGGTCTGGAAAGTAGTTGGAACTTGTTGCATTCATAAATGCCAGTCTTTCTTCGTCTTTACATTATATATTTTTTCTGTAATATTTGTACTGTTGCAGGACCAAGAAAAGCCACAGCAAAAACATAGCTTCTGATGCGCATTGTGTGTGACAGAGCCTTCCGCAAATTTGTCACGCTAGTACGTGCTTGCATTCGAAACTGCTTTTATCATCCACAGTTCAGGACCGCAACTCTCCAGCAGCTTTGGAATATTTGCATTTGATACAACCCAACGCGTTCGCAATCCAGGGACGTACCGGAGAACATTACTCCGTCGGGATCAGTATGCGTTCCAAATATTTATCGGCCGCCTGAAAGACAGCGAAAGTTTGTCATGCAGTTTTTGCTTCTGCATCAGGCTCTGGAAAAATGTGCACGGAGCATCACAAGTCCTCTCAAAGCTTCTCCATAGCTAGCCTGCAAGAGAAATGGAAATGCCTTCTCGTGAACATAAAAATCCGACATCGTTCGCTGAGTATGCTGCAACACAATTTTTTACATGCCTACTTCGAAATCCGCATCAAAAGTTTTCGCTCCAGCAGGCCCAACCATATTTGCCTCGCATAACACGCCATGGCGCCTGGATCCGCGAAAAAGAGGTCGCCGTCTTCTACGTTCAGAAGGTGGACTGGCTTCCCATATGAGGGTGCAAAAGCCTCTTGCTCCGCCTGTTTTGCCATGCTGCAAATTCGCATTTATCTTTTTTGTGTGGCCCTTAACTCCAGACCGCTCGTCTTGTACTTTCATTTCAAACTGATTTCAAACTGAATTCAAGAAGTTAACTCTTGCCCTGGTGTTGCGGTTTGCACGACATCTAGACATCATTCCGAAAGGCCAAACAGCAGCAGAAAAATGCGCGTTTCGTGTTGGGAAACTATGGGAGGGCGTCCCTGATGTTTTCAATTACTTCTACAGAATTTTAGCCGCGTACTCGATGAATTCTAGGTGGCGAATTTGGACGCAGTGATGGCCTCGAAAGACAGCAATAAGGCCTCCTGGGACGGAATCGTGGTGAGGTTTGTCATCACCTGAAGCCTTTGGGTTCGAGACGGCAATCGCGCTCCTTGTCATGCAAGAAAGGCTCCGCCTTCGCTTGTGCTTGTCTTGCTTTTCATGCCCTTCAAATGAGGGGGAGGGGGGATTATGCACTCTCATATCCCTGCTGCGCCACTCATTGACGCTTCGGACCGGCAAACAAGCTGGTACTGCTGCCCGATGCAATCGGCGTAGGAGTAGTATCCTTCCGGCGGGTCTCCCCCCTTGTAGTAGGGTCGCCAGGTCTATGCATTGCAAGCGTGTCTGGGTCTGGGAGAAATGCAGACTTTTTGTTTTTTTGATGCAGCGCAACTTAGACCACACAAAAACCTGTCACGCATGCGCATGACTGGAGCTGGACAGCAAAAGTTGCTCACTTGATGTTGCCAACGAGAGAGGGGGTAATTACTGTCATGCGGATTTATTAGGCATTGTGAAGCTTTCTCAAAAAGAAAACCTGCGGCACTAGACCTTCCATGCCAGATCTCCTGTGATATCATGCAACAACAAAATGACATAAATCGGCATTCTTCCAGACCGAAACACATTTGCATTTTATAAGCACTATGAAAGCGCCAGAGTCGAAATCGACAAAGGGGAAGAGATTTGCGACGCGGACGCATGGGTGCCGGGCTGCACAGAATACCTGTTCCGCAGGTATGGCAGGCGACGCTGAGTGCGGGAGCCTCTTCAACGGGAGCGGCTATTGCTAGAGGTGCGAAGAAGCGCGGCAAAAGCAGTCGAGTCTTCTTTGCCCCAAATAGCATGACAGATATAGATTTCTTGAGGTGCTTACAAAATTTGTGACGCTACGATGAAAAGTAGTTGGTCGCCCAACTCCTGGTATCGAGTTGGAGTTCATGCGTCGCACGCTACTAATTTCAACTCTGTCGATTTCGGCGTCGGCCATGAGACTCCCATAATGCCTTGTCGTAGGAGTGCTGGCCGTTGGAGTCGTAATGGCCCGTCCGGTATCAAACGCAGCATATGTCTGGCTCTGAAGCCCTGTGATGCTGAAAACATCGGGAATAACATAAGACAAACCTCGTGTAATTATGCACTTGCACAGCCGAGCATGGCAAATATATAGAAGTATTTGAATGCGCTATGTGTATTTCGCATGGCAAAGTGTTTCTTGTTCTTTCTCTTTGCATAACAAGGCCGCACTATGGACATGCATCAAACCTTTTGAAGTCACGTCAGAGAAGCATGGCAGACCTTGCAGACCTAGACACATTTGCGATTCATATCCGGACGGAGCAGCCCATGGGGACCTCGCCCCAGGCCCCGTCGCCACAGCATTATTCTACACAAAAGCATCGCAATCGTAGTAACTGCAATCATGCAGCAGGACATAATGTCCTGCATGATTGCAGTCCTAGTAACTTGTAAAATATTATTAGGATTTGGAATAACGACGCTAGAATGTCCTAAGACTCCCTGTTAATACAACTTGAGTTCCTGAGATTCAAGATTTTTTAAATGACTTAGGAACTCAAGTTGTATTTGTAAGCGTGAGTCAGCACTACCATCTTAGAGGCATTTGTTATGTATATCTTGCAATCAATATTAGCACGACACTTGTAGTTTATTTGCAATGCATAAGCGTCCGCCTTCGCCGACCGCAATATCCGGGATTACCGGACCCCCAAACCTCCCTATGAAAATGCAAAGTGCCACCGCAGCGTCTGCTCCGCGAAAAAACTGGAAACCTTTTGTCTTGCATGAATGGACACGGAGGGCTCTTTCCGCTTCAAGAGATTCCAGGCGTGCAAAGCAGCGCTCCAACGGCAGTGCCCGCTTTTCGCTTAGCAAGCCTTGTCTACCACCACGCAGTCTCTGGCCAATGCCCGGTGTCGATTCTTTGCGCTGCTGTTTTTCTAGGAATAAATATACGCAAAATCGGAGAAAGAGAAAATATAAATAAGTCGGTCCCCGTACTAATTATATATTTTCACTAGTGTCCTCGACCTATCTCCTGCATTGCAAATCCTTACCCGACGATCTGGAGCGGCAAGGCACTTTTCGATCCGATACTGCGGCGCAGCAGGGTCACGGCGTGCTCGCACTCCGCTTCCTTCACGGGTTCTCCGTGGTCGCACGTGGTCACTCATGCACTACAAATATATCTGAATCTTCTGGAAAGTTGTCATGCTGACTGCTCGTGTATGATAATAAACGCACTCGTAACGCCCGAGTCCGACAAGGTTTTGGAAATGACTATAATCGTACTAGACCATTACGCCGGCGTCCAGGACGCCGGCGATGGGGCGTCTAGTAAACTAAGAAGCATCATCCAAATAAACTACGCACTGGGGGCCGCTCCAGAGGGAAAAAGAAGCCGCCCAAGCACAAAGCCGCTCACCTTCTGCAACGCAGATTGGGGATTTCTTTCTCGGGAGCAGTTTGGACCTTTTACGCACCCTCCTGTGGAAGCCAAGGCTAGGGCGTAGAAGCTAGGAACCACTGCTCCCGTCCGAGAAAGTGAAAGAGGCCAAGGCGCAATAAAGTTGCATCCCTGCGACAGAGCTCGAGGCTGTCTCTCACAGGAGAGGTCTTGCGTTTCTAAGTCCCCTCCTGTGGAAAATGCCTGAACTCAAGTCGGCGCCTGCTTGAAAAATGCAAGCGAACCGGGCCCGAAGTGAACATAAATCCTATCGGACTTGTCCCGGCGCCCGCTTGCATTTAGACGCTGGGACCGCCGTGCGGCTCAATTGAGGAAGATTGGCCCGGCGTCTGCGCTGGGAGCAATGGCTGGCCCGGCATCTACCTAAAAGTAGGCGGGCGCACCCTTGGGCCTTGGCCAGCCCTCGGCCCGCTTGCAGTTGATTCTTTTCGCTGTTTTCAGCTGAATTCAGGCAGGCGCGTGCCCCGGCGCGCATCTGAATTCAGATGGGCACTTAGAAGCTCTTCTCAGAAGCTTCTTGCAAGAAGCTACCTAAACGAAAAAAATGCCTACAGAAATTTCTAGGCCGGGTCACCATGCCAGTCGTTTTCTTAAGTGCGTTCTCCTAGAGGCTTCCCCTAGGAGCTCACTTAAGGGAAGCTTCTAGAAAGCTTCCTTCCTAGAATTCATTTTCTAAGGAAGCCCCTATAGACTATAAGGGCCAAAAATCCGAGTAAAAATACTCTAGTGTTATTTTATAAACTGCTCGTGTATGACTATAATCGTACGCCGCCGAGTCCGACAAGGTTTTGGGGCCACTAGGGCACGGCGCGCCGCGGTCGGGCCCCCCTTGCGCGGGCCGCTTGATAAGTTCCCCACCTGCAAAAAGGGGGGCCCGGCTGCCCCGCTGTGTTGCCCAGGGCTGCGGCGCTTGTGCTCTAGCCTCCAAGCGTGCTGGCAGTGTCGCCGGGCGGGTGTTTTCCGCGAAATTGATATCCGAAATGCCGCCGGGCAGTTCTTGCAAGGAATCCCGCGAATTGGCGGAGGCACGCTAGGGGGTGGCTTGGGAGGTGTAACCAAACCGCAGGCACCTTGGCTGGGATGGAGCCACGCTTTTGCCCGCTTTGCAGAAATGGGGCTGATTGAACAGGGCGAGTGTCGCGCGATTGGGGAATTGCGGTCGGCCGAGCAGGGGTCGTGGGCGGCGGCCGAGGGGTTTTGCGGCACCTCGCCGGGCAATCAGGGATGGGCATTGCGCCCGATGATGCCGCCGGACCGGGGCACAGGAGCATGGCCCCGGGACATCTGGTGGGGCGCAAGGCGCTCGCCCATTCCATATCACGCCGTGCCTTTGGCTTGGCCAGATTCGGCCGCGCCTGCCGGGCCTCCGCCTGCCCCGACGAAATTTGGAGCGGCGCAGACCTGGCGGGACTGGCCCATTAAGGGGTCAACGACGGGCCCGGCTCCCTGCCCACGATGCCCGCCCTGGCGTGTGCGGGCGTTGAAGTTGGCGCGACCTTTCGCGCCTTCCGCAAGGGGTGCTGCGGTGGTGTGTTGTGTTTGACTTTGCGGCAGCACGGCAGAGCAAACTGGGTGAGCGCTGCGCTGGCGTGGGTCTTACGCCGTCCTGAGTCCAGAAGCGTGCTGATTCGGCTGGGCTGCGAGGCCCACGATAAAGCCACCCAATATTTTTTTTATTTTCGCAAAAGTAAGCTTTTGCCGCCGCTATAATGACTATAAACGCACTATAATCGTACGCCGCCGAGTGGTCCGACAAGGTTTTGGAAACAAGCTCCGCGGTGCGTATTTTGCATCAGAAGCTGCGTTTTTGCATGTATAGCAACAGCTGGGCGCTCCAGCATTTCTCTGCGTCTTCTGCACCATGCGCCACAGACTCTCCAGCAGCCATGTCCCACTGGCACTGCCGGTCTCACAATCTTCCAGGCCCAGACGCATTCGTATTTGATATCATTCCGGGTGAGTGCGTGATATGGAAATCATACAGGTTCCAGTCGTCGGGAATAGACGCCGAGAAGGCGTCTCGCTGTGCGCTGCTGGATTTTGTCTCTTTTTGTTCTTGCTGTGCCCCAGAGCTAGATTTCGAGGAGGACATCAGTGCTGAGCTTACGTCGGCCCTTTGTTGCGCGTGTTGATGCTCCAGCAATCGGTGTTCTGCTGCTTTATTTCGTGCTTCCCCACTTTGTGCGTTCTTTTGATAGTTTTGCCCTTGGAGATCCTCAAGGACCCCGGCTTCCGCCCGGCCTTTTTCCGTCGCACCTTCCGACGCCTTTCGGTATTCGTGCTTCGCCGCGCGCATGTTTTCATTTTGTTGTTGGGCAATGCTGTGCATATGCTCGGCCTGCAGGAGCACAGGTTGAGGGAGGCCGTGATCGTCCTTATGGAAGTGTCAGGCTTGAAATCGACAAAGTTGAGCAAATAGCTTGGTCATGCATAAAATGGATACCAGTTGGAAGACCAATTCCCGAGCGGCGCATGAGAATTTTTCGGAGCACCGAAATCCAATTGGTCATGCTGTTTGGGCACAGAGTAGTGCTTTTGTCGTGCTCCTTTAGCAGCTCTATCCCAAACCCTAAATAGGCCCACAATTTGCCCCACTTGCCATCCCGGGAAGACAGGCACTTCATGCCATGCATTTTATGCATGGCAAACCATTTTAACTTTGACGATTTCATCAATCCTGACAGCTTCATAGTCCCGGCGTCCTCCGTATGAAAATGCGAAAGAGTCGCACACATGTCTGGGTCGAGAGAGATCTGCAGGGGTCGTGCACGAGCTTCATTAGCCTCACTAGCTCTCAGAGGGCCCCATAAAAGTCAAGTTTTGAGAAGTTTTGGGCGAATAAAAATGCAGCACAGCAGCTACATTTTATGTAAATGTAGCACAACGGGTTTCAAGATGAAGGCGTCTCAAGATAGTGGCTCAGGCCGCAGAGGAAGCTCCCTGTAGTTCTTCGCGTGGCTACAGCAGAGCAATTGTTTCTGTGCACACTTCACAGGTTTTCAAGTTACAACTGACCACAGAGAACATATTCGGCTCCATGAACATGCCCATCCTCCATGACCATGTCCCATGTCCTTACGGCCAGCAGACCCAGACACATTCCTTTACACTGCGTACTCCGCGCCGAAGACTCCGGCTGATGCCTCTCGATGACGAAGCAGGGCCCGTCTTATTTTGCTGGGAGTTCGTGTCCCGCCGCCTTCTTGGCTTCGCTTTCCACTTGCCTCCGGCGGCCGTCGACGCGGAGGCTCTTGTTCGCGTGGGCCAGTTTTTGTAATCCTCGTCCACTTATGCATTGCAAATATGGCTCCTGGGTCCGGAAGAGTTTTAACTTGTGATCCTAAATCTCGAGCAGTGAAAATCTGTATTGCATGAGGGTCAAGCTAAGCTGCGGCTGCCCATTTGTTGTCACACAACGAGCGAGTGTCTCATACGGGGCAGGTATGGAGAAGCCTTCACAAAATTACCCTCTCTTCTGTGTATTCTACGTGCGCATTTCAGACCATCTTTCTGCTGCTGCTCCACAAGCTGCATGACAAACACGCGGCTCTTTTTTTTTCAGACCCGGAAATATTTGCAGCGAATACCAAGTAGGGGGGTACGATCTCGCCCTGGCGACGTGCCAGCAGGGCCTTGCTGTCTTTGTCCTGCTGGTGCCGCTGGCCGGCAAGCGGGCTGAGCGGCCGCTATCCTGTGGAAAAACTGGACCCACAGCATTGCCGTGCAGCTGCAGACATGCACCTAGAGGGACATCATTTGCAACGCTCGTCCCCATGAGAAGCATTTCTCGTCGAGGTTTGGCAGCATGTAGTCATGCCTTATTTATAACAGGATCAGACTGCACCAGCATAGGAGAGAAAAAACTTGTCATACGTGAGTCCCAAAACGCTAACGAAAACATCTGGAGTTGTGTGTGATCTAGCGCATTGATTTTTACCGAAACTGAATTTGGGGCGACGACGTTTCTCGTCAGGATAGCCGCGACTCCATCCTCATTGCGGTGGCCAACCATGAGATGGCCATAGGATCGCCGCCGAGCACAGCCACGCGCTTCTCCCTCTGCGCTAGCCTTTTTCGCTCGCGCCGCTGCAGCTCCTTTGCCATGCGAGGACTCCGCCTCGCGATTGCCTCGTCGATCTCCAGCTGGTCGCGCACTCGTGTATCAGGCGCGGCGCCGTTGTATGGAGGCCTCAGAATGAAAATTCGAAAACTGGAAATAATTTGTGACGCATGAAATGCGACACCAAAGAGTAAAAGACTGTACTAGCACGACAGACATGTTTGGAGTGCCCGAGAAATTTGTCATGCGCCGACTAGAAATGTTGCTTCAAGCGGACTTTTTTGCATTACAAATTTATTTTCACTTTGAGGATTTGATTTCCCACGTGAGGTTTTCATACGCCGGCAGCGCTGTCCTCCGAGAAGAGGTGGAGCAAACTCGCTCCGCCTACTGGTGTTCTTGGAGCTCCTGGCGCTGGAGCGCCAGCCGAAAAGCTCGCCCTCGTCGAGAACGCGTCCCCGCTGGTGCCAGACGAAGTCCTCGTCCGAAGTTGCCTTTTCCATGCAAGCAGCTGCCCCAAGCCGCCTCGAGGCCCCCTCCTTTTTCGTGCTGTCAAGTCCTGGCTGCGCAATGCGGTGCCTGATGCGGTAGTTCTTCGCAGTCTTTCCATTTTGGCAGCGTCTTCGAAATTAAATTCGTGGCGATCGTCGTCCTCTCGACCACCGCCAGACACATCGGCATCTGCTGTCGTCTGCAGCACGGCGTTGCTATCAGGCAAAAATAGTTCGCCATAATCATCCATCAGCTTCGCCAGTCTTGCATATTAGAAAAACGCCTGCCATGCATCGAAATGCGTCTTGACAATTGAGCCTCATGATGCGATCTGGGTTCGTTCTAGGTGTTATATTTCATTCTGCATATATACAAGGAGAAGCTGTGACGCCAGAAATCTTTCTGACGCAAAACTACCTGGAAAATAGTGACTCTGGCAAACCTTTTCCCTCGATAGGCTTCCGCGAAGCTGTAAAGCAAGCTGCCGCATCAAGTGCAAACATGTCTGGCTCTTGAACTTCTAGCACTGCCGCTTGAACTGAAGTAACTGCGACGCACAAGCGCCAGAAGTTGCCGGCGGCCTCTTGCTACGCAAAAGGCTAACTTCTCATGTGCGATACGCCTCAAGGAACCCTCGCAAACAAAATGCGATGCTTTTGCGTGCATTCCTGCCTAGTTGTATCGTCTACGAGTTGACGAATCACAACGACGCACGATCTTGCAGACCGAGACATGCTTGCAATGCATATGCTCGCTTATGCATTTCTAGTACGTGGTCTAGGCCTCCTGGTGGATCAGGATGCTCTGCTGGGAGAGTGCGAGCGCTTGTTTCTCATGCTTCCACTTCTGGATCATGCAGGGACAGGCGCTCTACTGTGCGTCGGAGCATTCTCGTAAGATATTGACTTTTCGGCGGATTATAGTTCTCAAAGTCTTTGCTTGTCCCGCGACATGAGTTCAGTAGTAGCCTCGGAGCTCATGCAGCACAGATTTCGTGTGATCCAGAGCTCGTGCCCGCGCACGATCATCTCACGACCTAGCAATGTTCCAGGCCCAGCCACATAAGAAGTGCACTTGATAAGGCTCCGAGGGAGCAGCCCCTGCCGGCGAAGACTGCGAAGCGACAGAAAGGCCGCGCCATTTTGGTCCATCCAGTAGCACTACAAGAAATCGCTTAGCGAGGACCTCGGGCGCAGTGGTAACGCTGCTCCTGACGCGGGCACTTACATTTTTTTCACCACTTAAAGCAAATCTCGACTATATTTAGATTTACCAGCAACATGCTGCATTCTCCCGCTCCCGCTGGCAGAGTTTCAATTTAGTACGTATCCGCTTTCATAGTACGCTAGAGCTGGAGCCCAAAGCCAAAGAACAATCACTACACAATAGCAGTTCCTGACTAACTAAGATCATGAGAGGCCATAGGGTGTAGGGAGATTTTTTTTACGCCACGCTAACTCACTCTACTGGCTGGGGCGTGTGCCTGCCTACCAACACAAGAAGGGCCGCGCGAGATTTTTAGTGCAGTGTCTTTCCGCTCTTCAGAAAATTTTCTGCGACAAGAAAACGCCTGGCGTGCGGAATAGGAAAAGGAATGGCCGGCATTCCACATGATAAGCGCGAACCTGTCGAACCCTCAACAGGCAACCGTCTGCCGTGCAACAGTGCCACTCCACGTTTGTAGCGCTTCAACGGGACACAGTTGCAAATAGCAGCCCCCTCTTCAGCGGGGGGAGTGAGCTCAGTCACGAGGCTAATAAGGCCCAGGCCCGGATGGAATCTAAACGAAGCCGACCCTTTCGGGCCGAACTTGGGCAGCCGGTGAGGGCGGAGGAACAGCGGAGCGCGGATCGAAGGCGAGACGGACCCGGCGACAGTCATCCCGCAGCGGCGGTGGCTCACTTCCTCAGACCTTTAAAAACCGCGGTCCGAAGTTGCCGCCCGCTTGGGTTCGGGAGACAAAAACTTCCTACCTTCGCCGCCTGCTCTGGCCCCGCCCGGGCGCCCAGCAACGACGGCCCATGGCATTAGGCCTAATAGGCTCCCACCCGAAATCGGGCCCGTGGCATGCGGATGGATTTTCACTCTTTGGCGGGCCGCGCCACCTTTTTTGCTTTTTCTATCAATCGAAGTAGCGCAGCACCTCCTGGCCTTCGTCCTGCGCCTGGGCTGGCATGGTGGCTGGACGATGGGTGGCGGCCGGTTTTGCGGCCTTCGAATGCTGACCACAATGGGGACCCTGGCGCGCGGGCTCGCTCTGTTTTTCCCGCCGCCCATTTTTTTCGCCACTCTTGGGGCCCCCCAACCTGGCGGAATCCGGTGCGCTGGGCGCCTCAGAAGGTAAGGCGCCACCATGACTGGCTCTTCTTTCACTCTGCGTCGCTCCCCCAGCGGCGATCGGTAGGGCCCGCCGGGGCGGGTTCGGCGCCGACACAGCCAAAACAGTCCGAAACTTGTCAAGGCTTTTCTTTGATGTGCAAACACGCTCGCGGCGGCTTGAACACTGCCGGCCGCTTTTAGCGGTAGATGGGAAAAAAAGCCGACAGGAGAGATGTAAGCTCGCGGCGTCACAACTCTCAAAGAAATCTGCCGGGCGAGGGGTTGCGCGCTACACTAGCAGGAAGACCGCTATTGGAAATAGGGCCGCTAGTAGATATCCTGCTAGTGGGTTTCGGGTACTCAGAACGGGCCCCCGACCACTAGTGACGCAGCCGGCTACCAGCGCCCTCCGCCAGTGGAAACATGGGCGCAGAGAAAATCAATGGCGCGAGAAGTCAGCGTGGCCGCAGCAAGACGGCCGCGCGCTGCCCGGCCCCCGGGTGGCCTTCGGGCCTCGATTTTTCACGTATTTTTGTAGAAACTGCTGGGCTGTTGCAAAAATTGCAAGGATTTCTGTCCTTTCAGCACTTTCGGCGCACGACCCAACTCCGCGAGTGGTTCGTGGCGCGTCACGAATGGCCCGCGGCGCGGCAGGCCAGGCCCTGGCCCGGGGAAGTTAAAAAAGCTGCCTTCTTCGAGCTTCTGCCGCGGACAAACTCTCTCTGGGGAGAAGGCGGCGAGGGAGTTTTCCGGCTCCGAACGAAGCCCGCCCTGTGTGCGGAAAACGTTTGGACGCCGCCCAGCCACCATGAACGTTCGCCCCAGCCCGGTCCTTTATTTGTGCCTTGCTGGGGCGAAAACGACTCTGCTTTTCGTGGGCGGAGGGCTGCGATTCGTGGGAGGGTGTGTCTTATTCGTGGCAAGTGGTGTCTTTTTCCTGAAAAGTGGAACGCTTTTCGTGGTTGGATCACGTACGATGCACGATTTTAAAAATAACGAGCAGAAGCCTTCCGATCTTGGCCCGATTACTCCCCTTGTCGGCCTTTTGGTTTTTAGGGCATTCACCCGCGCCGCCCCCCTTTCCTCTCCGCCCGCTTGCTGCGCTATTTGTTTTACCTTGCGCCGGCGTCCTTTCTAATCGCCCCACCCCGGTGTGCCCTCTTCGTTCTGTGTTTCCTGTGGTTAGCCTCCCGGGCGGGCTTCGCAAAGGTTCGGGGAACGCCTTCCGGCCCCCCTGTTTGTGGAGGCCTGGGCAGTGGCCACGCTCGGCGCCCCCTGCTGCCCTCCACGCTTTGCCGCGTTTTCTATGCGTGATTTTCGGTCGGTCCTATGCGCGGTGCCTGTGAGCGTTGTCTTTGCTATCCGCCTGAGGTGTCAGCATGCACGCTGTCGGCGTGATACATAAGTGATTTTTGGGCCATGGGCTTTCTCCTGCGGGGGGTTTTTCCCTCGTGCTCGTCCCCCGCTTGCGCCCCCGCGTCGCCGGGCCGTCGGGCGCGCGCCTGTTCTAGATCTATACTAATGCACTAGCCCTGGCGCTCCAAGACGACGCTGCTTGTCGTGCAGCAGTGCCGTTTTCTTCTTCGGGGCCCAAATGAATCGAAGCAACATCGCAGCCTTGGCTTCCAAATCAATTTCAATGGAGCGACCACAGCAATACGCTTCGAGCCCATCGCATCCAACGCGCTTCGTCTTGTCTGTAATTAAAGAACGGGGCGGCCGCTCCAACCAAACCTGATACAGCTTGAGGCAGTCCAGCTGGCCTCGTGTGCCATGTGCTTTACAAGTTGCTGTCTATCGCCTTTTTTTCTTGAATTGTATTGCAGAGCAGATCACTGGCGTTCTAATACGCGAGAGCGAAAGTGCGTCGCTCGCTTCCTTCTATGATACCCGGCACGTTGCAAAAACCACATCAGTCGCAGGCCCTGCGGTCGCCGAAGACTACCACAAGCATCAACATGCGCGCCAAACACAAACCATGAGTGAACAATTTGCCTGGGCCTTTCCTTGGGCTCTTCCTGTAAAGCAAAAGCAGGCTGTGGGGCCGGCCACAGCTTCGAGCAGTGGGCCCCTTTCTCGATAACGAGAAGGAAGGGCAGAGCAACGGTCGGTCGTCCGACTGTCCATCCCAAAACATAGCCGATCGACTTCCGCTCGCGGTCCGATGTCAAAAATCCGACATCAAGAGCGGGGCAACAAGTGCGTCGTTGACTCGCGCCCGCAAGTTAGCCTCACGGGGTGCCGGCCGGCCGGGCGGTCAACTCGCGGCCCGGGAGCCCAATTCGCGCCCTAGACGCTGCTCAGCTCCCCAACCCGCTCCGCCCAGAGCTCCCGGCTCTTTTGAGCCGTCTTTTTGGGAAGCCACTCTGCGCAAGGATGGATAAGAAAAAAGGCGAACGCAACATTTTGCCAGGAGCAAGACACACACGAAAGCGCGCCGGTCCTTTCTCTGCCTTTCGTACTTCCTGAGGCAGGAGGATAATCGAGAAAACAAAGCAGTAGAGAGGGCGCGCCCATTCTTTCAAGGAAAGGAACTACAGCCGCCGCGCTGTTCAAAAGACGCAGGGGCGGGCCCGCTGCACGAAAAAATATCCGCATGCGGTGCCGAAGTAGTTCCGCGATCTGCTGCGGTGACACTCCGCTGCTTGACTGTGGAATAGATGATCTTCGGCGAAACAACTGCGCTGCGTGCTGCTCTCCGGAAGGCGGCGACCTGGCCGCATTTGCGGTGGAGAAAAAAACGCAATAGCTAGCACAGAAGCGGGCGGCGATGTTTATTTCGCTTGCGGCTCATTGCCGCTCGGAAAAACCGACCGCGACAGAACCTGAGCCCCCCTTTCAGGAAAAACCGACACAGAAAAGAAATCGCGCAAGAATGTCCGGGCTGTTTGCTTTGGTCGCTGTGAAGGAGCATCTTCCAAGCGAAGCGAAGCAGCGCCCAGCGCTGTCGCTTTGGTTGGAAAAAAAAGACAAGGCGCAAAATGCGCCGTGGTGCCGGTTGTCCGATTCGAGCTCGGGGCCCGCGATAACCAGCCCCCCGATTTGGGGAGGGGGGCTTCGGGGGCTAGGGTCTGGCCGACCCTATCGAGAAGAAGCCCGATTTGATTAATCGCGCCGGACCTAAATCAAGCGAAAAAGGCGCAAGCGGTATCTGCGCCCTACTCGTACTAATACCATGCTGTACCCCAGGCCCAGCGACGAGATGTCGACGCTGCGCAATGCTTCTAGGAGGAGAGTTGAGCTACTACTGCTTCCGCTTTTGAAGTTCCGTCGTAAAACGTGATGACAACAATAAGGCACTGCGTTTGCCGCCGGTCTTATCTTTACAAATAGACTACTCGCAAAACTTAGGGCGCTACGCTCGCTGATCGCTGGGCCTAGCTGCGATCGTAGTCGCAGTGCAGGCGTTGAATATATAAACAGTTAAATAAATCTCAGCGGTAGTATGTAGTGGAGCAAAATCGCTAAAAGTTTCTGTCGCGTCGTTAGCATGAAAAAAACTACTGAAATCCGAGGAGCCAAACCCTTCCAAACAATGGGCCCCCGGACGGTTCGCGCCGGACGACTTTGACGCCGCTGGCCTTCGAGCGCTTTAACATATGCACCTGCTGCTTTTTGTGCGGGCGCCTTCACGGACTGCACGCGCCACCCCTGCCGCCCACTGAGACAACCATCGCAATTGCGCGCCTCGGAATCGCGCTCCACACAAGGTCAGCGGAACTGTGGAGGGGTACAAGGCTGCACACTGAGTGGTGGGGTTAAACTGGACTAGAACCCTAAAACTCTCATTCATCATCATCATCTTCTGTATATGAGCAAACTGACCCCGCATCGTAGAGGGAAGCTATTGCGGTTGGCACGCCCGCGGCTTCTAGGTCGGCTGGATATGGAGGCGCCAGGCCCGAAATTGACAAAGGTGGAACGGTCACAACGCAACTTCAACTCTTTGCAACGAATAGTATCTAGCAAAGGACGCAAGCATCTTCAGGGAGAGCAAATCAGAGTCCTGCTAGCCTAAGGGTAAAGAGTTGGGGTGCTCCACGGCGTGACACATTAAGGGAGCTTCGCCCTACTTCTGAATTCATTGCCCTGAACAGAGTGACAAACTTGCTGCAGGCGTTGGGAAAATATGCCAAGCGCCGAGCAGACGGCGGGTGCAAGAATTGGCGTCGGCGCTTTTATGCGTTGCAACGTCTTTCATTTTCGTCTTTGTCGATTTCCCGCCTGACGCAACCATACAGCAGTCATGGTGGAGCCTAGGTGGCAACCCCGACGCCGATTTGCACTCGTGATCAGGTTGTCTTTCACCTTGGGTGCGGGGTCCGACCCCGCACCGAAGGTGGGTCCTGAGGGTAAATCGATGTCTTCGTTGGCTTGAATCACTTTGTCAATCAGTAGCGACAGTTGAGGCGAGTCTCGAGCCGCATTGCGGCAGGTCGGGGTCATGATCAAAGTGTCCAAATTGGGTTCTCCGGGCTTCTATTGGCTGCAAATGTGTCTGGGTCTGGAAGGTCCAGCGCGTTGCAATGCTCGACTTAGATACCGCGCATGCTTCGCGAGCAGCACGCCCGTAGTTGTCTCTGTCATGCATGTTCATGTTGCGGCCCTTATACCTATTCGTCAGCCGAGGACGCAGTTGGCTGCGCAGCGCAGGGCTGCGTCAGGAAGATCAACAATCGCGACGATTTGGGCGCTGCTGTCTGTATCTGTCTGTCATTGTTACATAGTAAAAGTGGTAGCAGACAACTTTCCAGCAGATCCAGACGCATTGGCCTGCGGTTGATAGATTCTGGTAGAGCTCCGCTTCATAGTCCCCCTGCGTGTTTGCCATGCAACATTTGCCATCCGGTTTCACGTGTTTGAAGGTGAGGCGCGTGTCGTCTTCCGGATCGCTGTTCCACGGGGCTGCAGGGTTGTTCGCATCCGCCCAGCTACCGCCTTGAGCAGTTCCGGTGCCCACGGGCCACTTTGTGTAGTCCTCGTTCTCCCGGCCTAAAAAGTAACAGCTCCGGGTCTCGTTACCCATCCGATCCTGGTCACGGTTCGCTCCGCAGACGGCATCTCCAGCATTCCAGTAGGCCTCGAAGTAGTCGGCGCCATCGGTTCCGTCGGTGCCGTCGTGCTCGAGCCTTTCCTTGTCAAGCGTATCGTGTCCCCTTCCGTCGAATTCCGCACGCGGAAGCCCATTTTCGCCGAAGTCATGCGTTCCCTGGTTTCCGGAGCTATAGTCACTGGCATCGGGCCAACCGCTACCCCACGCCGAACCGCTCGCAATCTCTGGCCCCACTCCTTTATCGTTGTATGGGTGGGCCCCCGGCATAATTGCGTTCCTATCGTACACAAAGCCGAGGCAATCCTTGAACGCGGCACATAAGGCGAAGCACACGCGTATAGCGGAAAAAATGGCACTCGTACTCAATATAGCGGAAAAATATTCGACAACCTTGCCGCCCCTTCCCAGCCCAGCGATCTCCCCTGCCCCCGCCCCCGCTCGTCCACCCCCGTCTTCCCCGTCGTCTACGCCGACCTTTTCTACTTTATTTCCGAGCGCGTCTCTATTTGTTCATTAGTGCGAATGTGGGTCATAAAGTAGCTAAGCTTGTCGCGGTCCAGCTAAATGCGTTAAAATAGCCAGCGCGTGAGATGTTCGGTCAGTCAGATGATCAGGCGCGCGGGGTCCCCCGGCTCGGTCCAGCAGCGCCCTGGGCGCCCAACATGCAGAGCCTGGCGAAGCTACGCCGGTCCGCGCTGAAGACACAAAAAGCAGAAACATACAAGCCAGGATGTACGGAATCACATCTACGACCACATGTCACATTTTCAACTAGCTACCACCGCGACAAGCTACCTCGATTAGCCTATGGACATTCTCTCACTTCTTCTCCACATATGCGACGCAGAAATGGCAGGGCCGCTCTCGTCCTATCACTGCAGCATCACATCCAGCTAGGTCGTCGGCCGCCCTCGGCGGCCCATAAAGTTTCGCGATTTCTGGAGCCGAGTGCCAATTTTACCGCTATAGTGCGGTACGAGACACAGACTCCATTTGTGCCGGGTTTCAGAGTGTCTTGGGGTGATTCTTTAGCCCACACATTGGCCTCGTCGGCTCGTGCGCGCCATACGTCTTCCTCAAGTTGCCTATGAAAGGACAAAACCACGAACACTAGCCAGGTGCTGCGCATCAAAAGAGTGGCCAGCGACTTCGGAAAAAGCCCGACGCTGGCATGTGCTTCGTGCGTCTGCGAATGTGTGCGCGGAAAAAAGACACCAAGCCACACCGCGCACCTGCGCACGCGAGAACACCAGTCGAAGAATCGTTCGAAAGTGCCCAGCCAGCAGCCTGCATCTTCGTCCGCGCGCGTGCTTAGATGCGCCAAGCACTTGCGGGCCACGCCGGGAAAATGCCCCCGCTGTGTGCTGCCGGGCTCCAAATGATTTGCCACCCAGCAGTCACTTAGTTCCGAAATTGCGCTCGCAAGGCCTGCGGGGGCCAGACCCGTATCCAGCGACTTTCGGCTAACCCGTTTGCTCCGCGCCTCTCCGTCCGCCAGGGATCTACCGGCCCCGCAGTGCTTTAGAAACTATTCGATAGAAGCTACGCGGGCGCCGGGCGCGCCGAATCTGCTGGGCTAACCCCTCTGAGCCTTGCGAGCCGGTGGGGCGGGCCCAGATCGGAACCGGCCGGAAGTCGCGCGCCCCAGGCGCGCACGCACACAAAGGAGCCGGCAATAGGCCGCGCCGTTTCTTTGGGCCCTCCCCGCGGGGCGGGCATGGCATCCGCCGGCGCCGCCCAAGCAACTGCCATACACCACAGCCCGGCCGCTCGCGCCCAACTGATCCGGGCGGCGCCGCCGTGCTCTGGTGGGTCGCAGGAGCGCGCTCGGTTCGGCTTGTGAACTTGGGCGACCGCGTCAGGGCCCGCAGAGTAGATCTTCGATAGGGCCTACGGCGTGGGCATGGATGGGGGCGGGGGCCCCGGCTTTGCCGAGGTTCCCGCGGGCGCGCCGCGTTCTGAAGCCACTGCGCCCTCACCGTTTGCGCGCCCCGGGCCTGCCGGCTGCAACTTTTTTTGCCGTCATACTCGTCGGAGCTATGGGGAAGGGCGCCAGCATTTGCAATGTGCTCGCGACCCTCCTCCACCTCGCAAAGCCGACATCCAAAACACCCCGAGGTCAGACCACGCCGGCCCATACCTAGCACAGGCCGAGAGAGAAACACCTGGGGGGCTGCGACCGGACGGAGCAACGTGGCGCCATTTGGCGACAAAACCCGCGAGGGCGTGCCGCCCGTTTGTAAGTTTCGGCGCCAACTTCGCCGGGGCGCCTAATAGCAGGCCAGGTCATGACCTACCAAACTTGCAGGCGAGGGCCGGCAGGGCAATAACTTTGCAGGGGCACGACACACAGCCAGAACATGGCGGCGCCTGGCCGATACAGCCCCCGCCGCCCCTCTCTGAGCGGCCGGGAAGGCTGGCGCCGGGGGATTTCGCAAACGCTGGGGGCGCGTGCGGTTTCTTCGATGGGAAAACGGGTCGAGGTGCCTGCCCGCCAAACCAGCAAAACTCCGCACGCCAGGCAGAAAACCCACGCGAGGCACAACCAAAACCCTTCCGGCCCTTCAGCACAAAAAAAAAGACGAAAGGGGCGCAGCGCTGGGCAGAACAAAAGCCCCGCGCGCCGGCTGAATTGTCGACGCTTGGGGGAGGGCGTAAAAGCTTTCATCCCCGGGCGCATTCTTTTTTCTTTGCAGCAGCAGCCGACGCGCTGGGCTTTAGAGATATTATTGCAACAAGAGGCAGGGCGGCCGAACGAAAAAGCTGCGGCGTGGCGCCCAGGCATGGCAGCCACCAAAACCGACTAGCACGGCTTCCAAAGCAGGCCAGACAGAAAAGCCAACAAGCCAACGTAGCGGACTGAGCACCTCGCTGTCGCACTTACTTCCGCCCCCAGTGGGGGCGGCGCCAATCGGTAACAGCTGCCAGACACCGAAGCAGAACGTTCTGGAGCGAGAAAGCGGGCCCGGGGGGAAAACTGAGCGGGCCACAGCTGGCCAGATCAACGCCCCGCCCCCGCGCCGGCCTTTCCTGCGAGTATTGCGCCGGCACGAGACGGGCCACCTGGGGGATCTTCACCCTCTGGCGCTTTGCCATAGCCGTCTACGCTGCCAAACAAAACAAGCCCCGGCAGCTGCTGGCATACCGGAGGACAACTGGCTGCAGCGCGCGCGTCCAATGGAGTGAAAAAGTGCGTGGAGGTGTCAGCCCCGTTTGTATCTTCCTAGCCATTTTCCGCCCAAAATGCAACGCGAAGAAATAAGCAACAAAGACGCTGCTGGCCTATACAAAAACGCACGGCCGACCCCATTTCCGACGCACTTCATTAACTTGCCCAGAATTCTCAAGCGCCTGCTGTCGAATTCCCAAGCGCGTAGGGCCGATTCTCGAGCGCCTTACGCCTGAATCCCAGGAAGCGCAGCCTCCAAATCCTTGCGAGCTTGACCGTGGGCAAGAGTTACGCCATTGCTGCCGAGAATCTCAACGACCCCAAGAAGTCGGCGCGGAGAATCCCAACGGCAGCGCCCCCCTGCGCCATCGGTTTTTTGCGCTTTGTGCTCTTTTCTTCTTGCTCTCGATCACGACCCCATTGGTGACCTCCCGAGCAGAATGCGCGAGCGTCCCTCCTTGCATGCTTGGAAGCTCTACCTTGCGCACGCGGGAGATCGGCCCTGCGCGCTTGACAATTTGGCCCCGCGCGCTTGAGGAGTCTGGGCAAAATAATAAACACAGCCGGCCGGTTTTGTATCGGAAACAAGGCAGGCCGTGCGCTTTTATTTGAAGACGAGCAACGTCCTGCCTATCTCTTCGACGTGCGTTCTGGGTGGTGTAAGTCCCGAGCGCATCAAAGTAGGAGGGCGACCCGGTCGGGGCGGTTCTTCCTTCTTGGGTATCCGAGTGGGGCCACCCGTTTACACTTGCGCCAAAATGGCCACGGTCCGAACGTCTTGGGCGTTTTGCACATTGCCACAGGGGTGCGGTTTCTTGTACGAAGATCATCAGGCGGACCGGCCTGCGTCGCTATCTTATCGCATGTCGGCAGATGGGGAATGGCTAGAAAGATACAAAGAGCTGACACCTCGGCGCGCTTTGTCATTCCCTTATAACCGCTGCGACCATCTACAACGCCCCCAGCTGCAACAACAACACCGGAAGCCAACGGGCGCAGCCCTCTGCTTTTTTGGTTTTTTCTGCTTCGGAGCGGAGGCGCAGCCGAGCCGGTAGGCGTTTCAAGGCTTGCTGCAGGCCCCAGAAATTGCAAAAAGCAGCGCAGGCCGGGGGAGGCGGCGCGGAGGCGAGCCCGGGCTTCTCCCTTGACTGGGTAATCAGCAAGGGGCCTCGAACTGGCAAGACGGCTGACCCTTTACGGAAGATAGAGGCCACCGGCCGCCCCCAGAGGGGGCGCGCAGGCCGGATTGCAATGGGCAAGAGCCGGAACAACCCTGCAAGCCCGGAAGCACCTTAACCCTACGCAACCCGAGTTAGAGAAACAAAACACGAGACCGGAGAAGGGGCGTAGCTGCTGCCGATTCAAAAAACCTCGACGCGCTTGGTCCTTTTCCATCTAGCCCCCGCAGTAGGCTGCTGATTTTGATTTTGTTGGCCGTTTTCATTTCACACGTGTCGGGTTACGAACGGCGTTCGCGCAAAAGGTACGCAGGCAAATAGGTACAGGAAAAGGGCTGGCCTCGCCTTGAACTAAATAAGAAAGGCGCCGAAGGGTCGTCGCAGATCTTGCATCAGAAGGCATCCACATGACAAAGACAAGCCGCGGCGAAAATAAAAACTAAAGGAAGCGAAGGGCGACCGCCGCCAACTTGTCTAGGGGCCTCACAAGGGGGCCCCTCAGCAGTATCGGCGCGGTCTTCATCTGAGGGGCAAGCACCGCGATCCGGCCGCAGCCTCCTCCTTGTTCTTGATTTGGTGTCGCGTTTATTTATGGCAAAACCAAAACTGGGTGGCGCAGCTAGTTCAAGGCCGGGCCAAGCTACTTACTTGCCTTAGAGGGATGCTCTCGCACCGCCGTCGCCGCAGCCTGCTGAAACCCGATGCCGCCGGGGCGTTTTGGCGACACTTTTTGCGCTGGCTCCTTAATAGAAGCGATCGAAGTAGAAGGCTTTTGGCTCGGCAACAATTGGGCCGCTTCGTCACTCTCATAGAAAAACGCCGGGCGCCTTGGAATGCTGGCAAATAAGAAGGGACGGGGGCCACGCCCGCTCCTCTCTCGTGGAATCTACAAGAAGCCAAGCAACCCCCACCCCGAACGAAGTCGCCTGCGCCCGCAGGCAACTACGCTCATTTCCTCAGAATAACCGCCGCCCAGGATGCGCCGGGTCCCGCCTGACATCAAAGACGCGCCGCGCCCATTTCGCGCATACTCCCATGGGTGTCGGTTGGCCGGCTGGGGCCGCAACGGCGTCGCTTTCTAACAAACGCTACGCAAGACGCGGCGCGTTCCGCTTTTCTCTCAAGCGTATTTGCTCCCCCCATGAGTCAAAAGCGCCAGCGGCCAAGATGCTACCATAGCAAGGGGCTCCTTTGCCCTCCTCCTCTAAAAAGCAAACAGTGGCCGGGCGCAAAGCATCACCATCAGAAGCGGCCTCCTACTAAAGCAAAGCTGCCCAAACGCCATGGAAACGGAAGCCAGCCCTGTCGCTTTCCAGACTCGGCCGCGTTCTCATTGCAAAGCACCTGGCTGACCTGTGTCACTTTGTCCATTCATGTCCAACCCTTCATCAAAGAGCAAGAAGCACCCGGACCACCTACGCAGGTAGTTGCGCTGCAATTTGTTTAAGAGTTAAGCACAGGGAAAAGCGCCTCTTTGCCCAAGCAATCAGACACAAAAATCGGGCGCGCTGGCTCTCCCGGCTTCATTAAGCCCCACATAGGCAGCACCCCATGGCCTTTTTTCCGGCCGCGGGACCCCTCCCGAACCACGAGCCCTGCCGCTGCCGCTTGCCTGCGAAAAGCAGGGCGCCCGCGAGAACTGGGGGGGGCGCTTCCACTTACTTAGTGCGCGCCCGCGCTGTGAAAGGCGGCGGCCGCCTGCAGATAATGACGACGATGGCGCGGTCGCTTGCCCGCTGCCCCTCCCCCCACTAGCGCTGTCGCCTTTGGTGCGTGTATGCATTGGCGGACAAGGGGCGGACCCTGCGGCGCAGAACGCCCCGGATAAAAGCAATCTTGTAGGGCCACGCGCATGCCCGTGGCGCGCCCCGAAACTATCCCCGGGCGCGCAAAAAAGAAGCGGTCGGGCGGCACCTCCGCCGCGATGAACCGCAGGAGGCAGCGGGGGAGCCAATCGGCCAAGCAACCATGGCGGAACTCGCTCGCCGACACGATGCGGGGGGTCCTGCGTGCTTGCTTGCACCTCGCGCGGCCGGCTCCTGAAGGGCTTGCCCATCGTGCCTCTGGGGCGGGAACGGGCTCAACGCCTGCGCGCTTTGCCTATCGGGCCGCGCATGGACGCGCCACGCCTCAGCTCTAGCGGAGTCGCACGCGGCGCGCCTGCCTCGCTTTGCTTCCCGCTCTGCCGTAGGGCCTGCGTATGGGCATCTGGGCGCACAAGTTTTAGTTTGTTGCCTACCACCTCAGCCTCGTCAGACAGAAACACGCACCACGGCGCCGGCCCTGGCGACAGACCGCTCGCCCCCGCCCATCAGGCAGCGAAGCCCTCCCTCCATCGCGCAGCCGCGTTTTCTTCTTGCGCTTGGTTGCCCGCTGCCCGAAACCCATACCAGGCTGCCTGTCTCGCCTGTGTGTGCAACCAGATCCGCGCCTCATGGCGGACGTGGAAACTTCTTCGCCGTCGCGAAGGCCTGCGCCTGGCAAAATGACAGACAACTCCGCCACACAAGCGCCCGCCTGGGCAGGGGAACGACAAGCCAGGGCACTGACCTGCACTGATCTAACCTAAACGCAACGCCGGGCGGGACAGGCCCAACCGACACAAGGCGCGGACCATAGTAGATGCGCCGCGCGGTGCCCAGTTTCGTTAGATAGCAAAGCCACCGCCCACCCGCATCCAGCTTGCCGCGCTTGCAGCTGCTCGCGGCCGGTGCGCAGGCTCTTTGATATTTGGGCGGCGCGTTGTGCTCTCCATACGGGCGCGCCGTCTATCAGCCGCGCGGGCAGCCCTGTACCGTGCTCACACTACGCTGTCCGGACTAATTGCAGAACTGTTCGGAAAAATTATAGCGCAATAGGCCTAGCAGACGGGCCCGCGTGCGTTCGCAGCTGCGCCAAGCGGGCCGGGGTCTCCATCCTCGAAACACAAAGCAGAAAGGGCCCAGTGGTCCGCACACTCCACGCAGAGCGAACAAGAAAGCCGCCAAGATGTCAAATAACCATCCAGCCCCCCATCCCGCGGCGCGACTGCGCTCGCCTGCCCTGGCATGCGGGGGCGGCAATGGCGTGCTACATTGCCCCCGGTTGCCGGAAGCGGGAAAGGCCGCGGGCGGCTGCTCCACAGGCGGCCCCCTGCCCTGCTCCCTCGGTCGTGCTACAACGCGAGGCCTGACGCCTCGAATACCGAGGAGGGCGGGAGGCTGTGTGGCTGTGATGGCTATTCCACAGACTTTTAGGCCGGCCCTGCCAATGGTTGCCGTTGCCCGCCTGGTGCCAGTAGTAGCCGCGTCGGCGGGGGTAGTGGGGTCCCAGCGGCTTTCTTGACTGCCCGGCCCCATTTTACTGCAGTGCCTGCGCGCATTCCCGATAGCAAAAGGGCCAGGCTATTTTCTTCAAGTAGCGCGCCGTGCGCATAACGCTGCCCCACATGGCGTTGGGGCGGGGCGGCACATATCACGGCGCCAGCGTCTTCCTGTCTTTAAAACCCGAAACCCTGCTCCCCGCATGCCGTGGCCCCGCTCGGCTCGGGCCTCCGGCAGGCTCCACCCCTTGGCTGGGCGCCCCAGGTCGGGCCAATTGCATGCGGATCGATGGGCTTGCTGCTTTTGGCGGCGTTTCGGTTTGTTGGTTTTTTTTTTGTTAAGCGAAGCAGCGACTTTGGTGGCCGGCCTGGCGGCGTCTTCAAATAAATTGGGCAAAATGAGACCCATAGCTCTGGGCGCCCTCGCTAAATAATAGCTGCGTCGCAAGTGGCAGGGGAGTATTTGCCCCACCATGAGAGCCCCGCCCAGTTGCCTGCACGTGGCGGCGCCCCCCGTTAGGAATGCGAGAGGGGCTCCACCTACACAGGCGGGCGGGAGGATTGACACGCGGGGCCTATCTACGCCCGCACGCGGCTCGGCTCCGCCCACTCTTCTAACAGGGAGGCCCGTTGGTGGGCTTCGTGTGACGATTAGACGCAGGATGGGCCACCGAAGCAAACACGGCGCGCGCGGAGAACGACATCGCAAAGCCTTCTGGTGAGGCCGGTGGGCGCCGGCTCCATCTTCGCTCTAGCGGGGCCAGGATAATGCCCGGGGCGGATAGGCTCGGGGCAGCAGCGGCCTTCATCGTGGCGATGGTGCAAAGAAGGCACGTCTGCCGCCTTCGCTCTGCATTAAGGCGCCCCGCTCTACTCCGTGTTTCGTCTCGGGCTCTCTACTGATCTCCCTCCTGCAAGTGCAAAAGCCCCGGCGCGGGGATTCTCAAAAGGGCGCAGCTGGCGCTTTCAGGTGGGAGTACTACACAGAAGCTATCCATCCGCATGGGCGGCGCTTGTATGGAGGCTCAGCGACCTCGCCGGCGGCTCTGTGGTCTTCTACTCGCTGCCCCCAAGCCCCACCTTTGCCGGCGCTCATTGGCGTCAGCTTGTTTCGTTTCGCGTCGTTTTCTTGGGCGTGTGGCAAATGTTTTGCGTAGTTGGTGCGGGTGTGCTTTTCCATGCGCTTTCTATTGACTCTTCCTGGTCGCCATCTGGTGCCGCTGCGTTTTCTATTGACTCTTCCGACACTTCCTCTTGTCCCCACCACACTGCGTCAGCAGACTGGATCGAGGCGACTACCCAACTCTTCATGTCTTTCCCATCTTCAAGAAGATCGCTGTAGGCCTTGCGGTGCTATGCATTGCAAAAGTATCGCAATATGATATACCGCAGACCAATGCGGCGCCAGGCGTAACATATACAAGCTCAGCCCTTTGCAAAATTCTACGCAAATGGATGAAGCCAAGACCTGGACTGTAATCTGGGCGATGCATGAGCATGGCCTACACACGGTGGCCCCCTACGTCGGAAGGGACAAGGCTGGGCGCTCCTGCCGTGCAGGCAACAAAGGACGGGCAGAATCTCTGACGAAACAGTGGCGCGCGTAGTAGGAATCAGCGCAAAGGTAGGCCAAAAATAAACTCGGCAACAGTTCTAACGGTGTACCCGGAGGAGCAAACTCGCCCCGCGAGGGTAAAATCCGTCGCATGCTTCTAGGGGTTGCGCCACATTGCACAACAGGCACGATAATGCGTAGTACATTTGCACAGGATAGGTGTTTCATCTCGTTGTGATGCCGGCGCCTGCTGACGTCTCTCCTTCTATGGCAATGCCGGGCGCGAAATCGACGCAGCTGCTCTATGGTTGACTTGCGGCGCAACAGGTACGCCCTGGATCTACACTAACCGCGCGTTGGGTATTTCTTTCGCTTGGGGAGGGCTCCGCACTCCGAATCTAGGGCGCGCCTGCTTGCATGCTGATGCTGGCAAGCGGGGCGGCCCGTATAAGCGTGACAGGTGTTCTTGCGCGGGTGCATGCTGCAGAGTCGAGCGCAAAGCTCGTGGGGCTGGACGGGCTACGGACGCCACTGGACATGCGCGACCGAAGAAAACGCGAGATAACAGATAAAAGACTAGACTGACGAGCTGGAGGCGTGCGGCACCACGGGGCGCATGCTTGAACGACAAAGAGATAGCCTGAGGCTTGCTGTGTGCGGCTGTCAGCTTTTTTTGTTTGCGAGTACGAAACGCGCACGCACCACCTCGATCACAGTGCTTGGAATGCGGTGCGGTGCGAAGCGAAGATCATAGCGGTCCGGCTTGAAAAGCCGGGCGCAGCCACTTGAATCGCGTGAGCCCCGTGCGTTCTATGCCGCCAGAACGTGGCCAGTTGCGCGTGGTGAGTGCGTGGGGTTCTAGGGCGTGGCCCGACCAAAACCGCCACTGCATCCGCCTAACGTTAGTAAACAGCTGGGGGCTTCTGGGTGCGGCCCTTCAGCCGGTAAGCGCGGGGGCTGGCTCGGAAAGTAGGAAAAAAAACGCCGGGGCTCGCAAGAGTTGCAAAACTCCTGCTGGCCCAGCCGCTTCGGCCAGCCGCTTGGCCGGGAAAAAGCAAAAAACGCCTGCCCCTGCAAAACCCGCGGGGGCCGCCTCGTAGCGCTAAAAGTATTCCAGAGATAAGCCAACCGACAAGAAAAAGACGAAAGGGCAGAGACGTCAATGTGCGTGGGAACACAGGGAAGGCAATTCGCGTACTAGTTTGCGATCTAGCTCCATGGCAGACAATAGGGACGAACGAAGTGCAGTGGCAACGAACTTCAGTCGTAATGAAGCGCAGGGCAGGCAGACAGCTATACACTATTTTTTCGGAGCTGTTTTATCTTCGCAAGATCAAACGAGATGGCAAGCGAGGCCCCCGCGCCCCCCCTCCCTGGAGGTAAGGAACGATTGTGGCCCTTTGTAGTGATCTGCAATCTGGAATAATTGCAAAGCACAAAGCGCCTGCTTTGCGGAACAGGAAAATGCGGCCCACTGTAGACATGTCAGTCGGGGGTAGACATAGAGCTACTAAAGGAGCACGACAACAGAACGCATAGCTTCTTTATTGCCCGAACAGCATGACAGGCGGGATATAGGTGGTGCTCCGCCTAGGTAGACACTCGGGCTGCAGCTAGCAGGGGTTTTCTGCGGCGAAAGTTCCTTCAGCTTTGTTTTTGTCGATTCCGGGCCTGACGCTTCCATACCTTCGGTGATTTGGGCTTGGTCTGAGGTCTGTGTTCTCGAGTCGGACGCAGCCAACGTCGGGCCTGCCAGTGTATTTTTGCTCCCAGTCGTAGAGCTGCCCTCCGGGGTCGCGATGCTTTACCACGCCCGTGGTTTCGTCCAGCGGCTGCATTTCCGCTGCCCCTAGGTCTTCGTAGCCAAGTTTAAAAAGGCGCGCCGTAAAGCGCGCGCCATCCACCACCTCTCGGTTCGCGAGTGCAAAGGGGCCACTGGTACGATCCAAGTTGTCGTCATATTCAAAGCCATCCGGGTCCACAAAATCCTTATCCAGCGTCTGTTTATCCGGGTGCTCATGGTCGGTGCCGAACTCTTGCACCTCCCGCCCACGTATACATTGCAAGCATGTTGGGATCGGAAACTTTTGACTCTGAGTGGTGACGAAGACGATTGAACATATATGCGAAGCGCAGTCCCCAAGCATGACAATTTCTTCGGACACTTCCTCATGCGCAGTGCGTATGTGTACCAGAGGCACCAGAAGCTGCGCTTTTAATGCATGACAAGAGCGGCCGCCGCCGCGCTTTTCTTGCTGGTGGTCATGATGCAAAAATACAGACTATATTTGTACAGAAATGAACGACAAGCAAGAACGCCTCCACTTTTCCAAATCTAGAGGACATGTTTGCAGTGGATACCACGGGGATCGTAGTCGGCAAGTTCGAAGAGTCTGGAAGCGTCATGCCCGAAGTCGACAAAGTTAAAAAATAACTTGCAAATGCATATTGATATTTTTGAATCTCCCACAGCTGTCGAGCCTTCAAGTTCTGAGCGCCACATGCCCAATTTCGGCAGTGCCGAAACATTCCAATTCGTCATGCTAATTGGGGAAAACTGGAATTGGGCGATATGCTGCCCGATTATCTTTACAAATAACTTCTCGTCTGAGCAGGCTTACAATCGGCACTAAATTTCGTCCTCGCTGCATGGCAGGGGATGCATGCCAGTCTATGCGTCGCAAATTATTTCAACTCTGTCAACTTCGAACCTGGTGACACTCTGATAAATAATACGCAGCACGTAGTGTCGCGAATGGGTCGCGCGTACGCGTTGCACGCCGGCTCGCGAAAGCACTGCAGTGCGCATATCATGAGGGACCATCCTATGGAAGCGTCAGGTTTGAAATCGACAAAGTTGAAAAAATGATTTGTCATGTATAAAATGCAAGGCATGAAGCGGTTGTCTTGCCGGGATGGCAAGCGAGGCCGATTGTGAGCCTGTTTAGGGTTTGAAATAGAGCTGCTAAAGTAGCACGACGCAAGCAGTCTTCTGTCCCCAAACAGGATGACAAGTTGGAATCCGGTGCTCGGAAAATTTGTCACGCGCCACTTGATATGTGGGCTTCTGAATGGTAATGGTATCGGTTTTATGCATAACAAGCTATTTCAACTTTGAAGATTTCGATCCTGGCACTCCCATACATCCTCCCTCCGAATACTCAACAGGGAATTGTAATTCGCGACCTCTCGTCTACACGGATCAACTTTGCCTTGCAGCACGCCACTGGAGGTCGCATCGTGTGCTAGGCCTGTATAAGTTTCCCGAAGGCTAGCACCCCTTCAGTACGATAGAGCTTGCTGCTCTAGGTTGCAAAAGCGTAACACTACAGCTAATCGGCCCAGGGCTTTCATCTTCTGCTCTACTTGCTACTTTCCCAGTATGCAAATCGGAGGCACTTGCAGATGACACAAATCACCAACACAGATGGGCTTGCTCGTGCGATTTTAATTTGGGGAGGGTGGATTTTTCCTCATGATACCGCACTCCTTGTCCGCCTCGGCATTGTCCGGCTCGCCGCCGATTTGGTAAACCTTCTCCACGTATCAAATGCAAACATGTCTGGATCTCGCAGGTTGTAGAGGTGCACTGTGAATGAGGAGCGAATTGCATTAAGCAGCGAAGTGTTTTATTTAGCATGGAAATTTTTTTGGCTGCGGCTGCCATGCGATGCGTACTAGTTTTTCTTCTTCGCAATAAAGTGTGCTTTTGTATAGCAGGCAGGGTGATCTTTTTTTCGTGCCCATGCATCATTGTATGTACTGGAGTCATGTCAAGCAAGAATGACAAGTCCGGCACTCTTATTCCAGACCCAGATCGATATTTGCAATGCATACCACACTATCGGGCCTCGGGGCGAGAGTTTTCGGAATCTTCCGAAACTCCAGGTCGGGGTCGTAGAATATTTTACAGGATCCCCAAAGATATCGAGTCCGAACATGTCTGGGTCTGGAAGCTCGCTGGCGCTTGCAGTTGCACGCCATGAACATTTTGCATGACGACCCATGACGTCTATAACTTACGCCCTAGCATCACAGACTTTCTACTGGGTGTTTCTTGATGCCTATCCCGCATGGGAATAAAATCCTTACCCACATAGCAAGAATGGACTTTGTTTTGGTTTTGCTGCTCAGGCAATGCTGATTTTTTTGGAGTCCTTATTTAAGCAGCATCATAAGTTGCACACTACTTCTTGTCAGCCGTTTCAGACCCAGACCTAAGTATTTGCAGCGCATAAAAGACCGTACTGCACAATGTAAGGCCGTGGCGGCATGTTTTCGCCGCCGACGTTGAGCGCCGCCCATATGGAGTTCGCAAGCGGTCTTACGCTGTCAGCTGTTACATGATTTAGAAATAGAATTTGCGAGGACGGAGCCAGCCTCTTGCATTACAGACGCCGCACGCCACAAATTCGGCACAGATTTGCGACCCTGTTTGCCCTTCGAGAATTCGCCACGCGAAGCAGCTTCATCTGATGTTCGTCCTGCTTCTGCTGCTTGTAGTATCAACTAACTATGACAAATCATGTATACAGCAAAGACTGGAACATCTCAAAAATCCATATCGCGCGCACTCGCTTCGGACTGCGCCAGGAATCGCTGCGCATAACGCTCCTCGTCGTTGTTTAGAATGTGGCCCTGAACGAAGGCCATCCGAAAGAAAAACAAAAAGCAGAAGCACCCAACTCGCATAGATATGGAAGAAAGGAAAAAGCTCGCGTTGCCAAATTGCAATTGGCTTCGCTGAAAATTGAATCTGTATGTGAGGCGCAGAGTACCATAACGGCCGAACTGCTTTTTCGTGTTAAGTCGTTTCTGAGGACGTGGCATCTATCCTGTTAAAATAAACAGCCTGGGAGGGAGGTTACCGCCTACTTATTCAGACAGCTCTAGCGTAAATAGCTTCGGACAAAGAGGCCACTGCTGACAGACAATCACACAGAGCCCACGGCGGAACGGATGCAGGTTCGCGACTAGAAGGCGAAAGGTGGCGAGCAGCTTTGCCATGGTCCGCAGCGGAACGCAGGCTGGGAGCTGCGACGTAATTTTTTTCTTTTGGCCAGGTATTTGAATTTGTGCTCTGGAGACAAGACAACTGCACATACAGAGATCCAAAAAATCGCTGACGCTTAGAAAGTACGAGGATCAAACCGTAGCAAAGGCTTATGCTATAAATAGAAATAGGTAAAAGCTGCGCAGTAAAATACAGCGCCGCGCTTCTGCTCATGGGGTCCCCCAAGCTCTGCCGCGCCACTACGCGGCCCTGGCCAAGGTGCTTCTAAGCGACTGGGGGCCTAAGGCTTCTCTCGTAGTAGTATTAATATTATGTCCACGGCCATCGAGTGATCCTGTTGCTCTGGTGCATATGTTTCGACTCTGGTAGTGCGACTGCTGCACAACACAGAGAACGGAACGTGAACGACTTAGAACTGAAATTATAAAACGCAAACTCTTTGGAAATTCATGTAGAGAGTGGCTTTTGGGATGTTCAATAGCACTGTGCCTAGAATGACGAGAAACCATGCGCAACACTAAAAGCCGCAGGGTTGCTTCAGCTTTTTTTTTGCCCACTGGTTCCAGCAGACTCTCCCAGGCTGCTCCGCTGGGAAAAGCGATAAAGGGCCAGGGGCCTGAGGGTACTCGCGTTAAAGTAAACTCGCGGGCGTCCAATCAGAATGCCGTGGGTGCGTGTTCACTCCTATTCGCTAACACTACTGGCGTCTACCTCTGAAACCCCTACTCGACATGCGCCCTCAGAAAAAAGTACAGTCCTTATCACATAGGCACGAGCATTGCCTTTGGGGAAGGAACAACGCGCGCCGGATCTCATGTTCACCACGACAGGCAACTACATTGTGCAAAAAGGACCAAACTTATTTTTGCGTATTCAACATAGGTATGGGAGTACTACTTTTGATTTTTTGCGCGATAAAGGCCAAGTCCCGCAAGTAGGTCCACCAGTGTCCGGAGATGGGGAAGGTCTGATGCTGTCTCCTTCTATTTCTTTCCCTCCAAGTGTCATCCTCTGCTTTGGAACCATCGGCGGCCTCGCACGTAAAAGGCTTGGCGACGTCCCCCACCGTCGTCGTGTGGCCCACGGTATCAACTGCAAATATGTGTGGGTCTGGAAGGACGCAGACAGTCCGCCCTCGTGGTCCTCGAACTTCAGAGGCTTCCCTTCTACGGCATCACAGCGGGAGAAGTTTTGCTCATCATCATCATCATCATCATCATCATGCAGTGGACACCCGCACCCAGCGCCACAGCATGCTCGACGTCTTGCAAATGCGATCGCGTTTAGCCCGACAAACTGGCGCCATCCAACACGAAGGAAAAGCTGGCCACACCTTTTCATGCATCACCGAACTTGTTGTCCTTGAAATGTTCTTGCACGAGAAATCCAGACTCATACATATTTGCAAGGCATACTCCAGATCCGGATTCTCCCGAGGATCCTCGTCCTCATACGGAGCCTCCTGATTTTATTTTGTTGAAGAACGGCCCCACACCACTAGAGTAAAATTGGGGGACCGCTCAGCTACACAAGTCACGAAGCTTCGGCTGTCGCACAAGACAGTTTTGGGGTCACAGTGTAGTCTTTTTAGCTGATCCAGCAGCATCAACACAAATCGGCCAGGAGACAACACAAACGATAACGAAGCAACTCGAGGACAGCATTATAAAATACTGCTTCCGGCCGCGCCGCGCATCAGAACTACTAGATGCAGATGTATTTGATTTGCATGTACATGTAGGATTTCAGAGTTGCTGCATAGCACTTGCTCTCGGGTAGGAGGGGCGTTCTTACATAGGAAAGATTTACCCTTCTGCACTTATCCTCGCGCCGGCGGTTGGCAGATCCATCGTCCCCACTGCCAGACGTGGGGTCGGTGTGTCTGCGCCTCTCCGCTTGCCGCAACAATTTCCCCGGGTTCGCGCCCTGGTAAACCACACAGCAATACGTCCCACGCCTTTCATATGGAGGCGCCAGGCTTGAACCCGACAGAATTGAAAAGATTTGCGATGCATAGGAAACAATGCTCCGCTTGTTCAGTCTCTAGCTCTAGGTAGCGCATGACACATTTGGGAGCACCGAGATCCCTATTCTCATGCTGCGCGTGCAAAAAAAAGCGGCGCCCGCCTCTTTTATCATCCTACTTTCGCATCCTTATACGCAACTCGAGACAGGCTTACACCAATCGCCATCACTTAGTCACAAACGCTCGCCTCCAAAAATGCGGGTAAGCTGCTTGCTGCATTTGTGCGTTGCAAATTTTTCAACTTTGCCGATTTTGACACCAACGCCTCCATATCTCCTCCTCTTGCGCAACAAGCTCTTCTCTGCTCCAGGAGGTCCCTCGATATTCGCAGCCAGAGTAAGAGTCGCAGTTGTACGCTGCGTCGTGGTATGAGTTGCAAGTGTCTCTCTGTCTGAAAAGCTTCCACGCTGCTAAATGAGCGACAGAGGACAGACCGACTGCGCGAAGCAGCCACACAGGTCAAATTTCTTCTGTAGCATCTTTCTCTATCGCGCAGCCTGCAGCCTGTCAACCGGGGATCCAACTAAGGCCAGCACGCCCCTGCTGGCATTGAGAGCGAAGCTCAAACTTCAGAGACCAGGCAGTGGATATATATGGCGTGCCCTCGTCACTGCGCGGTCGGTGTGGCGAAAGGCGGCTACTTCCCTGCTACTTGGTGCGGGGTTTTCGAAGAACGTCGGACCGGCAGACTGACAACATTCCCCGAAGGCGAAAAAGCCGCCGGGCGGGCCGGGTGCGCGTGGGTCAAAAACGAGGAAACAAACGAAGCGGCTACCTGGCCCCCTCTTCAGGCTGCTTATAGAACTCCTCAATGGGCCTGCTATCCGGGGACTGTAGCTGTCTGCTGTTTGCCACGGGACAGGCCCCAGAGAATCTCGGAAAGAAAACCGAAGCGCCCGGCAAGCCTCCGCCGGACGGCAAACGCCAGCGATCAGAGTGCGAAGACCGCCTATCCCCTCGGACGGCACAAAACGAAGCGGGCGCCCCAGGGCCGGCTAAATAATTCCAACAGCTTTTCAGCCGGAAAACACCAGGGCGGCCTTGGTTTTCGAATTCTTTCAAACCCCCCGCCCGGCATTGGAGAAGAAACAAGCGCCCGCGCGAAGTGAGTCGGCCTCGGCGCTCCCTCTAGCGAGCTCGTAATAAGAGAGGGGCAGGGGTCGGCACCAAAGCCACAACAAAAAGCCTAGGGGGCGGGGCAAAGAACAGGCCCACGGGGTAAGCACGGCAAGCCACGACAACGAGGGACAGATGGAGACGGAGGCGTCGAGGCAAAACGACGCACAACCACAAACGACACCGCCTCGGATCATATCTGCCGTCTGGCGTGCTGAGCTGATCCCACACGGGCGGCGGGGTGCTCATGCTTCCATGCCACCTAGGGTGCCCTCTTAAAATGGGCTCTATCGAGATAGAGTGGCCCGCCGGTTTGCCCCCCTAAAGAAATGGACTCCACTCTAGAGACACCTTCTACCTAGTTTGGGTCTCCCACACCGGCCCGCAGGCTTGCCCCTCTGGCAACGCCTCCAATTCCTTGGGCATCCAAGAAGGCCGCTCGTTTTCCTTTAGTTCTCCTTTTTGTTAGCTTTTCTCGACTTCGTGCAAGTCTCTCGCGCGCTCGGAAATTTCCGGACATCTACCAAATATAGCCGCCGGGGCGGAGGTAGTGAGGTCGCGGCCGTTTTCTTGCCGGCCGTCGCTTTGGGCGCGGCTTTGTTTTTTCGTGGAGTCCACCCGGCAAACGGCTCGCCCACCTGGTGGGGCGCGCCAGCTTCAGCAGTCTTATTCCCATCAAGTGGAAACGCTGGCTCGCAGTTCTAGTGCTATTAATTTACGAGTAATTTTTTACTCGTACCAGCGGGCGTCCTGGAGCGAGAAAGCCCGCGCTAGAGGTCTAGAGTACATATCTATGCAGACTTCACGACTATCACTATTGCAGATATCATAAACAATAACAAATTAGTACTACCAGCGCGAGTATTGGAAAAGTCTTCGACTTCCAGACCGAGAGGACATATTTTTGATTCATATGCAGTCATCCTTATTCTCATCACAACCAGAATCGGTGCCACGCTATCCCGGCTAAAAACGTCCCCGACCCCGATTGATTTGTCACAAACATACGCACACCAGCAATGTTTCTCGTGGGCAACCACATGAGAAGCATGCTGCGACGCTACCAGAGGGCCTAGCGCTAGCATCAGTGCGAGACGATCGATTGGCGATGCAGCTCCAGCACTACCGAAAGACGGCCACACTGCGAGCCTAAGCTTGCCATGCGCGACAACCAAGTAAAGCTGTTGGCTTTTGTAGCTTAGTCCCCATCTTGACTTTGGGGGGTTTCACGTGCTGGAACAAAACAAAATCAAGCGCATAGAAGCTTTACGCCACTTTGACGAAAATAGAACGCGACCAAGTTGCACAAAGTGAGCTAGTATCAAAGGCCAAAGCGCCTGGGTCTGGAAGAGTGCAGATGTGTGGTTGGTTGGCTGGCTAGCGCCGGTCGCCGGCGCAGATCCCGCCCTCCATCGATTGCGATCCTGAGTAGCCGGACCGCAGTAGTGGCGCAATCGATCATCGCCGAAGCCCTTCAGAACCAGGCAACAACCACCCGGCTGCCCTGGAGTCATTCGCGGGCCGGGTAACGTCTAGGGCCTACGGATTAGGGACCTTGATGGGCGAGACAGGTCACAATCATCCGCCTGCCCATCGAAGACGAGCCAGGTTACAGGCATCCGGCTGCGTTCACAGTACGAGCCAGGTCACAGTCATCCGGCTGACTGCGTAAGAACGTCCCCGGCGGCAATCATGGAAGCGAACCCATGGGAAGAGTCGGGAAGTTTTTGCCACGCTGTTTGTGCATGACAAAGAAGGTCTGGCATGGAAGCACTAGCATCGCAGATTTATTTGAGAAAGTCTCTAATTCTTAATGCGTAATCCGCATCACGAAGCCTTTTTTTCGGTGGCCAGAAATGTGCAGCTGTTGACTTCCATACGTGACAGATTTTGTGTGATGTGACATGCGTATCACAAGTTCGCATTTTTGCAGACCCAGACATATTTGCACTGGATAGCTAGATAGTTGACGCTGCCACTTATCGGACTGCTTTATTGATTCTATTGCGCTGTGCGTGTTTCTTGTGGGAGGTGGGAGCTGAGGACTTGCGGCGTCGGGATCCCGCGCGCTCGGCTCGGGGGAGGCAGGGACGCCTTTACGTCACGGGATACAGAGGGGGCATGGCCAATGCAATCCGTGCAATACTCGCAGTTTTCTTCTGGCCTCCACTTATGCCCTTTTTTATCATTATCATCCTTCTCGCTATCAACCTTATCATAGATGTCTGTAAGTTCCATCGTGACAGTATCTTTTTCGCCGGTATCGACCTTCGTCTTTAGAGTTTCGTCGGCCTCCTGACGGTAATCTTTTTGAGCGTCCACAAAAGCAAACCCCACACAGCGGGGCACGATCTGCGTGCACACTTTCGCGCACTCAGCGAGTACGTTCCCCGGCGTCAGGGGGCCCAGCGGCTGCTCCGAGAGCCGTTGGTATGCAGTGCAAATAAAATCGCCCGCGTTTACGTCGTATGAAGTGCAATTGCGTCTGAGTCTGGATGAGTGCAGAAGTTTGTTTCTATGATGTGATTCATTTCGTCACATCGGAACAACGCTTTGTGTGGACATAAAGGTTTCTCAATGCCTAGTCCACATGACAATTCACACCTTAAAGTGCCAAGTAGAAGTGGGCAACTTTAATTTATATACTGTGGCACACGTACTTTACCTGCATCATTCACTTTTGTGCAGTCTGAAGCTCTAAGTTGCTTGACAGATTTACAAGTTTGCACGACTCGAGACCCAGATATATTTGCAACGCATATGTCGCAGACTGGGACACGTCTAGAAGTCTGGGAACTTCTGGCTCGAGAAGTGCAGAGTTTTTGTGCCTAGATAACCATGAAAAATCGTCAGCAGAAGTGGATACTTAGCGAAGCAGCCCGGAAGGCTAGTACCGTGCCGATACTACGTCTCAGATAGAGTCATGTGTGTCCTGGAGACAAAGCGCTCCTGCTTAGTGCTCAGGTGTCAACAAAATGACACTCTCATTTGGCAGACTCAATCTCTCTGTCAAGCGTGACCCTACTAGAAAGTAGATGGTCGCTCTAGAAATTGGAGCGCATGGAAAAAGCAACAAGCTCGAATCCACTCTCCCAACGGACGTCTGAGGTACCTATGCGCTGGAAATATGTCTGGGTCTGGTGGATGGTTGGAACTTGAACTTGTATTAATGCTGGTTTAGTAATATTTCTATTTCTTGCATGGAGGTATGATATTGTATGAGGCTTGCGTCCTCTAGGTAAAATGGAAATGCAAAATCTACCCGGGACCCGATTTCCGCTGATTCTGTCTTTGCACGGGAGATCCGCTACACCGCCCTGAGACGGCGAACACTCCGCGTTTGAAATCTGTAGCACTGCACGAACTTTTTCTTTCACACCTCAACCCATAATCATCCGCTTTACGACCAATGCCTGACCAGCAAGAGAAGTCACACCCTCTTTTGGCATACAAAGTGTTTGGCTGCATGATTCTACTGGAAAGGTGTCATAAGTGGCTGCATGATTTCGAAGTGCTTCTATCATCCACATCTTGGCATCAGCATCACAACTTTCCAGACGCAGACATGTTAATACTTGCATTTGATAGGCGCCGCATTATTTGCAGTGTGTAGATAATATGAATTGCAAAAGTATCGCACTCGTCGTATAAAAAAACGCATTACAAATTTCCTCAGCGTGAGAAAAATGAATTTGTAATGCTGATTTACCTTTAGAGAAAGACTTGTAATGCATGACTGCAATACGAGTACGATATTACTTTTGCACAGGATAGATAACCTGCAGTACCGATCTCGAGGAGACTGAGGTCCCCGTCTGTCCTATCCTAGGTAAAAGCGTCCCCATACCAGAGTTGTCATGCAAATCTGCACGCCGAAAGAGTTTCTCACGCGGAGCCCCATGGGAAGCCTTGTCTAGTCGTGCTGTTGTGGATTTCGTCATCCTCCAAGCAGCACGATATGCTAGATCTGTGATGCTGCTTAGCTCCGCCCTCAAACAGCACTACACTACGAGCCCAAATCTATCATGCAAAACAGCCAAAGCTTATGGATTTGTCTAGCCGATTCCCCATCTTGACTATGTATGGGGTGTTTATGGACTGGAAAAGACCAAATGGAAGCACAGATGGGGTGGGGACGTTTTTACATAACATATTTCCACTGTCCCCGACGCCGATCTCCGTGTCGCCGGCACTATAAAGGCCTCAGGTTCGGCATTCTCAAAATGGACATCATGGCTTGCAATGCAAAAAACAGGACTTTGCCACTTCTTGAAGCGCCATTTTTAGTTGACGCATGACAAAGTTTCCGGGTACCTACGGCGTGTCATTCATGCTGCTTAGGGCACAGAGCCACCCTTCTGTCATGCTAATCAGCAGCCCAATTCTTGACTCCTAGCAGGACAAGAATCAGCCTCAACATTGCGTCCTTTGCAAGTATGCGGTCACGTTCTTATGTGCCCATATCGTAACGCATGATATGGCAACATTTACATTATGCGACACGGTGTCGCATATCGTGCATTAGCAAATTTCTTCCACTGTGAGAATTTTCTCCAGCCTGCGGCCTCCATAGGCGTGGGGGATTATTTCCGCCGCCACGCCGCCGCGTGTTGAAGTCCCCGCCGCAGTGTATAAAGTGCAATACGTTGATTTCGGGTCTGGAAGGACACAGCTTGTCATGCCAAGTGGTCTCGAACGCCAAAAAAAAAATTGTGCCGCGCCGTGTACTGCCGACTTCTTGCGAGGCATGAAGCGGATTTTTTCTCATTATGTATATACAAGACTTGGGTCGCCCTAAAGGGCGACCCCTTGGTGGCCGGTCCTAGGAGTCTGGACCGGAACGAACGAAAGCAGGTAGGGCGATGCCGATGGTGTTGGGACAAAGAGAGACCGCAAGAAGGGGGGCGCGCCTCAAAGTAATAGGCTAACCGATAGCGCAAGGGGAGGGCGCGAAAAGATTCCAGGCGAGCCGCTTGCTTCCGAGCGGGCCGGCCCTCTTACTGACCTAGACGACCGCCCCATGCGGCCTTGGTTGCCGGCTTGCGCCTGGGCCTTGTTGGTTCCCAAGTCAACCCTTCGCCTGCGCCCAGGCTTTACTGTTTCCTTGCTATACCACGGGGGGCCACGGGGTTCATACTAACCTCGAACGGGCGACAAAGGAGCGAACCATCGGCCGGCGGCCTTCGGCCGCCCAAAAGGGCAAAGCAAGGAGCGTGGCCGCAAACATCAAGCCGGGGGGAACAGCAGGGGCGTGGGCCTCTTGGATGTTTGCCAGCCGGCAAGGTCCTAGCGCAAGCCATCCTTCGGCCGGCGGCCTTTGGCCGCCCCACTTGGCAGGGGCGGGGCAACGCAATACATTAAGCCCAGGGCGGAACAAAGCGCCTGCTACCGCACAGCAGCCAGAAGGCGCCACCAAAGGCCCCCTCCAAGGGCCCCCTCCGCTATAGCCAAACAGAGCAGAGGCACTTCCCCCCCTGTGAAGCGGGTGCGCGGATTGCTCCGCCCCTTCTCCCACCTTATGTGTCAGCCCTAGCGATGCTGGTTGTGGTGGGTCGTGCCCTTCCGGGACTCCGCCTCGAGTCCCAGTGGGGGGCCTCCCGGGGGTCCGCCCTTCCCCCCAACCCCTCACCCCCTACCCCGCAGCCTTCCCCACTCCCTGGGGGGGGTTCTGGACCCCCCAACCCCCACCCCCCAGCCCCCCCCAGGGGAGGGTCTTGGACCCCCCCCTGCCAGGGGCGGACTCCCTTCTTTTTGTCCGATCCAGATTTCCGGATTCCTTTTCGGCCATTATCGTACTGTTAATAGACATGCGTTGGCAGCAGGCCTTGCAAATGAATCTGCGACGCTTCTGCGTGCATTCCGGACCCTGCGAGGGGGCCGCGAAATGCATGACAAGTCTTGCACTACTTTTCCAGATCTAGACACATTTGCATTCTATACGGCGTATCCAATGCAAGAGGGTCTGGGTCTGGAAGATTGCTAGCTTGTTTGTCATGCAGCTTCTCCACGACCCGCGCGGTCTGGCATGCAAGGCCTAGCATGACAGATTCTGTGAGATCCCTATCATGCATTTCCTGCATGAGAAACTGCCGATATCTTGTTAAAAAGTGGACAACTTTTGGTAATCACGCAACACAAATTTTTTCACCATCCAGATGTAGCATGACAAGTTGAAGTTACACTCTTCCAGGCCCAGGCATATTTGCACTAGATACGGCGCCGCGCCCCGCGATTTCTCCCGCTGCCGTTGCCATCGATATCATCTGCAAAAGAATCGCAGTCGTAGCAATTGCATGTATGCATTGCAAGTGCGAAGTCTTTTTCGTTTAGGAAAAATTTCATTTCCAATACTGCACAAATTTGTGCTGCATTTCTACATCTACGAGCAGTCCGATTATACTTTTGCAATTCATAATCGTATGCGCCGAACCATTTATCGATGTTGATATCGTGGTGCGTTGTGTGGCAGTCGTACCGTCCGTAATTTGTGTACCCGGGCATGTATCACCTGGAAATACGTCTAGGTCTGGAAGAATGCACTTGCTCTTCATGCATCTATATCCTGTGCAAAAGTATCGTATTCGTATTGCAGTCATGCATTACAAATCTTTTTGTTGAGAAGTCAAATCCGCACCATTACAAGTTTTATATTATCGTGCTGAGGAAATTTGTAATGCATTTATACAAAAAATACGATACTTTCGCAGTGCGTAATCTATCTGTTTATCATCACGCAAATCAATGGTCCGCAATGCTGCATACAAGAGCACTACAGGCCTCGTGCAGGTGGCTGCTTCATACCGTTGATCCCCTCTCATGCCGAGGAACCAACTGCCTACTTGCGCAGCAAGAAATGCTGGACATCAGCCTTTGGCTTTGGCAAAAATGCAATACAAATTCGGTACTCCAGAATCCGCATCACAAGCTGGGCAAGCGCTTCCAGGAGACGGAGACCTGCTAGACACGTTTACAATTGATAGCGTGTAGGAGGTGACGCGGCGTCGATGATCTATGCATTGCAAAAGTGTGGTCGGACTAGCAGCACTAGTGCAAGCTGCATGACGAATTTTCTCAAGACGAAAGTTGGAATTTGGAAAGCTGATTCAGGTATAGAAACTTCTACGCTTGTCATGCATAGCTGCAATAGTGCGACACTTTTGCAATGCGTATGATTTCGACGGCGACGGTTCGCGTCAAACTCGTCTGGAGGGATCCCGAGAAAAAAACGCCCCCCCCAGTCCCAGATACAAGATATTGGAAACTTACCAACAAAAGTCCAGATGAAGTTCTCGAAGTCCTCACACACGACACTAGGGGTGCTCAGGTGTAGCCGTGCTGCCAAGGCCCGGCTTGATGTCCAGACGCATTTCACATCCATTGCATTATCCATGATATCCTGATCAGCGCACTATAGATTCAGACTCCGATAGCACCACCGAAAAATGCCTCGCATGAGGAGCCGCATGAAAAACGCCCTGAATTACAATTATTGAAGAGCAGAGCATGAGGATCTGCATTCGCATGGCAGTCCTGGAGTGGGGACGCCTCTCTACAGGATAGGAGGAAGCACATAGCCATCCGGAAGGGCCTGAAAGTAGTGTCCGTCCAGGTTCACGAGCCCCTGCATAGCCGCCATAGCCGCCTTAATTTGTTTCCTGCACGGTGATGTCTTTTCTTCGTCTGGATCGTATTTGCCGAGTATCATCCCTTCAACCGGTATGTCGTTGCCTACGGGGTCTACGGCGAGACTCTGCAGGATCTTGTTGCCTACGGGCTGCTCTACTGGAGTAGACCATATCAACCTCAAACGTGTCGGGGTTGTCTGGATGGGCACTGCAGTCAGTGTAGTCAGCGTCTGTATGTAGCACGCAGTTCGCGCCACACCCACGGAATGATCCCGCAGCTCTCCTCAAGCGGAGGCGTGGTCCTGCGGGACTACATAAATATGTCGAGGTCTATTCTTTGGATGCGTCTACTTATAACATATGACGCAACTACACGCGCTCTCATTTATGTGAGCTTCTTAATCTTCCTCTACGCAACAAGACAAATGCGCTCAAATTGTAGTCGCCGCTCCTTGTGGGTGCCACCTGGCCGAGCTGCCGCGACGGGCTACGTTCTGTTTCGTTTTTGCTTGCCATTTTGCAACCAACGTCTTCACAGATTTCCTGCGCAAGACCTGGACCCAGGCGAACTTTTGCTGCAGCGCCGATAGCCGTCGACATTTTCACAGATGCAGAATATCAATGGGCCGCCCATTTCGCTTTTGACGATGCATTTCGCGAAATCAATCTGGCCAGCGGCGGGCCCCTCCCTTGCTGCGCGGCCCGGAGTTTCGCGGAATTGGATCGAGGGGCGCGCGAGCGTCGCACGCTTGCAGCCCCGGCAAGACTTTTTCTAAGGCCCGCGCTGCGGCTATGCACGGCAACAAGGTTGTCGCGCGCTCCTCAATCCTTAGGGGATCCGTGAATTTCATTCCGCCCCCCTTGCTGAGGATAGGTTCCGGAACCTGGCGGCGCGAGGCCTTCTGCTACAGGCAAGGGGGGCCGGTACGACCGCAAGCGCGGGCCGGGGGAAGCCAGACGTCCGGCGTCGCGGTCGCCCCGGGGCGGCTTATTAAAAACGCCGGGGCGCAGGCGCCATGCGTTCCAAAATGCACCATGAGCAAGGGCGCCAACCGACCCCCCCCCGAAGTTAGTCCGTCTGCTAAAGCTGTCGGCCCCTGAAAGCTTCGCCAACTGCTGAGGCGGCTGCCAAAGTTTGTTCCTTCGCAGGTTCCCAGCCGTCTGTCTGACCCGCAACAATGGGCGGCAGTTCGCAGACGGCCGCGAAGCTTGCCGGGGGGGGCAGCCCCAGATTGGCAGGGCCACACACGCACGGCTTCCGCACCCTCGCGCCACAAAAGACCCAGGGCGCGAGGCCTGCCTCTTGCCGTTCCAGGCCAGAAGCCCCTGCGATCGGACCGACAAAACTAACAGCACAAGAGCAACAACTTTTCCGACTTCGCGAACGCGGCGAAGTTCAGAGCACCTGCACCCGTGTACTGCGACAGCTGCAAACTGAAGCCAAAAACGCGCACGCTTGCTGCAAATACTTCATATTTTGGGTAGGCCTTGCTGGTTTTGCACTGCATTTGCAAGCCTTGCACTACCCGGCTGCACCGCTTTCGCAAAATCCGAAGAGCTCCACATCCACTTGTGTCTTGTTGTTCTTTCATAGAAGCCCCATCTACGGTCACGATGGAAATGATTGGGCCCACTAGTTATGGCCGGGCACTTGCGGAGCGTGACTGCGGGCCGCTGTAGCGCAGCTGCCTGCCTCCGTCTACCCACCCCATTGCGCAGCGTAGAAGTGCCTCCGGTTTCGATCTTCGTTCCTTCGCTGAGTGCGGCGGGCAGTCTATCTCTGTAGCCTAGCTGCTTAGAACGCAGCGGCGCTTTGTCCGGCTCGTCCAAAATATGTTGCGGCGCGCAGGTCGTGGCTGTATCCTGGGCGAGCGAGGCGCACGCGCTATCGTTATTCTGAGACGCAGACGGCCCCGCCCCGTAACCTGAGAGATCTCAGATTTTCCGCTAGCGATGCAACCGAATGCGCGACTTTTCCTTTCATATATCACACACCACAGCCTTCCAGCAGGGGACCTCCTGGAGGACCCAGACAGATTTGAGATGCGTAAACCACTTGAGAGGACTACTCGGGTTATCCCTTTCAAGGGAAGCATAGAACTGGCACTTTCGCACAGACGCAAAAGGCCCGGGGCTAAGGCACTTGCTGGGCGGGTCATTCGTGTCGTCCGGGTCAATTCCTGCGATACACCGACCGCTATTGCCTCTCCTCGCTGCCAGGCATGCGTTTGCGTCGTCTTCCTCACAATCGACCGCGGTGCTCCCAAGTTCGACACCACTATCGTAACCAAAAGTGGCGATCTCTCCACATCATATTGCAATGGTGCTGCTGCTGGATTTGTGTACACATATACAAGAAAGCAGCCCTCTGTGTTCAAAGAGAGCCATGGGCCCCGAACGATGTGCGCGGCCCACGAGAGATTTATGGTGCTAGATTACGACGAAGAGCGGTGTCGCGCTCTCCTGTTTAAAAAAATTGCCGCGGGAAGCGAAGGCAGGCGATGTCGGCCCGGGCCTACACATTAGGGTCTCCGATCAAATAAACTGGGGGCCGCTTGCCTGGTGGACAAATGGCTGGCGTGCCGGCCCGGTGGACTTCAGCCAAAACCCAATGCGCCGGCGGGCCAATGCGATTTCAATGCGCAGGGCGGAGGGACGGACGAGTTGCACTTAGGCACTGCCACTAGCGTCGTGTCCGTGTGGCATACAAGCTGCGGCGCGGGCAGCCGGCGCGGGGTATGCTCGTAAGGCCGATGGGAGGGGAAAACGAGCTGGCTGGGGCGTGCGGCCATGGGAGGGAGCAAGGCCCCAAAGGCCGCTGGCCAATGGTAGTTGCCCGGCTGGTCTGCTAGCTGGTGGTCCCAGGCTGCCCCCCCGCCCACCCGGCCAAGCGCCGGCTCAGGGCGGATGGTGGAAGGGGGCTGCGCAGCGAGTGCGCAAGGGCGCCGCGCGTGCGGCATTACCACCGGGCGCACGGGGGGGGGGGCTGCGTCACGTCACAGAGCGCAACCCCGCGCATGATGACGCTGTCACCCAGAAAAAACATAAGATGACGAAGGGCGCCACCGGGAAAAACCACAGAAAAACCGACCGGGGGGGTGCAGTGCAAACATGCGGGCAGCGGCAAAAGTGGGGAAATACACCCTCGGCGTGGCAAAGGAATGCGACCTACGACGCACGCACGCCGGCCGCCCGCGCTCGGCCCCCCCCCACAGCGAACTACTGGAAAATCTCCCGGGCCAACAGAGCCCCGGGCTTCCTCCTGGCACCCCCCAGGACCAGCCGACCGTCTGCAGTAGGTGGCTGTCGCCGATCCTCAGCCCCCAAGCGCTAGACGGGGAGACCAAATGCGCCAGCGCCGGTCAGCCTCGGTTGTGCCCGCGCGCCGCCGTTGTGCATCGCAGGCCCCCGAACATACCCTCCGGGTGTGTAGCAGAAAGGCAGGGCCGCGCAGCTACTGCGGAAAAGTTGCGCAGTATAGATACAAGTGCCACCTCTTCGCCGGCGTGCAAGTAATCACCGCGACGCTTCTCGGCCATTGCCCAGCTCCCGCCCCCGCGCCCAGAAGTGTAGACGCGATTACAAAGGCAACTTTGGGCAAATTTACGCAGGGGCGTTGTTTGGGCACGTTTAGTCGCAGAGCTCCGCTTCTGCAATTACCTCCTAGACGTCGTGGCGCGCGACTTGTGCACGCTTTGTCATGCTACTTTGCGCGGAGCAGGAGTGCCTCCCGCTCCCCCTGTCATACTGAACAGGGCAGGCGCTTCGCTCCTGCTTCACGACGACAGTCCGCGTCTTTTTATTTCTGGCGTAACAGATCAAAAAAATGAATGGGTAGTAGAAGTCGTGCGCATCGATAACAATCAAAATCCAGCATCGAAAAGCCTGCGGCTCAATGTTGGGAGGGCGCCACCCGGTATCTCAATTGAATAGCCACCCCCGTTTGCCATCGTCTTCCATTTGTCAAAGGCCTGACGCGCAGTGCGAGTGATCAAATGCAAATGTGTCTCGGTCGGGAGGACTGTGCGGCTTTGTATTGCATCTTTTGAACCGCACACGTGGCTTGCAACTCTTTCCTCAAAAGCATTAGGGGTCTTGCGTAGTTCTCTTGATGCCTATCCCGGACACAAAGCGCGCTGTTTGTGTAGCGGAAAGTGGGGAGCTTTTGGCGCTCGCCATCACCATCATGTGGATCGACGGCGCATCTATTGCCAACTCGGACCGGGTAAAAGCCAACGTCCATAAATAGTGACGCCCATGCAGCACAAATATTTGTTGTATCAGGCCGACCGTTGGCGCTCATGCATCAAGCCCCCCATTGACGCTTATGCAACGCAAACACTTGAGCTTGACTTCTGTGCTCCAGAATTTCCATATACCAGTCATTTTCCCTGACCCAGACATATCTGTGACGCATAAGAATGAAGGCGACGCAATTCTTCATGGCCAAGCACATCTCGAAGCAACCTTCGAAGGTGCTCAGAAAGTTGCCCTGGGTTCTATGCGAGCGCCAGCGCCAGGCTTGAAATCGACATAGGGGAAATAATCTGTAATGCATAAATAAGTGCAAGCGACGCGACAAGGCACAAAGTATCTGCATGATCGGACAGCAGGCAAGTGCGCCAATTCATTGTATGGAAGTGTCAGAACCGAAACTGACAAAGTCGAAAAATTTGCGATGCATAAAATCGATACCAGTTGGGGCCTCAGTTTGTAAGTGGCACGTGACAAATTTCGGGAGCACCCAAATCCAATGCGTCATGCTGTTTGGGCAAAGAAGACTGCGCCGGTCATGCTACTCTGGCAACACATTGCATACCCCTTAGCAGGCTTACGATCGGTCTCATTTGCCTGCTCCGCAAAAAAGGCCCCCAGCGCCCTACATTTTACGCATCGCAAGTTTTTCGATTTTGTCGATTTCGATCCTGACACATCCATAAACTGTAAGTAGCCTGTAGAGGGGTAGATATTGAGCTGCAAAGAGTGGCGAAGAAAGCAGCTCTTTTTGTCGGCCCATGGATGCTGCCCACATTTGGCGGGTCCCGGTGCTTGGAAAAACTGCCTTTTTTGCCGGATCTCGATGCGCCGCCTAGAGCCTGGTAAGAACCCAACGGACGCCAAGTGTATGCATTAGGAAACACCATAACTTCAGCTCTATCGATTTCGAACCTGACACCTCCATACGTCCATCCCGCGGTGTATTCGTCCTTAATAGGGAACATATCAGACGCCAATATGTCCAAGTCCGGATCTGGATGATTGGTTGATAAGTACATTTGCCATGTACACCCGACTGGTGCGCCTCAGGAGTCACTTAGAGATTCAACGTCGTTATTGATATTGTCTGGCATGTTGACTCTGAGTTCTGTCATCCTAAGTAGCGAGCGAATGGCTCCGCCTGTTTGTCATGGGATACCGGCGCTAGTTTTCATGAGCTACGCGTAGCACAGAAGCGTGACATCAAAAACTCCTCATGCAGCTTGGCTGTTGATGCGAAGCGCTTGGGCTGCTGGCTTTCAGACTTGCGTGCCAACTCTCCAGACGCAGACACATTTGCATCTGATATGTTATCCGGCCGAACAATCTCCACCCGTCGTCATTCTCTCTGAGCTATGCATTGCAAATATGTCTGGGTATGAGCAGTTCGTCATGCATGATTCCGCGGACAACAAGATCTGTGACGCATGGATACGAGTCGCCAGTTTTTTTTCGTTCTGGAAAAGAGTTTGATCTGCGTTCTACTTCTAAGAATGAATCTGCAACAAACAACAACAAGGCGCCGGAAGAACTTCTCCTTCTGACACTGTTATGCTGCCGTATTAGGGACTACTATGCAGTCGTGCGAGTATCGGGAGCAACTCCAAAAATTAAAATTCAAACTTCCCGACCGAGGCATATTGGCACTTCATAGATACCACGGACCGACTCCGCGCAACTTCTGTATCCAGGATGAAAAAAACACTTTGAGTAAGAAGTTGCAGACGCAAAAAAAAAAAATAAAATAATCAGTTACCAGCATGATACCAAAAAAATTGCGTCATAGCCTAGCTTCATGCGTTCGCAGTCGCGTACTACCTGCGCATAATTACTCTTGCCGTCCTTCTACGGATCAGATTTGTTGCAGTACTGTTTTTCGAAAAAACTTACTTACAATTGGGATGTTTTCTTCTTCAATATTCTTGCACTGCTGCTCCTGCGGGCTGGATATCCCACGAAAAAACTGCTTCACTGTGGTGATTTTGCAAGACCTGCATCTTCACCTGTTTGTTACACATGACACGGAAAATTTGCCATGCGCACTTCCCAAGGGAATAAAAGACGCTATGCAAATCCAATGTCTTGCAGGTGTAGGAAGACAACCATTTTTTTGGTGCTTCGTTGTCTGCATCACAAGCTCACAGTGATGAAGCCGCTTTTTCTAGCGATACTGGATTGCATTTCTTCAGTAAGAAGCGACCTATCCACTGCAAATCCGACGCCTGAATCTGGAAGGCTGCAAACGTTATGGGGTTCTCAACCGTTACACTCTCAACTGTTACATGAATTTGTCATGCAAAAGCACTGCCATCATCCACACGATCAACATGCTGCTTCGCATGACAAATTTGCGAAGGGCTCAACAGCAACTAAATCTGTGCGAAATTTGTAATGCTAAATGTGCAGCCTCCCCCCTTTGACTTTTCTACTCTTGCATTGCAAATTCGTGCAACAGTTGAGAATGTAACAGTCGAGAACGCCATAGCGTTTTACTTACGCTGTCTTTGGATTCTCAAGAAAGTGAAAGTTTGTACTGCATGAGCAAAAAGACGAGGTGACTCCACTTTTTGCTACGCGGAGGGGAGATCTCTCAAACCCTGTAATGCTGGGGCGCACATGACAAACATCGTGGGTCAACATGCAAAAAAATGCGCATGAAGACAAGCGCTACAGTTATTTCCAGACCGAGATATTTTTGCATTTAATAAGCTACTGGGTCGTACTCCACTGTAATTGTCGTTGAGGGATTTTTGGGATCTATCGCATTTAAAAACGTCCCCACCCCATTATAGTTGCTTTATTTTGGTCTCTTCCAGTACATAAACACCCAATTATAGTTGTAAACGCAATTCAGCATGCTGAGACTGTTCCTCATGCGGAGCCCCATGAGAGTCCTTCTACTGTAGTCGTGTCTTGATGGAGCGAATTTGTCATGCTCCAATCAGCATGATAGCGTAGCTCTGTGATGCTACTGAACTACTTCAAGCAGCACTATGCTACGAGTTCAAATTTGTCACGCAAAACAGCCAAAGCTTGTGGATTTGTCTAGCTGATTCCCCATCTTCACTATGGGATGCGGACGTTTTCACATAGGATAGGGTCCAAAACCTTATGCGAAACCTTGGGGCCATCGGGGCCAGAGCCAGTGTCCTTGGAAACCTGTCCCAATTTCCTATCCTGAGTAAAGACATCTCCAGGAACCCATAGCCGAAAGAGGAAATTTGCTACAAAAGCAGAAGAAGTTCTCGTGCGACCAAAGGTCCTCGTGCTTAGCTGGAGCTGCCTGGTGCAGCCGCACTACAAATCGAGTTCCCTGTCCTGATCCGAGCGCCACATACTCCCAGACAGTAAACAACATCAAGAAATAAATGCCCGGCGTCATGGACCTGCGCACGCGACTCCATTCGATTTCGATTTGCATTTGGGTCATGCAAATACGCATGAGAAGTATGGGGCGTTTCTGTCTGGTGCGGGGTTGTCGAGGTCGACGTTATTACAGAGGATATAGCGACTTCCAAGTCGGCGAGACAGCATTCGGCTTCACTTCCGTGAAAAACGGCCGCAATGCGGTGTTTATGACGCTCACACACGTTACGGCTACGCAATTGAAGATCGCTGTTTGCATGATAAATTTGTCACGCAAAGCGCAAGCGGGGAGCAGATTGGGCGTCATCCGTGCAAGACAGCGTTGGCGCTGATTTCAATGCCACAATCTAGCATCTCAAATAGAACTTGCCATGAATACAGGAGCCAACCTCTAGTGTACCCTCTCGAGCCAGAAGACTACCTTTATGTGCAATAATCGAAATGCCACTACTTTGATCGCGTGGGTGTTGTGCTTGTGGTTGTGAACGTCTGCGAGCGCCATAGCCTTGACCTTGGACTTGCAATCGTCGTCCATTATAACGGACGTACGAGCTATGGGCGCGCCAGGCATTAACTCGGCGTCGGCACGGTGGAAAAGGAAATACTCTGTGAGACATAATAAAACCCATGCCTCTATCATCTTCTACGCGGCGCGCGCCAAGAACCTTTGGGAGCACTTCGGCCCGGTTGCTTGCCACGCTACCTGTGCAAATATGACTTGTTTTGGTTTTGCTTTTGCCGTGCTAGCACTATTAAAGTTGTCACTCTCATTTGTCATCCTTGCAACACAGGAACTTCGTGCCTCGGACTTCATGCGGCACAAGTTACTTAAGCCTTGCCGATTTCGAGCCTGGCACTCCCATACGCTTCAGGTAGAACTCGCCACTATATGCGGGAACAGGCTTGAAATCTTTACTGTATGTACCCGAGCCCGCTGTCGCTCCATTATCATGCTCGCAGCAACGTTTTTGCTTTATCCAGCAATGGCCTTCCGCGTTGCCACCATGCGCATAGACTATGCCCTCACACCCGACATATGCATTGCAAATGCCGATCTGAATCGTCTAGGGGGCTGCCAAATTCGAGAACGAAGATGCGCGCAGGGGTAATTAAACAAGAACTGCACGGCTAAGTACGCACGCACCAGGGACAAACCAATGGAGCGAGCTCTTCAAAAGGAGGCAACCAAACCGCCTGAAGGATGGGGATCTTCAGAAAAATGGAACAAAAGCTAAACAATCGAGAGGCCCGACAATCAGCGATGGAAAAAGTGGGCGCAAGAGTGAGGAACAAACGGAAACGATAGCGGGTTCTCCTGTTTCGGTGTTTTTTTGATGGGCCTCCCCAGGTTTGGGGCTTCTGTAGATGTTCGCGCTTTTTTTTTCGCACAAAAAAGTAAGCCCGCAGAAGCAAGGTTTGGGGGGCAGTTCCCCACCTTTTGACGCATGCAAGGTAGGCTTGGAATTCTGCAGGCCGACAGGCAGACAGCTTCCGTAGGCTGAAAACAAACGGGGGCGCAAAAATACCTTGCGAAAAATAAACTGCGGCAGAAATAATGGCGCAACGCATTTCGCTGCTTCAGAAGATAAGGAATCCCTTCGCGGACCGCCTGCAGGCTGACAACTACCGAGAAAGGAGGCAAGCAAGGCGCGGCGCTTTCGGGTTTCTCCGATTTTGACTGACCCCAAAAAAAAATTCGAAGATGGCCAATCACTTTGCTTCGTGGCCAGAAAAGATAGCTTCTGGCGATATCAGGATCGGGCCCTTGGACAAAAAAGGCCAGAGCTGACCACCCCCCGCGTTAGCAAAAGAGTCTGGCTTGTAGCTCTCGCACGGGTCTGGCCGTCCGGGACAGCGCCAAAGCTGGCCGCTTCTGTAAACGAAAAAGAGCGCGCCGGCTCTTTCTGCTTCTGGCCCCTGGCGAAGAAGCAGAAGCGCGCCACTTTCGTATAGCGGGGTGCTTCTGGTTCTGGGCTTTTCCTGATCTGGCACTTCAAAGAAAAAGACACTAGAGGTGGCCACTTTTCCCAACAACAGCAAAGTTTTTTGCCTTCTTCCACGTCTGCACTTGGGGAAGGAGCCAAAACGTAGCACCTTCTGTAACCAAGAAGAAGCGTCCTCCGCTTTTTAAACTTTATGCGGATGTGGCCAAAGCTGGCCACTTCTGTGAGCAACGTCGGGGCTTTTCGCTTTTCCTGCCTCTGGGAGATCTTCCGAATAAAGCAAAGAAGCGGCCTGCCTTTGCGTTTTCATCTCAGGCATATTCTTCCGAGAGAAGCCAGGATGAAGGTTGGGAGTTTTCAAAAGCGAAAAGGAAAGCGAGACGCGCACGAAAAGAAAATGCAGAGGCGTCGTCGCATGGGCCTACTTAAGCTGAAGAATTCCATCCAACAAACAAGCACGAAAGATCTTCGCACAGGTATGCGCTGCGCATGAAAATCTAAAACGCACACTGCCATCGACACATCGCACGCAAGGGGAGCTCTTTGCGCACACGCGTCACGAAACCAGAGCCATTTTAGATAAACCTGACAAGTCTTGCATTCTTCCAGACGTAGACACATTTGCACTCCATACGACAGCCGTCGTATTGATTTTGTCGGTATTGTCGTGTTCTTCTTGGCTACCCATAGTAAAAACGCCCCCAACCCCCGCTCAGGCTTGTCGATGCATACTTATTCGCACGAGCGGATGAACATTTCTCACCCAGCTCCACAGGGGAGGCGTATTCATAATTCTATTTCTAGTTTTCGTTTCGTTCCTTCCATGTGGTATCCCTAAACCCGAGCGGCCCGTTGGACCGCGCCGTTGGGGCTGGGTAAAGCGTCCTGGGCCTACCTCCCAAAACCGAGGCCCAGCACGCCTCACCACCACCTTGCCAAACAGGGCAAGACCCCTCAGAACCCCACAGCAGGTGGTTGAATGAGGGGAGACCCAGCCCCGCCCCAATTGCCCTCGGCAAGGCCCTACGCCGAAGTGGAACAAACGAAATCCCAAAGCGAGGGACAAGTAGACACGGGAAGAAACCCAAACAAAACCGCCAGTGGTAGAAGTGGGAACACTGTTTTCTGAGTGGGATCACATGACAAGCCTGGGCCCGCGAAGCAGTAAATCGCATACCCAAAGGTGGAAAATGTATTTGAAGAAGAGACGTCATACCGTCCAGAAACATCTGCACACTGAGTCCACAGGCGGATCTCAAAACAAAAGGGTACAGGGCAAGCGCAAAAAACATCGCGGAGTGGCTCAAACTTGAGCCAGCAACTCCTCAGCCGGAATAGAATCCAGCAGCTCACAAGGATCTTCAAGCGGGGTCGCCACCGTGGTCAGGAACCTCTGAATCTCATCCCCCAAAGCGACACAGGAATGAAGCTGCACCCTAGCCACCCGACAGAACTGCGCCCAAAGTGCATCGCGGGTAGTCGCGTCAGCAACATTTTCCCCGGAGGGGAGCCACTCGAAGTACGGCACTATGGCAAAACGGGCACACAAACTCCAAAATAAAGCCGCTACCACCGACAGGTGAGCGCGCTCGCCCGATCGACTCCGCAAAACCCCCACCGCAGTGGTGTTGTCCAGAAAGAATACGACCCGCTTGTGCGACAAGGTCGGGCCCCAGAGCATCAACAGAATGACCGGTGTAAAACTCTCCAACACGTTGATCGGGAAAGACCCCCAAGAGGCGGATGGAAAATTATCCGCCCGCGAGACCGGGTGGCGGAACGCCTGGAAGGCACCCTCCTGCAGAAGACGGACCCCGCCGAGAATACCTCGCCCCCGCTTCCAACTCGCGTCCGAGTAGCACACCTCCACCGGGAGGCCCACTCGTAAGAAGGAAATCGGAGGAAGGACCGGGAGGCAGGCCGCCATGAAGCGTAAGCTCGCCGCACAACCGGAACCCAAGGGAAGGCAGGTGGCGCGAGAATGAAACAAACCTCCACGCCGAAAGACCGGCTTCAGCAAGCCATTTAGACGCCGGCCCACCAGCAGTGAGAAGGGGAAAAGGAACTTCCCGGAAAGGGTGGAAGCCCGCGCGGGACTGAGCTCCCCCGCCCCCAAGACTTCAACCAGGGCCGCCCGAAGGGTGGCGCGCTTCACTTCCGACAACTGCATCGTGGGAGGCGATTGCGACACGTCAAAATCCAAGCCCAAAACCCGCAAAGCGGTGCGCCCCCACTTGACCTTCTTCGGCTTCCAAGGAAAACCCAAAACCTCCAACATGTACACAATGGCGCGCATCAGGAGACGGCGAACCCTGCGGGGCGCCGTGCCGGTCATATCATCTATATAGATGATCAAGGCCACGCAGAAAAGCCACCGAACGCAGAAGGCCAGAAACTGCCCAACAATCAACCACTCCGTAACGGAGTGAATGTTCCCAAACAGGAGCGTGAGGCCGCGGAAGGCTTTGTAGGCCTTCGCCTTGGGGTCGAAAACCCCGATCCAGTTCGTCGCGCTCCCCGCCTTCGAAATGCTTACATTCTTGTAAGCGTTGGCAATGTCGATAACCCACTGGCAGAGCCCCGCACCCTCAGGGTCCGCACCATCCTCCGCTGCGTCGAAGTTCGGTATGTGGTCCAAAGCCGCCCAAGCAACCTCCCGCCAGCCCGGGTCGGACGGGCGGGCATCCGGGAAAGGATCAAAATCATACTCTTCACAGGCCAGGGGGTCTGCCCGGTTGCCCCCTTGGTCAAACACCCGCAAATCCCGCCAGAAGTCAACCCGCGGCGGGCCGCCTTCTTCTAGTAAAATCGCCGAGCTCGAAGCAAGGGCGAGAGCATGATGAACCGACGGAATCGGCATCGACGACGAGATGTCGGAGCAAACATTCAAAGGCACACCATTGTCGCAGAGGCGGATCTTGTCCGCCTCATGGTGTGCAAAACGAGTCAGAAGGATGCGCGCCCCCTTTTCCCAAGCTTCGTCCAGGGTAAAAGGACCCTGGAGCCAGCCGTCCTCGGTTTCTTGGATTGTAGTATCCCAGCAGTGCTTGACATCTTCACCCGGCATCCACGATGAGCTGCGCTGCCGCAGGCGCGAAATATTTTCCGCACCCTCAACCGAGGCTGCTAGGTCCCCCGAACCGGAGCCGGTAGTTGGGGCCGGGGGCAAACGTCCACCCTCCGACGCCTTCATGAGTTTCGACGGCCAAAAGTCTTGAGCCGCAGTGGGGCCGACCGATTCCCCCCCGGAAGCTAAAACCCGCCATACATGCGAGAAACCCGAAAAAGCAGACTCTCTGCCAATCTTCTCAATAACCCCGAAGTTGAACTTCGACCGGATTGGCCTGGTATCCTTCCAACCACCTGCCAAGACCTGCTCCGAGCGAGAGACGGTCGCTGGGTCCGCCCGGGCACAGGCCAGCCAGTAAACGCCCGCCAGAATCCGGTCCGAGAAATCCCCAAAGGACGAGCTGTGGCCTTCGCGCAGGCACTGTTCGTTGTGCCGCGAGATCAGTCGCCGACCCGAAAAGGCCGGGTGGCTCCTGTCCTGCGACAAACCTGGTAGAAACCTGTCCCGGTCCCGCTGGACCCGAGAGAGAAAGGCAGAAACCTTGTCAGCCGGCGAGGACTCCATTCTGATGCTGCACTACGCTGGCGAGCGCGACTCTGTGAAACGGAAGTAAAATTCTCCCTCAAAGGAAAAAGGCGAAACCGTCGCTCGCGACGGTTCCACAGTAGAGTGTGGGGGGTGGGCCCAGATAGCACCCACACCCTGTGGTGTAAGCGACAAGAGAAAAACCACCAGAATGTGAAAAACAAGAAAAGCGAGTGTACTAAGTAGCCAACCTGGGCGCGGTCTCGTGTCAGCACGGGAACTGAGGGGTGAGAAGAGCATGAGCATAACGATCACAAAGTACCGCGCCGCCAAGGAGGTGAGTTTGCAAGGGTAACGGATTGGTTACCGCCAGTGCCAAACAACCCTCATCCCCGTGGCAACACGAGACCGACCGCTGAGCATGTCTATGCTACACAATGAAAGACAACCCACGGGGGGTGAAGAGCCACTCTCCTCTCGACCGAAGGTTAACAGCTCACAAACACCTCGTGAGCACAACTACCACTCCGATCTCGGAATCTAACCGGCATCTACACCTAATCAACAGAGACGGAATGCAGGGAGCAATGTAGACCGAGGGCAACAAAGGGAACACCCCGCGAGCCTGGCCACGCCAGACCGCGAAATAAGTACCAGGCCAAGGGGGCCCGGAACGTTTCTAATTTCCACTCACAACAATCACACTCACATCTTGTTCTCACAACAGAGCAAAGCTTTCGCTAGGAGCTAAAATCCAAGAGCAACCAGGCCAGCATGGATTTGTTCATGTAGGAGTAGTAAAAAGCAACACGCCGACGGACCCACTTGGCCGAAGGCGAGGGCCAACCTCTAAAACTAAACTGCACATGCTGCAGTGCCTACTTCGGAGGCGCTTGCGCGTCCCCTCTCAAATCTTTTATCACAAAGGGAGACCGCAACACGTGCGGGAATCTGCAGCTGCTTCCGCGATTACAGCGGCCACGAAGAAAGTCGTGGCAAACAATCCCCACGTTGGAAGTAGTAGCCAAAATTTCTTCACCTCTCACCGGATCCCAGACCTTAGGGATTCCGGAGGAAGAAGCACGCCCGGGCGGGGCAGGACCCGGACCCGGGGGACGTGGAGCGAGTTGTTTAGGCGGTGCCGGGATCTGTAAAGAGCGAATCTGCCCAACGACACGGGCCCCGAAGCCCTGTGTGCCCCCGCGCACTTCGCCGTTCAGGATATCGCGGTACTGAGCCGGATCCAGCCGGCGCGACTCCCCCAGGGCAGTCAAATCATGAAACTCCGCCTCTGAAACCAGGTCGGAGTTCCGGAGCACTTTATGTGTGTTGCGAATCAGCATAACGTTAGTGGTAGGCGACCCCTTTTCGGCTTTGTAGTAGGACGCCAGATCCTCGAGCGGCAACCTAGCATCAATCTTCGCTCGTACCCCGTAAGCCTGTTCAGTGAAATGGTCTGCAAAGAAAATCCCGAAGCGAGTCGTCTGCGCGGTTCTATGTTTAGGCGCGGACGACAAAATCATCTTCACTTCGGCCCGCTCCGAAGCATTGAGGGCCTTGATGCCCTTAAGCGCCTTGATCTCCACGCTACTGCAGATGTGGAGCGACCTAACACCGTTGTAGTCCAGCACAGCTCGTGCCAGGCTCTCCGCGGGCACATCTACCGAGGACAGCGAATCAAGTGGGGAAGGCTCCCGCTGGTGCGCTAATAATTCGGATCGCGAGATCCCAAAGGCCTCGACCTCACTGTCACTAAAATCTTGCACGGCCTTCCGCTTCTTCACCGGGGGCGGGCCCTTGCGGGCCGGACCCGCCTCGCCCTCTTCCTCCGCGAGAAGAGCAGCGCAAATCTCATCTTCTTCAACTTCGGGGGCCGCCATCGGCGGGGCTTTCACTTTCGCAAACGGTTTAGCGACCGCCTTAACCGCTTTCGCCTTGTGGGGCGGCGCCTTCCCCTTGGGCTTGGCCGGAGCTTTAGCTTTGGCCGGGTGCTTCGCCTTTGCTTTTGCTTTCGCGGGCATCTTGTATCTGAACCTAAAAGCGATGCTCAATGTGAGTGTGAATGTGAACTAAGTGGCAAGATACACTTGCTCGTATCTAACGTGGTCCCCTGTACGTGGAAAATAAGCGAGAAGAAACCGGTCTGAACCCAAAGTGGGAGGGGGGGGGAGGGCCCAGATCCCATTTACAAGCAGCGTCTCCTGCTGCGATCAAAGATTTTCCCATACCGACCTAAACATACTCAACCACTCGCATTTCGTATCTGTCAAGAAAAATCGGGCTAGCCCTGGGCTCAAGATCTGACAGATTTTAGATTTGGGACCAACAAATTTATGTAGCAACAATTTCCGAGCGACTCGTGCACGAAATAGAACAGACCGCCACTGGACAAAAGTGAAGCAAATATATTTCTGCGCTATGCGGACTCTGGTTTTTTAGAAAACGATTTGGAAGTTTCCAGCTGTGCAGTGCCTGTAGCTCGAGCTGAAACATAATGCACCAGGCGTTCACTCCAGGTCGTCCTCCTCCGGAGACCAGCAGCATAGAAGCTGCTGCTCCTGGTCAGAGAATCGCGCAAAGTCATCACTGTATTCGAAAAAGGACAGGCTCCTAGCCTGAAGAGACCAGCCCTGCCTATTGGAGACCACCGCCACAAGCTTTTGCCGAGCTTTGGCGGCTTTCTTCCTATTCCATGCTAAGCGCGACGTGATCGCACACGTACGACGTGGCCCATGGCCACTCGTCTCGGCTAGCCTACAGGCAGACATGAACTCGCACTTCGATATCGGAAACAACGTGGCCCAGTTCTCAACTGAGCACACCGGGCAAACATTCACCCGGCTCTTCTTACACATGCAGAGCACCTCCATGCGGCGTAGCTGCGAGGTTTTGTCCTTGCGGACCATCAAAGCTGCTGACCGGGTCACACCTCCCTGCCTACGCAGGAAGACCTGCGAGCGGCTAATCGCCGTCAGGGTGTCGCCACGGATCCCTAGCGCCGAGGCCACTACTAAAATTTCTTTCTCCCGCTGTGTCATACGGCCCAGGGAAGCCAAAAAGATGGGCGTTGCCTTCTTCGGTTGAAGGTTCTGCGATTTCAAGTACCGGCCGATTGCCCGCTGCAGACCGAGGAGCTGCCGGGGGAATAAAATGTTTTTAATTCTTCCCGCCTCCCCTTCTAGCGTCACTGCTGAAGACAGGTAACCCGCCGCAGAGGTAAACCCCTGGGCCAAAAGAAAAGCGGCAAACTGTCGAAAATCCGCAATCCCAACTTCCCGGGCCTGCTCCAGGCCTTTCTGCACTTTGAACGCCTGCCATGCTCTTGCGTGAGAAGATTGCGGAGAACGTGTCCCGAAGACACTGGGCGCTGGCCCTCTAAATGAATACGTATGCGGGCGGCCCCGAGCCATGTTTGCAATCAAAGTTGTGATAGACAAGGTAAGACAAATCCACACATCGCCCTAACGGCACCTACTGAGACTTAGATCTGGAAAGGAACGGACCACTATCTGCCCTCAAAAGCACTACAGCAGCCTGGTAGTAGAAGAGAAAGAGAGAAAGGTTGACTTGGCGCGGGGCCTCAGAAGCGACCTAGCTACCCGAGCCCTACATCTAACATTCCGCACACTGTCGGATCCAATTTCCGATCTAACACTCTGAGCGCGTATCCTTTGTTTTTGAAGACCTTCCTTCATTTGAGCAAAAATAAACAGAGCCTCAAGCTCTTCAAAGACAAGTACTCACCTGCCGCGCAGTTGAAGCATGAGTATCAGAAAACTTCCATGTCTCTACGAAGACATGGATTGAAAAAGAAATCGTAGCAACCTGCTGTGGCCTTGCTGGCCCTAACTCACAATGGCTTTCGCGCCCACGCTAAACTGCCCCCGCTGGGGCCACCCTCTATGGTGAGAAAAAAGGAATAAACTCCCCCCGCTGGGGGATGCCCTCACTGGCGCCACCTACTTCGGTGTAGAACAAAAGGGCAAAAATTCACCTAAACCTACGTCCCCCAGACGCACATATCGATGACTCTACATCGCTCCTCCCCACTCTAGGGGAGGAGATCGCAAACGTGCAATAGCTTCTACGGATCTGCCAGCCGATATAGTGCGAACGGGGGACCCCAAATCCCAGTTACTACACGAAAAGGATCTACCGAGGTAGATATGTCATTAAATCGCGATTCTAAATTTGATATGAGCTAGGATGCGATCGGCGCATCAGGATTGCGACCGAGAAATAGGCACGACTACAATTCATAGCCGAGGAAACGTGTCACGCATGAGTCACAAAAATTCTAGAGCTGTCTTGCAGCGTTGCAATCTTCACTATGGTGCGTTTTTGTTCATCTCCAAAAAGACCGAATCGAGGCACGAGAAGACTTCACACATTGACACGAGGGAGCTCGAAATTGCTGAAAGAGTGAAGATAGTACTCCATTTACGGGCCCAATGTAGAGCAGGTGCTATGCTGCTCATTGCAGTGCGCCGACTAGTGCCTACGCGTCGCAAATATGACTCAGTCCAGAAAGTCGCAAACTTCTGAGACGTCCCGCGGGTCACGCAAAAGTCTCCACTGCGTGATTGCCAAAAGTTGCTCACTGTTGGAGAAAGTTGAGAGGGATTTTCTCATCAAGGAGAGGCAAGAGAAAGACCGCGCAGAATCTGTCGCGCTACGTCTTGAATCCCAGACCTGCTCATTGGAATTGGGGGGCCTAGAAAACACGCATGACAAGGTTTGCGCTGTTTGTGTTCCAGATCCAGACCCAGGAAGGTTTGCCGTGCATAACTTGAAGAGGCTGAGGCTCAGGACGCAAGCTGTAGCCTGGCCACAGTTCCTGGCCTACGAACTGAGGCGACCCGCGGAGCAAGCACGTGGTGGCGCTCACGCAAGCGCAAGGAGATAGCTGCATTGTCTCGGTTATTTATGTCAAAAAGTACAACCAGGGCCGCGCGAACCGAACTAAGGTCACTAGTGGCTGCGCCAGGACGGCCGCCGCTGGCCAACGGCGAGAAATCCGAAACTCTAGGCCCCAAGCTCTAAAACCAAACGGCGCGAAGGTCGAGATGTCAGGCCCAACGCTGTTGGGCGTCTTCGTTCTCTAGACGTTTAGACGCGGCATGGGCTTGATACTAGTTGAGTGGGCAGTCCTGCGTTAGTACGCTAGAAGAGACGAAAAACTCGCATCGTTTTGAAAACAAAATTTGGAAGAATTAGCTCTGAGAAGCGCGAAGATCCTAAATTCTACGGCCGTCATTTTGCATGGAGCTACGAAGATGGTGCGTCTGCATGATAATGCGCAGCTCGTCAGACATGCGACTGCGCACTGTAGTAAATAGGTGACGCTTTTGTTCATTTGCAAGAATATTGGCTGAAAAGTGACATATAGATACCTAAACGGGAATCAATAGTCACAAAACAAAGAGAGTTACTAGATAGAAGTTTCTGACCGGAGTTAATGGCGTAGGGACGTTTCTATCCCGATATCTCTCCACGCTCGGCTCCAAATACCACAAGCAGGCGTGCACGCACTCCTCGAACGTGAGGCGGCCATCCAGCTCTGGGTACGTCTGAACTGGTTTTGTGGTGAAAGGCTCTCCCCCCTTTCCAAACTCAATCAAGAGAGGACTCGAGGTCGTCAATCGGGTAGATTTCTGCACGCAAATGCGTGGTGGACTTTTGTCGCGTAGAACGCCAATACCAAGACCTCCTCCACCCCCCTACAGAGCAACCTGTTTTCGAAAGAAATGATAGATAGATAGACAGACAGGGCCCCTACAGCAACCAACACCGCCCAAAAACACGGCTCCGATGAGTTCCTCGGGTCCGATAAGTTCTTCGGGTCTTGGTTACTCGACGGTCCTCGTAGGCTACAGGAGAGCACGACCTTCAACCTGGCACAGAGCACCGCCGCGGCGCAGCGAACGAAAACCAAAATAAAGAAACCGCCCGCGGTCATAGTCGGGAGACCACATTGATGCCCAGAGCCAAGCGACGGCTACAGACCACCCAAGAAGCCATGTACTACTCCAATGCTTCATCTGCAATGCCGCAGTCATAGCACCATCTTCGGTCCTACAGATGGCTGCCATCTTCCGGAGTGTTTTGCCGGACCGGGGGGGTACCAACTCCAACTACAAGCTACACAAGGTCACAAGAGCACTTCCTGCAACCCAAAAAAGATTCTACCTCCGACACGCTGCGCTTTCTCTTTCTTGGTTCCACTTCGTGCCTGTGCCTGTCAACCATCCAAAGCGGCCTCATACTTATGCCATGCCGGTCAACTGGGCTCGTCCGATCCAAAGCTATAGAACTATCCTACCGGCTGCCGAAGCCTTCTCTCCTGCAATGCCACAGGCAGCTCATGCCGTGCCGTTTGGCCCCAATAAACCATTGAGGTTTAATCTGCACCAACCCGGCCGAAAGCCCCCACTACCTGGCTGGAAAACTAGAGAAAAAGGCTCCGACGGAGCCTTTCCTACACCACACTGTGTGTCCGCCGCAACTGCATACGTCTTTTTCAGGAGGCAACTGCCAACCATATCCTTATCCCGATGCCTTGCTCCATATTGTGGGGCTGCCTAAGAGGCTACTCGAACCCTCAACGCTAGAGCCGCGGGCCGAATCCCCAGTCTGACACATCATCAAGACTGGGGCCAGTTCTCATGCCTTTTCAGGCACCTTTAGCCGTACTTCGTGCGGCCATACAGAGGAACAATATCGGACCCCAATCAACCGCGACTGGGTCTAGCCGATCGAACCAAAACTCCATGGCACGACGCCCGTTTCGTCGCGTAAAGTGGGGGCGAGGGCTGCGCATTTCATGAGCGGTCTCATGCGTTCTTGTAGCTCTTTATTGGGTTACAATCGTAGTGGCATTTGTCATGATGCCGAGCAGCTAGGACTTTCAATTTCCCTACTGCACAGGGGGGCTTGTAATCTTCTCCCCGAGATCAATGCCTTCCACCTGCAGAAAGTACTGCTGTGTAATAATCATGTTGCTGCGCAATATATCATGGGAACAAGGAGGGGCGCCTCTTGATTTGGATAACTTTTGAACTTTCCTCATCGGTCTCGTCCCCGTCCTCGTCTACCATATACGCAGGTTGTATTATAATTTCTCTCGTGAGCCGCCGAAGCCCGCCCATTTGTTTGTACTCATCTGTTCCATATGCGGAAGAGAAACCCCCGGCACCATATCAACTGCAAACTATGTCTGGGTCTCGAAGAATACGCTTGCTTCAAGTTGTGCTGCAGGTCTGGATCCGGAACGCGCACACAAGCGCCACAGTTTTTGTGAACGTTTCACGATGCCCATGCATGCCCAGCCCGCATGAACAGACGTTCGCTTGTACTTCTTGGGGAGCAAAAGTCTCACGCGCGCCTTTTCGGGCTCAACACAGATTTTTGATGTGTCGTGAACTATGCAGAACCGCTCGCCTTCTTTACAAGTCAAAAAAAGTGACTAATCAGTTTTTGCGGACACAGGCAGCCGGCCTGGTACTGGGCAGCGATGGGGGTGAAAAAGTTGAGAAAATGGGATCGGAGCGCAGTAGGGCTGAACTAGTCAGCGAGTGGGCTTGAGGTTGAAGATCTTGACTATGAGTAGACAGCGGGCGCACAAAGTGGCTACCGACGGGACTAACCAAAAACAGAATCTGAGGTGTGTTTGCCATTGGTGGCAACGACTAGCAAAAAGCGCCCAACGATGGCAACGGCCGCGACTAGCGTACTTAGCCACAGAAGCCCGCGCGGCGCTCATGTTGCTAGCAAAAAAGACCGCGCGGGGCTAGTTCGCCGAGCGTGGCACCTTACTAGTAGCCGGCGAGGGGGCCGGGCGCACGGAAGCAGCGCGCCGGAGGTGGCAGGCTTGGCGCCCTTCTAATTTGCCCCCGCCCCTTCTCTCCCGGTTGGCGGGGCCGGGAAAAGCCATATCTTTGAAATTTGTCCCATCTTCTGTGGTCGCTGCCTTCCGACAAGGTCTGGTCTGCAAGGCCCGGGGGGGTTCGCATTTTCCCCCGGGGCCTTACTTCCTCTGCGTGGCACGTCGCCACCCACGGCGCCTTCCCCTCCTTGTGCCCTCGGGTGGCTGTGGCCAAGCTGGAGTGTGGCTAGCCGGGCGGGGCCGTTGCTTTCTTTGTTTGAATGACCCCACAGGCCCCGGCCACCCCTTGCGTGCTTCTACTGGCGCTCCCTTTCGCATTGTGCCCTGCCTTCTTTGCGCCACTTCCTCGCCGTAGAAGGTATCCATAGTAAATTTCCTGCACTCGTACAAATCGCCATTGTTTGTCATGCAAAATTGAAAAGAAACGCGGCTTCGAAAAAAAAAAGGCTGCAGCTTTCTCGGGTGCTGCCGACTGAATACATCTACCCGGCATGGTATTGCTAGTGAGATCCGGACTCACGGCGCTGCAGTAGCTTTCTCTAACCAGCTAGCGTCTTTAACATTCTTCCCGGAAAGCCTTCGCCTGTCGCCCCCTCCCTCGACTCATAACGACCGCGGCACAACATGCATCGCTATTAAATTTCGGGACAGGGGCGTCTAACTGTGCCGACCCTGCGCCGCATTGCGCGCATTTCTGGGCGGGGACATGCGACAGGAGATACACCGAGGAGGATACAACAATGAGCCTGCCCGGCCGATTGACGAAATTAGGCAGTTTTGTTTTGGGTGAGAGACTAGTCAGTGGGCGGCTGTGTTTGATTTGGTTCTCGACTTTTTGAAAGCAGCCGCTAATGCATTTGGGCAAGCTGGCAGACCTAGTTTCCAACTCGATGCGCTGGCTAGTTTTGGCCTTTTGTAGCGTTCACGCACGGAGGCAGTTTCTCCCTTGGGCTGATCAGCTTCACAACCCGCGCGGCGAGATCTCCGACACGCAGATCGTTGCCAGCGGGAAAAAGCCGCGACATTTTCTTGCGAAAAAAATGCTCGCGAGGTCTGCAAAAATTTTTTGCAGGGCTCGACTTCTAGCTTTCAGACCGCCGAAAACACGCGACTTGTTTCTGTACAGTAGATTTTTCCCGCATGGTATGGTGAAGCGAAGCATGCTCCTGTACGCCGTTTTTCTTTTAGAAAGTGGCGTATAGGAGCAGCATCCAATTGACCATACCATGCAGATTAAATCTACTGTACACAAATCACGTGCGTGATTCTGACGTCGTTTGAATACTGCCAAAAGCTTGAAAAAAAAATATCTGCCAACCCTCTCCAACCAACCCTCTCCGACCAACCCTCTCCGACCATCCCTCCCCAGCCAGCCCTCATTTGAAAACACAACGCCGCAGACCCATCCCTCTTGCCGTATGTCGCAGCCAGGTGGCGCGGGGACATGGAAGCAGCAATCTGGGCGAAGACAATCGGCCCAGTAGCGGTCCCTGCTTTGAAACATTCACGGGCCACGCCGCGCGAGAGCCAGCAGGCCGCTCCGAAGTCGGAGGCCCCTGATGTGGTTCGGATGGATTTACTCAGACGCCCGCGATGGATTTGCGGCCTCTGGTTCCACTTTTAACGCCCGGAAAGACGAAGAAGGGAAAAGTATGGGCCTGAAGGTTGGAACTGCTGTGATGTGTAATCGCGCCGACAGCGTCGGGCTTGGCTGTTCGGCCGCGATCGCCTCCTCTTGGGAAAACACACATTGCCTTCTTTGCGCCACTTCTTCGCCGTAGCAGGAGTGACAATTGGCCTCAAAGAGCCCGAAAAGAGCACCCAGCCCATGGCGGGTTGGCGCAGCGACCCTGCCGGTCCCTGCCTCCTGTGAATGTGGCCCGGCAGTACAATTTCGCGCCTTTTCGTTGCGCCGTCCGCTTCTCGACGCTTGTTTTGTGCTTCAATGCGTTATAAATTCTGTGGCCCCTACAGTTCCTCCCCTTGTTCGTTTTCCCATCCCCCTCTGGCGGACGCGGAGTGCACGCATGTTCTACATGGACACTATGCAGAATTCGCTTGCCTTTCGTCCTGGCCCAGACATATTTGCAAGTCATAGACCCGGGGCCGCGGGAGGGTCGGAGTCCGCATACCAATGGTTCGGAGCAGCATGATATGCATTGCAAAAGTACTTCTATCGCACTCGTGCTAGTAATTGCAGATATGCATAAAAAACAAATCGCCTTCCACCTGACCCAAAACAGCACTACAAATTCCATCTGTCACGCTAAGGAAATTTATGATGCAATTGCGATACTTTGCTTTCAACACTTTTGCATTGCGTACATGAATGAGCTTCGTGCAGGTTCGGTTCAGCTGGTTGCCGTCCACGAACGTGTCCGACTGGCCAGTATCGTATGAAAAATGTTTTACAGTTACACGACACTCTGATGCAAGACAAACAAGACAGACAACCTCTGTCATGCAGGAAATGCTCGCCAGCCTCATTTCATGCGTGTTTTCCCTTGTTGTAGTCTACGCATTACAAGTTTTCTTTGGCATGCAGAGCTGCAACTTTGACTTCATTGTGATGCTGAAATTATAGCAAATGTGTAACTCCTGTACACTTTTTTCCTGTGATAGCCAGATTCTCTTTTGTAATACGGGCCGCTCTCTTCGAATGGGGCTGGCAGGATCGAAATTCTCGAAGTTGTAAAATCTTTTTTGAATTTGCATGCAAGAAATTTGCATGAAAACAGACCATGCCGCCCCCTAGTGGAGGTGGCAGGGCGTTTTATAGAGAACGCGCGTCGCAAACTGAGCAGGTATTTGAATCATATTTATAAAACACGCCCGCACGCATCGTCCGCGAGCGCACGTTTGAGCGAGCTAACTATCTAGTAACCAATGAAATTGCACTAGATCATGCCTTTGCACCATGCACATCAACGCGAAGAGTGCCATAGTAGCTACGAACTCACCGACGTCTATTTTTATTTTCAATTTTAGCATTTCGATTCTGACGCTTCCATATTATCGTGATTTCGACCTCGGGAAAGACTATGCGTTGCAAATAGGTCTCGGTCTGAAAGGGTGTAACTTGTTATGCTGGTTTTGGATTCTAAAAAAATCCAGTAGAGGTGTTCAGTTTTCTTCTTCCTCGGAAGTGGTATTCCTCATGCGGGATTGGCATCAAGAAGCAATCAGCGAGTCTGTGGTGCTTCTAGGGCACACATCAAAATCACTATCACAGACATAAAATAATCATATTCATAAACGTACATGACAAGTCGTGCAATGCTTCACACCCAGACGCAGACAGAACAAAAACATTTGCAATGCGTAAAGCTGTAGGACCCCATTCCAACAGCCGGCCGCGGTAGTACTTCGGCTGCAGTAGCAAAAAAGACGAGTAGAAGCGGATGCCGGGCGGGCATGGTGGCGGCCATCTTCCTTGCAGCCCACCAGATAGGCAGCGACGCATCAAATAGAAATGCACCTCCCTCAGGTGATGTTACAAGAGTCACTCAGCTGTAGTTGCAACCTTACTCACTGTTCTTGAATACGAGAATTTTACTCATTTGGGGAAAACCTGGGGAGCAGAGACGCAAGAAACGCAAAGCCAATCGTGGATCTGGATTACGATAAAAGAAACCTCTTTGTCTTTGCACGAATTATTTCCAGAATTTTTTGCTCCAGTTTTTACTGTGTCAGGCATATTAGACTTCGGAACTTGGAGTGCGAGACTTTCCACCGGGAATTGAAATCGGTTTCGTTTGTACGCGAGAACAAAAGTTAGGGGCTCCAGTCAAGAATGTGAAAAAATTATAATAATAGTGAAGCGAGTTTTGCCTCCCCCTTTGCTATAATGTATAGGAGGCGCTTAGAAAAATAATTCTAAACAAATGTGCTTAGAAGGTTCCGTCTCGAGGCAATGTGTAACAGATTGGGCCTTTCCATTTTTCCTGTTCGCCATACCATCGCGCAGAATATTACTCCGCATGGTATGGCGCACAGAGATGCCACGCATTTCATGGCATCGCGGGGACCAAAAACCCTGCCGCGAACTCCTGGGCCATCACTCTCCGGTCGGGTTAGGCAAAAGTGATGGCCAAAAGATCCTGCTTGACTATCACTTTCCGGCCGGCTTCCCGGTCGAGCAAAAATGTTTCCGGTCCGCTTTTCGCCCGGGCAAAAGTGTTTCCGGTCCGTCGGGCGAAAGTGATGGCCAAGAGCCCCTTGGCCATCACTCTGCTCGGGCAAAAGTGATTGATGGCCAATGGCTCCCCGGCCATCGCTTTTCGCTCGGACGGGCCGACGGGCAACCAACCAAGCAAAGTGATGGCCAGGAGCTCCTTGGCCACCACTTTCGGCGGCCATCAGTTATTTCCGGTCGGGCAAAAGTGGTTGGCAAAAGCTCCTCGGCCATCACTTTCCGATCGGTTCGGGCAAGAGTAGTGGCCGCGAGCTCCTTGGCCATCACTTTTGGCCATCGCCTTTCGTTCGGGCAAAACATCACTCTCCGGCCGAGGCACGCAAAAGCGATGGCCAGGAGCTCCTCGGCCATCGGGAATTGAAATCGGTTTCGTTTGTACGCGAGAACAAAAATTAACGGCTCCAGTGAAGAATGTGAAATAGAAATACACGGAAAGAAACACAAGCGAAGCAACACGAGTCACGGCCTGCTCACCTGATGCAAGGATCGATCGCCAATTGAAATAGAGCGCCTTGTTACGATGCAGCAGAAGGCAGCTGGTCGCGGTCTGTCTACTTGTAGACCTGTTGGTGTCGCAGGGCCGCGGTCCAACACTGCAGCCCGCTTCGGGTCGCGCCCTAATATTCGAACCAGAAAGCAAGGGCGCGCAAAAGGCTGCGCTTTTTCCCGAGCAGCGCTCCGTCCCGCAGAACGTTATGCACGAGGGCTCGCGGGCCCAGAAAAATACACAAATTCCAAAAAGTTTAGTGGTGCGCAATTTTCCTCATTTCTGGCAGCCCCCTTGGGCCGCCAAAGTCGAGCACTTCCAAGCGGGGAGAAGGTCGCAGTTGTGGCCCCTTTACAGGAAGAAAACCGTGCTGCCCGTGTGACACACCTCCGCCTCCGGTCAAATTTGAAAGCCTCTTTGTAGCGGCAATTTTTAAGTGATTTCTGCTTTTTCAAAAAAAAGACCCAACTTTCGAGCAGTTGCAGCTTTTGCGCCCCGGACAAATGAACTCCTACCTTCTGTCGGCCGCTTCCACGCTGCGAAAAGTGCAACGCTTTTCGTTTTCTTTTTTCATTTTCGAAGCAGTTTCCGGGTCATACTACACGAAATCGTTATATTTTGTCGGCCGCTTGCAGGCTGTGAAAAATAGCACTTTTTTCCAATTTCCAAAAAGCCGGAGCGGCCGACAGGAGGCTGCCAAAAACAAAATTTGCGCTATCAAACGCATCACATCATCGGCCCCAGCCGAAAGCGCCACTATCTTTTTTCAGAGTCAGACTGCGCGGAGCAGAAAAACTGCTTTTTTTTACCCTCTCCCCGCTTGATGATGCAGCAGAGGGCAGCAGATAAACCGTGCAGCGCGAAGCAACTGCTGGGCGTAGTCTGTCTAGCTGAACTCTGGAGACGGGCGTCGCCAAACTTCTGCCCTGAAGTGGCCTATGCAGTGCAAACTTGTCTGGTGTTTTGTCTGGGTCGGTCAAGAATGCAGATTTTGCCGTGCTCCTTTTGGATGACACAGAAAGTCTGGCATAGGGTCACAGGTTTCGAGCAGGTTCAGCAATGCCTAATCCGAACGACAAATTCCCAGTTGTGGTGTCCGGAGATGGGCAACATTTAATATTGCTGCATGTGCATAGTCATAGATTTGCGCGTGTTGCGAAATGCGCGTCGCGAGTGCGCATAATCCTTTCAGACCCAGAGAGACATCTTTGCAGTTTCAAATGGATATGCAGTCCCGCTCCTGCAAATAAAAAATCAGTCCTGCAAAGTCGCAGAACGAACAGGGGGACCTAGTACCCCACCAAACTTGCCTCTTTGATGTTCTAGCCATCGTGCAAAGAAAAAAGGTTATTGCAACACATGCGGTGGAATCATGCGCAACGCGTATGTAGGTGGAGCTGAAAAACTCGCACTCGCCATGCTGCCTGGCTGCGATTTTTCATTGCAGTAGCAAAGTGCCAGGGTTTTACAGGATCGAAATCGACAAAGTCGAAATAATCTATGACGAGTGACATGCAGCACTGCACATCAAACCACCTGGATCGGAGGGCACGCGAGTGAAGGCGATTGCAAGCCTGTTTGGAAATCGTGGAGTACTAGATAGAGAAGTTGCTATAGTAGCACGACAGAGAGCGTTTTTTTCATTTTTGCCCAAACAGCATGACAAAGAACTGGATCATAAAAAACGGCGCTCGGGAAGTTTATTTTCATGCGCAGCTAGCTTAGAGAAAGAGATTGCTTGGGCTTCATCCAACTGATGCCGATTTTGTGCATCGCGCATTTTTCCAACTTTGTCGATTTCGATCGTGGCGGTCCCGCTTCCATATCTTCTATACAACAGGTCGTCTATGACTATATGTAAACACTCATCGCAGAGTTCTTGTGACATTACAACAACTCTCACGGCGTCGCAGACACAAAAATGGACATCTTTGTATTATGTACCTTTTTTCCCTGATCCGGGAGATACTTCCACCTCGCGCCTGAAAATGTCCTACCAACACTACGTAGTTGGTTTGCAGAAGTAGCCATGGCCTGGATTCTTGTATTCGCAACTGTAGAAGCTGCGCTTTTATCTTCCTGCCAGATAGTTGGCTTTGTGTTTGTTTCAGGCCGGAAATAAAGTATCAATTTGACGACGTATCAAGTGTAAAAATGTGTGGGTCTGGAAGAGTGCGCGATTTTTCATGCAGATTTTCCATGACCCATGAGGTCTGGAATGCAGGACCTAGAGTGACAGACTCTGTACGATCTCTCTCATGCCTATCCCGCGGGAGAAACTCCCTCCCGACTTGGTCAAAACTGGACGACTTTTGGTAATCAGGCAACACAGATTTTTACATGCTTCAGATTTCGCATGACAAGTTGCATTCTTCCAGACCCAGACATTTTTCCATTTGATACGACATGACTGTTTATTGCAATCCCGGTTCAGGTTGTTCAGGTCCTTCCGGAGCCTGGTATGAGAGTGTCAGGATCGAAATCGCCAAAATCGAAAAATTTGTAATGCCTAAAATGTAGGGCACCGAAGGCCTGTGTTGGGCAGCAGGCAAATGAGGCCGATTGCAAGCCTGTTTTGGGGTATGGAATGTGCTGACAGAGTAGCATGAGAGGAGCAGTCTTCTTTGCCCAAACAGCATGACAGACTGGATCTTGGTGCTCCCGAACTTTATCATGCGCCACTTGGAAGCTGCGGCCTCAAGTGGTAATGGTATCCATTTTATGCATCACGAATTATTTCGATTTTGTTGATTTCGATCCTGACACATCCATACCTGGCAGCTTCTAGGTATCAAATGCAGACATGTCGAGGTCTGGATCTGGAAATAAAATGGCGAAGTTTCATCTCATGCAGGAGTCTAAGTAGATGTAGAAGGTGAACAAGGGCGCGGCCCAGTCTGCTAGAGTCTGCAAAAGCTTTACGAACGCAATTGAAAGTGAGGATGCCTATTCTGCAGCAGAAGTCCCGAGTCGACGTCCTCTTCATGGTGGCCAAAATATATTAAGTAGAGGGTTTTTCTTACCACTTTCTTATGCATCAGAGCTATTTTTTTTTGTGTGAGCGTCAATGGGCACCATCGCGGCGAATCCCCATCCTCGTCCCAGACCCAAACATATTTGCAATGCATAGATACAGCAAAACTAGACCAATTTAAGATGTCACTTTCTTCGAAATCAAAATAAATCATCTACGTCTAGTACTAACCTCCTTGTTGTGTAGTATCTATTCTTCTATGTACATACCAGAACAGCAAAAAGTGCATCGAAATAACTCATATTTTGGACATGATGATGGAACAACAATTAACTGACTCGCAAAATAATTTGTTTTGCATAATCTTGTTCACCAAGCAGCTTCATAGATTACAGAACTAGGTAGCGTTTTTCTGGTCCACATTTCGATCCCGCCCAAAAATTCCCGACCCAAGAACAGGTAGATGGCGCCACCTCCCGCTGTTTGAACTGACGGATGAGTTGTAGCAGAAACTGGATCTGAAATAGAGGCCGCAGCTTCCGAAAATCAAATATTTCGGCACAGTGGTGGTGGAACTGAACGATACCGATGGACAGTGGGCTTTTGTTTTTGAGGTTGTGGTCGTTGCTGTTGCATATCACTAACCAAAGTCGACCACGCGCACTGTGCTTTCCCTGTCGCAGGTTTTCTCATCTTGAACTGCCACATCTAGTAATCAGCCTGGACAGCGGTGCACTATCGAATGCAAACGCGTATGGGGCTGGAGCAGTGCCAGACTTGTAGGGTTTTGCACTCTCTTCATACTCCTGAGCTGTGTACTACATAATTTTCAGGGACGCAAGCACTGTAACTTTATTGCGATGCCGACTACACCCCGTTTCTCATGGGTGTCAACACGCATCACAAGAACATTGTTCCTAAAATTTTCATGCTTGGCTGCGTACGTTCTCGTTCATCACTTTCACTCATAGAAATAGCATTGCCTACAAGTTGTTTCCCCGCCCAAAGAACATATTCGCGGTTGATAGATAAATATACTCTTCTCGGCCCGGAGCCGGAGCCCATCGCGACAGCCGGGACGCAGATTCTTCGATGCAGTTCGCAGGTGGACGAACACCAGCATGACCTTGATACGAGACCACTGCACTTCTGCGGCACCACGCTCGTGAGATTCATAATTCGGCGGTGGACTAGAACAAGTCGAGCACATGCCGGTCATGGTCGCCCTTGCCTAAGGTCGCGGGGAGATGTTGAACGAAGTCTTAGCTCCGTTCTACTTCGCAAGGGTAAAAAGTACTGTGTTCCAAGCCTGTAGCGCCGGTCGTGTTCGAGATCTTCATGTTGTAGTGCTAGCTCCTCAGGTGGCAAGGGTAGTCTGTACCACGCCTGTAGCGTCGGTGTTCGCGTCTATCACTTTGTCGATCAGAAGCGAGAGCTGGGCGTGATTCTGGGCCGCGTTTCGGTATACCAGTGCACAACTCCCCCTCCCCCTCATTTGTATAGCATGAACGGCAATGCAAGCATCAGCAAGAATGCCGGTTTTGCATGACGAATTTGCACTGAAGTATAGTGGTATTTGGGCTACCGGAACTTGTCATGCATAATAGTGACAGGAGGCAAAGCGTGGGTTGGGTATTCTGCATGAGAAATGAGACCGAGGGGGAGTTGTGCACTGTCATATTCGGCACGTTGGGGTCATAATCAGGGTGTCAAAATTCTCCGCGTAATTTTGGTACAGGAGGCCGAATATCAAGTGTAAAAATGTCTGGGTCTGGAAGAATGCGCGATTTGTCATGCAGATTTTCCATGACCCGTGAGGTCTGGAATGCAGGACCTAGCATGACAGATTCTGTGCGATCTTTCTCATGCCTATCCTGCATGAGAAACTGCCTCCCGACTTGGTCAAAACTGGACGAGTTTTGGTAATAATGCAACACAGATTTTTGCATGCTTCAGATTTCGCATGACAAACTGCATTCTTCCAGACCCAGACATTTTTACATTTGATACCGAAGTCGCTCGGTTCTGCTTTTATGGAAGTGTGAGGGTCGAAATGGAATTTTGAAAATAAAGTTGAAATGACTACTAACTTGCACTTGTCTTGTTCGTGCATAAAATCCAATGTCCTGCTCCTGGACATTGCATTTATAAATATAGGACGTATGATTATGAGGGCAAGCAAACGACGACCATTGTGAGCCTGTTTGGGTGGGTTGGAGACCACTGATTAGATAGAGACACAGCCGCTCAATTTAGCATGACAAAAGATGCTCTCTCTCCCCAAACAGCATGACAAACTGAATCTATCAGTTTAGGTGCTACCAAAATTTTTCATGCGCCCCGTAGACCTTGGGCTTCGTTCCAACTGAAAGCTGTTTTACGCCTTGCAAGTTATTTCAACTTTGTCGAACCTGTTCCTGATTACGCCCCCATAGCTGTTGCGCTTTTGTAGGTGGGCTTCCCATCATTACCTGTGTGCTTGAACTGAAGTCTTGTCCTGTCATCGCGGTCGTTGTTCCAGGGCGCTGCGCTTCCGTTGGCCCATTCCGTGTCATCCTTAAACTTGCAGGTGGGGCAATCGGCATCGGGATCGCCATCGGGATCGACGCTTGAGTCGGTTGCTTCATTGAAAGCGTAGCAGAATTGGTTGCTTGAGTCGGTCTGTTGACCTTCAGGGCACGCCGTGCTGAGATTGTCGCATTGCACGGAAAGATCCACCTTCCCCAAATTGAAAGCGCATCCTTCTGAAATTTGTGACGCAGATTTGTGGCCATCGCCATAGATCCCGTCATCTGTCTTGCAGGAAGGCAAACGCAGAGACTCCGCCACGTTTCGCAGGCGATTTGTCATGCTGTAAGGCCTACAGGGCCGACGTTTGCCATGCTAAGCACGTACATCAAACGGCCCCTGCCTAGGCTTGCGATCTGCGTGCAGTACCCTACAGCAAGACAGATTTGATTTGTGTACACAAATCCTGCATCACAAATTTCCGTTTTGATCTGAGGAGGGTGGATTTTTCCTTTTGGTATGTCGCTTTCCCGCTGATCGTCGTGGCCGACCGGCCAATATCCTGTGCAAAAGTATCGCACTCGTGCTCATCGCAAAGAAATATGCATGACAAATCTCTTATTTCTCAAGGTAAATATAGCACTTTACAAATTCAATCTCCAGCGCTGAGCCAATTTGTAATGCAATTGCTACTAGTACAAGTACGATACTTTTGCAATTCATAGCCAGTTTGTGTAGTCCGCAAACTTATCAACTGCAGATACGTTTGGGCGGTCGGGGAGGTTGCAACTTCTCATGCTCGCGCCAAAATCTGTGTAGAAGTTGCCTGAGTACCAAAAGCTGTCCACTTTTGACTCAGTTGCGAGGCAGTTTATTCTCATGCAGGAGAGGCATACTAGTAGAGAGGTCAACTACACAGAATCTGCAATGCCAGTATGCATGTCTACCAGAGGACCGCATGCCATGGGTCATGAAAAACCTGCATGACAAGTCCTGCAGATTTTTCCAGACCAAAGCATATTTGCAGTTCATAAAACTCTTGACCCAGAAAGTAGCAGCTCCGCGTCTCATTCCCGAACTTGTCCTTGTCTATGAGGGTGCACAACTCCCCCGCCTCCCCCTCATTTGTCATGCAGAATACCAAACCCAAGCGCTGCTGCATGGTATTGTTTGCGTGACAGATTCCGGAAGCGGCCCAAACAGTACGCACACTAGGCGCATGAACTTGCTATGCACAGGCTGCACAGGTGGGGGTGTTTGTCTTGCCGTTCATGCAATACAAATGAGGGGGAGGGGGAGTTGTGCACTGTAATATGGTCCATGTTGCCACCGCAAACGGGTTATGCACAACAAATATGTCTGAGTCTGGAAGGATCTCATCCTGTAATGCCGCGCTTGGATTCTAACAGGATCTGTATTGCATGAGCAGCAAGATGAGTCCAGTTTTTTTTACGTTGCGGACAGAAATTTTTTTCTCAGGCGGGATTTGCATCAGGAAGTCCTCAGAAAATCGGTGGTACTATGGCATGCATCACAGATGACATGATCACGCTCAGTCACGGGTGGTCATGCAAAAAAACGTGCATGACAGACAAGTGCATTCTCCCAGATGACCCAGATCTTCGCTAAATTGCATTTGATATGGGATCGCCTCCGTAAGTCTGCATGTCTTCCGGGCGGAAGTTCGGGGCCTCCCTGCCATCTCCGCGATTTAGCTCCGCCGGGGGGATGGTGTGGTCCCCCTGCCTATGCATTGCAAATGTGTAGTCTACTACGTCCTCTAGAAGAATGCGAGCTTGTCATGGAAAGTCGGGACAATGCAAAAATTCGTGTTGCATAAACGCCAAAAGTTGTCCATTTCTTTTTGCACTGCAAAAAGGGATTTTCTCCTGTTGTTCCTGGATAGGCATCAACAGACCTGAGCATATTTTCTATTATGCTTTATTCGCGCGGTGCATTCCAAAACAGCTGTGGAATCCAAAAGATGCAGAAGATGCCGCCTGACAAACTTACGCACGCTGATTGTGATTCTTCCAGATGTTGACCCAGACATAATATTACTTTTTGCATTTGATACTGCCCTATCAAATGTAAAAGCGTCTGGGTCTGGAACAAAGCAACTTGTCATGCTGAATCTGAATCATGTGAAGATCTGTGTTGCATGATTACCAAAAGCTGTCCACTTTTGACCTAATCGAGAGGCAGTTCCACATGCAGGATAGGCATGATTATGGAACTCTCACAGGATCTGTCATGCTATGTCCTACATGCCAGACCTCATGGGTCATGGAAAACCTGCATGACAAGTCTGGCACTCTTCCAGACCCAGATGACATTTTTGCATTTCATATGCCCTCCGGAGTCGAAGTCACTTCCGTCGACGGCGATCCCTTTGTAATCATAGGGGTGCCCCCCCGGCATATTGTGAGGAAAAATCCCCCCTCCCCATATGGAAAACGCACTCGTCTGAAAATTTGTGGGGCAGATTTGTGACCACAAATCCTATCTGTGTTGCAAGAAGGCGAACCCAGAGAGTCCGGCGCGTTATGCAGGCGGTTTGTGATGCTGTTGGGCTTACAGATACAGCCTAGACGTTTGCCATGCTAGGCGCCTACGCCAAAACCTCTCGAATCGGGCTTGGCATATGTCTGCAGTTCTCTACTGCAAGACAGATTTGTGTACCGAAATCCAGCATCAGAAACTTCGTTCTGATATGTGGAGGGGGGATTTTTCCTTTTGATACGGCATGTGGGCGTTCCTGTCATACACGAAGCCGAAGCAGTCCTTGAACGCAGCGCACAGGGCAAAACACATGCGATACGAGACGCAGACGCCATTAGCAGCCTCGACAAGCTGGTCGTTGTCGCCTGTATCTGTGTAACCTCCTGTTTCCAGCAACCCCTTTCCAAATACGTCGGTTTCGTCGGCTGACGTTTTGTAATTCGGATTAGTGTCCGAGCTGTCCATGGTTCTCTTTTTGTGGGCCCCCACGTCCGCAGCCATGATCGACGCCCGCTTCCAATCGTCAAGGTTAGCACTATCTTCGAGCATATCCTGTGTAAAAACGCCCCCAACTAAGAGTCAAGTTGCGCACTTTGCAACACAAATCGAGAAGCTTTGCGATTCACACATGACAGTTTTTCCTTTTGTACTAACAAGTTTAGCAAGTAGGACTACGCACCACAAAGCCATGCGCTTATCCTGTCTACAGCACTACAGATACCGATACACAGTGGGACGAGAAGGGATGGCTCTCATCATGGAGATGCGCACTAGCACTACAACTTTTTCTGTAAATGCAACTCTGCGTCGCTACAACTATGTGCTGAAAAGTCAACGTCGAAAAGACCAAATTAAAGCACGGAAAAGTTTGAAACTTCGATGGAAGTAAAAGAGAAGCTGTCGCCGAACCAACTCTGTGTCCTCGTGGCCACATGTCGCGAAGTTTGCTTTGGCAACTCTGGGCGGGCTGGGACGTTTTGAAACCCCTGCGCCACACGTTTTGAAACCCCTGCGCTTCGGAAGTTTGCTGTGCCAGACGACCCCTGTTCCCAAAGCAAGGCGAGACCGAAGACAGAGCAGAGCCCCCCTGGTGTAGAAGAACTAAGAGTTGCGCGAGCGCGACAAGGAAGGGGCGGTCCTGATCCCCAGGATAGCCTCGAAAGGTACGGACGCCAGACCCCAACATACAGCAGCACTCCCAATAGAAGTGCGTAAGGACTCGGCAGGCCAGCCACAACCCGGCTGCAGCATGGACGCTACCCGCACGGCCCCACATACTTGCAGGGATCCGCACTACCTCTCGCAAGGCCAAAAAGAAATACCACAGAAAGTTTGGGAGGTCACAAACCAGACCCCCAGGCGCACTCAGAGCACGCTTGCTGCCATTCTTCCCGCCGAATTCTTCCTACCACTTTCTTCCCCGCTGGGAAGCGCCCTCCAGGCGGAATGGCACTGGTGCACTCAGAGCACTGCCCTTGCTGCTAGTCATTCTAGCGCAAACCTCCTAGCACACTCTTCCCCGCCGGGAAGCGCCCTCCAGGCGGAATGGCACTGGTGCACTCAGAGCACGCTTGCTACCATTCATTCCTACGCAAGATGAACGACCGCAGTCTACCTAGTACAAAACTTCTAGAAAAGAAGTTAATCCAGCCCCAAACCATCCAATCCCGCAAACGGTGGACTCCGTCCGCGTTGACTTCTTCTACAGCCCCACTCTAAGGGGCGGAAGACCAACAACTCCAGGCATTAGCTTCTAGGGATCTGCCAGCCCATATACAAAACAGAACGGGGGGAGAACCCCCTCCAATCACTCCACGAAAAGAATCTACCAGGGTAGATGTCGTGGCCACAGGTCGCGAAGCTGAAGTCTGCTGTGGCAACTCTGAGCGGGCTGGGGCGTGCAGTGGTTTGTATATCCCATCCTACTGGCAGTGGTTTGTATATCCGAGAAGCACAAGCAGGCGGACGAAACAAGTTGGGCGGGGCTCATCTATTACACGATCGAAAACTTGCGGCTCCACCCTAAGCCACAACTTTTCCCGCAGTCCGGTCGTGTTTGGGGGGGAAAAGAACCTGCACAACGCCCAACGGGGGAGAAAAAGACAACCACAGTTCGCGCATAACCTAATGCCGCATGGTATGGCTGCAAGGGAAATTCGCACGCAGCGATACCATGCAGCATAACCTAATGCCCGATGCTATCGATACGTGTGTGGGGGAATGTGAATTATTTTGTAGCTTGATGATAGAATCGCGCAAAAGGTTACGCACGACGGTGCGGTAGCAGCCGCTTGTGGCGAAAGGGGGATTTGTAATGCCGAGAGCCCGGGTTTTCCGCATTTGTAATGCGGAGAACAACCGGAGCTCGGGTCTTTTGTAGTGCGGTCTTTCTCCGCCCGAGACCTCGGGGGGAGAAAGATCGCATCGAAATTTGCGAATTTGTGATGCGGTTTTTCTCCTACGTGGAGAAAAACCGCATCCAAATCCAGCCGGTTTTGCGAATTTGAAATGCGGTTTTTCTCCACCCGACCGCTCGAGTCAGTGGAGAAAAACCGCGTGTAAAAGCAAGCAGCTTTGCGCGAAAAAACGGGCAGAAGCCCCGTGAAAAGTGCAGCTTCTACCCCGTCCGGAGCGGGAAAAGTTGGAAGCGGGTGGCGCCCCGTTTGCTGCGTCATTCTCGTAGGTCGCTCGTTTCATTCTGGTAACAGTATATGCTATTACAACTGGGGTCAACGTCAAGTTGTATTTTGTCCGTTCATAACATGTCGTGAAGTTTGCTGTGGCACCTCTGGGCGGGCTGGGACGTTTTTAAACAGGATAGAGCAGGTCATTGAAGCCCACACGATACTGCATCGGGTTGTGATACCGCCGCCTGCCGTTGCCACCTCCACCGTCAAGCGCTTTATCCTGCGCGCTGCCATAGGTGAAGTGGCGCGAGATCCCGGGGTATGCATTGCAAATATCGATCTGGGTCTCGAATAATAGAGTGTAACTTGTCATGCTAAATCTCGAACCTGGAACCACCCTAGATCGTGAAAAAAAAATTCTTGTGTTGCATGATTGCCAAAAGTTGCCCCCTTTTGAAAGAACATCAAGCTTAGAGGCGGTTTCTCATCATGCAGAAGAGGGATGGTAGAGACCTCACGGAATCTTCTGTCATGCTAGCGGCGTGGGCATGCTTATGCCAGCCCTCGTGGGTGGTCATGGAAAGCCTGCATGGCAAACCTAGCAATCTTCCAGACCCTCTAGGTGGCATATTTGCATTTGATATGGGGGTCGGCCGAATGTCTGTGTTCGAAAGCCGCACGCACCCGATGTCGGGACTGCCGTTGTATATGTGATTGGCGTATACAATACAAATTTTCCGTACATGTACAGGATGCATCACAAACTTCACCAATTTCGAGAGTAAAACTTGCCATGCTAAACTAGGACCAAAGCCAATTTTTGTCATGCAGAGACCGCATTTGTACGTGTACGGGAAATTGACTGTTGATATGGCGTCGTAATTCTTCCGAGCAGGATCGTATCAGATGTAAGTATGTCTGGGTCTGGAACAAAGCAACTTGTCATGCTACAACTGAAGCATGTAAAAATCTGTGTTGCATGATTACCGAAAGCTGTCCACTTTTGACCTAATCGACGACGAGAGGCAGTTTCTCATACAGGATTGGCATGATAGAACTTACTCTCACAGGATCTGTCACGCTCTGTCCCACATGATGCCAGACCTCGTGGGCCATGGAAACCCTGCCTGACAAAAATCAAAATGCACTCTTGCAGACCAAGACATATTTGCATTTTATAGATCGCGATGATTCACCATTTATGAACTGCAAAACAAGTATCGCACTCGTATAAATGCATGACAAATTTCCTCAGCGTGAGAATTAAAATTTGTAATGCGGATTTACCTTGAGAAAAAAATTTGTAATGCAAGACTTGCATATATACGAATACGATACTTTATTTGCACAGGATACCATTCCCGAGCTCGGATCGAACGGCTGCATTTCCACGCCCCCGAGATCTTCTATGACAGTGCGCAGCTCCTCCTCCCCCTCATTTGTCATGCAAAATCCCAAATCTACCTTCTGCCTGTTAGCACTCTTTGCATGACAGATTCCGAAAGCTGCCAAATCAGGAGCACTACGTTCACCGAGGAATTTGTCATGCAAAAGTTGCATCTTTACTGCCAGCGCTTGTTTTGCTGTTCATGCAACACAAATGAGGGGGAGGGGAAGTTGTGCACTCTCATATCTTCGTACCCCAATTTAAAAAGCCGGGCGGTGTAGCGTGCGCCAATTATGCATTGCAAAAGCATCGCACTAGTAGAAACCGCATCACAAATTCGGGCACCCAGCATGACAAATGTAAATATATTATGCTGTTTTACCTTGGAATGGAAATTTGCAATGCATGATTGCGATAACTACGAGTACAATACTTTTACCCAGGATACCAATAACAACCTCGCGATTTGCAAGCGCGAAGGGACCGCTGACCTTGTCCAGATTGTCGTCATAGATGAAGGCAGGCGGATCCACAAAATCGTATGGAGTTCTCAACCGTTACATAATTCTCAACTGTTACATGCATTTGTCATGCAAAACTACCGTAAGCGGCAAGATCATCAAGCTGCTTGGCATGACAATAAATCTCCGGAGGCCTTCTAGGCAGCATCTAAATCTGTGCCAAATCTGTGATGCGAAAGCACCAAGCTTGCCCCTTTGACTGTTGCGGTTCTTGCATTACAAACAAGGTCCGAGCACGGGGACAGTGACAGAGTCCCCGTGCGGCGACCTTCCGGCATTTGCCTGCCTGCGCGGTGGCACTGGGCAGGCAGGTCGCCTGCAGCTAGGTATCTCGGCGCGCCTTGCATTCACTGACCCGCGACGGGCCTGCGGACGCGGCTCCCTTGCTTGCGCGCACTAGGTCCGTTCACCTGCCGCGCGCAAAGATAATTGAAAGTAAGAAAAGAAGAAACTGGCGCCGGGTGCGGGTCTGGAGCGAGCCGGCCCGCAAGTCATGACGCGGCGACAGAATCCCCACACTTCTGCCCTAGGGATTTCCTTCGCCCCGTGCTTTCTTGACCGCGGGGCGTGGTGTCCGGAGAGTGTTCGTAGCTAGCCCCTAAGCCATGACGCGGGGACCGGGTCCCCGCGCTGGCCTAGGGCATTCGCCCCGTGGCCGCACGGTGTCCGGGAAGCGCTTGCAGCTGACCCCTAGGCCATGACGCGGGGACCGAGTCCCCGCGCTGGCCTAGGGTTTTCGCCCCGTGGCCGCACGGTGTCCGGGAAGCACTTGCAGCTGACCCCTAGGCCATGACGCGAGGACCGAGTCCCCGCGCTGGCCTAGGGCTTTCGCCCCGTGGCCGCACGGTGTCCGGGAACGGAAGGACTTGCTGCTGGCCCCTAGGCCATGGCACGGGGACCGAGTCCCCGCGCTGGCCTAGGGCTTTCGCCCCGTGGCCGCACGGTGTCCGGGAAGCACTTGCAGCTGACCCCTAGGCCATGACGCGGGGACCGAGTCCCCGCGCTGGCCTAGGGCTTTCGCCCCGTGGCCGCACGGTGTCCGGGAAGCGCTTGCAGCTGACCCCTAGGCCATGACGCGGGGGCCGAGTCCCCGCGCTGGCCTAGGGCTTTCGCCCCGTGGCCGCACGGTGTCCGGGAAGCACTTGCAGGCCATGACGCGGGGACCAAGTCCCCGCGCTGGCCTAGGGCTTTCGCCCCGTGGCCGCGCGGTCCGTCTCGCGACGCGTGACAGACTGGACTTCGGGGCCAAACCTCGCGTGACAAAGTCCGAAAGTTTGGCCGGGGTGTGTCCGAAAGTCTGTCCGGGGTGTGTCCGAAAGTCTGCCCGGGGTGTGTCCGGGGTGTGTCTGGGGTATGTTCGGACTTTTTGCCTGGGGTGTGTTCGGGGGTCTGTCTGGGGTATGTCTGGGGTGTGTCTGGGGTGTGTCTGGGGTATGTTTATACCCCACCTTCTGCTTTTTCGCCAAAAATTTGTATTCAGGTCGTGACTGACTGCCATTTGCATACCCCTGACACACCCCCGAACATGCCCCCGAACATACCCCTCGCATGCATTTTTGACCAGCTGCTGCAGTTTAGATAGTAATTCATATAACAGTTGAGAATGTAACGTTTGAGAGTCCCATAAATCGACATCGCCTGTTGTAACGGTCTCTTTTAGCTCATTTCCACCCGCGTCCGTTTTGGGGTTACCGTCTACATCCTTCAGCTGTTTAATCTCCCATGTCGAGCAGTTGCAAGGCTGAAAATCGAGGTCTGAGTGGCAATTACTAAAAACTCAATTCGATTTTATTTCTCATGCATGTATTTATTGTAATTTATAATCGATCATTCCCTTATTTTCGTGCTTTTCAGATGAAGATGAACTTGGGTCCTCAATTTATTTCGGGTGGGCGGCGCACGGTCGTGACATCAAATTTTCGTTTTCCTGCCTAGTACACTTGGCGCAATAATAAATCGGGGCCGACCACTAAGTACTTAGGGCAAGGACGTGGGTCAGCGTCATGCTAGGCAGTGCCTCCATGTCCCTTCTTGACGAGGACTGCTCTCAACTGGTCTAGAATCCACCACCCCCTGTCTCGCAACTGGGACAACTTCTGCCGTAGTCATTGTCAACATCATCATCATGATCTCATCTGCATTTATCACACAAGCGCACTGCCATCTAGGATGTCGCACCCCAGGACGTCCAACATGCATAGCAAAAAATTTTCTACATGATATAGGTAAAAATATTTGCCGTCTGCAAGAAGTTTCCAGCCTGACGCTACTTCCATATCCTCACCCAGCACCTGGTTGCTCTTCCCACTGGGGTCGTAAAGGGCGAGCTCGAATTATCAAAAGCAAAAATCCCCCCTCCCCATATCGAAAAGGTATGTTTCCGAAAATTTGTGTTGCTGATTTGAGGTCGCAAATCGCATTTGTATTGCAAGAAGACAAGGGCAGAAGCTTCCGCCCCACTATGGAAGCGATTTGTCATGCTGTTGGGCCTAAAGGGGAGCCGCTTGCCATGCTGAACAACTAGACGCATACGCCCTTCCCCTAGCCTGGGGATCTGACTGCAATGCTTTCCTGCAATACAAACCTGATTTGTGTACTCAAATCCAGCATCCGAAATTTCGTTTTGATGTGGGGAGGGGGGATTTTTCCTTTTGATACGAATAGCACGCAGCATGTGACATCCGCAATGGGCCGCGCGAACGCGTTGCATATCAAATGTAAAAGTGTCTGGGTCTGGAAACTTGTGCTGCTGGGTGGCGTCTCATGATGAGGCCACAAATGCTGGCTCAGCATGACAAGTTTCTGAGCTCCTAGGTGTTGCCTATTCTGCATGACAAACTGCGCTTCTGCATCACAGAAAAACGCAGCTCTTGGGTAACGTGCATGACAGATTTAAGAGTCATGCCAGACAAGCATGACAAACATGAATTCTTCCAGACCCAGACATTTTTACACTTGATATTGCACGCGACCTCACGAAAGCACTGCAGCGCGCACTCCTTATCGGCTTCCACGCTGTCCGGCTCGCCGCCAGCCTGATAGTATCAAAAGGAAAAATCCCCCCTCCCCATATCGCAATGGAAATCTGTGATGCGGGATTTGTGTACACATATCGGCTTTGTCTTGCAGTAAAGGATTGCAGACAGATGCTCAGCCGGAGTAGCGGCGTTTTGATGTAGGCGCTTAGCAAGGCAGGCACATTCTCCGCAGGCCATACAGCATTACAAATTGCCTGCAGGACGACGCGCCGAAGTTTTTGGATTTGCCTTCTTGCAATACAGCGACGAATTGTGGTCGCAAATCAGCATCGCAAATTTTCAGAAGTATCCCGGTCTAGTATGGGGAGGGGGGATTTTTCCTCACAATAGATAGACAGACTCCACGAGTCCGGGCCTGGGACTCAAGGTCTTCGGAATTATCAAAGTGAAAAATCCCCCCTCCCCATTATATGAAAACGGAAATCTGCGATACGGGATTTGTGTACACAAATCCCATCTGTCTTGCAGCAGAGGACTGCAGACAGATGCAGCGCCTGAGTAGGGGCGTTGTGGTGTAGGCGCCTAGCAAGGCAGGCGTGTCCTCTGTAGGCGGTACAGCGTTACAAAGTGCCTGCGAAATAACGCGGCGGAGTCTCTGGCTTTGCCCTCTTGCAATACAGGGACGATCTGTGGCCACAAATCAGCATATACAAATATTCAGCAGTGTCCCTTTTTGGTATGGGGAGGGGGGATTTTTCCCCTGAATAGGTATCTTCCGGAACTCGAAATCGGGGTCCGTGAAGACTTCGCAGGACCCCCACGTACCGTACTGCACCACGTACGGCCGCGCCGGCAACTGCAAATTGGGATCATCCGTAGCGGTCCGCGCCCCCGCCTCGGACTGCGCCAGAAACCGCTGCCCGTACCGCGCCTCATATGGGAGTGTCAGGATTGAAATCAACAAAGTTGTAATGCACAAAACGCAAGGCATGAAGTGACTGTCTTGCAGGGATTGCGAGAGAGGCCAACTGTAACCCTGTTTGGGGTTTCGCATAAAGCTGCTGAAGTAGCACGACAAAAGCAGCCTTCGTTCTGTACCTAAACAGCATGACAAATTGAATTTCAATGCTGCCAAAATTTGTCACGCACCAATTACAAACTGGATTCCAACTGGTATCGATTTTATGCGTCACAAATCATTTCAACTTTCTGAATTTCGATCCTGGTTGCACCCCCATACCTCATCGGGGTTCAATATGTGGCCTCGAACGAAGTCCAGGTCGCGCAGGTAACTCCACCAGTGCCCTTATGACAGTGCACAAGTCCTTCTCTCCCTCATTTATTTAGTATGAACGGCAGCACAAGCATCAGCAAGAAGAAGAGCGCCGGTTTTGCATGACAAATTCACACTGGATTGTAGTGCTGTTTCGGCTACCAGAACTTGTCATGCAAACAGTGCTGAGAGGCACAGCCTGGATTTGGGAACTTGCATGACAAATGACGGGGAGGAGGAGTAGTTGTGCACTTTCATAGCCCTGACACGGGAAACACTTGGTGTATCACAAGAAAATAAAAGTGTTACAGTTACACACTCTGATGCAAGACAAGCAAGACAGACAACCTCTGTCATGCAGGTAGTGTTTGCCAGCGTCATTTCTCTCGTGTTTTCCCTTATAATCTGCGCATTACATCAAAGTATTCCTTGATCATGCAGAGCAACTTTGTGATGCTGAAATTACAACAAATGCGTAAACTGTAACACTTTTTTCCTGTGATATGGTGCTGCCGCCTCCGACTAGGTGCTTTGCAGGGAATGGGGTCGGCACTCTCAGGTGGATAGCCTATGCCTTCTAAATCGGGATTCTCGGTCCAGTCCTCGTTCTCGTAGGGCGCCTCGCGATTAATCCGCCTTATCGCAAGCAAATATCCCCCCTCCCCAGATTGAAAACGCATTCGTCTGAAAATTTGTGATGCAGATTTGAGGTCACATATCATGTGAACCAGTACACGAAGGGCACCCAGTACGCGAAGGGTACCTACAACATACGAAAGGACCAGAATACATACGAAAGGAGAGAGGAGCACCGAAATACACTGTACAAAAAAGGAGTTGTTGTATGTACTGCCGGACGCATACAACGGAGTCGTGTGGCACTGCCGGACGCAAAACAGGCCACAATCCACCGCGCGCGAAAAGATCGCTCCGCGGAACAACAGAAGAGCGCAAAGGGAGGCTTGCGGAGCGCGCACTGCGCACAAGGAGCAACACAAGCGGAGAAAAGGGGCGCTAAACCAAAAAAACTAGCGGCGCGCGCGCGGTGAGGACCTATTGCGGATCGATATTTTGTTAGCAGGCGGTGGGGGCACGCTTGCAGGCGGCGCTTCGAAAACATACAAGGGCCGAGTGTGTTTCGCGTGCGCGCTTTGGTAGCTAGCAGAATTCTCTCGCTCCTTAGCGCTCTTGCTGCAGAGTCTACTGAAAGTGGAGAAGACCGCGGCGGTGCTCTTTTTTCAATGTTTTTCACTCAGTGGCCGTTTTGTTTTGGCTACGCAGCCACGTATTGCAGTCGGACAAAACCAGGGCAATATAAAACGAGGGCGCAGGGGCATCTTAGGACCAGTTGCGTACGGGGCCCCCAGTAGTTACTGGGGGCCCCGTACTTGACGGCCGGGCCAGTGCTGGAAGGGTCCGGCGGGACCAGAAGGGGCCAGACAAAGTGGCCACTTTATATGCACTGGCGATTTGTATGTGGCGTTTGTTCTAGGACAGGAAGGGGCAGGGCCCTTCGTGTACTGGCATACAAATATATTACGGGGGTATCAGTAATTACTGGCTCACATGTCTGTCTTGCAAGAAGGCAAAGCCAGAGAGTCCGCCACATTATGCCGGCGGCTTGTGATGCTATTGGGCTTACAGAGCCGACATCTGTCATGCTAGTCCCCTACGTCAAAACCTCTCGACCCAGGCTTGGCATAAGCCTGCTGTCCTCTCCAGCAAGACAGACATGATCTGTGTACGCAAATCCAGCATCAGAAACTTCGTTTCGATATGGGGAGGGGGGATTTTTCCTTTTGATACGCCTGCACTTGTCTTCACGGCGACGATTCGCAGATCCATCGTCCCCGCTACCCGTCTATCAAATGCAAAAGCGTCTGGGTCTGGAAGAATGCAACTTGTGATGCTATTTTTGGAATCCAAAAAAATATGTATTGCATGAGCAACAAGAGGCCTCCACTTTTTGCCCCGCGTTGACGGGATTTTTCATGCGGGATAGGCAGCAAGATGCCAGCAAAAAATTTGTGATGCTGGTGCATACATCACAGACATCACGGGCCATGCAAAATGTGCATGGCAAACCTTGCAATCTTCCAGACCCAGACACTTTTACATTTGATACCGTCTCGGGGTTAGTGTGCCTGCGTCGCTCGGACTCGAGTTTCGTCTATGCGAGTGTCAGGATCTTCGAACTCGTCAGAGTTCAAATATTAACTTGCCACGCATAAAATGCATGACGCGAAGTCCGTGCGTTGCTGTTGCAGAGCAGGCAAGTGAGGCCGATTGTACTTAAGCGTGTTTTGGGTTAGACCTCCAGCTGCTCAAGCAACGTGAGAGAATCTATCAGCCTTCTTTATTGACTAAACAGCATTACAAACTGGATTTAGGCACCACCAAAATTTGTTGCGCGCCGCTTGGAAACTGGGTTCCAACTGGCATTCATTTTATGCATGACAAATCATCTCAACTTTGTCGATTTCAATCCTGACACTTCCATATCATCTTGCCCGGATTTAGGCCCTGATAGACGATTATCAACTACAAAAGCGTCTGGGTCTGGAAGAGTCGGGACTTGTGATGCACATTTTGCATGACCCGTGAGGTCTGTGATGCTGGTGCTAGCATCACAGATTTTTTGAGAGCTTCTTGATGCTAATTACGCATGAGAAATGCCCTCTCCGCGTGCCAAGAACTGACTCCTCTTGCTGCTCATGCAACACAGATATCTTTAGAATCCGCAGACAGCATTACAAGTTCCACTCTTCAAGACCCAGACACTTTTGCAATCCATAACGATGCAGCAGTAGGTTCCGCGTCGCTCTTCTTCTTGCGCTATCAAATGCAAAAGTGTCTGGGTCTGGAAGATTGCGAGATTCGTCATGCTTGTCTGGCATGACCAAAAAGCTTGTGACGCGTGTCCAAGAAGAGACCCTCTTGCCTGTCATGCAAAGACACAGTTTGTCATGAGAAAAACGCAGCACAAAGATGCGCACGATATTTCTCATGCTTGGCTGTGCATTACAGAGCATTCATTATTCCCAACGCAGCATTACAAGTTTCCAGACCCAGACATTTTTGCAATCCATATGCGCCCGCAACTCGGTGTGCGTCCAAGTGGTCCCCATTTTAGCGCTATCGCGGGGAAATCTCCCCCCTCCCGCCCATATTGAAACAGCATGCAGCTCCGAACTTGTCATGCTGCTTCGTGGTCACAAATCGCGTCTGTCTTGCAAGAGGGCAAGTGAAGAAGTATGCCACAACACAATACGCAGGCGGTTTGTGAGGCTGTTCGACCCACAGGGAGGACGTTTGTCGTGCTAAGCGCCTAGCCCGGAACACGCCTGCCCACACTTCGCATCTGCCTGCCATCCTGTACTGCAAAACAGAGAGGATCTGTCTACTTACACAAATCCCGCATTACAGATTTCCGTCTTGATATGGGAAGGAAGGATTTTTCATTATTTTGATATTCGCAGCCCTCTTTGCAGGTGTGTGCGTGATTTTCAAGGCACGGCGCGCAAGGTGTTCCAGGGCGCGCCGTATGTGTTTCCATGCCATCCTCTATCAAATGCAAAAGTGTCTGGGTCTGGAAGGTTGGAACTTGTCACACTCAAGTCGAATCATGCAGAAATCTGTGCTGCATGAGTGCCAAAAGCTGTCCAGTTTCGACCAAGTTTGGAGGAAGTTTCTCACGCAGGATAGGCATGGCAGAGACCTCTCAGACTCTGTTTGTTATGCTAGGCCCCGCATTCCAGCCCTCCTGGGTCATGAAGAACCTGCGTGACAAGTTTACACTCTTCCAGACCCAGACACTTTTGCATTTGATATCCTCTGTGCCCCCCAGCATAGCCTCCATCGTCGCCATTTTATTGTTGTCCAGGAGCCTATGGATGTGTCAGGATTTAAATCGACAAAGTTGAAATAACTTGTAATGCATATTGAAATGGATGGAAGTTGTGGCCCAGTTTCTAAGCGGTGCGCGACAAATCTCAACAGCGTCTAAATCCAATCTGTTATGCTGCTTCGGAACAGAAGGCGTCTTTTGTCATGCTGCTTTAGTAGCTCTATCTCAGACCCCAAACAGGCTGACAATCGGCCTCACTTGCCATCCCTGCAAGAGAGGCACTTCATGCCTTGCAATTTATGCATGAAAAAGTTTTGCAACTTTGACGATTTCAATCCTGGCGCTTCCATAGAGGCCGTATTTGCTTTCAGGCTGCACGTCCGCTTGTTGCCGGTAATCTTTCTGCGCGTCCATGTACGTGAACCCTACACACCGGGGCACGAGCTGCGTGCACACTTTGGCGCACTCTGTGCGCACGTTCCCCGGCGTCAACGGTCCCAGGGGCTGCTCCGACAAGCGGAAGGCGCTGGTGCCAAGGTCGGCCTTGGTGAGACCCCCATCGTCCCAGGTCCCACGACGGCGGTGCCCTATCAAATGCAAACGTGTCTGGGTCTGGAAACTTGTGACGCTGGGTGGCGTCTCATGATGAGGCCACAAATGCTGGCTCCGCATGACTCGTTTCTGAGCTTCTAGGTATTGCCTATTCTGCATGACAAACTGCGTCTCTGCATCACAGAAAAATGGAGCTGTTGGGTAACGTGCATGACAGATTTAAGAGTCATGCCAGACAAGCATGACAAACGTGCATTCTTCCAGACCCAGACATTTTCACATTTCATATGCCCGTGCCTGCGGCGATTTCCATCGCTCCGACGCCGATCGTTGGCATCACCGCCCCGACGACGAGACCACAGTTATCCTGTGCAAAAGTATCGCACTCGTATAATAAACGCAGGTCTTGCATTACAAATAATTTTCTTCCAGAACGGTACGCGCTGAGGCCTAGAATTATTCGCACTAGCATCGTGATTGGGGTCAAACCTTGCGTATATGCCCGGGCGTGGTGCCCTCGTGAAGCGGCTTTTTTTACATTACGAAAACATAAGGACTCTATTGGCCTACGCGCGCCATACCATGCGGGTTGGCCCTTCGGAGTCTTCTGGTTTTTGCTTTTGTCTTTTACTCACGTCTTTCCGGAATCCCGGGACTTCCCCGAGTCCCGGGATTTGTCGTGAAACTGGTGAAAATCGTGCAAAAGTTGCTGTGTTTTCTATGCTAATCGCGATGGTAGGGCCTCTTTTGCACGAGTATTTGCACCGTGCAAAAAATCGTGCAAAAAATTACCGCTTGCGTCGCGAATCGCGATGCTACGGGCCCTGTTTGCGGCATTGGTTTTTTCTGCTTTTCCGCGATATTTCGCGAAAGCCGCGCAGCCGAATCACGAGGGCAGGGTCCTTTTTTCACGATGTGTCTCGCCGTGACACAAATCGGAACAAGCGCGGCGACTTTCTCTCGAACCCCAATGGTATGGCGCCAGCGTCCGGAGTTGGTTTCCGTGGTTTGCCGCGACCGTCGCGCGTTGGGGTCGCGACGGTGTGGGCCCTGTTTCACGGAGCGCCTCCCCTTGCAACGCTCCGCGCCAGGCTTGCGGCTGCCTGGCATCGCGCTAGCCCGCACCGCGGCGCATGTGGGCAGTATTTCCGTTGCGCGCCCGGGCGCGTGTCTACTTTTTTCCGTGGTGGCCCTTGCCGGCGCGGGTCAGAATCCGCACGCCCTAACAGCACGGCTCCGGCTGCTCGGCGCACTGCGTCCGTGCCCTGGCACATGTTGGCGCCAACGCTTGGGGGCAATATTTTCCCGCGCGCGTAGTGCGTGTGCCGGCGCATGTGGGCAGTATTCCCCAACACACTGCTCTGGTTCGTTGTCAATGCGGCGCATTGACAACCAACGAGCACAAAAGTCCTGCGGCCTTCCTAAACAACATGGACACCAGTGACAGCCCAACAGGGCTGCTGCCCCTAATTCTTGCAGAGGCCCCCCGCTCGCGCAGGCCGCCCCTGCCGATCACCTCGGCACGCGCGGGCAGCGTGCGTACCCACGTCGGCGGCCACAGTCAGCTTGTCCAACTCTGTGCCCGCCGTCCCACGTCGCCGTCGCCGTGTGTTCAGGCGCTATGCGCGGGCCTTTGCGTACGTCTGCCCTGCTCCAGCCGCGTACTTGCGGTTGACCCCGCGCAGAGGCCCACGCGGCGCTACTGGTTGGCCCAGCCGCGTATTTGCGGTTGGCCCCGCGTAGAGGCCTAGGCGTCGCTACTGGTTATGTACTTCAGCCGCGCGGGGCCCATGAATGTGTTGCCACTTCTTGGGAGGGCAGGGCGCCAGCGCGAGCTCCCGGCCTGCGGCAACGGGGGTGAATGCGGGGCGGGGCCCCGCTGCGTTTCCCCTATTGCGGGCGCGGAGCGATGTACTTGACAGGAGCCCTTGCGAGTGGGAAAGGAAGGCGGGGGACCCCCTCGAACACCAGGAGTGAGGGGCGGGGGGCCCCAAGGGTGGGGGGCCCCTCGAACACCCTAGGGCACCAAAGGTGGAGGTGGGGGGCCCCCTGCGGGCGAGAGAGACTTACCGCGGAGAAGGACGGAGGCCCCCTGTGGCCTCCGGCGGGCGACCCGGGAAAGGAGCGGGGGCCCCCTGCGGAGGTGGAAGGGCGGGGGCCCCCTGCGGAGGCGGGATACGCAGCGGGTGAGAGGGCGGGGGGCGGGGGCCCCCTGTTTCACCAGGCGGGCGGCCCCGGTGAGGAGCGGGGGCCCCCTGTGGAGGCGGCAGGCGGAAGGGCGGGGGCCCCCTGCAAGCGGGATACGCAGCGGGCGACCGAGAGGGCGGGAGGCGGGGGCCCCCTGCTTTCCCCGATGGTATGCGCGACACAAAAATAGTAACCCTCATCGTAGCATGGTGATTACAAATCTAGGCCTCAGCGCGTACCGGTCTCTTTTCTTAAGGTAAATCAGCATGACAAATTTTATTTTTCATGCTGAGAAAATTTGTAATGCATTTATACGAGTACGATACTTTTGCAGTCCATAACAGTATATGCACTACAAATGCAAATGTACTATCGGGGTCTGGATTTGTGATGCGAGATCTGAACCACGCGGCCACGATCTGTACCACTTATCATAATATGCATGTTGATCAATGCGACTGGTCGTGCTCGTGCTAGTAGAAGAAGCCTGCTTGTCCTGCTTTTTAAGAGTCAGTCGTGAGCCCTTGTCTGCAACAGCAAAAGGCACTAGCCTCGCAAAATTTGTCACGCTGTTATGCCGACCTTGCACGCGTCGACTTGGGGAGGATGCGAGCTTCAGCAAAGAAAAGAAGCTGCGCAACGCTTAACGGCGAAGAAAAAGACAGCTACAGGTCGCGCATAATTTAATGCCGCATGGTGTCGCTGAGAGGGAAGTTCTCACGCAGGGGCACCATGCAGCATAACCTAATGCCCGATGCTATTGATGCGCGTGTGGGAGAATGGGCATTTTGTAGCTTGATGATAACATCGCGCAAAAGGTTACGCACGACGGTGCGGCAGCAGCCGCCTGTGGCGAAAGGTGGGGTTTGTAGTACGGAGAGCCCGGATTTTTCCGCCTTTGTAATGCGGAGAACCTAAGCTCCAGCTCCGGGCTTTCCGCATTAGCCATAGCCACAACCCCGAGCTCTGGGAAGCCGCATGTAAAAAACAGCTTTTTCCGCATTTGTAATGCGGAGAGCCCGTAATGCGGAGCTCGGGCCTTTTGTGATACGGTCTTTCTCCACCCCGAGGTCTCGGGGGGAGAAAGATCGCGTCGAAGTTTGCGAATTTGTGCTGCGGCTTTTCTCCTGCGGGGAGAAAAACCGCATCTAAATCCGGCCGGTTTTGCGAATTTGTAATACGGCTTTTCTCCACCCGACCGCTCGAGTGGAGAAAAGCCGCGAGTAAAGCAAGTAGCTTTGCGCGAAAAAACGGGCAAAGGCCCCTTGAAAAGTGCAGCTTCTCAACCGTCCAGAGCGGGAAAAGTTGGAAGCGGGTGGGGCCCCATTGCTGCGTCATTCTCGTACTAGGTCGCTCGTTTCATTCTCGTGACGCTATATGCTATTCTTGGGGTCGAGTTGTATTCTGTCCGTTCATAGTCACGCTGTTTTGCCGACCTTGCGAGCGGCGACTTGGCGAGGATCATGCGAGCTCCAGCAATGCAAATAAATTTCCAAGCCCAGACATCATATTTGCAATGCGTACGAAGCCGCCCCGTGCCACTCGTCAAAATTGATATCGTGATGCGTTGTGTAGCAGTCGTACCGGCCGTAGTTCTATCAAGTGTAAAAATGTCTGGGTCTGGAAGATTGCAACTTGTCACGCTGATTTTGGATTGTAAAAAAATCTGTACTGCATGAGCAGCAAAGAGAGTCCAAGTTTTGCTCAACGGAAAGAGCATTTGTCAGGCGGTATAGGCATCAGGAAGCCCTCACAAAATCTGTGATGCTAGGGCATGCATCACAGACATCAGGAGTCATGCAAAATGTGCATGACAAGCCTGGCAATCTTCCAGACCCAGACACTTTTGCATTTGATAAGTTCGAATACCCAGGCGTGTACGAGTTCTTCCCCGAATCATACTGCTCCGGCGGAAAAACGTAACCCTCCGGTAGGCCCTGAAAGTAGTGGCCATCCAGCTTCACCATATTTTTGTTGCCCGGCTTATGGAAGCGTCAGGATTGAAATCGTCAAAGTTGAAATAGTTTGTCATGCATAAAGCGGATACCAGTTGGCGCCTAGTTTATTCCAAGTGGCGCATGACATAAACAGACTGCGCTACTGCGGGCGGGACATTGTGCATCAGGTGAATTGATCAACCCGAAGACGCCGCCCCCCCGGGCCCTATGGACCTGGCACTCCCCACTATACTCCTCACACAAAACGCCACCAATACAACTCTAGGACATAGCCAACCACCCCGGAGCACCAGCACCAGCAACGGGGACGGAAACGGCCCAACCCACTTCACATTCCTATCTGGCAGAGCACAGACCACCAGCACAATGTGAGAGCTGGCAGCTGTTTTTATTTGCCACATTCACTATTGCAATACCTTAGCAGGGACGCACGCACAACAACACGCGCCCCATGGAGAGCAGGCAGAGCAGCTGTCACTGTCCGAAAACTGACCAGGCCGCCAGTAACCCAGGAGGAGAAGCTACAGGCTAGACCATACCCATAATGATCATGGGCGACGTTTTCGACTTCACAAAGGGGCAGCGGCAAGGGAACACATGGGAGGACGGTGGGGACACTTTTCTTGGGGGCCATGCAAGCGTCAGTCTGATACATAATTTATTCAGAACATGCAAGACCGGGGGCAGCGGGCTTCCCGAGGTGAAAATGTGACGTGGGCCCATGGTGGAACCTCACCCGGCTGGGAGCGTTTCGGTGGTCGTGCCGCTTGCGTTCGTCGGCCCCGGTACGCAAATGCTTCGAGCCGAAGAGTTTGCTGCTACACACCTTTTGTTGAGTGCCCCTACACATCTTTTGTTGCGTGCTACGGGAGTAGGCTTCTTGCTGGGCTTACTGCTGAAATTCTTCCAGCCCTGCCGCATTTGCTAGCGTCTTGCGCCGCGCCTGTGCCCGGCACGAGTGGACTCCGCGTGAACCTAGGCGCCGCGCAGTGTGGGCCTACGCCTGCCCTGGTCGCGCGCTGGCGGTCGGTGCCTCCGTGTTTGGCAGTGGTGCGGCCTGTCTCGCTTTGGTGGTGTTGTGTGTGGGAGACTACGACCCGCAGCCTATTGCGCGCCCCGACTCTCGCCTCCCCGGATTGCGGTTGTACGGCACGACTACTATGTGCCGCTCCTCTGGAGTGGACACCCGCAGGACGGTAAACGGCGACTCCGCGAACATGGAGAAGCTGCTGCCCATGCCCGTCAGGCTAAGCGAGGACCTTGCTGCTGCGCAGGATGGCGCGTGGACGACTGCTGCAGGATTTAGGCGCCATGTCCGGGCGGGAAGGAGGTCACTTTTAGGATGGGCACTCGGCAACGCGAAACGCTGGGTCTGAGATCTCGGCTACTGTAAAGGGGGGCCTGAGATCTAGCAGGCTACTGCAAAGGGGGGCACAGCGGACCCGCCACGCTCGGGCGTTTATCTACTTCGTTCGAAACTCCTCCTCAGGGGGTCGGGGGAGATACCGGCGTGGTGTCAGTGGTGGTAAAATGATTGCGAGTTATCGTGTGTACTCTACGGCATAGCTCCCCCTGTTCTAGATTTGATTGTTGGATCTCAGGAAACAATGCAAAGCCTTGAGCCAAGTGGCGCATGACAAATTTCGGCGGTCCCTAAATCCAGTTTGTCATGCTGTTTAGGCAAAGAAGAGCCTCGATTTTCTCATGCTACTTTAGCAGCTCGAGCTGTAACCCCGAACAGGCTTACAATCGGCCTCACTTGCCTGCTCTGCAACACACGCACCTCGGGTCATGCATTTTATGCGTTTGCAGATTATTTCAACTTTGACGAATTCAAACCTGACACATCCCTACGGCTGCGCGCGGATGACCGCGCTCATCAGCTGCCTGCGGCATTTATGAACTGCAAAAGTATCGCACTCGTATAAATGCATGACGCATTCCCTCGCCATCTTCTTCTTCTTGGAGACAGACCCCCTGCGGTCGTCCTCGCGGCGTCGTCTTGGCCCTCGGCTGTTTTGGACAAATGTTGGCTGTGTGTGTCCAGCAAGCCAACGGCTCTGCGTGGGCAAATGTTGGCAATGTCCAGCAAGAACGCATCCGCGGCCCGTTTTCTGCAGGTTTTAAGCTTTCGCAGGATAACTCGCTACGCCGCCCGGAGACAGCGAAACCCATGGCAGGCTATCGCCAGGCGGTCCCGGGGGGGCCCTCCTCTTGGCACAGTGTCGGTTAGATACCAATTTGCACCCCCCGGAAGCGGATGGTGAGCCGATCCAGTTGGTGCCGAGGCAGCAGGTGGGGCCATAGGCTCGAGGTGGTAGCTGGGGGGGCTACTCGGGGGGTACTGGGACTGCTCGACGGACTGCTGTTGGATAATAGTTAGTAAAAAAACTGGGTGGCTGTGCGAACCCGGGGACCCGCGGCGCCGTTTTTTTTCACAACCATGGCCGTAGGGCGGTTGGGGAGTATTCCCTATTTTAGAATACTCGCGCGGGTGGCCTCGCATGGTGTGAATGGCCTCTCTTTCAAAAAAAGCCTCTGTCTTTCCGCATCGTTATGCAATTTGCTCGGCAAATCTTGGAACGTGGTATCTCCCTTGTCCTTTGCTCGCGCATGCCTTCTGCTTCTGACTGTCATCATGCGTCGCCATGCCAAGATAGAAGGTCGCCACTACAAGGAAGCGCGCCGCCATGCAAACTCTACATGCATAGGCGCTCCATGGATTTGCTCTGCGGTGTATTTCTTCCAGGCCCTTTGCGGCTTCGTCAAAGCGTGCTCGGCCCCTTCGCGGCGCTATCGGGGCTCGGTCCTGGTGAAGGGGGGGAACATGATACAATCTCTGGGCTCCAAAGAAGTGGCGGTATAGGGGGGCGGGTTCCGGGGGTAGAGTGGGGGGGCTCCGCCCGGGGATAGGGGGTGGCTGTCGGTCTCGCGCGAACCCTCGGCGTTTCCGGTGGGTGCGGGAACTTGGGCCGCTCCCTCCGCGGTAGCAAGCAGGGCCGACAGTAGCACGCTGCCCCTCCCTTCGCAGCGCGGCATCAGTGGCGGGTCGTGAACTGGCAGGGACAACCCGACGCACTACTACTCCCATTATTTGCGCTCTGACAAGGCAGATAATGAAACTGAGCGGAAAGCAATGCCTACGAGTGGCACAATGGGAATCGAGATAGACACAGCAGTGCTCCTGAGGGAATTAATAAAGACGCACTAAGTGGAAATACTTGATCTACGGCCCCATATGCAATTTGTCCCCACGAGTGCGATCGTTATAGTTTTGTTCCTCTGAAGCCCCACGACCGAACTTGGCACAAAGCAAACCGACGCGAAGAGGAGACCCCAGGAGCCACCCATGCAAAAAGGAGGCAAATAGCCATGAGTAGACTCAATGCGTTCCCTCATGGCTATCCTTGAAATTTGTAATGCGGATTTACCTTGAGAAAAAAATTTGTAATGCATGAATGGGATTACTACGAGTACGATACTTTTGCACAGGATAGCATTTTGACGCGAGCGTCTTGTCAGGATTGGAGTCGCCCAAGATCATCCCCACGGAACCCGTCGTATCAAATGCAAGAATGTCTGGGTCTGCAAGATTTCTAGATTTGTCATGCATATTTTCCATGAGCCGCGATGTCTGTGATGCGTGCCGTAGCATCACAGAAGATTTTTAGAGGGCTTTGCGATACCTGTACCGCATGAGAAATGCCCTCTCCGCGTAGCACAAACCGGAGTCCACTTGCTGGTCATGCAATACAAATCTTTTTAGAATCCAGAGACAGCATCACAAGTTTAGAATGTTCCAGAGCCAGACATATTTGCATTTGATACTTCGGGCCGTTCTCGCCCCACTCGTATTTTTCCTGCGGCCGCCTATGGATGTGTCAGGTTCGAAATCGACAAAGTTGAAATGATTTGTCATGCATAAAATGCAACACAGAGACTGACTCTATTGCAAAGGACGCACGGGAGGCAGATTATGGCGCTGGCAACGGTCAGGAATTGGGCTGCTGACTAGCATGACAGGGAGGAGCCCTCTTGCCCTAAACAGCATAAAAAGACTTGCTGCAGAGGCCAGGAAAATTTGTCATGCGCCGATTGGAAACTGTGGGTCCGACTGGTATAGATTTTATGCATGAGAAATTGCCAGCCATGCCCCGGCTGCCGCCGGGGCGCAAGGCTGTTGCGCTGGGGCATAACTATTTGCGGATCGGACCGCAGCACCAGAGCCCTGCCAAATTTCAGGACCACACTGTGACAGACCGACCAAATTTCTGGCGCCGCCTTGCGCCATGTCAGCCCGCAGGGCCTCCTGCGCGCTTCCCGCGCCTTTCGGCGCTATGCGCAGGGAGCAACTGCAGCGAGGCTTGGGCGCGAACAGTAGCCGCCTGGGCGTAGGTGCCGAAGCAGAGCGGGAACCACGCTGCCAATTGTGGGCCGCCCTTCCGCCCTCGCCCAAATGGATTCTCGGCGGAAACTGTTGGCGCAAGAGGGTAGCGCGGGACGGAGGGCGGCGCGAGAGGCCGGCGCGAGAGGGTGCGGCCCCACGCGATGCAAAACCCCCCCAGAAGATCGGCCCTGTACCGGGCGGATTCCGGTCTTTTTTACCCTCTCGCGGGCCCTCTTTTTCACCTCTCCCGAGAGGTGTTGCTAATAATCCGGCTATACTCGCCGGTAGAGGTCTACAGAGGTGGCCGAGAGGTGGCCAGGAGGGTGCGCGAGAGGTTCGCCCTTATTCGCGCAACCTCTCGGCACCTCTGTCCCCCTCTCGCTTGCCCTCCCTGCACCGTCTCGGCCCCCTCTGGTCCCTATAGGCGCGGCCTTAGGGTGAACGGTTCGGCTGGCTATACCCGCGCCACCTCTCGGCCACCCTCCCTGACGACCTCCCGCGCCACCTCCCCACCTCTGTCGACCTCTTTTTACCTCTTTTTGACCTCTCGGCCACCTCTCGTCTACCCTCTGTAGACCTCTTTTTTCGCATGAATATAATAGATAGTAATTCTAGCTTTGTTACTTTCAATTCTGACAGTTCCATACGACCGCTTCAAGGACGAGTAAAGCTGGCAGCGGAGAGGGCCATAGAGGGTGGCTGGGACGCACGCAGAAATTTCACTGCTTACACTACAGGCATACGGCTCTGACGAGACTTCCGTAATTTTCGGGTCGCTGTCGCTATATTCGGCAAAGGTGTTGCATGACAGTGCACAACTCCCCCAACTCCCCTCGTTTGTATTCCATGAAGATGAACAGCAATCATATTACAAACACCAGCACACGTCGTGGGTGGAGCCTGCGCATGACAAATTTGTGCGCCTAGTGTAGTACTGTTTGGGCTCCTTCCGGAATCTGTCATGCAAACAGTGCCACAGGGAAGCACTTGCATATGGGGTTTTGCATGACAAATGAGGAAGAGGGGGAATTGTGCACTCTCATATGTTGGGTAAAAGCGTAAACGCAACGCACTTGCTGCTGCGAAAGCACCACTCGAAGCAGCCTTCTGCTGTTGTAATGAAATTCCCGACAGCCGCTGTATTCTATCGTGAGAAAAAAGCGTTTCACTGTATAGGATTTTGCAGGTTTTGCATCGCAAGTTCGTTCTACATGACAGAGAAAATCTGCCGTACAAGGTTCCTAAGGGAAAACGGAGACTACGCAGGTAAAAACTCACCGTCTTGATAATTGTGTCTAGCACGACAAACACTTGTGCGAGTGAGATGTATTTTCATCTGCATTACAAGTTTACAGTGAGACAGTTTTTTTCTGGCGATAAATTCGTCGCATCCTTTAATGCGAACACCTGTTGCGGAAGTGGGAGTGCTATCAAACGCAAATATGTCTCCTGGGTCTGGAAAGCTGGAACTTGTGATCATCCTGCGTTTGGATTGTAAAAAACTCTGCATTGCATGAGCAGCAACAGGAGCCCAATTTTTTCTAGGCCAAAAGGGCATTTGTCATGCGGGATTGGCATCTAGAAGCCCTCATCAAAAGCTCTGTGATGCTAGGGCGTACATCACGATCACAGACATCACGGATCATGGAAAACCTCCTGCATGACAAGTCTACACTCTTCCAGACCCAGATAACATATATGCATTCGGTAAGTACCGCAAAGGCGTCGCTGGCGGTTTTATATGAACCGCAAAAGTATCGCACTCCTCGTACAAATGGAAATGCATTACAAATACAAATTTCTTCAGCATGAGAAAATAAGTTTGTGAATGCGGATTTACTTTAAGAAAAGCATCTGCAATGCATGACTGCAGTACGAGTGCGATACTTTTGCACAGGATATTTTACGTTCTACCCCGACGTCCTCGTACATGGTTATCCTGAGGAAAAACGTCCCCCCCAAAGTTGTCACGCAAATCTGCATGCCTAAAAGGTTTCTCATGCGCAACCCCATGAGCAGCACTTTCTCATGCTGTCTGGTACTTTGTCATGCGCTAATCAGGATAGGGAGCTGGATTTGTGATGCGGCTCTACTAGCCAAGCAGCGCTATTATACTAGAGACCAAAGCTTGTCATACGCAACAGCCAAAACTTGCTGACTTGTGTAGCAAAAATCCCATCTTGACTCTGGGGTGGAGAGGTTTTTACACATGATAATGGTGCACTCTTTGTTAGCCGCCACCCCCGACGTTTTTGGGACATAAAGCCGAAAAAGTCCGCTGTAGGATGGCATAAAGTCGTCCTTTTTTGCGAGGGTGAAGAACGGCGCGCATTCTGTGCGAAAACGTCCCCGCCCCAGAGTTGATGTCACGCAAATCTGCGCCCCAGAATAAACGTTCCTCATGCACAAATCCCATGAGCGCCGTTTTCTGAGGATGCCATCTCGTTTTATATTTTTGAAATTGGAATGTGTGTCGTGCTCCTCAGGGATCGCCACGCCCGTCGGTCGCGTGGCCAAGAAATACATCAGGTTAAAAACTTTTTGACTGGTGTAAGCAAATTTGTCATCTTGACGCTGGGTCTGATGTCTGATGTGTCCTTCTTTTGTTGTGGGAGAGACCAACGTAAAGCACAGGAAGATTTCAAAATGTGAAAAAAAGTGAGCGAGAACTGGGTCTGGGGGCGTGGGGACGTTATTACACAGGATAGCCCCAGGCCAGCCCGCAGCGTCTGTTTGCACTCGTCATCGATCCGCACGGAGATACGCGGCAATGCGGTCAGTGGGTCGCCGGCGAGGGCGGGCACAGGGGAAAACGTCCGATCAAGACCCGACTGCTCATTCTCCGACTCACAGCAAGCTTTTCGCTTCAGCCAACAATGGCCCTCGTCGTCTCCGCCATTGGCATACACTATTCCCTCGCGGTATGGAAGCGCCAGGTTTGAAATCGACAAAGTTGAAATAATTTGTCATGCATAAAATGGATACCAGTTGGAAGACCAATTCCTAAGCGGCGCATTACATAAACAGACTGTGCTACTGCGGCGCATGACAAATTTTCGGAGCACCGAAATCCAATTTGTCATGCTGTTTGGGCACAGAAGGGCGCTTTTGTCATGCTCCTGTAGCAGCTCTATCCCAAACCCTAAAAAGGCTCACAATCTGCCTCGCTTGCCATCCCAGCAAGGCAGGCGCTTCATGCCTTGCATTTTATGCATGGCAAACCATTTCAACTTTGACGATTTCAATCCTGACAGATTCATACGCAGCCGACCTCGGCCGGCTCCGACTGCGTTTTGTCTGCCCGCTCCACACTTGCCTCAAGGTCCCAGGGGTATCAAATGCAAAAGTGTCTGGGTCTGGAAGATTGTGAGATTTGGTTGGCTGGAGATTTGTCATGCAAATTTCGGATCACGCAAATGGCGTCTGATGTTGCAGGCAAAAGCGCAACAGGTTCTGCGCACGCCACATGATGCCTGTCCCGCATGAGAAACTTCCTACTTTCGTGCCAAGAAGTTGACAGATTTTGGCGCTCATGCAACACATGAGCGCCAAAATCTGTCAACTTCTTGCGCCACAAGTTCCAACTCTGTGGTCCAGCGTTTGCGCCCAAAATCTGTGGTCCAGCGTTTGCGCCACAAGTTCCAACTCTTCCCGACCCCGACATTTTTACATTTGATAAGAGGCAGGCGCTCACACATTCGTCGAACGTGAAAGCGGAGTCGCGATTGGGGTAAGTTACGCCGAATGCGCTAAATTGGCCGTTCGTCAAGTCGCTCCGCGTCAGTCGTTTCAGCCCTCCCTGCTTCTTCTTATTTTGATCATCGCGGAAACCGGCCATCAAGGTGCAAACTTTTTCCTCCCCATACTTATAGCGGGGCCAGCGAGCCGATTAGATTTGAGGCGCTGATAGATTGGCGACACGGAGCGCGCGCTCGGGTCTTTCATTGTGAAGGGGGGGCGGCCCTCAACCAAAGCGCGCTAGCTGGAGGATGTTGCGGCGCTTGCCCTCCTGCCAACACCCAATGCATGGCGGCGGTTCGTTGGGGCCCACGGTGCGTGGCGCTGACCTACGGGAGGCACTCAACGTACGACGAGAATATGCAGCCAGGCGGGAACGGGGCGAGCCTTTCCAACCCCCTGCGAACCACTGCCAGCGATTTCAATGAGCGCAAGCAACTACCGCCAAGCGGCAGAGGGAAAAGAAGCAGAAGGGCCCCGCGACGCAGCCACAGACAGCGCCCCCCGCCAAGCCCAGAAGCAGGGCAGAAAGGGCCGCCTGCCGTCGTCTTTTTGTTATAAATGCGTCTTAAACCCTGAAACCCAAACTAAACCCTTTCCGGATCGAACTTGTGCAGCAGGAGAAGGCGAACCGAAGGCGAGACGGGCGCGTCGACAGTCATCCCATGCCGGCTGCGGTGGCGGACTACCTACTGCGGGTTTTTTTGTTATAAATATGCAGCGTGGTCAACACACTACCAAAGGGCGGGGGCAGGGGCGAGGGGACTGCTACGGCCGGACGAACGCCACGCACGCCCGCCCCGCGCACCCGCCCGCCAGGCGCCTACCAGCACGCCACCGGGGAGCAGGCGCTAGGCAGGTAAGTACCTGCCGAAGCACGCACGGGCCAAAGTCTGCTCCCTCCGGGCGGGCGGCTGGCAAGGTGGCTAGAGGTGTGCGTCGTGTCTGCCAAAACCGCCGCGGGGTCCAATGCGAACGCCCCCCCCCCCCCGGGTGGGCCCCGCGCGCGAAGACGCACGCACACACGATCCAGCGAGGGGGCACGCAGCCCCCCGTCCCGGCACGCACGGTCGGCGGGCTGGATCACCCTCGCCTGGCGCAGGCCTCCTGCGCTATTCTTTCGCCGGGGCCAGGCACGCGGCAGGGCTGGGGGGCCGGACCAAGCGATCTACCGATCCCGCCCAGTAGATCGCTTGACCTGGCCATGGCCAAAACCTGCCGCAGCTCTGCAAACGCAAAGGAGCGGCCGGCGCGCGCTACCCAGGCCAAACGGGGCGCCAACGCGCGGGACGCTCCATGCGGTGGGGCCTTCCCAAGGCCGCTGCAAGCATGGCGTGCGCAAATTTACGCCGAGGCCGGCGCCGGGAAAGGCAGCACGGGCTGCGAAAGCAGCCCACGTGCTGGCAGGACCTCCGCCAAACAAAAAGGTCCCGTCCGCCGGCATGCGCGACTGGCTGGTCTCTTATCTGGCCCGTGCAGAGAAATAACAGCTACCACGAAGCGACATCCCAAATCTGATTGGAAACGACGCCCACCACCCACCTTGGGGCCTATCTACTCAGGTGACAAACGTCCGCACTTGTTTTTCTTTGTGGTATGGGAAGGGTTTTTTATTTGCATAGCCTGCTGCGAATCTCCATTGTAAATCTGCGTCTGGCATGAGTCGTTCTCAACATCGTCCCCGTGGGCTCATTTCATACCCGCCTCCGGAAAATAAATACACCCATAATACCATTACCATATCACACATAAATAAAAACCATTCGTAGATACACAATTTTTCGCATCACAAACATGCGCCCGCTGTCCGTTGGGCAGAGCATTTTTTTCTGGCTCCCGTCTCGTACGCTATGGCTATACGCATGCATTTCCATGCAAATTAATTTTGCATGTGAGGAAGACGAAGAAGCGCAGGAATCCGGCACAACTACGCGCAGTGTTTCTTACACAAATGCGCCAGCGCTTTTCTTTTCTAGCATAAGGAGCGTGCCTTTTCATCTTAGATGTGGGTCTACCAGATAAATCACACAGATTGCAAGGAGCATATAAGAACAGATCGGCGAGCAACACACAACCACAAATAGAACTACACTCATTCTGTTGACGCAAGTCTTGCTCACCTGACGGCGAGGTGTAAGTAAGCACACTCGTTGCCACTTCATATGGTGGACCGGAAAGAACATGGTGGGTTGTGTGGCGAAAAACAAAAGTCATGCAATGGCGAATAACACAGCATCACATAGAAGAAGCGGATGCCCGGACCTTACTGTCCCTGTTCGTTGTAGCGGCCGACCAGAACGCTGATTTTAACAACATTCCTCATCCAGATCGCAGATTTTTGCACTGGATATCCAACCGCCGGGTGCAGGTATCCCTGATACAGTGCACAAATGAACCCACTCTACACTTTTCAACGATCTAAAGCAGGTCACTGGTATATGACAAGTTTCATTCAGTTGTAAAGGCGACATCTCACACGGGGCATATTGTGCCTATGCTGGTTTAGAACAAGCCAGTTGCTATGATGGTCTAATAGATTTTTGGTGCAATCATCTTCGACAAACGCAGCGATGCTGTGGAGGGTTCTTCTTGCCATTACTTGTCATACATCCCTGACTCACAAGGTTGGTTAATTTGTCATGCCAAATCTTTTTGCGTAGTTTGCAGCAAATCTCTTGTAGCACATGTTGGGTTCGTACCTTGCCCTCGAGATAGTGTTTCTCTTCTGCAAGAAGCAGAACGCGGTGCGTCGGGCGGACTATCGCAAGAAAAAAGTTTTGCAGTTGCACACTCTGATGGAAGACAAGCTAGGCAGACACCCTCTGTCATGCAGGAAGTAGTGCTTGCCCCTCTCATTTCATGCAGCGTGTTTTCCCTTTTATAGTCTGCGCAACACATGTTTTCTTTTCCATGTCGAGCAACTTTGTGATGCAGAACCTCCAACAAATGTGTAACTGTAACACCTTTTTCGTGCGATACGGGTGCGTGCATTTTTATTACAAGGGATACCCCATCGGCGTTGCCATGCTCTATCCAGTGGTTCGGCGCAGCGTTGAAAAGTTTGGTACAATTCAACTGCAGGTCGGACGGCTATCCTACACAAAAGCAAACCCACACCCACAAGCAAAATGATTTTTTCAAGGAGTGAGTTGCATCGCCACAACTAAGCTGGTTTTTTTGAATGGTTGCCAGCATGGCCAATTCGCTATTTTGGCAACATGCATCCATCTCTAGTCGCGCTTGCTCTTGCGCATAAGCTTGGCAGGGCCTGCACCTCTTGCGGCCTTTTTCCTGAGGGCGAGACCAGGATAACTTAGCGCAACACCGATTGCCAATCATAGTGGGGCCATAGCGGTTTTTTTTGTCTTGGGGCCAAAACACGGACGGCGCCGCCTCTAACTATGGCCGCCATGCCATGGCGCCTAACGCCATGCACGGCCGAGAAATTTCGCGGGCCAAAGCTTCCGGCCGTCTGGCATTGAGAAGACAAATCCCAGCCGTATGCCAAGGTCCCGCCTGGGCCTCCACTAGGGCAAGACCGGCCGCTTGGGCGCCCGAAGTCGTGCAAATAGCATATAGCGCCGCTCGCGCTTTTTGGCAGGGCGCCATTTTTTTCTTTGTTTTAAAAGGCAAAACCTTCGGCCGTCAGACAGTCAGCGCGTACCGGAAAAGCCCGGGCTGAGACCTACAGTGTGCGGGCTGGCTGTTTTTTTTCCGTCTCTAGTTTTTTCGCGCCCCGCCCTGTGCGTCTCAGGCCGCCAGAAATCAAGACGGCGGGCGGGCGCCCCAGGAGGACCGGTGATGCTTTTGCCGGCCCACGCCCCTGCATCGATTTGTCGAGCGGAGGAAGTCCACCGGGCTTGTTTGCCAAGAAAGCTCCAGCCCTTTGATAGTTTGAAACTTTTGTGAAAAAACACGCCCGGACGGCGCTTGAAGACCGGCCGTCGTTTTGCTGTCTGGATATCGAAAAAAAAAATCGCCAGAATAGAACTTTCGCGACCGCACTTCTACATACAAATTTTGCCAGTTTTTTTCTGGTGCGGGTGTACTTTTCTGCAGGATATGCCTTCCCCCACGTCCTGGTTTTGATCTCCATCATAGTACTGCCCGCTGCCCTATCAAAAATAAAAATGTCTGGGTCTGGAAGAGTGCGCGATTTGTCATGCAGCTTTTCCATGACCCATGAGGTCTGGAATGCAGGACGTAGCATGACAGATTCTGCGCGATCTTTCTCATGCCTATCCTGCATGAGAAACTGCCTCCCGACTTGGTCAAAACTGGACGACTTTTGGTATATCATGCAACACAGATTTTTGCATGCTTCAGATTTAGCATGACAAGTTGCATTCTTCCAGACCCAGACATTTTTACACTTGATATGCCCTTTGTAATCTGCGTCGAACTCCAGCGATATTGCTCCCCCAAAAAGGCTATGAACTGCAAAAGTGTCTGGTGTTTTGTCTGGAAACAAGACCTTGGTACAGCACAGGGAAGAGAACGACTTGTTCTTTATGAAGAAAGAAAATAAAAGAGAACTACTGGGTCTGGAATGTTGATGCCTGGGTCTGGAATGTTGATGCCGGGTTTGTCATGCAAATTTTGCATGGCCGAGGATGTCTGTGATGCGCGACCTATAGCGCAGATTTTTAGTGGGCTTCCTGATGCCTACTCCGCATGACAAACGCCGTCCCCGCGTAGCACGAACTAGGCTCCTCTTGCTGGTCATGCAGTACAGGTTTTTATTTTTTTAGAGTCCAATAAAGTCAGCATCACAAGTTCCAACCTTCCAGACCCAGATGACATTTTTGCATTTGATAGAGGCCACAGCGGGCGTGGCAAACAGGATGAATGAGCTGCACACTCTCCACATAATGAATGCTCCTCACCGTGCCTTCTTATGCATCGCAAAGGCCAGTGCGTCTGGGTCTGGGTCGAATGGGAAAGCGCATATTTGTTACGTTTACTGGTATGCCTACGGGGCACGCAATGTTGCATGCGTCGTGCTAGTTTTTGGCTATGCTGGAACAAAAATGCTCACACGGGATACGCATTTCGTAGACCTTGCTACACCTGCAGCGCTCCGTCCAACTACGTTCCTCTAGACATTGCTGCTCATGCAGAATCTGCATGGCAAACATCTGCAGTGCTTCCGACCACCAAAACATATTTTCTGCAACGCATATCTATCTGCTCTGGCAGCAGCCCCTCCTTCGTCTTCCGCGCCTGTCTACGATGTCCTGAGGAGATATGGAAGCGTCAGGTTGAAATCGTCAAAGTTGAAACAATTTGTAATGCATAAAATGCGATACAATTACAAAAAGCGACTCTATTGCAGAGGACCCACAGGAGGCAGGCTATAGTCTTGGCAAGGGTCAAAAGTTGGACTGCTAACTAGCATGACAGAAGGCGGCTCTTTTGCCCTAAACCGCATGACAGACTCGCTTCCAGGACCGGGGAAATTTGTCACGCACCTACTACAAATTGTATGTCTAACTGGTATCCGTTTTATGCATGACAAACTATTTCAACTTTGACGATTTCAAACCTGACACATTCATAGGAGAAGCGAGCCAACACCATAGCTGTCAGCCAAATTTTAATTTACAAACCTCAATTACCTCTCATGCGCAGCTCCATGAGGAGCGTTAGCACTCCCTAATACTACCTTGAAGCTTCTTCACCTTCAATTACTATATTTATATAAGGCAAACTTTGGGGCCGGAGAGGTTCCGGTAGAGGGTGGAGAGAGGTGTCGTAGAGGTAAAATAGAGGGTCGGGGAAAAATAGAGGGTCGGGGAGAGGTAAAGCGAGAGGTAAAGGAAAGGGCAGGGAGAGGGTGGGCAGTATATCGGCCCGTATACCGGCGCTATACGCCCGAAGAGGGTAGGCAGAGGGTGGACAGAGGTCAAATAGAGGGTAGGGGGAGAGGGTCGAGAGGGTCAGAGAGGGTGCGTAGTATAGGGCGACCCTCTAGGTGACCCTCTACCCCGATCCTCTCCGGGAACCTCTATTTTACCTCTCGGCGGACCCTCTCGGGACCTCTCCGACCCTCTCCCGGACCCTCTTCGGGACCCTCTCCGAACCTCTCCCCGACCCTCTCCCGGACCCTCTCCGGGACCCTCTCCCGGACCCTCTCCCTGAATCTCTACCGCAACCGCCCCCCCCAGTGCAGTTCGCCCGCCTGCGCGCAGTACCTGCGTCTTAAAGTAGGAGCGAAACCAGCTGGGGCCTACAGCTTATGGTCTGCAAGTCTTTTGACTCTCTACAGACCAGGGCGGCTGTTCAAAGTGAATGCGCCGCTCTGCGTCCCCCGGGGGGGGCGCGGCGACACGCCTTAACGTAGGCAGCCACCTAGGGTGGCCGCAACTTCACACAGCGCCCGCGCGCGGGCAACAGGTGCGGCAGCCAAAGCAGCGAAAGTCTTTCTGTGCCCGTTGTCTACAATTTCGCATGCACGTGCTCGCCTCGCGGCGTGCTCGCCACTAAGCTTATTCCAGTTCGCTACTTTTTGGACGCACTCCGCCCTCTTGTTCAGGGCGCACGCCTCCAACAGACTACCCCCCCAAGAAAGGCCACCAAGCTCCGGCCCCGGGCACTGCTTTTTTCGGAAACAAAGAACGCAGGCCGAGCCGGTATCGCTGCGTGCGCGTGTGCGCTGCGCTTTCTGGGCCAAACCCGTCAGAGCGGCCGGCGCGGCCTCGACTGCCTTTTTGGCTGCGCAGCGGCGCGCTACCCTTGTCCCCACCTTCCCCACCGGTACACCTTCCCCGAACAGCCTCCCTCCCCGGCGGCCTCCGCCGGGGGGTGGCTGGTTTCTCTCGATATTAGAATCAGGATACGACCGTGTGTGACTTTCGACGCGGGTAGAAGTCTTCTAGCTAGAAAAACACGACTGCAAAATGAGAGGCCCAAACAGTTCATGCGCAACAGTGTAAGTTATGGGATGGGGGTGTCGTTCTTCAACAGGATATACGGCACGACGCACGCGGAGGCCAGGTTTTCGTTTTGCGGGCACTGGTATGGATTGCAAAAGTGTGTGGGTCTTGAAGATTGCCAGGCTTGTCATGATCTCTGTGATGTGGGCCCTAGCATGTCCTCGTCTTGCTGGTCATGCAATACAAATTTTTGAGAATCCAGAGGCAGCATCACAAGTTTAGAATCTTCCAGACCCAGACATATTCGCATTTGATAACTGGGGGTAGCAGTAGCACTGCTCCTTCGCTTATCCCGTATTACAAACATGAAACCCAACCCAGCGTGGATTTTTGTGATGCGCGGCGTGTTGCAACTTTAGAAAGATCTGTCGCAAAATGTGAAGATGCCATCATGCCTCCTGCGTTGCTACCTAGATGTTATAAGCAAGATAAAAAAAACTCCCATAATGCGTTGTAGTTCACACTTGTTCCTTGCCATGCAGAGTTCGTTAAGCTGCTAAAGCTTCTGTGTCTGTCAGTGTCAGTGGGGCGCAAACTTTTTACAGCGGACCACCACTTCCGCTCTCTTCCTCGCAGCAACAGAGAAAACAAAATCAAAACAGGGGCACCGTTACAACATGTTTGCGGGACAAAGTCCACGCACCACGGACTGCAGTGCTATAGCCTGTCACGCAAGTACTGGCGAAAAGACAATGAGTGGAGGTGGACTTGTACTTGTGCATAACAAATGAGGAAACTGACTGGAACTGGTCCTCGTCCTCGTCCTTTTCCACTGTTATACAAAAATCACATCTTCACTCTGGATAGATTGGCGCCGGGGAGAAGTTTCGTTTTCCGCGGGGTATGCATTGCAAATCCAGGTGTAGTCTACTTGTGGGTGGTCTGGACGATGACCATGACTACTCTATGGTGAATTTGTAGGTACAACTCTCTGCTTGTTGAAACAAGGTTGAGGTGTTGACCCGCACACGATTTTTCCGAGAGTGGCAAATTTTCGAAGGCTGTGCGGTGCGTAAGACGCATGAAATAAAAAAGCCGCGTTTTTGAAAGAATGAAAAGGCAACAGCAGCATGGCTCAGCCGCAACACGCATCACAAGGCTCATCTTCAGGGGTGTCCTCGTTGTAGCTGGCAACGAGGACCCTCATCGTCCATAACCACACATCACCCAGACATAATTTTACATTTGATAACAGGATATGATTGTCTGGCACCAGTGCACTGAGGCCGGCCCGTCTGTGGCGATCTGTCGAGGAGCAGGCGTCATGGCGCAAGATATGGGAATGCAGAAACCACCCTCCCGATCGAAAGAAGGTCGTGTATCCCAGAACTACTTGCGTTGCTATGCATGCAAAACAATAGCTGTGTGTGTGCTCTTAGGAAACTCGCATGGAAAACAAAGCAAAACAAAACCCTGATGCAAAACTTGCAAAATCCTATACAGGGAAAACTTTTTTCATACAATACTATCGCTATCGTGTCTCGCAAACTTATGCCCAGGTGTATGCAACTCGGGTCTGCTCTCGGGAATTTGTGCGTGACAACGTTCCTTTCTTCACACAGACAGACTGCAAAAATGCTGAGCATAGCGATAGCTTGCTTCTACTTTACGACTTTGCATGCTAATTCCATTTTTATCGTGATGCAGCTTCCGTTGCAGTTCCGAGTAACCTGTTTTTATTATCTGGGGGGGGACGGGTCGGAGTCTGCAGTGTCATAACCGGCATCTGTGAGTGAAGAACCTTCCCCAACGATTATGGAAAGGGACGTCGTTCGGGGCGCCGGGGCGTGCGAGGTAATGTGCGCAATATTTAAAAATACGGCCACAGGTGAAACGCTTCACCGCCGTTGCATAGCAAATAAAAGCGTGTCTTTTGGTCGGGCCAGATTCACCTGTAGATTTTTTCTGCGTCCGAGATTCGCTCTTGCTAGGTGGTCCGGCCCAGCGCTGTCAGAATTAGACTGCGTGCCCAACTTGTGTCCCCCCTTGTCATCGTGCGGGACGAATTATCTTCACTGGCTGGCCCTGCCCCATTGGGTCACATCCTTGTCTCACACATAGACAGAGCATTCCCACGTGGGGCACGCTCTACCGCCCCGACAAAAAACTGGAACCGTGTGGCCAGCCCCCCCGGACAAGCCAGCTCAGGGCCAGCCGACGATACCGAGGGGCGGCCGCTCTACGAAACACTCTTCCCACAAAAAAAGCGAGCATCCGAAGGCCTTCTGCAGACCGACGCAAAACTAAACCCCATCAATTTCAAAAAAAAATCAGCGGCCAGAGCTCCTTCCACCGTCTACCCGCCCGAGCAAATGTCCACAGTGTGACGGACAAGCCGGAAAGTAAGGCGGCCTCCCACCAAGTAAAGTGTCCCGCAGCTACGTAGGCCGTAGCCGGCCGCGCGGTCGCTTTACGACAACTCCTCTACAGGCCCATAAGGTGACGATTTGGCGCCACTCGCCGCTAATAGCTACTTAGCTGCAAGTAAATCTTAACGACGCCTGACCAAAAACTGTCAGGAAGGACTCGTTTTATCACGCCCAGACCCAATGTCCGATGTTGCTTAGTTGCGCCGCTACTGGCGAACAACTGCACTTGTCCTGTTGTTCCATTCGACTCTATCCGACCTCCCAGGACCCTCATTTCAGTTTATTTGTACGGTCTAGAATTAGTCCGCACAACGTGATGGAAGCCGCCCTTGCGAACCATCGCCCAAGTGTGTTGTAGGGCGTAATAGAACCTCATGCAAAATAAAGCGCACATTACTTCTTTTCTGACGATTTCCGAGCCACTACTGCTTCGATAATAATCACGCTCTGGCAGAAGTGCTAATAGAGAGAATATGGTATTCTCACATCAAATGCACTTCACAGCGACAACGAAAATTTTCATAGAAGCGTGCATCTAGCAACATAGCTCTTTTTCTAATTACAACCAACAGCGCAGGAAACAGTAACCGACAAAAAGTGTTCTTACATGAGAGAATGAAACAATGATCTGCTATGAAGAACGCACGAAAGGCAAATCCACTTCCAACACTGAATTTATTGCACCACTTGGATTATAAATACTGCTTGCTCCCTGGCGCCCCTACGTACTCCTAGATGGCGACAAGCAATACTAAGCACAGGTACTAACTAGCGGCACACAATAAAAGCGGCCACGAGCGCACGACTAAGTACAACGAATTTTTCTTTCGGTACACGTACATGGCAGAGACGTCCGGTGGCGAGCTGTACTACAGTTTGACACCAATCAAAAATTTAACGAGGTACATACACTCGTGGCCTTCGAGATGGTCTTCATTGAGATTGAGTACTTCACCTTGATCATTGTAGTTTCTATACAGTCAGGCGCTGCTACTTGATATTATATCGGCCGCTGCCCTACCAATATCGGGTGTGCTATATCTTGTTAATCCCTTGCGACCGCCTTTCTTTAAATCTTCTACATCTTGATCTTACATGTTAAATATTATAGCACCTATACTTCATGTTTCATCTACTTGTTAATCGTACAAATTATATTAAATATTGGGATTTTATTTCTTGTCCTCTAACTCTGTATTTCCATTTCGTTGCTGAACATCTGCTGGACGGCTTGCATCAAGTGGCTTGCATCAACTCGGGCGAGGGCTAGTACGTGTATGCATTGCAAATCTGCCTCAGATTGGAAACTTCTATATGCAAGTTTGTAAATAGGGAGCGCACTGCGAAGAACCGCAGCTACGCTGTGCTGTTTTATTTGCAAACGCCACTCATCCCCTTTTTCGGAAAACACGCACTAACAGGGGGCGGGGAGCAAAGGCCGCGCAACGCATTCGGTCGGGCTGCTTTCAGAAAGGTCCTGCTATGGCACTGAAGCGGAGGAAGCCTTCCTGCGCCCGAACGGGACATCGGACGCAGTAAAGTACTAACCTCCACAAAGTAGAGCACTAATCGCCACACACTAAGGGAGTTCATCTCGGACGTTTGGCAGGGGCCTGGAAGTTGTGCCTATTCCGACGAACTTTTGCGCGGGCCCCAAAGTTGCCCACTTTTTGGTATTCTTGAGATTTTAGATGCACCTGAGTCGGTCGATTTGGCCAAAATCAAGGGGCCCCAAAAGGCGGGCCGGGCGTTGGCCACTTGGCGACCCCTTTTCTGGTATTCTTGAGATTTTAGATGCACCTGAGTCGGTCGATTTGGCTGATCGGATGGGGGTGCGAAACGAGCCCCAAACCAAGACACCTCCCCGAAAACCCCTCTTCGGGGAGGTGTCTTGGGCGGACCCCCTTGTTGGTATTCTTGAGATTTTAGATGCACCTGATTCCCTCGATTTGGCACTAATCTAAAATCTCAAGAATACGGATTTAGGGACCCCCTTTGGGAGGTCCCCCTTGTTGGTATTCTTGAGATTTTAGATAACGGCCAGGCTGGTGTCTCATTGTTGTAAAGCGCAGAAGCTACATGCTACCTGTGTCGGAGGCCTTTTCTGTATCTTTGTGGGGCCACTCCTTCATGAGCTGTATTTCAGCAGCCTCGGGTCCTATATTTCATTCAGCAGCCCCTGTAGACCTACAAGAAAGTAGAGCGCCAAAGCCGGCGCCTAAGTAAGTCTGTTTTGTGCGAATGATGAAGGCTCTTCATGTTAAAAAGACTGGCTCAAGTAGACCGGGCGAAGTTAACTAATTCAGTGCGTGGAGGGGAGTGCCTTCATTAGGAAAGAATGAGGCAAGACGTCGGGCGCCGGAGAGGCTTTTCTTGTGTTTTCACTGAAATGCCACCAGAAACAGGCTCGCCTGCGGACTCGACGGGGTGCTCCGCTTTCTGGACCGACAGGGCCTGCTGATGTGCCCTGCCGCCGCTCGGCCTTCCAGCAATCCTGCCCTCGAACCAGCAACCGGGCGCCCGCCCCTGGGATTGCTCAAGGGCCAGTGATGATTTTTTTGTTGAAATTCTTATTCTTGAACTTTTCCCGTTAGTAAAATAGGGAGCGCACTGCGAAGAACCGCAGCTACGCGTGTAAAGTTTTTGCGTTCCCGTTTGTTCTTTCACTTTCTGCAGTACAAACTGCAGTTTTGTATCACAGCTAGGAAGCTATCTTCCTGCTCATGCGTTACATATTTAAAATAAAGAGAGTCATGTGAGACTGAGACCAGCACGACAGCCTTGCAATCTTCCAACTTCCAGACCTAAATAAAACATGTTTGCTCTTGATAACGTTGTGCTCTTCTCCGGATGAATCTGGGCTCGTCGCTTCGCGGGTCTCTTCGTGTGGCGGCCTGGAACAAAAATAAATCAAGTTTCGTTTATTTTTCCAAAAAGACCTCGTTTTTGACCTGCTCAGGAACGACCCAAAGAATGCAGCAAATTCAAAAGTAGAGTCCCAAGTTCTCATAATCTACCACTCCTAAAAGAAAAAAGTATACATACTTCTGCAGGTTAGCGTCGGACGAGCAGCTTTGATAGTCCGGGTCTGGGCCGCGCGTCCTGCAAATAGCTACGACGAAGTCAAAGGTGGGGCGGGGCGGCTTTATACCCTTTGGGCGGACTTACTTGTAGCTTCAGGAGAGGGCCACGGCTTTGACTATGTATCACGCTTTTTCCTTTAGTTTCCGCGGCCTTCCTCCATTGGTCTTCCTTTTAAAAAACTTTCTAGCAGCTGCTCCGTCGACATCCTCCCTGCCGACATCCAAAGCAACAACCTTCATTTTCAACGTCTGTCCAGTTGAAGGACGATTTTTTTCTCTTGCAACTACACGCACCTGCACACCCCTAGCAAATCCTCTCATGCTATATTTCACATATGAATGAATGAATGATTTACCCATCGCCCCTACTGCGAGGAGAGCCAACGCATCGCTTATTGCCTGCTGCCAGAGAAAGAGGCGCTTATATATACTTCAAATGTGATCCGCAATCATGATAGCGATCTGCCGAAAATTTTACTTCCAACAAAAACTTTCCAGCATCGAAAATGATCCTCTTTATCCTGGAACAAGAAAATTTTCCGTAGAACACGAGACCACAGGCGTGCTCAAGCATTCTGAGTTGTGATAGGAAACCAATTTGCTGGGTGGAGTTGAACACGGGCGGACTGTTCAAAAATACTTTGTAAAGCGTTTTCGAAGTAGTCAAAGCAACAGCTAATCAAAAAATTCCATCGGTGAACAATTAGCATTCACGATGATACACTGCACAAAATTAGCATTTTTTTAGCGTCAAAAAATGCGATTGTGCGTGTATGTTGCAGCACTTCAAAATTTCCACTTGAACAAGTGCAGTATACCATCGTGAGTAAATTTGAACCCATGACGTTTTCTTTCTGCGAATAACGATCTTGTAATTTAGATTTAGTGTTGGTTTTAAAACTGCGGCGTTAAACTAAGTGATGTGTCATATTTTGGATCAAGTAGACGGTTCTTGCTTCGATAGGTGCGGGTGCCAGAGCCACACATCGCTTCTGTGAATCTTTCTGCCGCTGGTTGTGCATGGGCTGTTGGTTTTAAAACTGCGGCGTTAAACTAAGTGATGTGTCATATTTTGGATCAAGTAGACGCTTCTTGCTTCGATAGGTGCGGGTGCCAGAGCCACACATCGCTTCTGTGAATCTTTCTGCCGCTGGTTGTGCATGGGCATGACAATGTGCAACAAGCTGAAATCTAACTAGCATTCGCACGAGTAGTCCTTCTTTTCGCCCATGATTCATATAACACGCTCAACAATTAAATTTTAAAATTTATTGCATGCATTGCATGATGCTTGCCAGGATCATTTATTGCATGCTGCTTCATATTGTGACTGTGGATCCTCCTGCTTAAAAATCTGATTGCTTCATGTGATGGTTGTTTTTTGTTTTGATCATGAGAAGTTCAACTACTTCTAAAAATTTTCTTGCTTCCGGCTTGTGAACACCAGGGATAAGTACAAATAGAAGCAACCTTCTAACTGGTCAACACGGAGAGCGGTCCACTGCAGGGCACTACTTGTGCCTCGTGTAATAGTTCTACCGCCCGACGGGATCTGATGAGGCACCAACTGCCCGAAGAGTGTGAAGAAAGCCGCTACTCGCCGTTTTATGATCAGCGATAGAAATTACATCTCCTCATTCTAGCACCCTGCTCTTCTTTGCTCCTCATTTCCACCGTTTGATGATGATCTTCCATGTTGTAATCTTCGCAGCAAGAGAAAGAATCTTCAAATAAGCGGATAGTCTTTTTGAACATCATGATACCGAAGCGATTGTAAATCCTTTGGTGGTAAAGGGTGATATCGAGTTGCTCGTCAGATGTTTATGTTTAAGGATATTGCACCCGCGTCGAAGAACATACAGCTACGAGATTCATCCCGGTTTTTTATTTCGTCGTCAATCGTTTTTCTTTAGATTTCTTTTAGAAAATTATTACGAAGTTCGACACATATTTTTCGAGCGTGAAGATCACATCTCCAGCCTTCTCGTCTGGAGAAACATCAAACACAATCTGATGCTAGTAGAGGAGGACAGAACTGGTATATTTATTATTTACTGGTGCTGTTCGAGGGGAGAAAGTTCGAGTTTTTGAGTACTCAGTATTTAAATAGTCGACTTAAAGACGATAGTCCGCCTCTTTAGTAGTTCGATCGCCTTTTTTTTGCGTTGATGGCTGCACATAGAAGTTCTTAGGTTGTACATGAACGTGTCTTTCCCCTCAGTGAGAGTACTATATCCTGCGTGCCGTGCCGAAAAGTATTCTTTATCAGTTCGCTGAGCAGCTGTCCCAGCTGCATAATTCTAAAAGAAGCAAAACCTTTATCTCCAAAACAAAAACAACATACATAAAAAGAACTAGTGTGCAAGTGCAACTACAAGAATGATCTGGTCCAAAAGTAGTACACACGCTGCACCGTGAAAAGAACGGGTTTTTTTCAATAGTTTTGGATATCGATCGTTTGTGTTCGCTATTTATTTTCCTCGCTTCGACAGAAATTAAAATTTATTCAAAGGGCGACGATCTTCATGGGGAAATAAAATTCATCCTGTAGTTCTTGTGCCACTCTACTCAATAGAGGTAAACAAGTCGCCTTTAAAATCTTGGTTGCGGCATTCATTCTTGTTCCAAACAGGTACCGGTTTCCGAAGCGGCGGGTAGAAGTAGTGATATTCATTTGTAAAACGGTAACGGAAAGAACGGATCTCCTTCCGCCCTTTCTAATATGCATTTTTCATCCCGGCCCCGCTCTCACGCTCACCAGCAAGTAGAAAACGAAGATGTCGTGAGTTGTCACGTCGAGGACACTTGTTCCTGTCTTTGACCTTGGCGTCCTGCAGGGCAACGTGTCGAAGTTGGAGATCATGCAGCCACGTCGCTCGCGCTCGTCGTCGTCGGAGCTCCTGCCACCAGGTGGTCTGCCGTACTACTTGTAGCAGCTTTAATATCAACAAATTCAAAAAATTTATCTGGTGTCGCTCTGGAAACTTGCGATGCCGAATTGTAATGATTCAACATGCTTTAATTTTCGTCGAGTGCAGGAGCCAAGTATGGCAAATTTTCGCAATTATGCCTTCCCATGCATGCGCTGTGCCGCGCATAAGAATAAGAAACAGCATTTTTATTTTATTTGCATGACACAAAAGATCTTTATTTCCAGACCTCCCAGACTACATTTTTATTTGCAATGCATAAGCGTCAAGTGCTGGTCCGTGTCCACCATCTACGTGTTCACCTCCTGGAGCATCAGCAGTCCCTCCTGCTCCCGAGGACGGTGGCGCGACCAAGGTGGCTCCGCCAGTTGCCGTCGGTGGTCCACCATGTGAAGGAGCACTAGTTGAAAATATCCTGCATAAAAACGCCCCCAAGAGCCCATGCGTCAAGTTGTTGGTAAATCTGCAACACAAATCTCCAAATTTTGGGAGTTATGCATGACAAGTTTGTATCCATCTGTACTAGTCCAGAGCTCTTTACTAGCAAAGACAGCAGCATCCGAAGACGCCTGCTTGATATCCAGTTTACAGCATTACAAATCCCAAAACACGAGTACAGATCCGAACCCCTCTCTTGCGCCATGCGCATTACAGATTTTTCTGTACAGGCAAATCTGCATGACAACTCTGATATGGGGACATTTTTAAATAGGATAGAAGATCCTGCTAATACGACGTGATCGCCTTGATGTCCTTCATCTCCTGTGGTCATGTTGACCTTGGTATCAACTGTAAAAGTGTCTGGGTCTGGAAAAATTCATGTTTGTCATGCTTGTCTGGCATGACTCTTAAATCTGTCATGCACGTTACCCAAGAGCTCCGCTTTTCTGTGATGCAAAAGCGCAGTTTGTCATGCAGAGTAGGCAACACCTGGGAGCTGAGAAACTTCTCATGCTGAGTCAGCATTTGCAGCCTCAGCATGAGTCGCCACCCAGCATCACAAGTTCCCAGACCCAGACATTTTTACTTTTGATACTTGGCGCCGCGCAGCAGCGTGCTCACTTTTTCGTCAAAGACGTACTTGAAAGCTTCGGCCGCCGGCCGCAATCGGGGGTCCAGAGCTGCGCTGTACAAAATGTTCGCCGTGCGCTGCTTATCAAATGTAAAAAATGTCTGGGTCTGGAAGATTCCGGGATTTGTGATGCATATTTTGCATGATCCATGACGCATGTAAGGCATGATCTAGCAGCACACATTTTTAGAGGGCTGCCTAATGCCTATTCCGCATGAGAAATGCCCTCTCCGCGTAGCACAAACTGGACTCCTGTTGCTGGTCACGCAATACAGATTTTTTTTTGCAATCCAAATACAGCATGACAAGTTGCAATCTTCCAGACCCAGACATTTTTGCAATCCATACTGCTTGATGAGCTCGACGAAGCTGTCTCGGTCGGATGCGACAGCGGGGTCCTCCAGCCACATGGCGTCCACCTATGGATTGCAAATATGTCTGGGTCGTCTGGAAGAATGCAGGAGTTTCTCATGCAGATTTTGCATAACCCATGAGGTCGGTGATGCATACCTTGGCATCACAAGTTGAAGTTGCATCCTTCGAGACCCAGACATAATTGCATTGGATACCACCAACTTCAGCGCTATTCGGAACTTCCGGTAGGAGATGAACACGTTAGCGTTGTGAAAAGCCATGAGGCTCTTGGTACAGGCCAACAGATATCCGGTGTAAAAACGACGACCCCAAAGTCATAGTCATTTGGCTACACAGATGTTCGACAAGCTGTGTGTGTTCATCTTGCGCGTGACAGGTTTCTTGTCCACGACTCTCGCACGGTCATAGCAAGGGCTGCTGCATTGGCATTGCAAATTCATCATCGCCTCCTTCATATATATTCGGCTGCAAATTTCAAATACACAAGAAGTCAGTAGAAAATATTATGCGTTCTTTCGTTTATTCCATGAAGCTGCGCGCCAGAGCAAACATCTTACTTTAGGTTTAGATCAACATTCAGATTTGCATAACAAAGACAAGTCTCCGGTGGGGACGACATTTTTCAACAGGATAACAGACCCCACATCATCACGCTGGTGCGCTCCTTCAGCTCGGGCTTGAATTCGTACATGGCCACGTCCACGCGACTCACAAAAAACGTATCCCGAGGAAATTTTTTTACAGTTCCGCAGGCATTGTAACTTCAGCAACACAAATATTTGATTTTCTCCGCATGGCGGAGAAATTCTTTTTTTTTCTGTAAAGACCATAAGGATGGAAAGCATCACGTATGACACCATGTACTTACACGTGCTAAGTAGGCTTCTGCGCATTTCTTTCCTCGGCATGATGAGAGGTGAGGACCTGTCGTCCGCGGTCTTCTTCGACGACCTGCATACTACTAGATGGCCATATCCATGTGTGTAACTGAAACTGTAAAGCATAAGCATTTTTTTCTTTGCATAAAAGGCAAGGGGGTCACAGTACAGAAAGCCCTCGCGTCCGTCCTGCAAGTTCGGGGCCCGCCGCGTCAGTTCGTCTAAGCAGGTAGGCCACGACAGCGTTTCGGCCAGGGTGTGTTGCAGCAACGTGTCCCACTCGGAGGCCTGTCGCCATCCCTCCAGCAGCTGAAACACTCCGTACTCGGGCATGCGCTGGGAGATGATATCAAATGCGAATATGATGAATGGGTCTGGTGGAAGAGGAAAAGTGCTGCAATTTGTTCTATGCAAAGATGCTGCCTTTGAATAATTGTAGAAGCGGCCCTCAAAGATGAATCTGTGTTGATGCCACCAGGGCAACTGCTAAGTACATGGTAGTACATCACAGACCTCCCGGGCCTGGGTCGTTGTGCAGACGAATGCGCAAGGCAAGCGTTCTTGTACGACCACTTTTCCACCAGAAGACCCAGACTACATATTTGCATGTGATAGGTGATGGGCAGGAACCACTCCCAGGGCAGGTGTATCTCGGGGTGCTCGATTAAGCTCTCGCCCCGCAGCCAGTTGTCGATCGCTCGCGCAGCCGCCGACTTGGCGCCTATCAAATGCAAATATGTCTGGGTCTGGAAGATTTCTAGATTTGTCATGCATATTTTCCATGACCCATGACGTCTGTGATGCATGCCGTAGCATCACAGGCTTTTAGAGACCCTCCTGATGCCTATTCCGCATGAGAAATACCCTCTCCGCGTAACGCAAACTGGACTCCTGTTGCTTGTCATGCAATACAGACTTTTTCGGAATTCAAAAACAGCATTACAAGTTCCAACCTTCCAGACCCAGACATTTTTACATTTGATAGCGCCGCCAGCCGGACCAAACATCTGCATCTGGTGGACTGCGCTGGAGGTGGCAATTTGGCTATCCAGGGAAAAACACCCAGCCCCATCCAATTTGTAATGCAAAACATGCATAAATTCCCGTGCTTGTCATGCAAACAATGGATGGGGATCGATGGGTGTTTTTTCCTGGATATTGGCCGTGTTGTCCTCCGAACATGCTAGAACTGTCACCGGCAACGGTGCTGCTGCCGATATCGACGGAACCGCGCGGCCCGGTTAAAAATATGAGAGTGCGCAACCCCGACGACCCCTACTAGCACCCCACATTTAAAACGCAGCTTCGGAGGTAGAATCAGTAGCACAACCGCTACTTCACAATGATCATGGTACTCCTTTCGCATGACAAACACTCAGCACACGAACTACTGTTCTATTCCGCTTGCGAAGGAGCATGATGTCAGCACGCGAGCAGTTCATCTGAGGAACAGTTAGCCTATGTCTAGGTCTAGCGCTTTTGGTTTTGGTACTACTTTGCATGACAAATGAGAGGGGGGAATAAAGATGACACACGACGATTGCGCACTTTCATAGCAGTGGCCGGAAAGAACTCGCTGCTCGTCGCAGCTGCGTGGTACAAATTCTGGTGCTGCTGCTGGTGGGCACCGATGCTCCCATCCCCCGCGCTTGCTGGTTGTAACGACTCCGCCGCGGGGGCTCCTGTGCTGTTCGTGCCGGGGAACAGACTTTTTTCGGCTCCTTATCCTGAGTAAAAACGTACCCACACCAGAGTTGTAATGCAGATTTGCAAAGACAGGAAGACTTGTAATGCGCACCCCCATGAGAGCCATTTCCAATCGTGTTTTGAAATTTGTGATGCTGTGAACAGGATGAGCAGATGAATCTGTGATGCGGCTGCACTTGTTCACCTGCACTACACTGCAGAGTGCAACTTGTCATGCGTGACTCACAAAACTCCTAGGTTTGTGTTGCAAAATCCCCATCCTGACTCTGGTGTGGGTACGTTTTTACTCAGGATACTCCTGTGGCAGCTGTTGCACCCTCTCGATCTCGTTGGGGTCCCGAAGACAGAGCCGGAAACTGTAGTGGGAAATAATTTGTTTTACACAAGTAGTTCTTGCACTTTATATAGTGAAGTCAAATTTTTAAGATTTTATCCCCTATCTGAACATCAACATACACGCATACAAGAACCTCGCTCAACAGCAGATTTTCATCAAGAATTCAACACGGAGATCATTTGATCGTCCTCGTGTGAAAGTGGACAAGCTTTCGAGACCACGAGCATGGACTTCTAACGTCTCCTTGTGTTCTTGCACATCACTGCAAAGCAGACATCGCACTCGTAATATTTATACTACATGTCCAGCGTGCATGACAGATCTGCTTCCGTCCTGGAATCTGCATGTTGACAAGCCCCGTTTTTGTTTTTCTTTATTTTGCGCAAATTTTTCATGCCTCCCTACGAGTACGATCCTTTTTCTTTTGCAGCGCATGTTGATGTTGATAAAAAATATAGCAAAAGAACTGACTCTCGACTAAGTAAATGAAGTACTCCGTCGCCTCCAGCGAATCTCATTCCAGCGCCTCCGGAGGAAGCAGCAATTATATGTGGGGTTTCCAGATCAGATGGCGTGGAGTGCAAGGAAGAGTGACCACCGCTGCCAGACTGTGCCAGAGATCCACCGACTAGGTCCGAAGGAGAATAGGGCGAAGCGTCTATCCTGTGTAATAAAACCGTCCCCCCGGCTCCACTCGTCCCCAGCTTCGTGTTGCAACTTTGCATGCTTTTTGAGGACGCTTCATATCATGCGCAGTACCATGATGAAGAGTATTTTCTATTGGTAGTTTGGATCGTATTTGTTGATGTTGCGCTGTCATCATCTTTAGGATAACACGATAAATTCGTGGTCATGCGAGTTTGACATAGGCGTAGCAAACACGATCTTTACAACACGGCGAGCCGCCCATTGGTGTAGCAAAACTCTGATCATCGATCTTGACTACGAGGTGGGGACGGTTTTATTCCAAGGAATAGCATCCACCGGGCCTGCTCCTCGTCCCTGGGGTGCACCACCAGCCACGTCGCGGTCTCGTTGCCCAAGGTCCTTCCCGGAGAGAATCATCTCTTCCTCTGCGTCGCCCCGCCGTCCACCTGGCCCTCCCGCCGTGCTGGGCGTCATGATGTGCTGTGACCCCTCCGCGGCTCCCACGCGCCGCCCGTTTGACTTGCTGTGCAAGACCGAGGAAGCCGAGCCCGCAGTGGATGTCAGCGCGGGATCATCAAAGTTGGTACCACCGGCGCTCCACTTGTTGTACTGGTCCGACGTGCTGGTATGTTGATCACCAGCATGATGACCATCGCCATGCGCGTGTTGCTGGTCTTGGTTTTTCTGCTTTGTTGGCGTCGCCAGAGATGAAATCGAAAAATTTGCGTTGTAACCCATGTCTACTTGCTGGTGCAGCTGGTGCCGGGGAGGAGGGGTAGAAGTCGTGGCTTCGGGCGGCCCTCGTCGGCTCTGTACAACGGCCGGGTTGGGGGTGTTTCCTGTCGTTGCAGCAGCTCCGCCTCCGGCATTCGCATTAGGTGTCTTTGTACTATTACTGGTCGTCGTGGGGTAAAAGAAGTTAGAATTACTCGACATAATTGTTGACATGCCAATTTGGGCAGCTGCAGCTCCTCCACCCGCTCCTGCTGCTAGCAGGCCACTCAGCGCCGGGGGTGGCGGTGGCGGTGGGTACTGGCTGATCTGCTGCGGCTGGTGCGCCGCCCCCGCACCAACATTGTAGACATTCTCCTGAGCCCCGCTTTGGTGATTGCCCATCATGGAAGATGCGGCGCCCCCCGCCATTGCGGCAGCGGCTGCAGAACCCGCTGACCCAGGAGCTCCTGCACTCTGGAACGACGACGTGTTGAAAGCTGCAGAAGTACTAAAAGTAGAGCCACCAGTGGCATTTGCACTCATCCCATCAGGAGCAGCATAGTAGTCCATTTGACCTGCACTCGGAGCTGCCTGATTGTTGTAAAACTGGTCTGGCTGCTGGTGCTGGGCGACAAAGCTGTTCATCGTGGTCCCAGCAGGGGGCACCACGTTGGTGCTAGTACTACCCGTGGTCGTGTTTGCTGTCTGAGTCTGATCGGCTCCCAACATCGTTCCGTAATGATCGTGCTGAAAATCATTCATGTGGTGCTGCAAGCTGCTGTGCTGGTTGTTGTAATTTCCTCCTGCTGCTCCGTCAATTGCAGAAGCTCCCGACAGCGGGTTGTTCCCAACTACAGCACCAATTGCGTTGGTCGACATGGCGTTCCCGGTTGTAGTTGTGGGCGCGCCCCCGCCCATGGGCTGCTGGTGGAGCTGCTGATCGTAGTTTGTTGTAGCGGCACTACTGGCTGTAGTACCTCCACCTCCGGGCGGGTTAATATTACCTCCAAAGGCGTGGCTCATCTGCAAGTTTTGCATTCCGCCGTGCTGCGAAAGCTGGTGATCCTGTTGGGATGAAAGGGAAGTTGTAGGATCATGTTGGTGATGTTGTTGATCCTGAGCATGATTGTAAAAGCTGCTGTTGTGCTGCTGGTGCATCAGGTTGTTGTTCATTGCTGCTAGTACACCGCCTGAAGATACACCGGCGGAAGCTGCACCGAAATTGGGGCTGCCGGCGCGGCCAGACGCGCCCCCTCGTGATGTCGCTGTTGTAGTGGTCCCGGCATTATCAAGTGCAAACATGTCTGAGTCTGGAAGATAATTACGACCAGGCTTGATGTCATGCATATCTTGCATAGAGTCGACGACCAATGACGCCTGTAATGCATGACCCAGCATCACAGATTTTTAGAGGGCTTCCTGATGCCTATTCCGCATAAGAAATGCCCTCCCGCCCGCGTAGCACAAACTGGACTCCTGGTCATGCAACTAAGTACACATTTTTTTTTTACAATTATCCGAAGACAGCATCACAACCTTCCAGAACCAGACATATTTGCAATGCATAAGCGTAATGGTTGTAGCTGCTGCCTTGGTAGTCATGCATCTGATTTTCTTGAACATGCGGGTGATGTCCTCCGTGTCCACTCCCCGCTGTGTGGTAGTGCGCTGAAGCTGCTGCCCCGGCAGCCGAGGCCCTGACGTTACTGTTGATATTCCCGGCAGCTCCAGCATGGTAGTTGCTGTGCTGGTGCGCGTGGTTGTACATGTGCCCTGAAGTGGATGATGCTGTCCCCGAAGTAGCATCCTGTGCAAAAGTATCGCACTCGTAGTAATTGCAACAATGCATTTCTTAAGGCAAATTAGCGCTACAAATTTTGCTTCTCATGCTGAGGAAATTTGTAATGCATTTATACGAGTACGATATTTTTGCAGTTCATAAGTAGGATATGAGTACGAGTGGTGTTGGTGGTGGTAACCACGATTATATGCTCCAGTAGATCCACCACCTCCATGCGTCGTATCCACACCGGCGCTCGTGCCGCCCCCGCTGGTCGAGGCCGGGGCGCCTATCATAGCTGTAGTGGTCGTCGCGCCATTCATCAAACTCGCGCCCGCAGGGGTTTGTTGGTAATGTTGCTGGTGATAGAAGTGCGACGAGGTGGTTGCGTGGTGGTGTGAAGGACCGCCACCTGCTCCACCGTGGAGATGCTGTAGTGGTCCACCTGCTCCACCTCCGGAGGACGTGTAGTAGTTATTATTGTGGTGATGTCCTCCACCAGCTCCACCGTGAGCGTTGTAGTTCTGGAAATTGTGGTGATGGTGCTGGTGAGCGTGGTGATGACCACTCGCAGCGAGCGATGACGAACTATGCGTCGGCCAACGGGTGTCCAGTAAAAAAACTGTGCTAGTAGTGTAAGAAGTACCAGCTGCACGACGACGACCTCTGGGCTATGTTAGTAGTACTTACTAGCGTCTTGATCGTCCTCCTCTTCCCACAGCTCATCAGCACCCCTACTTCTTCGCACATCTGGTACTCAGTCGAGGACATACATAGACTTGATGTGAAGCAAGAGAACAAGATCACGAGCCGTACTATCGGGTGCTGCGTGGACATAATAAAAGATCGCTGTGAGGAAAATCGCCGAGGACTACACGCATCTGCAACCATGACAAAGAGTGTTGTAAGAACAAACTACATATACATAGCATTAGAATGTAGTTTATGTTCAGCATAACAGACCTACACTCACACACTTTTTTCTCCGGGATAACGTGGAGCCGGCAAGCACTCCCCAAAGCGGTTGTCGATCTGAGTAGAGTTAGATGAAGAAGAAATTATATAAGTATGTTGACAAAAATATAATCAGGTAGTTGCCGGTAAAAGTAAATGAATAGACTCAGGCTTCGATAAAATCGTCGCAAATAATTCGTTCGATCCTCATCCATCCTGCTTGGAAGAAGTAGGGGGCAAAAGAGAATTTCAAAAAGCGTTGACGTTCAACTTATTTCTAAAAGACGAAAACCGAGAAGTTGGGCACCAAAAATATTTACATTAATTTGTGGTCTGGAAAAAAGCAAAACTGCGCTCCTGTACCAGCACAGCCACCATTGGCGGGAATTCCGCCTGCCTGCCTGCCGTTTCATCCAGGTTCTTGTTGGAAAAGGATGACTTTCTTCCGGTACCGCTGCCAGGTGTCTATGCAATACAAAAGTATATATAAAAATGCGCGTACATCACGTACAAGGACATGCTTCTCATACAACAATAAATCTGTAAATCTTGATTGTAAAAATTCTAATTGTAATCCAGTTTCAGTCACAATTCTGCTTCAGTCTAAAAAAGAAAAAGTGTTGTGTAGTTGTGAACCGATGCACGTACTACTTCCCAAATGCAAGTACGATTTTAAAGACTTTTGTAGTGGATAGAGTCGTGTTTTCCACAAATTGCAGCCGGTCCCCGAACTCCGCCACTAGCGCCGCTCGCGCTTCCTTTTCCAGCTCTGCCTCGTGGTTGCTGTTATGCACTGCAAAAGCGTCGCATTCGTAGTAATCGCAATCATGCATCATGACAAACCCTAACCCCCTTCTTAAGGTGCGGCCGTGTGACAAATCCCATTGTCATTTCTCTTCATGCTGAGCGATATTTGTAAAAAAATGCGACTTCTACTAGTACGATATGACTTTTGCAAGAATGCATAGCTGTGTAACCGCAGCAAGAGTGGCACGGACCTGGTTCTGGCACTGGTCGGCGTGCCCCTTCCGCTAGCGACGCCATTGGATAGTAGCTGTGGCCCTTGATTGATGCCGTTGGGTGCCGCAGTAGAAGTCGCATTTTGGTTCGTCGCGGTATGATAGCCATTTTTTCCACTCGTCTCGATGTCCCCAGCGACTGGAGGTTCTCGAACAAAAATCTGTTATCGTTATCGAATAAACGATTGCAACCGAAAGCGAAAATTTTTTTAAAGTTAGCTGCTGAAGAAGCTACCTTTTGTCATGATTATTTTGATCCAGTTGTGTGCATTTGGTCATCCTTCTGGGGCAGCAGACGGCGAGCGAGACGTGGCCGATCGTGAGGTGCTGGCGGTCGGGTTCCGATGCCGCGCAAATCATCCTGGGGCAGACTCAACGTCCGATCTTGGCCCCACTCGCAATCCCGCCTGAGAACGCCAGAAGAGTGCACGAAAGCCAGCTTATCCGGGAGAGCTCACACGAAAAGCCTGCCACTGCGGTTGCAAAAGTGCCGGCGGAAGAGGAGGGACGAGGCAACAAGAATGCCGCTCCGTCTCATCCTGTACTCCCCGTCTCAGCACCGAGCAAGACCGGGGCACCGCCCCCCTTTGCCTGCCCGCCATCTTGCGGCCACCATCGTCGCCGGGATCTGGCCTGAAAAATGGAGCTAAGCGCGGTGCCACGCGGACTATAAAAGTGACCAAAAAGCGTCGATGTTATCGGTTTTGGACAGGGACTCGGAAATCCGGCAACTTTGACCTCCCAAATTGCCTATTTTTCAGAGGCCTCCGGCAAAACCGATAACAAGCACCATTTTTGGTCACTTTTATAGTCCGCGTGCCGCCGTGTTTAAATGCCTCTTATCGGTTCGGAAGGCCAAACCGATAACAAGACAACAATCAGTTGTCTGGTCAGAGCCCGGCGACGATGGTGGCCGCGAGATGGTGGGCAGACAGAGCGAGGCGGTGTCTGAGCCCTCCTCGGGGCTGAAGCTGAGACTACAGGATGAGGCCGATCCGTATTCGTTGCGCCTCATCTCTCCTCTTTTGCCGGCACTTCTGCAACCGCAGTGGCAGGTATTTCGCATGAGCTTTCTCGGGCAAGGTGGTCTTCGTCTACTCTTTTGGCGTTCTCAGGCGGAATTGCGACATGAGGCAAAGATCGGACGTCGAGTCCGGCCTGGGATGCCAGCGCGACACTGGAACCCGACCGCCACCACCTCAAGATCGGTCGCGTCTCGTTCAGCGTTTGCTGCCCCAGAAGGGTGACCGATCGCACCTAACTACATCAAAATAGTCGGGGCCAAAGATAGCTCCCTCACTAGCTAACTTTAAAAAAATAGTCGCTTTCGCTTCAAATTGTCAATTCGATAAACGATAACAGATTTTTGCTCGATACATGATAGCCATTTTTTCCACTCGTTTCGTTGTCCCCAGCGACTGGAGGTTCTTGTAGTGCATTACTTGTTCCTCCAACGCTGGATGAGGGTAATTCCGTTTTTGCCGCTACGGGCATGTTCACCTGTTTCGGGTACTTCCCGGAGAACACCGCTCGGCGCACGAAATCGAGCAAGTCCCCGTTTTCGAAGTAGTTGCAACTGACGTCAAGCTATGCATTGCAACAGCATCGTACCAGTGGTAATTGCATTACAATAAACTACCTCAGCTGCATGACAAATGTTTTACCCTGGGATGAAGATTTGTATGAATGCATAGATAATCGCAATTACTACGAGTGCGATGCTGTTGTACGGGATACAAGCTCTTCCCACACCCCCAGTTCGATCATATCTGCAGAGTAGATGTGAATGAGTTTGTACGTAGTTTATTAGTCTTGTAAGAATCCACAGGAATCATTTAATTTTTTGGTGCTGTCTACTTTTCTTTGATTGTTAATATCAATCAAAGAAAAGTAGACAGCACCATATTTGCAAGGAGGAAAGTACTTCTTCTATACAAGCACAAGCTTCCTACAACAGGAAAGCCCCCTTCGCAGATGAGTTATTATTGTTCGTACTGTAGGTTTTCATCTTGTTTTCAAAAATGTTCAATCGCAGAAGTCGTTCTTCTACCTGAAACTAGCCCGCTTGCCTTCCCCGTCAATTGATTGCCAGCGAGTGACAAGTATCCTGTGCAAAAGTATCGCACTCGTATAAATGCAAGTCCTGCATTACAAGTCTTGTTTCCAAGGCAAATCTACATTACAAATTTTATTTCTCATGCTGAGGAAATTTGTAATGCTTTCATACGAGTACGATACTTTTGCAATTCATAACAAGGTGGTCCGCTGATGCAACGCCAAGGGAAGCCGCTGGGTGAAGTAAAACACTCCGGCAGGTTATGGAAGCGGAAAAGAAACATCGAGCACCAGCAAGACTCGAAGAAAAATTCAACACATTCTTCACTAGCTGCAGTGACACTTCTTTTGAAGCCAACGCCAGCGGCAACGAGCAGTTGGATTTCGATATATAAATTTTTTCGTCTTGTTCACATACAATTTTTTCGTCTTCATTCAAGAAAGAAGAAACTTCGACTGTAGTAACTACATGACGCTACCTGGCGGGCCTAACCTCCCAGGGAGGTTGTGTCTACTTTGCAAGATTGCTGTTCTTGAGCAAGTCCGTTTTTTTTTTCCGAGGATAGAGCTGACGGCCCGAGGTAGTTTCCAGCCAGGTCCACGCGCACGTCGGTGTACAGAAGCGGGTCAAGAAGTAGATTGTCTGATTAAAAGTTCGAAATTGTAGAAACAGGTTGCACTACCCCAGCGCGGATGTAGTTGGTATTGGTAACTTAAACTTACTAGTAAACGTGCTGCCAGTTCCAGTTATGATCGCTTCAGTTGCATGACACGTCCTTCTGCATTTGTAGTAATTTCACAGCATAAACAAAGAAAGCACAACTTCTTGTTCGTCGAGTCACAGGCTTATTTTATGCAAGGAGCCTAAAGTAGAGTATAAAAGAACCACATCATGATCATATTATTATACTTTCTGTGAGCGTGATGTCGGACCAGCGCTCTAGATCCCGTTGCCGGAACCGCGACTCTCCTAGTTTTATGCAAGGAGAAGAAAACAACTTCTGCACCCCTATCGATTCGGTCGTGAACGCCCAGTTTCTGCCTCGGACGCAGAAAAAGTGGTTGATGCACACGCTTCAATATTCCAAAAGCACGCAGTACTACGCGCCTCGGGTGCAACTGCTTGATTTCGAAAAGAAAACAAATTTATAGAATGTGTAAAAGCATGTGCATGCGGCCATCTTCCATCGCGCAAACTTCTGGTTACGCCACCTCTACCTCTTCAGTGTCCCATCTACTTGCTTAACAACAGGAGCACAATAAACATCCTGAAGTCGTGCACGTCTCTATCATCTGCCTCGTTTTTCTTTAGCAAAAAGAAAAACACGAGCGTCCGGATCGATAAAGTTAAGGATCGCAGAACTGTTCTTTCCACGAGATAAGGTTCAGCTTCAAGACGCTTTCTTCGACGAAAAGATGCTGCTCGCCACGCACTCTGCGTTGCTTGTTCACCGAATTCGGGTGCTGTTGCTGGGAGTACTGCCACTATCCTGTGCAAAAGGATCATCACCTCCTGTTACGATTATAATATCTGTGTCGTGGCAAGCTGCAGGAGCACCGACTTAGTAGATGTGTCTTACTCCAACAAAGTAGAAGTTGTCATCTGCTCTAGTACTGCTGTGTAGTAAATCTAAATTCGTCTATCAAGAACAGTGCTACTTTCAGAAGCACGAAATTATCTGGAATCTATTGATAATAATGACTTTGCACACGACAAGTAGAAAAAAGCGCGATCCTTTTGCAGTCCATAAGTGCTGCCCTGCTCCGGCCGCGCCACCTGTCGCGGCGGTTCCGGTTCCGAGACCTCCTGACGAGGACGTATTATTTACGCCGCTGCTAGAGCTGTGAAAGCGTTGCTGGTACTATCCAAGAAAAAAACTGCGTTAGCGTTAGAGTAGGCGTCTTGGGGCGGTCACAGCATTATGACAAATTCGTTCTACATGACAGAAAATTCCTGTCATGCACAGCTAGTAGCATTGAAAACACGCATAAAAAAAGAACACTATAATGGCTGGCCAGCATGACAACCGTAACTGTTTTGCTGCATTTTTTTTTAGTACATTTTCTGCATCACAGACTTACACTTACTTCCACACTTTTTTTGTTGCATAGGTACGCCGCATGATGGTGTCCTCGGATTAGCGGAGCGGGCGGAGGAGGCGGATTGACCCCCGCAAGATATCGTATGGAAAAATCCCCCCTCCCCATATCGAAATGGAAATCTGTGACGCAGGATTTGTGGATTTGTCTTGCGGCGGAGGACTGTAGACAGATACAAAGCCCGGAAAGGGGTGGCGTGGGGTAGGCACTGAGCATGGCAGATGTCTGCCCTAGTAGCGTAGCAGCATGCGGAAGTCCTGGCTATGCATACAAATCGCCTGCGAAATGCAGCGGAGGCCCTGGCTTTGCTCTCTTGCAAGACAGACTCGATCTGCGACCACAAATCAGCATCGCCAATTTTGAAAAGCATGCCTTTTCGATATGGGGAGGGGGGATTTTTCCTCACAATACAACACCCACGTTCTTATTTCCAGTGCTGTTACCACCTCCCGCCCCCCAAGATCCTCGCTCGTAGCCTGTTGCAGCACCAGCATGCTGGCCGCCCCGGGCCGACGGTCCTGTAGTCGACGGTGGTGTAGTGCTAGTAGTTGTGCCAATATACGAAGTAGAGCTGTTGCCCGCGGCAAAGGCGTGCTGCTTGCTCGGTGGAGGCGTCTTGGCTGTGGATAAATGCTATCCTGTGCAAAAATATCGTAGTCGTACTAATTGCAAATATGAATGACAAATCTCCCTCCTAAGGTAAAACAGCATTACAAATTCCACTTTTCTTCTCGCCAAAGTTTGTGTCTGCAATTTATACTAGTACGATACTTCTGCAATGCATAGATTCTGCCCATGGAGGTGATCTCCTGGCCGACGTGCACCTGTAGCATGGTTTACCTGGCCCTGGTGCAGCTCTCCGCCGGGCGACGTACTATTCGATGAGCCGCCGTAAAGCCGCTGCTCGTTGCTGCCAGCGGCTGGTGCGGTCGATGTTGGGCCGGCGCTGTCGTGCAGCTGCAACCCAGTCGAACTAGTTGCGCCCAAGCTCGCGTGTGCGGACTGCGCAAGGCGCGGGGTTGGCGTAGACATCGCGTTCGTCGTGCTGCTTCTATCAATTGAAAAACCAGAGGGAAACACCGACCCGGGTCTGGGAATTGCAGCTGCACACGAAAAACGAAATGCCACTGCGCAGTTGCTATTGCTGATGTTTGTAGATAAAATAAAACTTAGCATGTTCTTCTTCTTATGTGCGCTGTTTTGTCTTATGCATTAGCTGCACCTTAATATCAAGAGAAGTCGGCGGTCGTAAAAAGCAAATCAAAATACAACAGTGCGCACAAACAATGAAATCCAGACCCCGATGGTACCACATGCATAAATATCTCTTGGTTAGCTGTAGTGGTGGCCCAACGCAGGCGGTGGCGTCATAAAGGCGGCATCGGGAAGATGAGCCAGTGTGGAGCTACCTGCTCCACGGCCCGTCGGTGCGCCCGTCCCGTCGTGCTCCGCCTCAGTGCCACTCATTCGATCGGCGGTGGGAGGTGAACAGTAGCTCTTCTGTACTTGAACTTGATGGGTTGTTCGACGGTACACGACCACTGTGTATTCCTTTTCTCAGACGTCGGGACCTGCTCGCCTCCGTTTTATTTTTTCGCAGGATCGTCGCTTTTTGGCCCCGCGCACTGAGTTTTCGTGTAGGAAGTCGATTGATTATATCCAAGACGTTCGCCTTCCCAACACAGACTGCGCGGACACCGTTTCTCTTTCTTCTCCTGGTCGGGTCGTACTATAAAGATCTCGTCGGGTATCACGCTGTTTGCGTCCTCGTCGCGCTAGTTTATGTATCTATGTTCCATCATCAATGTACATAATTTATTGATCTTCTGTATTTTTCGTGCCTGTCAATTTTTTGTCCGTAATAAAATCATGAAGACGCAGTTACTGGTATTCGTATTCTATTCCAAAAGTGGGAGTGGTAGTTCTTGCGGTGGAACATATACTACCGAGAAAATTAGCAATACAGGTGTGGGCAACGACTCTTGTTCAATCTCCGACAAACTTATTTCAACAATCTCAATCGATGGACACCTTCCTACTTTTCCGAATAATTCTTCAGGGTAACAATGAAACCGCAAAATGTTGTAATATTGAAAATGCAACCGAGCAACTCGGTCTTCTATGACTCGTTGTACACTAACGAAGATGAACTGCAGTTGACAATAAAAGATCACTGGGCTGTTCTACCCGAATTAACAGGAGATCACTACTTACAGGACACAACAACAAACTATAGATAGTACTTCTTACGCTGGAGCTGGTCCAGAAGAGCGATGAAAATGAAAAAATCCAAAAAGATAAAGACGCAGATGCTGCTAAATATCTTTCTAGAGTCCTATCTGGCATTCATCGCTGTGGCTCGCTTTACTTCTGTGTTCAGCAAGGCGTGATTTTGAAAAATCCAAACCAATAGTATCTTGAGTTTTTTTCTTCTCTTTGTTTCTATCGTCAACTAACGCTGCAGCTCCTGCTAGGGTCGTGCTCGCTAGCGCGTGTTTAGCTTCGGTGATGTTGACGGAGTGCTAGTACTATATTTTTAGAGGAAATAACTTGCCTGATAGTACGTTGGTTCCGCGAGTGCGCTTCTTGCTCTGATGTCTGTGTTTCCTGTTTCAATCACATAGGAGCATCTTCACGTGAGAGATTGATTTATTTTTTGCGACTTTTTTTCGTCGTGTAGCTGCTGTGCAGCAATTGTAAACCGGACGAGTTTTTGTTCCACGGCAAGTATTTTCTATACTTTTCTCATGTTTATCGCTTTTGGTGTTGATGTTCTACTTTTAGCGCTGCTGCCAATGAATCAACAAGAATAATGGAAAAAAAAACTCAAAAATAAAGCAGTAACGGCTGAAACTCGCAATGAATATTGTTGACAATTCGAAAACGATATTAAACAACTCAAACTGAATGCGCGGTGGTAATAGGAATATCAACAATAGAGCCGTGATGAAAAATGTTCTTTTTCATGTAGTCATCATGATCGAGGATCCTCAAGATGGACTTGTTGTTACGCTCCCATGCTTAAGACTTCTCGTAGGGCGCATGAAATGCAAATGCTTCGATGAAACCGCCTTGAATAAATGCAGTGCCGCTTTTTATAATGGGATGGGGTGCAGCTGCGTGTGCAAGAGGGTTCTGCTTTTGGGGTACATAAGTACTACGTGGTGGCAGAGAAGATCTGTGCGAGGGACTAAATAACGAAAGGGCGCGCGGGAAGATATTGGAAAGAGATGAAAATAAAAATAAAGCGAAAAAAATACGGCTGTAGAAGTAGACCTACTGGGTCAGCGTTAGTACAACGCCACTCAGGTCACTGCAGGCTGTACACAATGAAAAGGTGCCACTTGATGATCGTGTGGGTCCGTCTTGGTACAACGAACTCGAGGCTGCGAGTTCCAAAAAGCCACAGCCTCTATGTTCTTTGTGAAACTTGGACGTTCCGGATATAGCTCTGCTATCTCTCCTCGAGGGTGCCAGGCCTGGCCAACGAGATGGGAAAAGCTTTGCGCTTTTGAGAAACCTAGACGGAAAATAGGTTTCAAAGATTGATTTATTCTAAGTAGAAAAATAGCGATGAACGAAGATCACATAGTACGCTGCGCGAGAACAAAATGAAAAAGGAAAACCTAAGCTTCGAAGAGATATAAAAAAGTTGGGTGGAGCATCAAATATTCTAGCCGGGTGCAGAACAATGCAGAAAGGAAATATAGCGTCGGACAAAGGACATGGAGACTACTACGAGGCCGCGGGGGAAATTATCTTTATATGGGAGTATAATAGTAGTGCATGATCATTTTCTTTAGTGTACGAAAATTCAGATCGTGAGACAGTTGGTTATGGTGGGTTTCTTTTTTGATGTCATGTTTCTCTTGCTTGTTGACAATTCTTGCGGCTGGGGTAGGACAACTAGGGGTTTGGGTGTAATAGGAGTTGTGAGATCATGGACAAGGAGCAGCTAGTACATGGGATCCTGATGTGAAAATTGAAAGACAACAAAGGTTCAGACATTGTCCTAAACTCATCCAGATAGTTCTTTTTAGTAAAGAGCCGTGGCAGTCAACAGAATAGAAGTACACCAGATCTGGTTCCTGTGGCCTCGCACTCGCACGTCGACAGAGAAAAAACAAACACATCAAATCATGTCAATGTCATAGTCATGCTGAATCCAAATATTACGGATCGCGATTATTCGTTTGGGTCTGTCGCACGCAGTTTCATCGAGAAGGGCAGAGGCCCTATTGTTCTGTTCGGGGCTCCTACACACAGAGGTGGACATACTAGCGTAAGGCAGAATTGATGTAGTTGCCAACAATGAATTGTGCCTCCTTTGTTTTTCCACTACACGCTCTCATCGCAAGAACTCTAGGTGTTCTTGCATTCGTGTTCTTCGTGGTCGCTACTTTAAAAAACAACTACAAGTTCTTATCGGTGCTAAATCACTTCACACATGCTGCAGCAGCTCGTCTTATCTGAGAATATTGCTTTTCGAGGCATCGGACCACTAAGGGACACAACAAGGCCAGCTTTAGGTTAAGTACCTTGAATATGATCTTCGCGGCCGAATAAAATGGTCCTCGGCGTAATCTTGATCTTCATCTTACATACTTAAGTAGATCAGCACGATCTGCAGGTGCGGCCGCACAACGTCAAAAGCTCTGCTGAGTTCTTAGCCAAAGAACCGATCTTGCTTTTCGTGTCGTGTTGCGTTTTCTTCATCTAAGAAGGAGGAACATCGCATTGGTAGTTTGGTTATGTTGTACTTCTGTAGCTGACAGCTACAGAAGTACAACATAACCAAACTACCAATGCGACTTCGGGCACGAACAGATCAGCTGCTGGTGCCGCAGTAGGACGGCACAAAATATGTGGTAGTTGTGGTTCTTGCGTAATCTAATACCAATACGTGGCGCCCCCTTTGTGGTACATCTTCATTGATTCCGGGGACAGATGAAAGTCGTTGCGTTTCTCGTTTTGCGCGAGTCATGATGTGCGAGCCGAATATCGACACTTTTTTATCTCGTGGTAAACTGAAGGGATATCAGCCATAATTATACCGGGCCTCGATAAAAAAATTTGATCGTTCTGGTACTGATTTTTGGCCCCCGGCGCCTCCCCCAGGAGATAACTCGCAAATACCAGCAGCGCAGAGACCTCCTCGCGCTCGTCGCGGAAGTTGATGAGATTTACTTAAAAGCGAGGAAGCGAGCAGTTGCTCGAGCAGATATGAAGGATAAGATGAATTCGATACTTTACGATATAAACAAATCACTTTTTCGCGCCGAGTTCCGCGCTGCGCTGCGTTGCCGCAGAAACTGCCTGCACGATGGCGTTCCGAAAGCCCTGCTCCTCGAGCTTCGCCGTGCCGGCGATCGTTGTCCCGGCGGGGGACTCCACTTGATTTTTCAGCACGGCTGGGTGCTCACCCTTCTCGAGCACCATCTTGGCGCTACCCATCACCGTCTGCGCGGCAAGCTGGAGGGCCAGTGCCCGGGGCAACCCGTTTTTCACGCCACCGTCACTAAGCGCCTCGATCATCATATACACGTACGCGGGCCTGTATCACCGAGGAAAGGAGAAGTTCTGTGATGTGCTGCGCCGGCAAAAGGAGAAGGACCAAGCTCGTCAAGAGCTGCAAGTTAGATGAAGTACTGCACAACTCTACTTATTTCATCATGACAAGCGGGTCGCGGGCCGAGAGTTTTTAATACACCTTTACCTACTTTACGAAAATGCAATTTAGAAGAGGAAGCTGTGCTTTTTAACGGAAACCAGGAGCGTCGCAAAAATCACCGCATAATAAATAGTTTTCAAACAGCACAATATAATTAGAAGAGACGAGCCTTCTATCCTGCTTCCACTGTGAGCCTCGCAGGATTTTTTTTCATTTTGCCGCTAGAGATCTTGAAAAAATTTACCATCGACTATATTCTATGCACAACCGTTAATCACAAAGCGCCCTGGCGTTAATTCATATTCAAAATGTTGATTTCAAAAGGAATTCAAAAAGTCAAGGTTTTCAACTTTCGCCTTCCCATAGAAATGCCGAATCTCCCGCCAAAATGAAAGACCGCGACCCGGATGCGGGCCATTCTTGGGCCCTATGCCGTGTGCCCGCGCGGGGTAAGTTGCTTGAATAACGCAAGGCCATCCACTTTTGCGCGTGCTTCATTCGGGAGGGTGTGTGGCTTGGAATTGGCACGGCCACAAGCTCTGGAAAATGGCGTGGCCGCTTCAGATTGGGCCGCCATGGGCCCTCGGCAATTCCTCTGACAGACACCACGCCCGCGCAAAGCCGCAGCGCACGGGGCCAACGCAATTCTGTTCCCGGAGCGGCCGAAAGATAGCCCAGAGGCAGCCTCTCCCCCCGATTGAGCGGGCCTCGTTAGGGCCTAACATATATCCCAGGACACAGACCAAATCAATACCATAGCGACATCATACAGAGTGCCCACTTTCAAAAGGAAATTGGCGGGCCTGAGCAATTTCAAAATGAAATTGGCGGCCTGAACGGAATTCAAAAAGAAATTGGCGGGTGAGATGGAATTCAAAAAGAAATTGGCGCCCCCGAGACAATTCAAAAAGAAATTGGCGGCCCTGGGCAATTTCAAAAAAAAAGTTGGGAATAAGTTGGACACAAGTTCAAAACTAGTTGGATCAGGGATTCTTAGTATGGGAAACAGAAAAAAGTTGGCTTCCAACTTATTTCCAACTATTTTTTGAATCTGGCGAGAGGAGATTTCTCAAGAGCCGGGGCCTCTTGAGTTGGCTTGCTTTACTGCAGGCCCTTTGGAGTATCGGAATCCCTCTTCCGAAACGTTGTCGAAAAGCCCTTCGGCGTGAAGCCGGGCCTATCGACGTCCCGCAAGCTATACCACAATACTCTGAAAGAAAGAGGGGCTGGAGAAGATCACGAAGGAAAGCCTTTACACAAAAAGCACTCCCAGGATCGGTCATAAACATGTCTCCCAGGCAGCAGCTTCAACAATAACACAAAACAGAATGCATCCCAACGTCTTTGTACCTAGCGCAGAGGTTCTAGAGGAGCCCGAGCTGAGTGCCTAGGTCCTGGGCATACATGGAAGCGATTCGCTGCAAAGCGTGGTAGGAGCACCAACTGGCACACAAAACCTGGGCACATTCCATCCAGTCATGTGCCCGAAACAGAGACCCACTACCGCAGCTGAGCGCGCGTTTACCAATCCGCCCCGCCCAATTTCTATTGCGCTAGGCCGCCAGACACAGGGCGGAAATTAGACGCCGAAAAAAGAAGCCACGCATCCGAAAAAATGAAGGAAATCCACACCCAATTTTACGGAAAAACGAAAAGTGCACTTTTTTGAATTCCTTTTGAAATCATTTTGAATTGCTTTTAACGTAAGGCACTTTAGAGTTAAGTACAACCGGAAGCGCAACGAGCAAGTATTATTCAAAAAATGCATGTCTCCGGAGGAAAGGTCGCGGCGTAGTTCTTGCCGGCGCAGGTAATATTAGAACTACTTCGATACTCGGTCGATAGTCCTGATCCAGAGAGCCCAGTCACTGCATCCATGTAAGTCTCAGACGGAAGCTGGTGGTGGTGGTGGTGGTGTCGGATCGTGTAATGAGATACAGATGGAGTTGAGTTTTAGGTCAGAAGAAGATCGTCACGGCATTCATTTCTTCTAACACAGCCATTATACAACATATACGTCGTGGAAGTAAATCCATGTTCATTTTATTCACTAAAGCAAGAATAAGTAAAGAAATTTTTTTTCTAGTTTCTTGGGCTGGCTCTAGTTCTTTCTGCAACCAAACGAATCAAGTAGAAGACCTTCAATGACAAACAAGTTGTCGTATCCGTAGAGGTACCTGACAGCAAATTCCGATGCTGCTGAAGATCTGTTCCACAAAGGGCACCTTTGCCTCGCCGTCCTTCGAGAAGTGCAGGGGGTGGAGGGCGTAGGCGGACGCCGCTGCGTTGACCATGGCGGGTGTGTTGGGCTATCAACTGCAAATAGGTCTGGGTCCTCTGGAAGGTTGCACTTTGTGATCATGCTGTCTTTGGAGTCTAAAAAAATGAAAATCTGTATTGCGTAAGGACCAGCAAGAGGAGTCCAGTTTGTGCTACGAGGGGAGGGCATTTGTCAACATGCGAGATAGGCATCAGGAAGCCTTGCTTCAAAAAATCTGTGATGCTAGCGCATGCATCACAAGCATCACGGGTCATGCAAAATATGCCAGACAGAGACAAACCTGGTAATCTGCCAGACCCACACATATTTGCAGTTGATATTGGCATGACCCGCACTACGTCACCGTGTCGTCCGATGCTTTCCCCCAGCGTCTGCAGTTATGGATCGCAAATATGTACTCTGGGTCGGGAATAAAAGTTGAACCTGCATTGCGTGTTCTGGATTCCTGCAGAATCTGTACTGCAGGACCAACAAATACAAAAGCGACGAGCTCTGTTTCCTATATGAAAAAGCGCAGTTTCATCTAATGCGCGAGCGCGCTACGCATCAGAAAGCGCCTCAGAATTTGTCACGCTGGGCTCCACTCAGCGGTATGTATTATAAATATAAGCATGTTGATCTGCAGTCGCTAATAGCATTACAGGTTTATTCCAGACCCAGACATATAAATTCAATTTGCAATGCGTAGTAGCGTTACCCCCGCCATAATGCTCGCAAACACCTTGCCAGCCGGATACCGCGGTTTTGGAGATGAGTTTGCTCCAGGTGGCTGGCACGCCTTCGTTTCCAAAAACTGATCCACCTGTTTGCACAAGGCGGGGAAACCCTGCGGCTTTACGGCGATAAGGATCACGTCGTATCCTGTGCAAAAGTATCGCACTCGTATAAATCCGCTAGCATTTTTATGCGTAAACTGACGGAGAAGTTGGCGAGAAGTCGGCCGCGAAGTTGGTGCGGAGGTCGGTGAGAAGTGGCGCGGCGTGCTGGCGTCGTTCTCGCCTCGACCAAGCGACGCGTCACTCCGCCGCTGCGAGTTATATCGTGCTCGCTGCTTGGAGCGGGAAGGAACAGCGCTGCAGACAAATGGGAAGAAGACGGCAGTCCTGTTCTGTCCATTTATCTGCAGCGCAGTCTCATCAGTTAGCACGACGGCACCACGCGCAAAGCCGTATACAAGAGGCGGCAGGAAGCGCGACCGTGATGTCTGCGCGCGCGCACCTGTCCTGCGTGCAGCCATCAAAGACGGAAGCGCCGGAAGGGAGAATAGCTGCCTTCGACGATGTGCGTGGAGCTGCGCGCCGCTTCGGCGTGCAAGCTTTGCCCCTGCTCCGTTTTCACTTGGCGCCACTTCGTAATCAATTGATTAATCTATTAATTAGTCAATTGCCTATATTAAATAAGTGAGTTGATTTGTGCTTGCGTTTTAATTGTTTTAACAAAAAGCCGCGACGTTGCGTGCGTCCTACATCAATTATGGCCGAATTGAATAACTTACTTCTCAACAACTTCTCAACAACTTCTCGCTTCACTTCTCGACGAACATCCCAGCGCATTTCGCGGCAACCTTCGAGCTTTTGGAGGCGTCATGCAAAAACTTGCATGACGCCTCCAAAAGCTCGAAGCTTACCGCGAAATGCGCCGGGGTGTTCGTCGAGAAGTGCTTGCTTTGTGCACGACAAGGACCTCGAAAGTCTCCTGGTGCAGAAGATTATCAAATTATCTTCCACAAGCTTAGCAGCCGAAGTAGGGCCATCACGGAGCCTGATTCGTGACTGCGTACGCGGCCACGAATCGAGGCCCGGACGAATATTCCTTTTCAGACGTCCTAGCCAGAAGCTCAAGCTTGTGGGGAGCTTGGTGCGGATTTCAACTCCGCATCAAGCTTCCCAACAACCGCGGTAAAGGGTCCACGCCAACTTCTCAACAGCTGGGAAGTTGGTGAAAAGCTTGGGCAGAAGTTCATGATAAGTTGGTGAGAGGTTGGTGAGAAGTTATATGCATGCCAGCAGCGGATTTATACGAGTACGATACTTTTGCACAGGATACGTCGGACTGCCAAACAATTTCGCCGTTCTCTTGCGTCGTCCGAACCTTGTACTTCTTCTCCAGCACGGCCAAACGGTCGGCGCTCATGTCAGACACGAAAATAGACTCCGGCGAAACGAGGGACTTTTTTAAGATCCCGCCGATCAAGGCCTCTGCCATCATGCCGCCCCCAAGGAAGCCCAGCTTGTATTGTCCCGTCGACGGCGCTCCCATCTCGTTTGTGTACTAAAAGAAGAATAAATAGTATAATCACGCACAACAACAACTTCTAGATCCATCAAATGGTCGTGGTGGGCGTGGTGCTAATTAGTCGTGCCGATGCAGAAGATTTGAGGTTCCTAAAGTAAACTAAAGCACAAGAGGTAGAGGATGTAGATGCACAAGGCGTACTAGACATGTAGATGCACCAGGCGTACTAGACGCAGTTGCGTGGCCGAAATGCGCATATATGTTTTTGCGCACCGCCTTCGCCTGCTTCCTTCGTCCAAATATAATGATCAAGTAAAATACACCAAACAACGCTGGTGCAAAAATGAAAAGTCCAAGCATGAAAATGACCATGCGATCCATCGCGAAAACGTCGCTACTGGCCTCTGGATCCGTTTTCGTTGTTTTTTCCTTCTGTAGTCCTTTTTGCTGCTCTTGTTTCGTCTTGATCTTTTTCACCTTGATCTTTTCCTTCCTTGTGATTTGAAATCCTGTTTATCTAGATAGACATCTAATTAGGACTTGTTTCATCGTTTTCTTTACGAGCCGTGCTCCCTTGCTACCATCGCGGCCCGAGTCCAGTGTTTAATGATAATTGCGCCTCCTTTGCTGGCTCGCCAACAACGTCGTCGTTTCGTAGATCGGTCAACGATGGATCCCCGCCGTGTTTCGTTTGTCACAGAGCCAACCAGGCTGGTACGCTTAGCAGTCTTAGCGCTTAGAGGAAACGCCTTACAAGAACAGCACTGAAGACTGCCGGCCGTTTTCGGAAAATAAGCATGGGCTAGAACAACTGCCGTTCGGCGAACTCACTTCACCTAGTACGTACTATATTTATTGCTTCAAGAATCTTGCATCGTGGCTAAGGTCTGTGACGCTACATACTTCCACACTCCACCACCACATCTGGAGCACTGCAGCGTTCTTAGTCTGTGCGTACCAGAGCCTCCAACTTGTCATCTACATACCGTAGTTTTGATGCCATTTATTTTAGCCGACACTTCATCGATCTTGTTTGGTTAATAGAGGTCCTTCTTCGGTTTCCTTTTCCGGCCTGCTCTGTTGTTTCTGCAATTTTTTTAAAAAAAACACCGCATGCACCAGCTTCAAAAAAAATAAAAAAATATCGGCGACACTTGGGAACAAAAAAGTAAAGCGCTTCGTCAAAAAAAGGAGCTTTGCCTTTTCGAAAGACGCCGACTAGTGAAACGATTGAGGCTAAGGATAAAACTAGAATAAAAAAATATTCTGCACCTCCAACAGCACATACGCATAGTCTTCTACATCATAGGAGAAAATGTAAATCTAAATACACTAGTATCTTCTCTTTGTTCTTGTTCATCTTCTATCATTAAAAAAATAAGCACACTACTAGTTCCACCATTTGTTGGTGGAAGAAATCCAAGAGAGTTCGAAAAGCGAATTCGTGTGGTTCCTTTCTGTATTCTGCTGCTTCATCAACATCAGAGTCGTGGTTCAGGCGATCGACGTCGTCTTTTTTCTTTTTTAAATCCAAAGTCGCCGAAAATTAATTCTTTTTCAAATCGAATTCAAACCAAATTCAAAATTTCAAGGCTTCAGACTTTCACGGTGCCGCTGGACACCTGTGGCAAGGATCATTTTGCAAAAAAAGTCAGCAGTTGCCATGCCTCACCACAGAACCTGGCCAAGGTCTCGTCGTCATCCCACGCAATGCACGCTTTGGGGCCAATAGCCGCAAGCAGACTCCCACTACTCATCGCCCGCTCGTGGTGTTGTACCGCTCGCGCACCATCCTTGGCGAGCATCTATCCACGACCTCACCGGCCGAGCGCCTTGCGCCGGTTAGTGAAAGGAAAGCGCCGGGCAGAGGGCACCCCGTCCGCCGGCCGTAGGCAGTTCGGGGCGGGCCGCGGAGGTGGGAGGCGCCGCAAACAAAGGCCAGCCACACTACACGAGGAGGCTACGCTATGCTACTCGCCCGGGTGAGTACGAAAAATCGCCCAGCCTTCAGGGGGGCGCGTTGCTTTTTTTGATGTAAGGCGAGTGACAAGAGAAGCCCGGCCCTTCGGTTGCCACCGTCGCGGCCCGCGTCGAACTCCCGAAGCGACCACGTCGGGAGCAACAACTGCCGAAGAGACAATGAATCTACCTGAAGGAAGACAACTAGCCGCGCAGCGACAACATTGGGGGGCGTGGACAAGGGAACACAAAAGCCCGACGGCCTCAGGTTGTCCGGCTTCCAACCATCCTTTCCAAGCGATGCCACAGGCCTTCGCGCCTCGATGCGCTTTGCCAAAACACGAAGAAGGACACAGGGCGCGCGGCATTGCTAGCCCTAGCTGGCGAATGAAAGACGAGTACTGCGCGCGCGCAGCGCGCGCGCCCCCAAAATACCTTTGCCGCTGCTGCTGCGGAGGCTATTTGGCGGCAATTTTCACGCATGCTGGCGGTCGACTAGCCCAGGCCGTAGGCTCGCAGCGTGGCTTCGCCCCGGGTTGGAATTTCGAAGCGTCATTGATGAGGGAGGCCAATTTCAAAACGAAATTCATCCCACAGGCCAATTTCAAAACGTATTTCAACTTTCCCACCAATTTCAAAACGTGATTCAAATTTTCCACCAATTTCAAAACGAAACTCAAACCTCCGTTCAAATTCCGTTCAAAATCCGTTCAAAACCTCTTCGCCATATTAGAAATTTGGTCTTGAACGGATTTTGAACGGATTTTGAACTTGATTTTGAAATGCACCTCGGAAGCAGAAAATCGGAGTTCGAATTTCTGTTCTCCGACAAATAGGGAAAAATACACAAACCATCTACGAGGGCGGTAACTGGGCAAGCCAATACGCAACGTCTCCCCTTGGCAACAGAGACGCACACCAGTCGCCCGGCCCCGGGACTGCTCCGTCCGGAATGCCCTTCTGGCGCCCGGGCTGCCGGAATAAGCGCGATCGACATCGTGGTTCAGGCGATCGACATCGTCTTTTTTCTTTTTTAATGCGGCGCCGTTATTTGCATGATATACATCATAAAGAGTAAATTATTACGACCTGAGCGGGCCTCCATATAATAATTACAGAAGTCGCGGCGCGGGCGCGCGCTACAGTAGAAGATGGAGCAGATCGATGTCATATTTATTTCATATTATCTTCTTTCACGTCTGATACGCAGGGGTCACGTGAAAGCGCAACAAATGGTGTTTGTAGTTTGCGGACTTGGTTTTCCCGAACTCCCCAAGAAAGCGAAACCTGAGCCGGTCGCCTTGCTGTGCCTGCTGGAGCAGCGGGTGCTCCGCTCGAAGGAGGCGAGTACTCACTTCCGGTGGTACCACGGTTGCCGTTCGAGGCTGGTCCGCTGGCACGAACAGGTGGAATCCACAGATGGTGAGCTGATGGTCGTGCAGCCCCTCGATCGTAATGGACTTCAGGACGCGGTGGACAGACGCATCGTAATGATTAATTTCGGGAAAGGGTACCGGCAAGCTCTGCGAACTGGTGGTCTCATCGTCAAAGTAAATCTTTGCTCCTTTGATCCTGTTTTGGTCTCGAACATTTATCTTTCCGTCAGGATAGAGACGCGGAAAAATGCGGAAGCGGGTGACGTAGCGGGGCTGGTTGTCCCGAAACTGCACGCGCCATTTCCCTCTTGGTAGGCTGGTGGCGGCAAACACCTGCACTTCGTTCAGGTTGAGCATGCGCTTCGATGGAGCAGTGTAATCGGCAGCCATGGAGGCCGTGATGCCGGGCAGCTTATGGATGTGTCAGAGTTGAAATCGACAAAGTTGAAATAACTTGTAATGCATAAAATCGATACCAGTTGCAAGTCCAATTTGTAAGCGGCGCATGACAAATTTGAGTAGAGCCGAAATCCAGTTTGTAATGCTGTTAGTTTGGGTAAGGAGGACGCCTTTTGTGATGCTACTTGAGAAGCTCTACTTCTACCCCGAAACAGGCTCACAATCTGCCTCCCTTGCCTACTCTGCAAGACAGGCGTTTTCATTTCTGCGCTCGCGTTGCATTTTATGCATGACAAACTATTTCAACTTTGACGATTTCAATCCTGACAGTTCCATACAGCTCGATGGTGAGGTACTTGCCCTTCTTGTCCCCGCAGGTCACTTTAGCGGTGGCCACGGCCCCGGACGCCGGGAACCGGTCTTGTTTGCAGGTAGCTCCTTCGCCTTCTTTGCAGATGATGTGCTCGCAGACTTCGACAGGATCAGGGTCCGGACAAGGGTCCCCAGCCGCGGTCCCCTTCCACCACTGCCGGGTCGCGGATGGGGTATGCCATTGGGAAGTGGCGGTCCTGTCGCGTGCGGTGTTGGTGAGCAGAACCCGAAGGCCGGCGTTCTGCTCCCTGGCGAGGTTTCCCTCCGGCCGGCCCGAGTTCCCAGCGTCCCACGTCTGGGAATGATCCTCATAAATGAAAAACAATCGGCGAAGCCGAAATAGGTTACTTCCTTCGTGCTGCGTGCTCAGCTCCACATGGCTCACCGGAGTGTCGTCGGGTAACTCTATTTGTATCCAGGGGCACTTCTGGGCTGGTGCGCCATAAGAGTTGTCGGCAGTTGTGAACATACCACCGGCCACGTTTCCGTCAACGAGCAGTGGCGCGGCGGTGTGCTCGTTGAACTCGCTCGACACCGTCACCTTGTCCGCCGCCAGTGCGAGGTGGGCGGCCGGAGAGGCTGTGCCAGTTGCTAGCGAACACATGCTGCGGTATTGCAGGTCCCCGCCTTCTCGGTAGTGCAGCGGGTTCATGGGGTATCACAAGAAAAAAGTGTTACAGTTACACATTTGTTCGAGTTTCTGCATCACAAATTTTCTCTGTGTGACAGAGAAAACTTGTAATGCGAAGATCATAAGGCTAAGGGAAAACAGGAAGGGAACGAGGCTCCTAAGCATTTCCTTCATGAGAAAGGTTGTCTGTGTTGCAGGTCTTGCAACACAATGTGTCACTGTAAAACTTTTTTCTTGCGATATGGGGTTACAATCGGCGGAGTCGCTACACGAGTCCTCATCAACAGCCGCATCAAATGCAAAAATGTCTGCTGGGTCTCCTGAATGGATTCGAATTTGTGATGTAAAGTCTAGATCATGGCAAAAATCTGTACCAGACCTGACGGAAAAACGGGATCCTGCATGGCGTACGCGTAGGTGTGGCTGCCTGACATAAACAAGCTACTCACGATATCGTGGTACGCAACATTCTGCACGATTGTCTTGACACTACCAGCCCTTCTTTTTTCGCAGTGGGAAAACTCCTGATCTTCTTCTTGACGGCACCACTCTATGAGGCTCGTCGTTCAGTCTATCACTATGTATAGAAAGAACACTAATAATCGTTATCAATAACGCGGCACCCACGTCTGCTTTCCTCATAGGATTTTGACAATTTTCTTTTTTGTATCAATTGTCTTGGACTGTTGAGTTGTTTCAATAACAAAATAGACGCACTAGTAAGGCGGAGCGGCAGTTTTATTTCGTTCGTTTACGTAATCTACTATTTCGACGAGACCAAGAAGACCATTCTTGCAACCCTTTTCTATCATTCATTCACATTCGGTTTGTTGTTTTCCGCCAAGGCAAGCGCTTGTTGTCTTTTTTCCAAAGCTTCCAGTCTCTTCCTGCGCATTTCCTCCGCGCTGAGCTGCCCGGCACCTTCCCCGGCACCTCCGCTGGGCTGCTGTCCGCCTGGTGTCGTCACGCTGCCGGTTCCAAGCGTGTACCCGGGCGTTCGCCACATTTTGGCCGGGTCGATATCGGCGATGACCGTTTCGTATGGAGCAGGAGCAGTTGTGCGAAAATAGATAGAGATGCATGATGACTCGGTCATAGTCATTCAAGAAAAACAAGAATACAGGAAGATGCAGCGTCTATGATCATATAGAGGCTGCTCAAGTTTTTTTGATCGTTCCGTTCCCGGGATATAAAATAAGCGCAGCTGATTGATGAGACATGTTCTACTTCGGTATCTCGTCAAGGTCACGATTTTTGATGTGCTTCCTTCATTTCCATTTTGCATCTATTTTTGCAGGATCTTGTTTGCGCTGCATATTTCTACGTCAAAGTTGTCCGCCATCGGATTGGGCTCATACTGATCTCCCAGTAGGCCTTGCCACGACTGCCCCAGCTTCTCCATTTTTCTGTTTTATATAAGTACTTTTCAAAAATCACAATCAATTCACACTATTCGTTAACCACGTTAAGATAGTTCAAGTTCACTCGTGAACAAGACATCATCTTCATCTTCATCAGCACTCATCATGACTCAACCTTCAGTCACAGTGGCCAGTAGCAGTAGAGACCATGCCGGAAAAATAAATTCCTTTTCTTTTCTACTGAAAGAAAAGCAGCTGCAATAAACGACCCGCTCCGTTTTTAGATTTTGATTTATACCTGAACGACTTATCCAGCCTGATTCCCAAACAATAGAAAAGCGCGACGTCGGAAAACGAGTTGCAATTCTTGCGTAGCAGATCGTAGTGGCCCGCTATCATGCAGGAAAATCATTTTCCTTTCATCTCGGGCCGCGTACTATGGCGAGCAGCGCTCTCAGCTTCCTCGTACTACTATCGTATACAGATACACTCATCATGATCTTCTTCGCTGCGCTTCAAATCACCGCAGAAGGTGCCACCTGCACCACAGTTTTGTAGTTCTCCACCGTGAGTTCCACGTCCAATACAAAAAAGGGTATCACAAGTGAGACACTAAGTAACGAAGGAGCGTAGCTGGCAAACATTTACGTACGGAATCACATGCACATGGAAGAAGATCAAACAACAATAAGAACAAAGAAAGCATGACCATGAGCACGACAGTAATTTATTATGCAAATCCGTTGACCACTTTTTCGCCTGATTGGAAAATGAAATTCAAATTTCTGCTGTTTGATATCGGCCGGAAAGTACTTGCGGAGAGCCTGTACAAGCTGTGTCCCGGTTTTGTTGCTCTTACCCATCTTCTGTCGAATGCAATCACGTCCGGGTCCTCTGGAAGAATGCAAACCTACTTGAACTTCTCTTTATGAAGCTTAAGGTTTTTCTCACCTGAAGATGTGTTCTGACACACAGGACCTTCTAGCATCACAGATTCTGGCCGCTCTGCAAGGTCTTTATAGTATACTGCCTATCCAGCATGTCGCACATGAGAAGCTGCCTCTCGTCACCTTGAAGAAAAGTTTATGACTTTTGGTAGTGACATGCAAGACGTATTTTTGTGTGACCCAAAGGACTCATTGACGAGTTTGCACTTCTCCAGAGGATCCAGACATATTTGATGCACTTGATATCTTCATGATTTGCATCTTGGACCGCTGCGCGGGAGCACCACCACCACCTCCCTGTGGGCCGCCCCGACTGCTGGAGGAAGAGGTTGTCATGGACTGCTGCGAGTTTGCAAAGTCCGCCGGTTGTCCCGCCGCGCCGCCGGGCAAATTACCATCGCCCCCCTGCTGGTCGGCAAATTGGTGCGAGGCAAAGTCTATGCATTGCAAGTATGTCTGGGTCCGGATTTGTGATGCGAAATTTGAAGGACAACATCGATACGATGGGCCAGTTCTTTTTTTTCGTGCTGGACGTTGTAATACGAATGATGAATTCGCAAGGAGCCGAGGGAAATTTCTCATGCTGTTATGCCGCAGGCAGCCAGTCTGCAACACAAGTTTCGAAACCCCGACATATTTGCAATTGATAGAGTTTGAGGAGGATTCGATGCCGTTGCCGTCAAAAAAGTACTCGTATCAAATGCAAATATGTCTGGGTCTGGAAGGATGCGAGGTTTGTCATGCACATTTTTTTTTTTTTTTCATTGGGTTTGTCATGCACATTTTACATGACTCCTTACGTCTGTGATGCATGCTCTAGCATCACAGATTTTGTGAGCAGGGCTTCCTGATGCCTATACCGCACGAGAAATAATGCCCTCTCGCAGTGGCAAAAGTTGGACCTCTTGTTTTGCTGTTCATGCAATACAGATTTTTGTAGTATCCAAATGCAGCATCACAAGTTACATGCTTCCAGACCCAGACACATATTTGCATTTGATAACTCGGTGCCGTTAACTACTACGCTGGAGTGGTAGGCCGTGAAGCCACCAAAGCCACCCAACGGACTGTAGGCCAACTCAATCACGTTGGGGCCGTCATAGTACTGACTCCGGTCGATGATCGGATCCTGATTGCCGTCCCCGGCACTGGACTCGCCGGCGCCCATGATGTCCGTGGTTTTTCTAGATTACTAGTACCTCCCGATGACAAGCACAGTCGTGTTCTTCCTTGTCGGGCCAATCGTGCACGATGTGGGCGCCGTCCAAAATTCATCAACTTCAATATTACAGTCGTACGACCCGGACCCACCAAAAAAAGAAACTTGAAAATTTATAAAAAGTATACCAGCTAGAACAAGTCGAAGCAGAACAATCTTCTTCCCGTTGTTTTTAATTTTCCAGTATAAAATGGTTGAAAAATAAAGTGCTTTCTTTTGATGTTTGCAGCACAAGAGTGAGGAGCCCGCTGACTTTTGTTAATGCTTCACTCGTTCACCACAACACACTTGGCGTTCTGAATTTATTCCCTCGGCGAGCCTTGGGTGGTGGTTTAGGATCATATCACGCCACGTTGAGTGTCTTGAGCTCCATCTTCATGAGCGCACGAACCAAGGCACTCTTGCTCCTTATGGTCGTTGTTTACTCATATAATATGATAAGCAGATGGCGCTCCTGCGAGCCTACTTGTCACATGATCATCGAATGAAAACTTGCATTCAGAACGAACCGAGCTACGCTTTATTATAAAGTGCATGCTCCAGGTACTAGAGGTCCTCATTCGAATAGCACATAAAGTAATTGCGTAGTACCGACGAAGGGGGGCTTATTAATTTCGACTTGATGCTGGAGGTCCTGGTGCTAGGAAAATGTTGACTTTACCATATGTCAATATCTGAATTGTGCACCATGGTTGAAACGTATGCAGGTTTTCAACATCACCGTGTTGATGTGCTCGCTTTCTTACGAGGCTCGTCGTGAAACTCTTGTATTGATGGCAGCATTGGAAAAATCAGAATTAATTTATCAAAATCAAAGCTCAAGCTGTGAAAAATGTTGGAGCAGCCACGATGTCGACGCCTACATACTTAACTCTTCGCATTAGTGATTCATGAGAAGGAGCATCTGCTCGTGTCCGCGGTACTTATCTATGACTCCTCAACAGGACCACCCCCGCAATCAGGCTCAAGGTCCGTCGTAATCGTGCCATCCTCGTATGACAGTCTCTATGGATTGCAAAAGTGAAAGTGTCTGGGTCTGGACGATTGCCAGATTTGTCCTGCAGGTTTTCCATAACCCATGAGGTCGTCTGGCATGTAGGACATAGCATGACAGATTCTGTCGTGAGAGTTCTACATGCCTACTCTGCATGAGAGACTGCCTCTCGATTAGGTCAAAAGTGGACAGCTTTTGGTAATCATGCAACACAGATTTTTACACGATTCAGATTTAGGATGACAAGTTGCTTTGTTCCAGACCCAGACACTTTTGCATTTGATAGTCTCACCCGCTAGATCCTTTCGGTCTTTGCGCCTCTCGACAACCAACGCCTCGCCGAAAATGACATGCCACAACCGCTCGAACACCACCCCCTGATAGAAAGATTTCGGCTTGCCGTGCACAGTTATGCAAGATGAAAAAAAAACCATAATCACGTAAACGTATGGCAAATCGGCGTCGACGGCGCTACACGGGGGCTGCGGAGAAGTTGCCTTTTCCCTGTACTAGGAGCTTGCTGTTTTTCGTCAAAGCTTTAACTGGGATAAATTTAAATGTGCTTGTTCTACTATCTTCAACAAGGAATTCATCAATCTTGTATCCTGAGTAAAAACGTCCCCACACCATAGTCAAGATGGGGAATCGGCTAGACAAATCCACAAGCTTTGGCTGTTTTGCATGACAAATTTGGATTCGTAGCGTAGTGCTGTTTGAGCTAGCTGAGCAGCATCACAGATCTAGCATACCATGCTGATTGGAGAATGACAAATTTCAAAACACGACTAGAGAATGGTTCTCATGGGGCTCCGCATGAGAAACATTCTCAGCATGCAGATTTGCATTACAACTACCAGCCATGCCCCGGCTGACGCCGGGGCGAGCGGCTGTTGTGGCGGGGCAGGACTATTTGCGGACAGGGCCACAACGCCATGGCTTTGATTGCGCGCGACGTGATAGGTCGAGGGAAATACCGGCGCGGTTTGCGTCATCTCAGCCCGCTGTGCTTCCTGCGCGCTTCCCGCGCCTTCCGGCGCTATGCGCAGGGAGCAGCCGCAACGAAGCTTGAGGACGAAGCGAAACCGCCTCGGCGTAGGTGCCTACCGAAGCAGAACGGGGGCCGCGCTGTCCTTTTTTGATCACGCGCGAGAGGGTGACGCGGGAGGGTGCGCGAGAGGGTGCGCGAGGTGGTAGCACGAGAGGGCGTGGGCCTGCGCAATGAAAAAGCCCCAGAAAAATCGGCCGCGTGCCGGGCGGATTCGGGTTTTTTGGACCCTCTCGCGGCCCCTCTTTTTGACCTCTCTCGGGGGTCCCCGCTAATAGTCGGGCTATACTCGCGGGCAGAGGGCTACAGAGGTGGCCGGGAGGTCGCCGAGAGGGTGCGCAAGAGGTCCCGCCTTATTCGCGCAACCTCTCGGCACCTCTGCCCACCTCTCGCTTGCCCTCCTTTCCACCTCTCTGCACCCTCCGAGGCGCTTCAGCGGCGCTAAAGGGTGGACCCTTCGGCGGGCTATACTCGCGCCGCCTCTCGGTCTCCCTCTCGAAAGACCTCCCGCGCCACCTCTTCACCTCTGTCGACCTCTTTTTTACCTCTGTCGGCCTCTTTTTGACCTCTCGGCCACCTCTCTTTTATCCTCTGTAGACCTCTACTTTCGCATGAATATAATAGATAGTAATAGGGTGGGGACATTTTCAAATAGGATAATCTTGCGAGTCGTCTTCATTCTCGTCGAGCAGCCGACTAGCCGAGGACCACCGCGATACGGTTTTTGGTAGTGAATTTCTTCGACTAAAAATTTGGAGGGAGTAGATCAAAAATAGATTCTTGGCCGCCAAGCTACGAGCATAGCGTGGCGCCGGGGAAAAAGATTGCTCCGGCCACCGAAAGTTGGCCCAAACACCATTGCACTCTCTTACCTGGGCTGCCAGGTTTTGGGGCCAGGTAAGAGAGCAGCGCGGTGTTTGTGATGCGAAAATGTCTTGGCCCGAGAAAGCCAGATAAGGGGGGTGATCTTGAGGCACAAGCAGCACGCTGCGCTCTTACCGGGGCCTCTAGGCTTTGAGGCCCGGTAAGAGCATAGCGTGGCGCTTGGAAAAAAGGTCGCGTCGGCCGAAAAAAAAATTCGCCCAAACACCACGGCACTCTCTTACCTGGGTTGCCAGGTTTTGGGGCCAGGTAAGAGAGCAGCGTGGTGTTTGGGATGCGAAAACGTGCTGGCCTGAGGAGGTGGCCAAAGCGTGAGACATTCACATTCTTGAAGCACAAGCGCCATGCTGTGCTCTTACCTGGGCCTCCAGACTTTGAGGCCAGGTAAGAGCATAGCGTGGCGCTTGGAAGGAAAAAAGGTCGCGTCGGCCGAAAAAAAAATTGGCCCAAACACCACGGCGCTCTCTTACCTGGCCTGCCAAGTTTTCGGGCAGGTAAGAGAGCAGCGTGGTGTTTGTGATGCAAGTCGTCTTCATTCTCGTCGAGCAGCCGACTCGCCGAGGACGACCACCGCGATGCTGTTTTATGATTTGGTTTCTTCTAGGGTAGGAACATTTTCCCGGCAGTCCCCCATGACAACGCCGGTTTGCTCCAACAACCGCTCGTATTGCTCCCTCGTGTTTCTCAATATGCGATCGCGGTGCACCGTATCAAATGTAAAAATGTCTGGGTCAGGAAGATTGCCAGGTTTGTCATGCAGCTTTTGCATGACCCATGGGGTCTGGAATGCAGGACGGAGCATGACAGATTCTGTGCGAGCGCTCTCATGCCTATCCTGCATGAGAAACTCGCGCCAGACTTGGTCAAAACTGGACGACTTTTGGTAATCATGCAACACAGATTTTTGCATGCTTCAGATTCAGCATTACAAGTCGCATTCTTCCAGACCCAGACATTTTTACATTTGATACACCGCAAACTGGGCCCCTGCGTAATCGGCGACGGAAAACTCGGGACAAGGCTTATCAAAGTGAAAAAAGCCCCCACCCCATATCGAAAACGAAATTTGTGATGCTGTATCGCAGTACACAAATCAAATCTGTGTTGCAGTAGAGCACTGCACGCAGCTCGCAAGCCTAGGTAGGGACCTTTTGGCGTAGGCGCCTAGCATGGTAGACGGCTGCCCTGTAGGCCCTGCAGCATTACAAATCGCCCGCATAACGTGCCGGGCAGCCTGGACTTGCCTTCTTGCAAGAAAGACGCGATTTGTGGTCACAAATCTGCATCACAAATTTTCAGATGGATGCGCTTTCAATAAGGGGAGGGGGGATTTTTCCTCACGATAAGGCTCCCCCTCGCGGTCGTCGTGCTGTAGTTCTAGGTGAAGATCCACCCTGTTCTCTGGTGGTGCAAGAGCAACGCCAACATCTACTTCTGACGAGACCGGTCTTGGGAAGTAGCTTGTTCGACGTCTTGGAGGTATTGGTATTTCTACTTCTCTTTCATCAGATGTTGCACGACCCTTGATGTCAACTTCTCTTTCAGCACGACCCTTGATGCCAACGACCTTTGAAGTTGTACTAGAAAACGTTGTAGATGACGCAATAGTCGTGGACAACGGCGACGAGAAATTTTGAACTGCGAACTCGCGACAGATCTGCTGCGCCAAATTCCAACACCAGCCAGGAAACTGCCGTTTGCGAAAGAATATCCACCTGCGCAAAGTACCGCACTCTTCGTTGTATCAATTGTCCAGCAGCACCAGCGGCAGCATGACAAAGTTGATTATATTTCCTCTCCGCTGAACAAATTATTTGTGATGCGTTCCATAGTACAAGAACTAGTGCGCGCCGTACAACTTGAAGAACTTCTTTAAATGTACAAGGCATAAAGAAGGAGGCAGTCTGGTAGAACATCGTGAGTGGCAGGTAGGAAAACGTCGAAGTTGAATTTTTATCAAAGTGCTGGTCCACCTCCTCCTCGCGAGTAGTTCTTTTTTCAGCTTGAGCTTCAGCTTCGGCTTCCTCCTCTCCAGCAGTCTGCTTCCGCTCATGCAGCGAAGGTGGAGGCCGCGCAGCTGAGGCCGCTGACCCCAAAAAACGGATGCTCCCAAATCGCTTCAAAAGGTGCTCTAGCCTGGAAGTGTAGCCCACGCCCAGGGAGTCGCCCCGCTTCGGCTCTCGCGCTTGCAGAAAAGCCACCCACTCCGGAAATTGGGGCCACGCTTGGAGAATGTAGGTCAGGTACCCGCTTGCCTCGTCCGTGCTGTGAGACAGGTTGCGATCGTCAAACTCCAGGCGGCAGTGCGGAGCGACGACGATCGACGCAGCTGGTGGCTTTTTATCACCACCTCTTCTAGTACTTGACGCGTAATTTATTCTCTGGCGGGAAGATCTTCTACCTGGTTCTTGTGCTCCTGGTGGTCCTGCTACCGGTTCGGCCCCTATTGTGAGGAAAAATTGCACCTCCCCATATCGAAAACGCATCCGTCTGAAAATTTGCGATGCAGAATTGTGGCCGCAGATCCCGTCTGTCTTGCGAGAAGGCAAGTCCACAGATTCCACCGCATTCTGTAGGCTGTTTGTGATGCTGTTGGGCTTACAGCGTAGACATTTGCCATGCTAGGTGCCTACAACACCAAGCAAAACCTCTCGCCTCAGTCCTCTACTGCAAGACAAATCTGATTTGTGTACGGAAATCTAGCATCACAAGTCTCGTTTTGATATGGGGAGAGGGGATGCTTCCTTTTGATAGCCCCTTCCCCACCTCGCCCGCACTTCTCCACAACAACAAGGCCACACGAACTCACACCTTCGCTTGGTTTTTTATCAAATGCAAATCAATGTGTCTGGGTCTGGAAACTTGTGATGTTAGTTTGCTAAAAATGGTGGGCGTATCTATAATCTATTGCAATACGCTGCCTCGCATGACAAGTTTGTGGGCCGCTCCTTTGTGCTTCGCTTTCCGCATGGCAAACTGCACTTTTGCATGACCGGCAAGGTGAGCCTTTTTTCCTGCTCGTGCATTACAGATTCAACTGTCATGTGAGACACGCATGACAAATTTGCATTTTTCCAGACCCAGAAACATTTGCGATGCATATTTTTGTGCAGACGACCATTCGTTCTTTCATCTCGTCGTCGTGTTTTTGATCCCTCCGTTGGAAGATCCTCGTCCTCCCCCGTCGTGATGGTGGGCCATACGTCCACCACATCAGGTATGGGAGTGTCAGGTTTGAAATCGACAAAGTGTAATGCATAAAATCGATACCAGTTGGAAGCCCAATTTCTAAGCGGTGCATGACAAATTTCGGCACCGTCTAAATCCAGTTTGTCATGCTGTTTAGGGACAAAAGGCGTCTTTTGTCATGCTACTTTAGCAGCTCTATCGCAGACGACCCAAAAGAAACAGGCTTACAGCCGGCCTCAGTTGCCATCCCTGCAAGAGCGACACAATTTCACCCCTTGCCATTTCTGCATGAGAAATTGTTTCAACTTTGACGATTTCAATCCTGACGGTTCCAACATATCTTCAGGCGGTGTTGTTCTACTAGTTTCATTTTGCGTAGTGTTCTCGCCTTGGTTCTCTTGACGGTCCAGAAGATCGTCGTGTTGGCAGGAGCTGCGAGGCCCCGATGAAGTATAAAAATTAGCCTCCTGGCACTTGTAGTTCCTCGACGACTTCCCGTGCACGACCTCCTGCTGCTGTGCCGCAGCAGGCGGCGCTCCTTCAGAAGAAGAAAATAGAGGCACGAGCTCGCGCAGCCAGGAAATGTCTTCAGAGCAACGGACGACGACAAAAACCACTTTCGGAATCATAATTCAACACGGAATTTTATTTCGAGAATGATATCATAACTTTTTTTCTTGATTCGACATCTAGTTTTATCTTAAATCGATCTAATTTTTTCTTAATTATGAATCTTTTTTGTTTTTTCATGATTAATCTGGTGCTTGTTCTTATCCTTACATTACAGAACCCCGGTGACCTTTCTTACGCCTTGATATTATTCGATCGACTTTGATTCACTCCCAGAACCGAATCAATACGTAACACATGTTCTTCTAAGGGCGGAGGGATGATGTTTGTGATTTGCCATGACGACTGACACAACTGAAACAACTGATTGATTGCGTCACACCAGACTGCTCCTGTCATGTCTCCATGAAGATTGGAGTCATCCATTCCATTGTGTATCATTATGCGTTGATTTTGACATTTTCGCAAACAGAGAAAGAAAGTCGAGCAGTGATATATGTGGCATGTTCCCAAAAAAACGCAAAGCGCCTCGATCGTTTTTTTGTATTTTCGCAGAAATTCTTAATTTCCTGTGGTCATTCCTTTTCCTTGTCGCGATATCAAAGCAGAAGGAGAAAAGGCTTTAACACAAAGAATAAACACAAAATCAAATTAAGCAGGCATATTCATCAAACGAGATAGATTATAACAATACTCAAAAAAGTGCCTCTTTTTTGTAAAATTTATCAGACTAATTTACGCAGTCGCTCTCATAGATTGACGCTCCTTTTTGCGTTCATGAAAATGCCTAGAAGTACAACTACACACTCTACAACTACTGGATCAATGAGTATGGTTATGGAAAGTTCGCATTCTTCACAAGAAAACTACGAACTAAGTCACGCGTCAGCTCTTCACCAATAATTAAAGTTGTTGCTGCCACACTCAACACTGAAGCGCCCAGCCACGTTCTCACTGGTCACGTATGTGTACTTGTCTTCACAATATCTTCAGTGAGAACCAGCACGCGATCGCTCAGATCAGATCAAAGTTCGCAGAAAAAAACTGTGGCGCCGCGCGTTACTTCTCTCCACCAGGTAGGCGGGTTGCATGCTGCTGTGGCTGGGAATGAAGATGAAGAGGTACTACTATATGATAGAAAAGGCGAAGTAATCATCGATAAAAAAGGAAAAGGGTAAAAATGATCGTCTGAGGCTTCGTCGAAACCACACGCAACCACGTGTCGGATGTAAATGTGTAATCATTTAGTGGGCCTCCGAATTATTGAATTAATCGCTCGAGACTGCTGAATAAGGCGAGCGCAAGAATAATCACTAACGTTTAGCTTCACTGAAACTAACTATAATGTACTGGATTTTTACATACCGCCTCTTGTTCCGTGGAGCCCACTCTACTGGCCCTACCGGAACAACATATTAATATGGAGAATAGTAAATCTGAATTACTGACCAAATTATAGTTGAAAAAGCAAAACAAAGCGCTCCTGCAGCGGCATGTTAATATCTCACCCCATTAGGAATTCGGTAAGTAGTACTTCAAGTGCGTTTTACTAAACAATATCGATGATACATAGGTAATATACCGCAAAAAATAGATCGGGCTGTATTGCCAGAAGTCAGATCCATCTTCATGTAAAAAGTACATGTAGAATATAGACATAATATTTATATAGTAAAAGCTAGTGAACAAAATCAAGCAAAATCTGAAGGAGACAAGAGGGAAAATCGAAAAGCGCTATAGCTCAGCCTCAAAGCTGTTTCTTTGTGAGATTTTCCCGGTGCCCCTCACCCTCCCGGGCGTTCCAGGTTGAAACAGTGCGCAAGCAGCTCTCCTTATCCAAAAAAAAAAACAGTGCTAGTGTGGTAAAATAACTTTCTTGGGCTGACAGCATGACAACATTGTTTTGCGTCACGAGGACACACAGTGCTGTGAAAAGATGACTGTCGTGATTTGATTTCGTGGCTCTGCTGGTTTGGCAACATTGTAACAAACTCGCCTGCATTTTCTGCATCTTCACAGATATCCTGTGCAAAAGTACCGCACTCGTACTATTGCAATCCTGCATTACATCTTTTTCTTAAGGTAAATCCGCATTATTTTTCATCATGCTGAGGAAATTTGTAATGCATTTATACGAGTACGATACTTTTGCAGTTCATGACAGACATACACTAGCAAATTTTTTTTCCTTGAGTACCACTTGAAACTGCTGTTCTCCACTGGAAGCCGATTCACTGCTTTCCGTACCATATGGGGATGTCAGGATCGAAATCGTCAAAGTTGAAATAATCTGTAATGCAAAAAAGCGATACCAGCTGGAGCCCAGTTTGCAAGTGGCGCATGACAAATTTTGGCAGCATGGAAATCCAATTTGTCATTCTGTTTGGGCAGAGGAAACAGCTTTTGTCATGCTATTTTAGCAGCTCTGTCTCACACCCCAAACAGGATTATAATCGGCCTCAGTTGGCTGCTCTGCAAGACAGGCACTTTGACTTTGCGTCTAGCATTTTATGCATCGCAAACTATTTCAACTTTGACGATTTCAATTCTGACGCTTCCATAAACCCGAAGTGCCGTGTATCAAAGTGACAACCACCCCCCGACAGCAGAAAGGCGCAGCGTGCGTGTTTCTTGTTGTTCCAGTGATTCGGAAGATTTTTGCTTATTTCATTCAGGGGTGCAACATGAATTGGAAGTGCTATTCCATCATACTGAGGTCGCGTTGCGCTGCGTGATAGGATTGGCTTCACATGACCGTGATCACACCTTGGAGTTAAATAACCGACCGCAGCTACAAAGACAACGACACAGGGGTTGCGTCGGCCAGCACAGTCTGCTGCAGAGTAGCAAGCGAAGGCAAAGAAGAGCTTTCGTTTCGGGCCCTACTAACTAGGAGCCGCGTCCTGCAACTTTGGCCTGAAGACAAGTACTATCGTTGTGGTGTTTTCTCTGCTCTGGTTCAATATCGACGTTAATATGACCAAACAAGATCAAGAACTGCGTCGATTGTGCCTTTTTCAATCGTTCCCACAATGCAGGTAACCAAAAGCGTGCGCGAACATCTAGCCAGCGCGAAGGCCCGCCAGCCTTGTTCGAGCTGACCCCTGGCCCTGACCTGTTCGGGTCATCGGGGGCTTCCGGATTCGCCTTCAAAGCTTATCGCTCCACCACTTCCCCGCGACCCTAAAGGGCCGCGGACAACTACTGTCGCCCGCGGCGGCCCGCAGGCTCCTGCGTGCGATAAGCATTGAAGGCGAAGCCCGGCTATTTCGCATCGGGGCATCCTTTCGATGCCCGTTGAAAAAAGTAGCCTTTTCTGCAGGCCACTACGCCGTCGCGCGTAGCGTTATACTTACACGAAGGCACGCTGGCCAGGTAAAATGCACAAACTTCAAAAAGTTACACAATTTTCTTCATTTCCGGCAGCCCTTTTGGGCCGCCCAAATCGACCATTTCCAATCGGAAAGAGGGCTTCGAATTGTGACCCTCACAGAGGTCGAAAGCCGTGGGGTGTGGACACGCCTCCGCAGGATCTGAGTACCATTTTTTCTCCTCCAATCCCGATGGCGCGGGACCTCGGACAAATTTGAAAGCCTTCTTTTGCCGGCCATTTCAGATCGGGTCTTCTATTTTGCAAAAAAAACCGTTTTTCGGATGCTTATCGGCTTTTGGGCACTGCAGAAAATCGGTCGATTTTTTGGGCCCATTATATTCTGCAAAAAAGTGCGCTTTTTTTTGTTCTCTTTTTTTGGATGCAGATCGGCCGCGGCGGCCCGGAGGTGACGCGTTTTCTGCTACCAAACGCGCCACAGCATCGCGCGCAGCCCAATCATCGGGCTTCTTTCTTCGGAATCAGATCGGGCGGAGCCGAAAAAGTCCTTTTTTTACCCTTCTCCCCGATCTGACTGCGCATCTTTTTTTACTTTTTCAAAAAATGAGCCAACTTGTCCGAAATCCACCCTCTGGCGGCAAAACCGCATTGGAGTTGCCCGATTTTGCGAGTGGTTGCATACCCTCGAGATCCTCCCATATGGCAACGGCAAAGCCTTCGCGCTGCGTTTGCGATGGATGGGCATCTCGCAAAGAGCGCTCTTGCGAGCGCAAGGGCACGCTTTGGTTACCAGATGACCAAACAAGAACTGCGTCGATTGTGCCTTTTTCAATCGTTCCCACAATGCAGGCCGCGCAGAAGCGACATTGTGAGTGCGATAATGATACATAGTACAAGGTGGCCACAAAGAACCAGTAGTATTCGTTGGCGTAGCTGCAATACAAACATTTATTTCTGAGTCGGGAGGAAAGAAGGTCTTCAGTTTGATAGCAGTTCCCATCCCATTGTTATCCGGAATATCCCTGAACGACGCGAAAGACATCCCACTGGAAAAAAAGAGCTAGCGTGCTGTACTTATCTCCAAGAACACTTCTAGGGATGCACGGGCAAAGATGAAGATTTTGTTATGCGTACTATTTGATGTTCTTTTTCGTGTAGTTACAAATGTGGCACGGTAGTTTCTTTCATGTTTTTCGCTGGGATATAAGACCGTTCGTCATTGTCCTCACTGTCTGCAGCATCAACGCCGGAGAGGAAGTTCCGCATCTTCGGGTGGCCGAAGCTGTTGCCTAGAAGCTTCAGGTTTGCGCTTGTGAGATCACCTCGCACAGTTTGCTGGACCCCAACTTGGCTCGTTTCGGGGGTAGGCTCTAGCCGCAGTTTCGTCTCGAGTTCCTGGGCCAGCAGCTCGGCGTCAACATCACTGCATTTCGCCCCCTCGGAAAGCGGCTCTTCTTGCGCCGCCTGACGTTGCCTGACACCTCCATGGTCAGGGCTCTGCCGAGTATCGCCACAAAAAATTTGGGAGAGAACACAACACCAGTCAATTGGTCTGCAGATAATTTTGACATCAAGTATGATACCTCTTCTTTGATCGACATCGAAGTTATCTGCACGTCGGTCCGACTCGAAAAAGAAGAAAGCACGATCTCCGCGCTCATCATCTGCATTGATTCTTCATGAGCTACAACAAGTAAGAAGATGCAAAGCCGAAACTGGGACTGGCATCACTTCGTCATGCATTTGTACTTAAATCAAATGTGTTACTGTTTGGTCCTGCTCCAGATTTTGCTGCGATAAGCTTGCATGGTGTCGTCGTTGT